AAGCATCACATCTAGCTAAACAAAAGCCAATGGTAAAGAGAGTGGTAACCAGTTTGTCAAACCAAGTGTGCGGTGCTTATTTGACGCAAGAAAGTGAGGATTGATGGAGAAAGGAAAAAGAAAAAATAAAGTTAATACTCAAATCATACCTAGTAACATAGATTTTATCACTAGGAGAAAGACACTAATTATAACCCTAGTGACAATAATTGTAACAAGAAGACATGTTGTTTAGAACAAAAATCAATTTATGCCAAGTCTTTAGAGAAGAAAAACAAGTAAAACCAAATGTTTTGAAGAAAAAGTAGCCGTGAAATTAATGATAGTAGCTTAAAAAGGAATTTAAATGGCTTAATTAAGATTTTAATTTTTCAAAAATTCAAATTTTTTATTTAGTTATTTATTTTAAATTTTTTTCAAATGAGTATTTTCATAATATAATTTTTAATAAATAGCCTTCTTCATTTTAAATTTTTTCAAATGGGTAATTTATAATATTATCTTTATTAAATAACCTTCTTTTATATATTTAATTTTTTTTATTTAGTCCTCATAAATATTATGAAATTTTAATTTGATCCCTTTAAAATAATTTTTTAATGAAAATAAGTAATATTATTATACGAATTAAATGAAAAAAATTTAAAAATTATTTTGTAAAAGAAAAATAAAGACAAAGTTTATGATATAGAATTCGAGAACGTGTTTGAAAATGTTATTTGTTAAACAATTTTTTTAATATTATTTAAGAACATAAAAAAATTATATATTATAATTATTAGAAATTATATAATATAATTACATTAGTACTATAAATTTTAATAAAAAATTATTTATTAATTTGTAATCATATATTCTTAGACACATTAAAAAATTTAACATCACTAATTTTAAAATATGTTTACTGTATTAAATGCTCTAACTCCTATAAAAGTCAATCAATTTATCATAAAGTTCATTAAAGAGAATATAAGCATCATGAGTTCTATTTAGGCCACTACCAAAACATGATGATTAGTCATGATTGTTTACCCACTGTTCCAATAATTGTAGCAAAAATAAGCATAAGTCTCAAATTTTGCTACACGTTTAGCCCACCATAGCAAAAAAATAAAATACACCAAGTTTTTTTTTTTTTTTCCACCTCCCTTCTCAATGCAAGTTTCTTGCTTCTTTGCTTTTTAATCTCTCCATTTTCTCAAAAAATTAACCATTTTCTATTGGGAATTCGTATGCTTCAGCGGTGTAGACAAGGCTCCAAATTTGATCGGAGTTTACAATGGGCCTATTTTAGGAAAGAAGAAAACCATTTCCTTTAATCCTTATATAAGATATTATTTAGTTAATTTTATGATTCTTAGGATAAAGCATCTTATAATGTTTAAATTTAAGATACCAACATATAATTTTTTTTATTAAATATTACATTGGTAGTGACTTAAAAAGTATGATGAAATTATATTGATAATCTTTTTTAAATAAAAATATTTGCTTTTAAGTTTCTAATCAGTGCCATTAAAGCAGTAGTAAGTATTTACGTGAATCACATGCAATCGGTATCAGAAGAAGTTCCCAGCTTTGGAGTTGAGGCACTCCTTGAGAAAGATGATGTACAAGCAAGAACAATTAGAAAAGACCAGTTGAAGGGTAAGCCAAGCCTTCCACAAGCATTGTCTGCAAAGGACATAACCGAGTATGCTTCACCAGTGTTGGAACGAGCCAAAGCGATAAAGAGTTACATTATCCGAAAGAAATATGCAAGATATTAGAAATATTAACTTCATGATTAGTGATGATGACAAGAGGGTAAGGTAGCAACTTTGACATAACTTTCAAGGTCACAAGGAGACAAGTGAAAGTGATTGTACCATACAACATAGTTGTTGGCATCAAGTTTAGTAGGAAGTTAGATACAAGTGTTAACTCAACTAGCTCCTTTGGATCAGAGGTGGTAGAAGTGGAATATTAGGTAGTGGTAGTAGATCAATATTGGGCCACCAAAATCAAATTGTGCTTCTTAACGGTCGAAGGTTTTCTTTTATGTCAAAGAGTAATCTTTCATCTGTAATTTTTAACTTGACTGAGTAAAATTATAAACTTTGAGCTCACATACAACTACCCAAATTTCTAATACATTCAAAAGATTAGATATTGTTAAAATGAATAAACATAAAATAAATTTTCATATTTATAATAATTTTTAATCTATTCATTCTTCAATTTTTTTTTATTATGTAAGACATAGTAAATAACCCACTTTAACTATATGATTTTAGGTAAACTACATCTCTATTAATTAACGAATTAATTTGAATGCATTTTATAACTTTACTCCATGTTCGTTTTACTTATTGTTGTTAATTTTAATAAAATGTCAATATCAAAATTAATGGCTTACATTGGTAATATTTTTTAAAAAAATAAGTATTTACAAAATCATTTTCGATTAAAAGGAACAACTTTAATATTCTAAACACGTCACAATTAAGGTGTGGAAAAAAAAAACTTCGACAATGATTAAATTTTGATAAAATACGAAATTAAAGTATTGAAATTAAAGTTGTTCCTTCTTTCAACATCTATCATAAAACGAAACTTGTGTTATTTTTTTTTTCTTTAGAGATAGGAACATTTTCGGCTATTAGAAGCTGAGGTAGGGAACGGTGGGTCTGGTGACTGGTGAGAAAATGATGGAAGGTTTTATGAATCAACCTTTTCCCGTTGCGGTGGCTTTTGTCCCTTCTCTTGCGCTTTTTGTTTGTCCACACACTCCCTCTAACGTTTCAAATTTTTTATTTTGAAGCATCGTTTTTGCCTGTGAAACTCACTCTCTTTTCTTCTTCTTCTTCTTCTTCTTCTTCTTCTTCTTTTTTGCTATTTTAATGGTCACATTATGGGACGGTGGCATATCGAGTGCTATTGCCTTTGCGCACATGTCGTAGTGCGTTACCACTGAAGAAATAAAGTGTTCTCTCATGCCTTTGTTAAATTGCATGTTCGGAATCTTTTGCTTTGTTCATAATTATGTTGTCCTTTTAGTATGCTGAAATGAGTTTCTTCTAATTAGACTATTGTGCCGAATTTGGTCAATTTTAAACTTACTGTTATCGAAGTGAAATTCTTGAGGTAGAATTGCCACTTTTGTAACCATGATATATTTAGTTTCTCTATGGGGTATTTGGTTATTAAAAAAAAATATAATTTAAATTGCACTTTGCACTTTGAGTTAATCGAATTGCAAACGGTAAATTATGTAACATGAAAAAACCCACATAATGAAACCCTTTTTATGGTATTTTGCATAGTAATAATGTGATATATTATGTCAAAGTGGTAGGACGTTGTACAGTGGCACCGTCATCTATTAGGGGACCAATAAATCAAATAGTCGTTAAAGGGTTTCATTGTATGGTCTTGGGGTCGCAAAAGAACCTGATTCTACAATCATTAGACTCGCTTTCTCTTTGGTATCTATTGATGACCTTGTGCATGTGTCCCAATAAAAAGAAGAAAAGGCTAAAAATATATGAATCTGGTCAATTCTCAATGAACATATCTTTTACTTCGTGCTAGCTTTGTAAAGTATCACTGTATAAATGAGCAAGCTGCATTAGAAGGTAAACTTGGTGACGTTGCAAGGACTATTATTCCAGTTATTAAACACACAAACTGGTAATAAAAAGGAAAAAAAATAATTATTCGAGTTATTTTAAGTATTTATATAAAGCAATTATGATTATGAAATGTCAATAAATGATTCCTATAATTTAACAAATTTTTAAAAAGAATTATTCTTGGACCGAACCTGATCGACTAGGAAATTAACAAAAAAATCTTATGTAATTTAAATTAATTTGAACTTAGTTTTGATAAACTAATAAAGAAGTCTTTACAGGAACAAAAGAAATTAGAGTTGCAGTGATAAGGCTTTGTCAGCTTTTATTGTCTATGATACCTATTTCAATTTTTCGGTGGTCATGTGTATTGACGTTAGTAAGGAACTAAACGGCAATGAGGTGCAAATTGTTCTTTGAATGTAAGTAAAGTAAAAAATTCAAGAAAAAAATAAAGAGAGATGAAAGAACTAGTAGGTATGAATCTTGAAATAAAAATAAATTATGTTTAAAAAAATTTAAATCAACATTGTTTTGTATAAATTCTAACGTGCCATTTAATATTAAAAATTATTGTTTTGTTGTTTAATTTTAATATTTTTTAACGATGAAAACTAAATTAATGAATTGTTGTTACTATGAGATATTAATGTTTAAAAATTTAATTTTAAAATATTTATTTAAACAATACTGTACATTTCAAAAATTAATGTGAATATTTACTCTTATTAATACACTCTTACTTATAATTCTTATCAATTATTTTCAAATCAGTACTGTTAAACACTTGTTAACAAAAATATTTAAGTGAATTATTTTAAAAATGGGTAATATTATAATATTTATATCTTTAAATTTGATAGAATATTTGTTATTTTAATCTAGAACACACACGTGTATACACATATGTATCATATCAATATTTTAAATAAAATTTTAAAGAGCAAACGCATTTTAAAAAAATTAAATTATATATATAAAAGCATGGATTAAAGAGAGAAAAGTGTTAAAATTAAAAAAAAGAACTATGTCTAATTAACTTCACTATAGTTTATTTATTTAAAATAAATATTAAATGTTTTCTTTTAAAAAGAAAATAAATTGGAAGATTAACCTAACCACTCAAAAAACTTCAATTTAATAAATAAGAATAAATAACTTGATGTACTATCACTTTACTTACATGTTAACATTCTCTAGACAAGAGTTTTTTTTTAGCTTTTCAGATATATATATAATGCATGCTGATTAAATTTCTGATAAAAGAAAATACAGATGAGAAGTATTGTCTAGCTAGGAACCTAACAAGCATTAAGAAAGTCTTCAAGCAGCTACAATAATTAGTTTGCTCGGAATAGGAAAGGAGATGAATTAGTTCCCGTCAATGTCATAAAACGTTTAAATCATTCAAGAGTTTTACGATCATTCATCCTACAAAAATCAATCATCTGTAGTGTAGCAAAGACAGAGCCAAATTCCATGGAGTATGGACCACACCACAATTGGCAATTTCGTTTGCAGAGTCTTACACTTGGCCCCAGCAAACCAAAAACAACACATATACTCTATTATCAAGCCCTGCTGAAGAAATCATTTCACTCACAAAACAGATGAAAAAGGAAGATTCTCAGCATTTTTGCTCACAATCATAGTAAAATCAGAACGTGACACGCCAAGGAAATGTCAAAAATATATACCACGTTAAGAAACTTTTATGGCAGTCAATTATGCTTTGAACGAGAAATGCGTGATGCATTTATAATACCATAAAGTTGTTCACCATGTCATTATGACGCTCACCAATGACGCAGAACTCCATTTTCTAGCAGAATACCAAAAAGATGCTAAAATTTAAGATACTACTACTGTTTAAAATAAAATAGATAAACAACACAATATCATGCAAAACACATAGGATTTGGTAAAGCCCATACAAAAGTAACAAACCAAGACTCGAGTGTAAGCCCAACCCAAAAACAATAATGGGAGGGTTGGTCAATTTGTCAACTCTTGAATCAGGGACCCTAGGTTAGCGTAAGATGAGCCGTTTTCCATGAATGCCCCTCTACACTTGTCACTCATCTCCTTCACCTTTCTTCTGATCTCATCGCTACCCTTCATCAGCGACCGCACACCCTTCTCTACTTCTTCTGCCCGCACCAGATCACCCACTCTATAATCCAACTTAATCTCCAAAGCCAATCCCAATTCCTTAACCATCTGGAACGCGTTCATTTGTTGCTCTGCGTACACCGGCCACGTGGCAATTGGTACACCGTGCCACAAGCTCTCTAATATTGAGTTCCAACCACAATGCGACACAAACCCCCCTACGGCATTGTGGGCCAGCACCTTCACTTGTGGGACCCATCCACACACCAAACCAATCCCAGCCGTTCGTTCCAAAAACCCATCTGGCAAAACATCTTCATGATTTGCGTATTCCGTTGGGTCTTGTAATTGGGCCTTCGGAGGTTCCCGCAAAGCCCACAAGAACCTCACCCCGGCCCGTTCAAGCCCAACTGCAATCTGCTCCACCTGGTTCGCCTTTAAGCTTCCCATGCTACCAAAGCAGAGAAACACCACGGACGAAGCTGCCTGCTGATCTAGCCACTCCATGATGCGCTTATATTGGGCCGGTTTTGGATCCCATTGGGCCGACCCAGCAAGGTCAAGAACAGGCCCAATTGGGTAAACGCGGGGCCACTTCGAATCGCTGTAGAGTGACTGAAGCGCGTGAGGTTCCAGCTCCTGCAATGTATTTACGACAATGCCCTTTGTTTCCCTGTACCTTCCCGCATGATATGAAAACCAGGTATACGAATCGTTGCAATCTAACACGAGCTTGGGCAAAACCGGACGGGGCAAGGGGTTCTTGAAACTCGGGACCACGAACTCGGATTCTGACTTGACCGCGTCGACTGGGGGGAGGTGAAGCGCGAAGCCGAGGAAGCTCGCCGGCGAAGGGAAGAAGAGGTAGCAAGGGACGGCGAGCTCGGCGGCGACGTCGATGAGGGGGGTGGAGAACATGTCGACGAACACGGCGGCGAGTGGAGGCGAGTGGGGCTTTGACTCGGTTGGGATGAGGTTGAGGAGTGCTTGTTTGACTTGGAGCTTGTGATTGTGTATGAAGAGGGAGAGGAAGGCGATGGTGGATTGGTACTGGTCGGGTGTGGGAGGGTCGACCGAAGGAAGATGGAGGAATCGGACATTAGTGGATGAGGAAGGACGTTCTTGGACATAGGTGTTGATGAGTGGTCGTTGTGGCATGGAGAAAGTGAGAACGGTTGCAGAGAATCGAGGGTCGTGTTTGGTTATGAGGTTGGCGAATTCCACGGCTGGAACGAGATTGCCCAGGGCTGGGGTAGCGATGAAAACCACCTCATATCTATGCATTATTTCAGATTTGTTTTCAATCCGTAGCGAGTGGAGTGAGTGAGTTCCTGTTAATATGTTTTTGGATTCTCCACGTTATTATATTCATGTGTTTGGACTTTTTCTGCAGTTTTGATGAAATCAACGGTTCAAATTAAGGATTGAGGCAGCAATAGGATGCGTTTCCGTATTTGGTTCACCTGTGACTTTTGATCAGTGATGACATGAATGACTTCAATTTCATAACAGATAAGCATTAAGATGATCCAGAAACTTCCCTTCTTTTCACACACACTTCCAGTATGTTATATACCCCATTTTTTATATTTAATATTAATCATAATTATAATTATATATCATATATATTCATTTATTATTTATAATTAAATATTTTAATACAAAATATTGATGCAAACAAATTTATAATTTAGTATATGTTAATTTTTAAATAAACCCTAAAGATAAATAAAAAAGTATTTCATCTAATACTATTTTATCACTAACTTTATATACTATTTAAAAATAGTAAGCTTAGATAAATTTATTTTATTTAACAATTATATTATAAACATTAAATTTTATTAAATTAACCTTTAAATTGAATGTGTAGATGAAGACTATGATAAATTTTCTAATAATGATGAAGATACAATAAAGTAAGACTCTCTAATAGATAAGCTAATGAATTGGCGGTTTTTAAACTCGGTTCACCTTCTGTTTGATACAAATGGTTTTGAACTATTGAACAAATTAGCAGTTTATGTAAAAGAAAAGTTTCAATCATTGGTTTTAATTGATAAAACTAAAAGAAAATTTTGAGCCATCACTTTAAGAATTTCCACCTTGACTTAATGTGTTATAAGACCAACAATCAACTTCAAACACTGTTTAAACTTAGCCATTAGTAAGCACATTCGTTAGATTCTTGGGCACGTGAACCCTTTTCACCACTACTTTATTAATAGTAACAATATATTTTGAAAAAAATGATATGATATATTAATGTGTTTGGCCCACTCGTGACAAATACTATAAGAATATTTTATGCTAAATTAATTGTTGAAAATATTGAAGAATGGCAACTTGAGATGTGTAAAATGACACTGTATTTAAAATATAATAGGCTATTCCAAGAAATTAACTTAAGAAATAGAATAACACAGATCAAATTTCATTAACCTAAAATCTTATTAGTAATTCGAAGAAGAAAAGGAACACCCTTTGAATAGAACAAATTTATTTGTTTTATAAAATATATTTTAAAATGTTAGAATAAATACTATTTATGACTTATATTTTGAAATTAATGATAATCAATGTTCCAACGAAATAATTTAAGAAAATAAATATCAATCCATTAAAATAAATATTGTAATTAACAAAATCATAATCAATTACTTAATAAAACACATTAAATATCAATAAATTTGAAAATCAAGGATGCTAAAGTTTAAACCTTTTAAAATACCTTTACAAATTTGCAACAAATGTCTCTCATATATTAGTGTAAATATTTTAAATCTGATATCTTTTAGCTTTGAACTATACCTAAATTGATAAAATATAACACCCAAGTAAATTAGTAAAGTAAATATTTATGAACTAAAATATCTTGATAAATATTGGCTATTTATTAATCACGTTACACCTTTATAATTATCTCGCGTTAACATTCATATAAGTTAAATCGCATTTTATAGACTACCCATAAAATATATAAAATTCATTAAATCCTTTACATCAGCCTCTCAACAGTGTAATCTAACACATCTCATATCACATGAATTGACAAAATTATTACGGCAAGTAAAATTAAGAAGTAACTTGTTTGTATCGATATTTTAACGTATAATTTTTATTCTTTTATTGCTATTCTCACAAATCAATAAAAACTTATTTTTAACAAATAATTTTTTTTAAATTGGAAACATTTTGTTTTAGAAAAAATTCTTTATTTTTATTTTTTATAAAAAATAAAAAACAGGAAAATAGAAAATGTTTAGTTTAAAAACTATTATTTGTTTTAATTTTAATTTTAAAAATGTACATTATTTGTATTATGTATTCAAAGATTTTGTACAAAAAAAAAACAAAAAAAAAAAACAGAGGCTATTTAGTTTATAAAAAATTTATATTTCATTTTTAATTATAAAATGGTTATTTTTCCTTTTTAAATATTTATGCACAAAGTAGTAAAAATAACTTTTTTCTCATTTTATCACATTCTGTTTTTTTTTTATAATTTAAAAAGGTAAAAAAAAAAGGCATTCTAAAAATCAAATAACTCAATTTATTATTTTATGAATAAATATTTGAAATGAAAAAACAAAACTTAAAAAAGTTGCCAAAAGCAATGAATAGTGGTAGCTTTGCTAGTGTAATTGAGCAACTCATTACACAAGTTCCATGAAATGTAAGGCAGGGCTGGGGACACTAACAAGGGTACGTGTCTTACATGCAATGCATAGCTTTACCCTGTCTCTGAAATCGCTCATTTCCATCATTTCTATCAACTGCCATCTCTGTTCATTATTTTATTTGATGTCCCCTATTTAATGTTTGCTTAATGCTCACTGCAATTTTCTACTTCAAGGCCAGATGGCCAGATCCATTTTTAATCACGCTATATTTTTAATCATTTATATAATTATAAAATTAATATTAAAGATTAATACATTTTACTAAAATAAAATTCCAATTTTAATAAAAAGATTATGTACAGTAAACATTCTCTTGAATAAGTTCTAGATGATATTCAATTTTGTGTTGTGCGATTTATCTTTTCAAATGTTCACCTTCGGTATCTTACATCCATAACTTTTCAAATGTTCTAGATGTAATTTATTTTCATAAAATTTTCACTGATAGTGATAATTTATTTACTGTTCTTTTTCTTTTAGAATTTTATTTTCTGATATAGGATTATTCTGCAACTAAGTGTGTGGCATTCTTTCAACAATAAGTTGATGTTTAAATTGGTCTTTCTACCAACAAAATATAAGTTAAAAAAATAACTATAAAAATTCTTAAACACTTTTAATAATAAAAACAACTTATAATTATGGTATTTTACAATAAACATGTAATAAACATTAAGTATGCAAGTTTACTAAATGGTAGAATATAGTCTCTAACAGTGCAATTATTGAATTGAAAATGTCAAAAGAAAGATGCTCCCTGATCAAATTTTTTTAACTCGTGTGCATGTAAAGAAACAAACTTTAATTTCCTTTTGATTGATGAAGTTTACCTCCTCCAACAATTGAAATTTATCATCAATTTCAACAATAACTAATAATATTTCCAGAGCTCATGATCACCACCAATTTATAGTATGTAATATAATGCTGAAAATGTGGGCTAAATTAATATTTGCTTTTCGTTCACATCATATAAATATATTATTAAATTTAACAATATTTAAATAAATTATAATTAATGTTTCAAGATTTAGAAATAGTTCATTTTTCTGTACAATATAAAGAAATGTCTTGTTAATTACTAGTCTTGAAATTCTAATTAAAAAATGATAAATAATAACTTTCTATTAAAAATAATATTAAAAATATTAAGAATCATAAAATAAATACATTGTTATATTCTTTAATTAAATATTTTTACTTTTAATTTCTTAACTAGCATTTTTTTATAAAGAAAACTTGCATTTGTATAAATTAAAGTTTATCCTCATCAATTTAATAATAGTTATATAAGTAAAGATATAAATCATAACATCAATGGGTGCATTAATATTTTTTAAATAAATTCAGAGTCAACTTTAACTTACTAATAAAATATAGTTGGCCTAATAAAATCAGTGAAAAAAAAATTCAAATCAGTGGATAAAATATACATAATATAAGTTTATAAATATAACAACATGCAATAGAAATACAAGAAAATGTTATTTAAATAATTATTATATTAAAATTCAGTTTAAACTCCTCGAAGTTCCCAGAACATCTGTTGTCGCCGCCAATTATCACAATAAGATATGTATTTCCCCCCCTTTTTTTACGTATAAATCTGTCACAATTACTGCCATGCATATGAAAGTAAAATTCCAATCACCTCCATCCAACGAAACAAAATCAATAATACAAAAAAATAATATATTGCATATAAATTACGAATTCAGCACAATATACCATCCAACCACTAAAGAGACTGAACTAGCACACCTCAAAACAGCAACAATCGAGTACAAAAAGTCTCTTCCATGTTCTTGATTTAACTCTAAAAAGTATATAGTATGTAAAACATGATCCTATTCTAAGTTTATTTCAATAACTTATGTAACTAGATTGTTCACTCCCAAACCTCGTAAAAAAGCATAATAGTCTCACATTCACTAGCTATTAATTTTCTAAAACACGATCTTCTCCACTATTAATCAGATATAGTCTAAGAAGGTATGTTAATTTCTCAAATAATATTGTATCTACGAGGTAAAGGATATTATAACAAAAATATGTAAATATAATTAACACGATCGAGCTCAGCAAATATAACCACATCAAATCTAAGCCCCGAAGACTCTTTATCCCAAAAGAAAATTCTGTTAATACTTAGATATCTACAAAATCATAAGCTCTTAAGGAGAAAGGGGGGATTTCCCTTTACTAATAGCATTCTTAAAAGTTTAGAAAATCAGAAAATATTTTGTTACTCACCAGATTAACTGATCTACAAGTAATATAAATAGAGTGATTGAAGGAGAATTTTACTTGTAAAATATTTAAAGTAGAAGGTAGAATTTGATGGATGATTCGTAGCATGGGTCGATCAATACCTATACAAAAAACAAAATTTTGACAAACCTCCGATACATCTTAGTATTTTGAATTTGTCTACAATGTTAGAAGAGGTATAGTATGCACTTACACTAATTCGTGCATTCAAAGCATAAAAGCTATTCAAAGAGGAATAATAAAAATACAAGGTAATGGGAGAAATAAAACGTGGCTCTTGCGAAGTGGAACATCCTCTTCTTTTGTAGTTGCTACAGACCAAATGACCAAGTTAATTATGAAAAGAACAGGTCATTAAAGAGAATTAAAGAACCATTATGGTCTTGTGTTTCAATGGCCAAGAAAAAACTAATAAATGGGTCATAAAAGCTATTAAAACTTTATATCTAATAATTTAAAGAACCAATGAAACTTAAACTTTTACGTTATATCAATATTTAATAATATAATTTTAATCATATGTAAAAAACTCATTAATGTTGATTAATTATCTACTGAGAAAAGACTATAGAACCTAAAACAATGATACATTAATTTAAAATAAATTATACACATTAAAATGATTTCTAATTTGGGACAACCGCACAATAGAAGAAGCTATTTGATGAGCTATTTATATACTCGATCGGCTCAATAAACCTTTTATGCACATGCCAAGATAGAAAATTATAGCCATGAATAATGGCCACAACGATAAAGGCAATAAAATCTCCAACGATTATGAAAAAATAGCCGTAAATTATGTTCATGATTGCTAGACGGCTATGTAACATTGACATAACCATCAACGTTACTCTCATATCAAGGATATGCTCTAGTTTACATCAAAATAATATGTATAATCAGTAGTATATTCTACATCAAGGTATGTGATATACTCCGTAATTGTTATTGTACTAGTATAAATACTAACTTAAAGCATAAGAAATAGGCAAATTAACATCGTGTTTGCTCTAAAATCATTTACAACTTTTTGTGAGGTAGATGTGCATGCTTGCATTGGAAGAAATTTACGTATGTGGGATCGTTTAATCATTATATGAATTTAGTTTTTGTTTTCCCTCTTATGGATTCTCCATATTTTAAAATGAGACGAATTTGCTCAAAGACCCCATTTGCACTAGTGGGAAATTATCGCCAAAGATACCTTACAGCATGCTCTCGATAATAACAGGCACAATAAAGCGGTGGCACTGTTTTCAACCATCTTAGTTCTTCTGCTACCTTCAGAATGGCTCTCTCCGATCAATTAATATTCTCTTAAATAATCGGCATCGGCACTATCAACATCCATGCAATTTCACCAAAATTTGGATTTCGCTCCGTATTAAATATTTGGATAAGACTAATCTTGTTAAACTATGAGTTCAATTCCAATACAATAATTTCTTTTAATGAGTATATATTTCATATCACCGTTTAAAATTTTATCTTAGAATATTATTATAATATTAACTTGACTTTTGTAAGAGTCGCTTCCCTGTATGTGGAGTAATTCGCTTCTACACCCTTCCTTTTCCCTCTCTATATATGTCCCTAACATGCTCACTAACTATACAACATACAAGAGTTTCTATCCATCCCCCTATATAGAATATTTCTCCGTTACCAAATGGGTTTTCAAAGATTTTTCACAATGACCTTGAATCCTATGTTTCTGTTTTGTTTGGTTGCAGTGATCAACAATGTTGTTACTCCAAGTAATGCACGACAACTCAAGACTTCATCAGATGAGAAAGAAGTGGTTGGTGGTGAAAATAGAGGAGCTCAAGTAGAGTCAATAAGCAAGAACAACATGGCAAAGAATAAAGAACTTGATGATGAAAAACATCCCTTTCCCTTTCCCTTTCCCTTTCCCTTTCCTTTTCCATATCCACCGCAGGTTCCAGACCTTACTCCAGTGCCTTCACTCCCATTTCCTTTTAATCCTCCACCATTTGAGGTTCCTGAGGTTCCTTCACTTCCATTTCCGTTTAATCCTCCACCATCTGATGTTCCTGAGGTTCCTTCACTTCCATTTCCTTTTAATCCTCCACCATCTGATGTTCCTGAGGTCCCTTCCCTTCCCTTCCCTCCTATAGACATCCCTGGTGTTCCTTCTCCACCTACCTAAGCTGTGTAATCTATTTTGCATGCTTTATTAGGGTTCTGCTTATGGCAAATATATAAAGTTGTATTGTATGTATGTGTTTATGTATGCTGTGTCTTAAGTGAAAAAAGGATGATAATCAAGTTATAAAATAAAATAAGATTCTGTTAACCTGGATTGAACTTAAATGTCCAACAATAGTAAGGTTTTTATTAAAAAAATAAAATATTTATTATAATAAATATTGTATTTTTTTAATAAAAATTTTATTATTTTTAGATCTTTAAATTCAATTATAAGAGTTGAGGTTAGGTTAACCGAATCGAATAAAATAAAATTGGTTTGTCTAGTTTAATTTACAAGTTTGCTTTAGAATTAAGCTTTCGTTTGCTTACGTACTACTTCTGTTCCTGTAACCCCCCCTCCCCCTCCCCCTTTTTTTTCCCAGCAAGTCGAATAAACTGATCTTGTGGATTGTGATTAGTTGACTAACTGCTTATTTATAGTTGATTAATTTTATTGTAATATGTGATTTCTCAATTTCTTTTTTTTAAATTTGTTGATTGTTGAAATTACACTTCCTAGTAGACACTTTGGACTTTTATTACGAAAATAAACAGTAGCTGAAATAAGAAATAACAAAATTAAGAAAACTTGCATGTTAATAACATGTATGGGGTTCCCATCGTTTGGTTATTCTTGAGGAGATATCTATTAGAGACTTTGAATTTGGAGATTTGTTTTGTCATGGAAAAGGGCCAAAATGAAGACAAAAAAATCTTCCAAGACAAAGTTGATGACGTGAACAAGAACATGAACCATATTTCCTATCTTACGAGGTCCTCGATCGTACATTAAAAATCATGCGCAAAATTTTGAATCCATGTTAATGGTCACTCACACCCTCCAGAAATTTACGCACTTAAAACTCCACCTTACAAAAATCTTAACCATCCCTTTTGTTTTAGATGTTTTACGTTCTAAAGAATACGATTGGGACTCAATAAATATGCATGGGTTATATCGTATAATAAAGGATAATTTTTGTAAGTATAAAATTGGGAAGGGGTTTCAAGTGCAATTTGAATACAATTCAAGGGAGTTACCATGCCAAAATTGAGCTATTATAGCGTTTTCACATAACATGCTCAAGAGTTTTGTAACGCTAAAATATAATATGTACAAAAACATTAAAATGTTCAGAAAACGCTGTAAAAAGTTTTTTTTAACAGCACTTCGATCATAAGCACAAATACTGCAATAAATATATAATTTATAGAATTTTATAAGCAGAAGTGCTGTAACAAATATATGATTTTACACTACTTATGCAGCATAAATACTTTAACTTAATTGTGGAGTGGTAGACCTGTAGAGAAATTTTTATAAAGAAAATATAAAAAAATAATAAAACTTCTTTTATAAGTTAAAAATAATTTATCTCTACAAAATTTTAAAAAATTAAATAAAAAACTTTATCCAAAATAGAGAAGTATAAATTATTTCTAAATTATAAAAAAATATTTATTTATTTTATACTAATTTAATAAATATATAATTTTACACTACTTGCTTATATATTTTTTTTTCTTAGTTTCAACTTTCAAATTAGGATTCATAATTCACTGAAATTCAATTATTTAAAGTGTCCTATTTACAACACCATATATTATTTTTCATCTTCATATTGTACCATTATATTATTCTCTTAACCACATATAACGTAGTGAAATTTTATTCTTTCAACTATATATTATAAAAATAAAATATCATCAATTTGTTAAAAATATTGTAACTTATAATACTTTTTACAAACTAATTTCTTGTTATATTTTTTATAAAAAATTTGACATAAATTTTTCTATTTTAAAACCTTTTTCAAAATTAACAATCACATGCAAAAGTCTTAATTCACAATCCGTGAGAGAAAATAATTCTAACAATTTAAACATCAACTTATAAGTAAGATGAGATGTTAAAAACATAAAATTAAATCGTTTTCAATCTTCATTTACATATATTAGTTCACATGAATGATTATGATAACTACATATATTATTAATCATACAATAATACTAGTATGATTGTAATTTACGCTTTAATCTATGTTTCTTTACCTTTTTTTTTGTATTTTATTTTTATTCTTCTTATGTTAATTGCTTTCGTATAAGGTTGCAATATAAAATAAAGTACTGTGAACTCATATCTACACATTTTTTCATATTAATGCCTTGTTGCAAAAACAAATTAATTAAACTGTATGATTTGAACAATTTATTTGAAATGATTCTAATTTTATTTCATGGGATATATTTATATTATCGTGCTCATTTTTTACTATCTTAAAAGTTCAATTTTGATGAAACAATTTTTATAGTGTAACTTCAATTTTATTTTAGAGTTAAAATATGTTTTGGATTGAGGAGACGAATGGGGAAGTAGAGAAATAGAGGGAAGTAAGGGAAGGTCAAGCCTTTATTTGGTTATAAAGAAAATAATAATAAAAAACATATGAATATCAATTCATTTTATTTGTTTGGTTGAATGGAAAGCGAAAGAAAAGAAGTTGATTTTCAAAAATAAAAAAAATTAAAATTTGTCTTCTTACCATTTTTTGAAACAATATAAAACTATTTTAGTTGGTGCCATTTTTGAAATAATCTCAACACTCAACATTAAATATATTAGTTAAACTTAAACAATTGAGACATGTTTTGTTATGTTTGTGTATTATTTGCCACAAATTCATGTATATCTACTGATTCCAAGTGTTTTATTTAATACTACACATTATATAAACGAAATATAAGAGAAAAAAAGATAAATAAAAAAAATAATCAAAATATTTCAATGGATATATTTATATTTTTAAAACAATATAAAACAATTTTGCTGGGTATTATTAGTTTAATTAGTCTCGACTATTGTAATACTTTTGAATAGAAAAAAAAAAAAAACTTGTTTTTAAAAATTGAAAAAATTAAAATAAAACGAATAACGTTAAATTAACACTATCATTACATTACATATAAGATAGCCTAATATGCTATCATTAACAGAGATAAATCAAAATTAGTAGCAAAAGAATAATTTATTAAACGTGTAATAAATTAAAAAATAATGAAAAATAAGAAATTAAAAAATTATAGAAGATAAAAAAAATTTTAATTAATAACTTCTACTCTAAACTTACCTTCTAAAGTATATGTCCTACACTTATAAGAAACCAAATAGAAACTCTTTGAAAATGAATTTATTTGAAAATAATTTCATAATAAAAAATAGAAAATAGTTTCCAAACCTTGGCAATGATCCAAGTTAATGCAATTTTTTTTAGGTAATTGTTTGAAATAAACGCTTGGCACGTGGGAGGTTGTGAGTTGATCCAGATGGGGATGTTTGGAAGGGAGAAGGGTCTGTTGCAACATTAGAATCGGAAGGACTCAAAGAAGACACCAACCTACTAGCCATGGCGGCTTCTGATCCCAACAAATTGATCTCCAAAGCTGATAAGCTGTATCTTCTTCTTCTCTCATTTATTCATCATTTTCGTATTCTTCATATCACTTTTTTGTTTTTTCTTTTTCCGTGGGAAAAATTAAATTAAATTGATGCAACATACCAATTTGTTTCTTTGGTTGATTTGTTCCATTGATGTGATCTAATTACTGTCTGGTCATGGAATTGGTGTTGATCGAGTACATATCTTCATCCGTGATATTACCAATTACGAATTTCGAGTACTTGAGGAGTACATTACTTTGGTTTTATGCTTTTTTGTTTGTTTTAAGTTGTGTGAGTGAATCAGGGTATTTACATCTTATTCTGAATTTGATATTACCGATTATGAATTTCGAGTACTTGAGGACTACATTATTTGACTTGATGCTATTTTTTTATTTGACGCCCGTTGATATTAGGGTATGTTAGGTTGTTTCTCTTTTCATGAACTGTATATTTACCTTTTATTTCTTTTTACTGCAGAACACGACTCAGTCTCACGAGGTGGAGTGCAGATTGGAAAAATGCTACTGTTCTTTATGAGCAGGCAGGTAAAGTGTTCAAGGTTTCTAAATATTTGATTGTGTGCGCAAATTGCAAATGATTTAGTGCTAAAATTAAATTTTGGAGAAAAGAGGGGTCTATGCTAAATTCTTATTATTCCGCCGCAGCTAATGGGTTTAGAGTTGCCAAGGACTATGAGAAAGCCAAAATAGCATTCGAGAAGGCTTCGAAAGGACAAGAGATGCTTTCTTCGTATCCTCATATGATATGATTATGTAGTCTCCTAAAAAATTTGTTGTGGTCTTCTGTAATGTTATTGGATTCTGTGTGTTAAAATGTCTACGTGGCTTTCCTTGACAAATGAACCAGACCTTGGGATGCAGCTAAGCACATGGAATCTGCTGCTGCTCTGGCAAAGGATCTAAGCCAGTGGCAAGAAGTAGGGGACTTCTATCGAAGGGCATCTGAACTGTACATGGAGTGTGGGAGACCACAACCTGCATCAGATGCACTTGCAAAGGGAGCCCGGTAAATGGATTATTTATCCTCTTACTTTGCATCAGAACGCCATGTAACCAACTAAGTACTAACCCTTAAAATCTGGTGAAATTCATAATGTGAAAGCTCCAATTGGCTAGTATATGGTAATGCCATCTTAATCAAGTTATATTTATTCCATGGCAAAATCAAGGAGGCTAAATTCTAGTTGTAGTTTATGGATTCCTTTGATATATTTGGTAGGAGTGCAATGCTTGCTTTATTTAGTCACTTTCACATAATAGTGCATTACTGTCCATTAGGAAATTATTTATATTGTGCTCTCTCTTATAATATTATTACACTATGCTTCATAATACCTTCCCCCCTATGTAGTGCTTTGGAAGATACCATGTCTGAAGAAGCTATTCAGCTGTATACAGATGCTTGCACAATTCTTGAAGACGATGGGAGAGAACAAATGGCCTTTGATCTTTATCGTGCTGCCACTAATGTTTATGTAAAGCTTGAAAAGTAAGTTTTCTTAAAAATTGAGATAATGTACATTTTGATTGTATATAGATTATGAAGTGAACTTATCTTTTTCCAATGTTTTAGAAACACCTACAGAGCATGATCTCTGTCGAAGGAGAAGAAAATATTATCATAATCATCATTCATGTTGAAATTACACATGAAATTTAAACTGAAGAAATACAGTGATGTATGTAGCCAAGAGAGAACTTCTTTATAACAATTGACACCATATATGTAAAACTAAATAGAAGAACAATCATAAACTAGAAGTTTTACCAGTAGTTGCTTAGGTGAAACCTCAAAATTTATGGCATAATGCGAATAAAACAAGATGTACTAGGTTCTTGGATTAGCTCTGGTTGACTACGTTTTCTAGCTTTGGTAGAAAGTAAAGACAATTTTTTTTATTTTTTTTTTGTGGAAATGTGGAATTTATGCTACAGTTTGGTGCATTTAGCTATTCATGCATTTTTGAAGGGGATTTATTTGAATGAGAGATGTCTCTAGGATAAGATTAGTCTAACTTGGTTTCCACTTGATGTAAGGCTTGTCCTTTTTGAGGGGTTTGCATAGTTTTTGTAAAAATCTTCTCTTTATCTTAATGTGTTTTTTCTTTTTTGTGTTAAAAAAATCATGCCAACCAGTTAGGCCAGAATGGCTGCTTTTGGAAGCTGAATTGATGCTTTTTGGCAGAATGTTAATGCAGAACTTCTTTTCATAAGTGCTAATTCTGAACATTTCAATTCATGTATGTTGACTTGCATATTTTCATGTGCATGGTTTCATAATACACAGATATACAGATGCAGCATCTTTCATGTTGAGATTAGGCTTGGCTGCTGACAAGTGTAATGCTACCAATAGTCAGTGCAAGGTTTGGACTATTTAAATTTTGTATTGTGTTGTAAGACAAAGCCTATATCTTGAAAAGGAAAGTAATTGGTTTTACGTTGGCCTTCTGAGTAAATATGCTTGTACTTAGTAAGTATGACATTGAGTGGTGAAAACTGTGACATTGGTATATTTGGTGTATTAAGTAAGTGTATTTGCTTTATTATGTTTTTTGAGAAATTCTAATAACACTTTCTTAAATACTCTTTATTATTATTGACTAAAATTCATTGAAAATCACAAAAATCATGTGGGTCTCATTCCTAATTTAATGTTTCTCACTTAAACTTTTGCAATTTCAATATATTTCAACCAATAAATGAGAGTGTGTTAAAAATTGTATTCCTAGCACTCCTCTTATATTTTCTCTTGTTTGGTAGACTAGATTAACACTAGCTATTCATAGCCTATGTTGTGCTTTATTCCAAATTTTTACATAGCCAGTTTCAAGCCAAGATATAAGAGGAAAGTTGTGTTAGGCAGTTGACGGAAAACATAAAACTTTATCTGAAGTTTATGATATGACGTGGAAAAATATTATATTTCTTTCCCAAACAATTGACGTCTTTTAAACAACTGCATAACAGCCGCATCATTGTTACCCTGAAAGTGGAGGATTGTTTTCATGTTTGGGAATCATGTGCTGAAATTTATATATTTTTAATTTTGTGATAAGCTTTATCTCATATACCTTGTCATAAATGCAGGCGTATCTAAGTGCAATTATTATCTACCTTTATGCTCATGACTTTAAGCAAGCTGAGAAGTGCTATAACGACTGTTCTCAGTAAGTTTTTGGCTCCTCCTTGTAAGCTGTCATGTACCTGGCGAAACGGGTTTACAACCCTTAGAGGTAGTAAACCCTTATAGCATTAGTGAAACGCGTTAAAGAGCTCTGTAAGAGCTATATAATTGGTTTCACTAATGTATTATATAACCCGGGGGAGGGCCAAGCTCTGCTTTGGTCCACCACCCCTACATGTGATTTGGATCATTATAGCACTTCTATGTGAACTGAACTTATCATCATTCTTGCTGCTGCTGTTATTGGATTTACTTATGATTTTCAACTCTAATTTGATTTTGTTCCATATCATATTCATAGCATAAATCATATAGTAAAATTTCCTCTTTTAGAGATTAATTTTTCTTTGTAATTTATCTCCTGCTCCATTGAATTGATTATTCAAATTGATGAATAAACGGGGGGCCATCAATGCTTGTGCTGTCTCTAGGATTGATGCTTTTCTCAGAAGTGACCAGAATCGTTGTGCTAGCAAGCTACTTGCTGCCTACACGGATGGAGATGTTGAAGAAATCAAACGCATAGCTCAATCAAGTACAATTTCAAATCTTGATCATGTGGTAAGTGATTTGTTTATATTTAAGTTCTTCTTGAACATGAACCAAGTAAACATAATACAATCTAGCTGTAGAAATTGGTGGGCTTGTTGTCACTGTGTTCAGTCCTCCTGTCTCTTAATCCACAAATTAAATAGATCGAAGATTTACCCCAATCTTTTATTTTCAGTCATTTCGGTTTCAAGGATGATGCTACAGTTATTTGTTGATCTTGTTGCTTTGTACATTAGCTTGGCAGAAAATCTCTTTGACTGCCAAAAGTATAATTGGTAATAACAATTGGTTGTTAGCCTTGTTTCATAGCATATCCATATTGCCAAGAACAAAAGAACCCAGTTCAAGCCTGAATTTATCATCGAGCTGCTGTAAATATAAGTGAAAAACACAGCTAGTTGTCACCACTAGGGACCACTTTGCTGATACCTGACGGCCATTCTTAAAATTTCTGGCTTGCCTCGAGAAATTTTTATATAAACTCTACTCTAGCAATGATGAGGAATACGACCTTCTTGCATATGTTCCTAGCCGCCTCAATTCTTGACCTACAACTCGAATCTCCTCAGTTCAGTGTATATCCTAAACATTGATACTCTCTTCACTCTATATTATCCTAAAGCCCAAGAAGAGCACAATGCTTCTGTGAACTACTTTCATGATGATTCAAAGCTCAGCATTACATCTTTTACTGCTTCCAAACAAGTCAGTTCAGTGGCAATCTTCCTAGGACGTTTTCATAACTAGAAAACCGTACTTTTCAAGAGGGGCCTGTGGTTTCAGCTGCTGTTTCCTTGTATGCTTTTACCAGTCTATTCTTTAACCTGCCCCTTCTTTGACACCTATATTTTCTGAACAATGATTATCGATTGCTTTTCAAATTTTATGCAACATACACAATCTTCGACCAAACATATTACTGATACTTTAAATTTTATTAACGTGGTTATATATGTGTACTCAACTTCCCATGACACTTTGGAGTAAATTGTCTGTAGATCATTAGACTTGCGAGGAAACTTCCAACAGGTGATGTGAGTGCATTGAAGGCTGACAATGCTGCTGATGAAGAACTACTGGATGAAAATGACCTGACTTAACCTCTGATAGGAGTGCTTTTCTTTCCGTGTCTATTTATAGGAGCGTTAATGAGCCCATTTCAATTTGATGAGTGAATTGAATTGATCACTATATATTGGTTTATGTATAAAAATATTTTGTTCTTTCGTGATAAATGTGGAATGCGGGAAATAGGAGGAGCGCCTATTTTTTATCCAATTGAGATGGATCACTTGGATGCACTTGATAAATTTATTTTTCTGTGATGACCAAATGTTGGGCACACTTTTATCGTATCGTCGATATGGGTTCAGCTCAAATTCGAAGTGTAGTTACAGAATTTTATCTTAAAACGCGGCATATACAACGACAATCATTTTGATTTGAGAATAAAAATAATAAATTTTGATCATAAAATTATATATAAGTAGTGATGAATAAAAGTTAGTAATTGAATGATCATTAGTACGTGTTTATTATTTAATCTTTACTATTTAAATAAAATTTGATGACCAATCATAAGCGATATCGCACATGGTTTCTTAGTTTAACTAGTTAAACACCTATATCTTATTTGAGGAATATGGTAGAATAGGAGTGTTAATAATCGACCCAATCTCGTATAAAATGCAAAAAATGAACTGAAAAATCGAAAATTGAATTAATGAAATATTGAAAACTACAATTTTATTTTCATAGTTATATGATAGAAAAATCGAATTCTTAAATTGTAACGAGTAATAAATGACATAAATTACCCTTGGGGTGTGTTCAATTGTCACACAACCTCGTTATTGTCCAAAAGCTATACTCCAACCCATTAAATGGACGATGTTGACAAAATACTTGGTAAACTATGTGCTAACCACAATTGATTTACACTCATAAATGCATGGAGGTTGAGATTTCTACGTTGGGGTCAATGTTTAGTTCCTCTGGTGACCCAATCACTACCTTCGCCTTTCATGTTCACAAGATTATAGGCATATGACCTTTAATCCTTTATCAATGAATGACAGAAAATGATACGACAACAGTCCTAAAATGAAGTGTGAAACGAGGGGAGGAAGAAAAAGATTAAAAATAAAAAATAGAAAACAAAAAATGTAATGGATTATATATGGTAGAAAAATAAAAAGATAAAGATAAGTGAATAAAAAATGAATGTAAAAATGAGTAGGCGTAGAAATATAAATACTCATCAATCACCACCTGGTGTTATATCTTATAAGTGTATGCTATTATAGTATAGATTCAATCTTCACCAACCTTCACCTTTGCACCCTTCTTATCACCACTCTTTCTTGCGAAGTTGTAACTATTTGAGCCTAGCAAAAGTTAAGGTTGTGTATTAAAAGAAGAATTAGTGTTTCTCATCACCTTCAGGCTGCCATGCTAAAAAAATGAAGAACGGACTATTTCGCATCCCGTGTTGTTTATAGCAATATTAGTAACATTTTTTCTAATATACTCTTTCTTATTATTAAAATTTAATAAAAATTATAAAAATATAAGAGCAAAATATTAAATTAAAAATAAAAAAAGAGTGAAACTTAGTAATTTTTATAATTTTTATTAAATTTTAGTTAATAATAATTAAAAAATTGTATTATTAGTATTCCTCCCACTGATAGGAAGTTCATCCATGCCTGCATAGTCTATTTTGATTGATAATGTCTCTATTTTCAACAAAACTAACCGTAATCCAAATCTTATAATTTCACACCTACTTTCGATCAGAGTATCAATCACTTTTTTTACCGCTTTCTTTTTTATTTTCTTTGTATCTCTATCTCTTTTCTCTCCACTGACTTTACACCCAAAAAGAAAACTTCAACAATTTTTTGGTTTTAGCATGATTCAATAAAGCATATTTTGTTAGGATATACTTTTGTTCTCTATTACGGTTCACATCGCATGGGGGTCGAGATTAATATTTGAACAAAAAAGAAGAGGTGAAGTGTAATACTAACAAATTTGGAGGAAAGTTAGTGTTGTTTTCTCAGTTGTAAAATAATAAAAAGAAGTAATGCATCGTTGTGGAACTCATAAAAGTTATGTATATAAAAAGATTTAATCAGTTTTAAGTTTATGAACCATTAAAGATGCTCCAAGTGACATAATATGATGGGGAAAAATGTTATGATCCATTCTGCATAATTTATAATGGGAGTGCATGAATAAATTTCGCAAATAAGAAGGAATAATATGGGGCAGTTGGCGTTCAAGTGAATCACAGTGAGAATGATAGAAGAAAGAAACAAAAGAGAAGAAATCCAAGAAACCGAAGACAACACTCGCATTGTTTTTGGATGTGATGGAAATAAACAAACAAATTCAAATTTCCCTGTTCTTCATTTTCATCATCTTCTTCATGGAAATGACACCAACAACGCAGCAGCAGCAACAACAACAACTGAACAACATAATCAACGCCCTCGTAGGCTTCGGAGACTTCGCCACGTGGCTGACCATTCTCTCCACGGTCAACACCACACACCTTCCAGTAAGCGCCACACTATTGGTCCCACAAGACGCCGCCATGGACCTTCCCTCACAGGATCCCTTCCTCTTCCCATACCACGTCGTTCCTCAACGCCTTACCTTCTCCGACCTCCTCCTTTTCCCTTGCCGCACGCGCCTCCCCACGCTCCTCCGCGGTAAATCCATCTCCGTCACCGACAATTCCCCTCTCAACTTCTCCCTCGACGCCACGCCGATCACTCACCCGGACCTATTTTCCACCCCAAACGTCGTCGTACACGGCATCCACTCTTTCCTCAATTACTCTCTCTTCGGCGACGGAATCCCTCCCTCGCCGCCGTTCCTCCCCATCGGAGACGCCATCGGCACAGAGTGGAACTCCGGCGGGTCCTCCTCCCGCCTCAACGACGTCGTTTTCTTCTCCTTTTGTTTCGTTCTTGGAGTACTTGTCTTCTTTGCGTTTTGTTAAAGTCAATTTCTGCATGCACTGATTTTGTGTAATAGAGTATCAGAAACTGTTCTAGCGGTGAAAAATGAAGATTCATTTTGGAGTGTAGACAATGTGGAGCAATTACAATATTGATGCTGCCACTCCTTTCTTTCTTTTGTTCTTTGTAATTGAATAAATAATGTATGCATAATATTTCTTCTTCTGTTCTCTGTTCGTTCTTTTTCTTCTCCCCTTCTTTGATGTTAAGATCGTTGCATTGGAATCATCTTTGTTAATGCGAGGGTGAAAAAGATACCTGAACTCACATTCAGTTTAAAGATACTTCAAAAATCTATTAATAATATTAAAATAGGCATAAATTTAGATCCAACTTGACATAACATAGAGTAGTTTTTGCACTGAAATGCATGCGCTTGTATAGTTATCCCCACATAAATAAACATGCATGCACGTAAACATGAATTCAAATAAACCCTCAATACTCTCATAATAAATCATGTTATGACTTAAAAAAGAGAGAATAATTTCAAGAGTTAAATAGAATTTATCCTATTTAAGTATTTATAAATAAAAATTACTTTTGATGAGACCATTTAACCTTAAACATTAAGTTTGTAAAAAATGTTTAAGAGTATATATATAAAAGTCTAAAAAATTTTATACTTAATCTGAGCCTTTTATTTAATTTATATCTAGTAAAATAATAAATTATAACCTTAAATCAAATAAAAAATTTAAATTTAAGTGTAAAACTTTTTAAACTTATACTAGTGTAAAAAAATATTTTATATATATATATATATATATATATATATATATATATATGAAACTATATAATACTATTTATAATTATTTATAATTTTTTATAAATGCATTTAAAAATGCTGCAAATTAAGCATTTGCTCTTTCAAATACTAATAAGTCATGCAAGTATTACAAACAAATACTATTAAATCGTATAGGTTTGAGCTTTAATTTAACCAATTTTAAAATAATCTGAAAAGAAAATAAAAGAACTCAACAACGCTGATAAAAACTTGATTCTTTTAGTGATATATTACAGTTATATGTAGTTTAGTGAGAAATAGGATTTCTAATGTATTATCCCCGATTAGTGCCCACAGTATATATTAATTTTTTATTTGTTTACCCTGTCAATGGGAAGAGTTGTCCATTCGAAAATGTTTGAACACTCTCCAGCCACGGGAAGGAGGCACCGAATGAGGGGATTTTCTTTTTCTTATGCAATATGGAGAGAAAAAAATATAATTAATAATTTACATATTTGATTAGGTAATTGATGATTGAGCTTTTTTCTTTACTGTGACCAATAATACACAAGAATATAAAAATTATAACAATATTATTAATGCATTTGATTATGTGATATTCTATGATTTCTGATAAAAACTAACAATACACGAGTTTTTATTATATTCCCTTAAACATACGTTTTAAAAACTGTTAATGATTCAATGGCATTTGAGAGGAAAGCGTGTTTATATGTATTGTATTTAACTCAGCTCAGAATAATAAATGCAAATGGATCTTTAACCTAAATAAGTTGTCAAATACAATACTATCTTACTTGACTAATAACCCCTTGGGGTTGCAGAATGGGGGGTAGATTTTCTCTTGCTGTTTGTTTGAGGCCAAGATCATATTCAAAATTCTGAGCAGTGGCATGTGCATTTGAATATCAGATATACCCATGTATTTTCCCTACTTATCATTTATTGTAACAGCGTCATTTGTTTGTGTGTATATACAGAAATTTGGAGAGAAAAGGAAATAAATGTAAAACCTAAATCCTGCTACAGCTGAAGGCTAGACCTTAAAAGGCAAATGTAAAGGAAAGTTTGAAAATGGGTCAGTGCATGGCTTCATCCATCTGTAATTAGGTCACTGATTATGGGCAAGTAGCAAAATTTTATCTCCGCTTCACCCACCAAATTCTTCAGTTTAATTGATCTATGAAAGAATGGACCTAACTAATGACTAAAATGAAATATACTATCCAGAGTCAGAATTGAGATCCTCTAATTTTATTGACAAGCTTTCTTGATCTCATCCATCAATGCCATCAAGGCCACTTTCCACTGAGAGCACTGTTTATCAGAGCTGAGTAACTTATGCATCGTGCTTAACTCAACAGGACTTGCCCTTTGTAGTATTGGTTTCATCTCTTCAAGGGAATGGCAACTTCCTCTTCTGTTGTCCTTTTCTTGCTTAATCAAATTGATACCAAAAATTTTGGTGTTGATATTACCTAGAGAGCTACTCGAACCATATGTGGACTTATCAATGACACTCCCGGAAGATGTAGGGACAACTTTGTGATTCCAGTACTCTACACACAGATGACTGGGATCTTGAGCTTCAATAGCCTGAAAAAGTTTGTCAGAATTAAATAGATCAGAAGTGAGAACATAATTCCAGACGAAAATTCCAGAAGAGCCATTAAGAGTATGTTTGATTTACTTTTTAAAAATAGTTTTTAGTTTTTAAAAATAAATTGTAATACATAGATATTTAACAAATTTGACCATAATAAGTGATTTATTTTAGTTCGACACAATTTGGTAAAGATTTGAATTATGGGAATTAATCCTACATTAGATAAACTATACATAGTAGATATATTTAGCCTTAGCTCAAGTTGGGTAAAAATAAAACAAGTTTTGTGTGTTTTTGTTACCTGAACAGTAGATGGTAAAAGGAAGCCAAACATTCTATGACCGTTTATGCTTTTCAGAAGCTCTAAGGAAGGAATTTCTAGTTCACCTACACTCCTTTGCTTCCTGATTTCATGATGTATTCTTTTCAGAACTGATTCCCAGCATTTATCTGCTGAGGTGTCTGTGAAAGCCTCACTTGGACATTCTTCCATGGTAACCTGAAATAAATTTCACAGCATGAGAAAAATATACTTCAATTAATATCATGTAAATGCAAATAAACATCGCCATAAGAACACGGATATAGTTATACCAACACGTAAGCAACCATAAAGAGGTATTTCAAGATGAAAGGAAACTTCATTTAATATGGAGAAAAATACAGAAGTGAAAAAGTAATCTTCGTGTGTGTATATATATATTATATAAAATCATCAATACAAAAACCCACACAACCTTATCACCTGTTCCTTAAATCACTGGGATAATATCTGCCTATATTCTAAACAAAATATTCTTCAAGTTGAATCTACATTGGAGACCTAGACTACGTTTTAGTTAATATATAAACCAAATGGCATTTGGAAATAGAAATTTGCAACTGAAAACATCAACAACAAAACCTTACTCCCCAGGCGGGTGGCTACATGGATTCATACATTTCACTCAAATAAAACTGGGCGACCATGGTACCCCATAAATTATAATAGACTATTTTCTCATTCATCTAGGAATAGTCAATTCCAGTAGGGTGAATTGACGAATATGCAGAGAACAGCTACGATTTACTGATAGCAGCTCCAAAAGCCGACAAGGTCAGTTGCACTGAGTTTGTTCCAAATCTAAACCTAAAATCAGACAAAGATGACTACAAATTGCAGCTATCAATTAAGCAAGACAAGATCCTCAATTTGAAGACCATTGCAACCCTGAGACTGTGCTCTGGTTGAGTAAATTGACAAATTTTATCTTACAACTACTTTTCCTTCGATTTACTGTGTATGCTACAAAGAAAGGAGATGGCTAGTAAAGGATCAACACACATGGATAAGGACAGAATGGGAAACAAAAGGGAAAGCTCATGCTGATAGTCTGGAGTATCACTGAATGATAGGAAGTGGAAGGTGAGATTTCCGTAATGGAAAGAGAGTAAAGAGGGAAGGATAGGAAGTGTGAAGACAGGCAGAATTCAGTTCAAGAGTGGGCTTGGGAAGAAGTTAGCTTAGGCATAATTTGGTTTCAGAAAAAAAATAAAATTCTTTTCACTTTTAATTACAAAATTGCCACCTTGTTTTTATTTTATTTCCCTTTTCAAACCCTTGTACAGGAAACAAAATGATATTAAGGTGGCAATTTTGTAAGTTAAAGTGAAAATAGAAAATAAAAGCAGGAAACGTTTTCTGAAACCAAACTGTCCCCAAGTTGCTGTAGTTTTCCATTTCTATTTCTTTCTTGATTCACTTCCTGTAATTTCTGTGTTAATTCCCAGTTTTCAGTGATAGAGTCAGTTTATATCATCCTTCACATGCTCAATGGCCAACTTCAATCTTCGAACTAAATGGACTGTAACAGTGGCTGAGCTGGGAGATCAATGATTTCATTACAATGAAATGAAAACCAACAAACTGTGGTGATAAACTAGAAATAACAAAGATCAAGAGACAGTAACATGTCAATATGACATCATTTTCAAACCTAAAACAGAAACAGGGTCAGGAAGGATACCTTGAAAAGAGGTCCCAGAAATCCAGCATCAATGACTTCAGAAATATAGCTACAGATTTTTGTTGGATCAAGAACGCTAAAGAAATTGACTCGACTCTTAAATCCTTCAAAAGTATACCAAAATGTAGAGAAGTCAGTTCCCCAAATAAAAATAATCAACGGAAGAATATAAGCCTAGACAAGATCCTATTGGCCTACCTTTTGGATATATTGTGTGATTACTGCACCAAAGCTTTCCATTAACAACAGATCCCAAACTTATAGGCTGGACAGAAGTACCAAACATTTGCATTAAACAGCTTTCAGCTTTCAAAGGTATGCTTGTATCTTTGGTGTCTATGGCTTCTTTTTTAAATAGATTGTTGTGTTGTTTTCCTGAATCTCTATCCATGTGCAGATCCACCTCAATTTTTCCATATTCAGACGTATAATAATTGCAAACATCCCTTGAACATGATGATGAAAAATCTGTCTTTAGAACAGAAAACGAGTTTGATAGGTTAGCCTCACCACCAATTTCCATGTTGTCTTCCTTTCTGGCCTCTGAACAGCATACTTTTTCCTCTACTGAAGGACCTTTGTTATGATGGTTCTCAGCAATATGCAGCAAACAATTTTCATTTTCACCAGATTTATCAAAATTCAAATCTAGAGAACCTGCCCGTTCCATTTTATCTTTGTTGTCTTTGACCAATTTCTTATCATTATTATTGTCACAATGACTATCTATACTGTCATATGAAGCACTTATGAGGTGAGATTCAGACTGCACTATCTCGGAAGTAATATGACTATTAGGACTGCTGCTAGGTGCATTTAGATTTGACCTATCCTTGGTTCTTGCACAGCCAGTTGAGCTTTCCTTTTCTTCACGACTCTTGATTTTGTATGTGTCTTGCTCAGCAGCTGGTTTATCAACGTAAACCTCATTAGCATCAGTGGAAACCATTTCAAATTTTTTATTTGCCCACATCTCAATAGCAGGTGATTCTCCTTCTAATGCTTCAAGCAAATTTTTTAGCTCATTCATAGTATATCGAAGTAGAACAAATCTTTTGTCCATTCCACAGGAGCAGAACAAATTGGCATGCTTAAGACAAGAGTATCTGTCAAGAGAGCACTCACAACCAACAGCAGATAGGTGCAAGTCATAGAAGCAAGAGAAGCATTCTCTTTCCTTGTACAAATCAAAGTCACTGTTCATCTTCAGCAACTTAAGATGACTTGGAAGACAGTCTAGCCTCTCTTCTTCCATCTTTATCCTTGCCTGTCACAAGGTACAAGAAAAATGAGTATAGAATAAATATCTGAAATATATAACGAGTTCCAAGACTATATCGAGCTTTCAGAATTTGTGAAAGTAGGCATGACAAAGGTGGAGCAGGTGAGAAACTCATTACCTTAATCGCCTTGGTAAGATCTCCATCTTTTCCACAGACACTCCTCCATTTCAAATTTTTTGGAGTTTCCTTCCCAAGGGCTAGCTCTGCAAGGGCTCGTACAGCTTCCAGTGCTGATCCAAATAAGAGCTTGTCATGTGACAATGATGTCTTACGACGTTGTAAGCTGTAAAGCTCAACAGCATTCTGGCCATGCATTAACCAATCAACAGGAGCCACATTAACTGCCTCTGCACAGTTGAAGCCACAATTGAAGCCAGAATGGTATGCCCTTGGAAAGGTAATAACAAATTCCCCAGAATGCTGAACAGTGCGATACACAGGCACTCCCTCAGCTTTAAGAATTGAAGGAGATAACTGAGTAACCTGCTCAAAGGGAAAAATCAAAATCATTAGAATCATAATACAATTCCCAAACTTGGAAGCTGTGTAGTGTACATAGAATGTTAAAATATCTATCACTGATACGAGAACTGAACAAATGAACTGGGGAGCTCTGGGGATGTGCAAATATTAAATATCAGTAGAAATACAACTGAAAAAAAAAAATCAGCCCACTATAGCAGCAATAACAGAGCTGAAAGTTTGTGTTGTACAGAACATCTCATGAAGGATAGTCACGAGAACCATCAAGTCATTAAGATGATGCCAATTCCTAGACACTGTTTTTTCAAGCATACTTGAAGTGTGGTTCACTAGAATCTAATGTAAATTTCAGTTCTTAGGTATAGTAACTGATAATTTCTCTCTTACTCAGAATTTAATACCTAATTAATATGGCATCCACTAAATATTTATATGTATAAAGGCATCTTACAATACTTTAACTGATCAAAAAGTCATCATGATATATAGTTTTCTTAACTTCCATAAGTGCATTGAGCATTCTTAGCAAACTGCACCCTTACAATATACATTTTACATAAACTAAAATCTCATTGCATTCATGAAATCTCTACAAGGAAACTATAAAGAAGCACTAAAGAAACCAATAATTAATAATACAAGTCAACAACCGAAAGCAAAAAGGATAGTACAAGTGTCAAGTGGTAGCAATATACCAGTTCATTTAATAGATTTGGCTGTTCCTCAAATAAATCAGGCAAGTGCTTCCTCATTGCATTTTCAAGTGCTGAAGCATGGCTTCCAGGTACTCCATACCATACTTTTGGGTCACCCCAGTGCAAATAGTTAAGTGAATAGAGGTGATGGTCCTCAACATGCTGTTCCAAGAAGCAAGAAATCATGACAATGTTTTATCTTTCTAGAAAACCGTTAATTTAGAATGAAAGAAATGCAAAATTCAAGATCAACACATACGCTATTAGCTTTGTAATTCAACATTTCAAATATAACATAAGTGGAACCCAAAATATTGAAAGTGCCAACATCTGAGGATTCTATTGAATTAAAAACAATTTAACAATGAAACAGCATGTAACAGCTCCACATTCTCTATTACTTCTAGTTATTTATTTTGTCAAGTAAACCTTTACGTTAAGCATATTACACCTTTTCTAAACTGAATGACAGATATTAAAAATTTTAACCAAACTTTCATGAAAAATAGTAAACTCATTTAACAATCTACTTCTACACACAAATACATACAAAAATAAGGGAAATGAAAATTGGTAATATTCCATGTCATGCCTTAAAGTTCCCCTTATTCATTAATTTAGACTTGGACACTTACCCAGCAGAATGACGAAAAACACATGCCAACATACAGCCATGGCACCAAAACTCCTGATATATCACTTCCTTCAAAACTAAGTACAGAACCTGGCAGTCGGGGAAAGTTATTCAGATTCCAACCAGACAGGGCATATTGATCTGAATCACCATTAATGAGGGATGATGCCTTAGGAAAACCACTTCCAAGTGCTCCAGTCTCCAAGTCAGCTCCATAATACACCTGCAATATAAAAGAGTAACATTATTCGTATCGTTTCGCAAAATTATGAGGCAGTAAAGACTAATATGGTTGTCAATAGACAATGATTCATACCTCAACCTCATCAGTTGGTTGCTCAATTATTCGCCAGTATTCACCTTCAATTTCCTCTTCAGATGGCTCCCATTTCATCTGATAGTTACTGTCACTAACTTTCCTGTCTCCATTGGCATCTCTCAACCCAAAGTAGCATTCCTTAAAAAAATTAGCATATTGCTGAAAGTCTTTAAGTGTGAAGTCCGACCCTGATTGAAATCCAAATTTCTCTTCAGATTCAGAAGTTGCATTGGCAGGCCTCCTACATGTGCCTGTTTTGGAGTGCTTTCTACGTTTTCGTTTCCTTCCCCTACTTTTTTTCCTCATGGGTTCCCTATTTTGAAGCAAATCTATTTGCTGAATACGGGTAGGAAATTCAGCATTTTCCCATAGTTCTTTCTCCTTAAGAGGACAGGGCGGAGCCCAGGAAGCTGGAGGGACAATCCTACATATGCCATGGGCTTCAGCTAGGGGTCGTATCTTTGCTATGTAACTGAGTGTGTCTTCAAATTCCTAATTAAAAAGAGCAAAAATAAGAAACCAAATTACTCAAGAAAAAGAAAAATTTACACAAAAGAAACAATATTAAGACAGTTAGAATAATAACAAGTACTTCAATAGTCGGATAAAACACAGGTGCTTCTTCAATTCTTGGCCGACATGCTTCAACTGGATCCCATCGAGCTGATATCTGCTACGCAGCAACAATAATCCAGCATCAGAAAGAAAAAAGTAAAGAAAAACCAAATATTTCCCTCTCTCCTGATTTCTCTCAAAATATATAGTCATTCATTGTAACTTCAAAACATTCTTTTCTACTATACTATAACAAATAGGTTTGAAAAGCTGAATATATTTATTGACTTAAGTATCTCATTATAGTTTGAATAGGATGAGAATCGGATGATTCAGATTAGACTCACCTCATGTTTATCAAGATATTGATTGCTCGAATTTTTGAACCTTCATACTTAACAGGTTCATGTAATTCGAGAAATAGGGAAGGGGGAGTAAAACAATCTACTTAGAGCTCAGAGAGTTGAAGAGTTAATTCTATCCAGATTTCAAAATTCAAACAAGTGGCTCCTATTTGTTCCAAGCAAGAAAAATACAAATTGTTCGTGGACAAAAGCATAAAGCATGCACAACACGTACACCATACTGCATACCTTTCTATTTCTCAGACTGTCAGAAGACTCAAGTGCATTGTTATTTTTTGTCTTGTGCTTACAAGGATAAGCCTGAAAAATATGTAGAATGTCAAACTTAATTAGCAGTCTCACAAAAAGTAGTCATGGTAAAACGATGAATTGAAGTAAATTATAACTAATAATATTACAATCCAAGTTTATCAGTTTAATGTCAACGAGATTGACCCATAGATAAAAGAAAAAAATGAATGCACACAATCAACAACAAATTATATATGAAGATGCACATTAAAATCAAACTAAAAGACAACATAGAGATAGTCTTGCATTCATATTACAACAACTGGAAATCATGATTCAATTTTCAAAGTTTCTAGTGAAGAAACAATTGCCACTCAATCATAAAATAAGTCCAATCTAATAGTCTAAAATAAGTTACAAATATTGGGAGATACAATCTAGGCCAAAGTTATAACCAGAATCCTATAGTAATTGAGAGATACAAATATTGGGCGCATAGGTAATTCGAAAAAGCTAAACAAAGGCAGTACCACTGTACCAGTCACCACCCCTACACAACATTCTAATCTTTCCAAACCCCATGAAAGAAAGAAATCATTCACTTGCAAAGGTCGGGTACAGAAAAATATTAAGGATTTAGGATACGAGAGAATTAACAACTTAAATCATCCTTCCTAGCAGCAGAAATTAGCTCATCAACTAAACCAGAAGTGTTGAACAACAATAACAACTCTTACAAGCAGACAAATAATATTATAAGCAGAACAAGAAAAGTAAAACAACGGGTGCCAAAATAACAGAAGAACAACAACAATTTTTGAAATTTACATAAGCATGAATAATAAGATGATCAACAATTCTGATCCAGCAAAACAGACGATAGAAGATTTGATCAAAGGGGCATCATCTAAAAATATTCCAAAAAGGCTTGAGAAACGAAGAGCTGCCATACATTGCTAGGGTTTGAAAATCTAACCTCTTTGGCGTCAGAATCTGCAGCCAATTTCAACTGCTCCATTCAATGGAAGATTATGAAACTAATTGAATAATTATGCCTGCAACAAAAACCCGATACCCCTTTAACTAACATCATTAGAGTCCACAAATGATCAAGCAGACAACCCAGAAACAGTTTAATACTTCTCTATTAGCAAACTAACTGACAGAAAATGAAACCGTAAAAGCAGCAAATAGAAATAAAAAGCAAAAAATGGGGAAAATTAAGGGAAAATAAAAAGAAAAAAGAACAAATGCAGAACATCATGATACCCACCCCAATGCAGCAAAAGATAGTTCGGTTCCTCCCACGTTCTGATTGCGTACAAATGAATTAACAAAGAAAATTCCTAAGGAAATCAACACAGTGAAGAAAACCTAAATGCAAATTGAATTTGCATGTGTTGAAAATTCTATTAAACAGCCCTAACAATTACCTACAAATTGCAAAAAGTGCAAAATCCTATGAATCTTGGAATCAAATGCTAAAACATTCACACAGTTTCACGAATGAAAAGCACAAAATTAAAAGAAGAAAATAGAAACAACAATTGACTGAGTAAAAATCCGTAATTTATTTTGACAGGTGGACTGGGAAACAAAATCATTAAATTAATAAATAGAAATAATGAGAAAGATATTCATATAGGTCCAGGTTAAAAAGTGAAAAACCGAATATATTTTTCAAAATATTCTCTTTATTATTTTCTTAAAACGAAGAGAATTAAAAGAAATTTTATTATTTTATAAAAAAAAAGACACAACAAATAAATAAATAAATAATGACGTACCTGAGGGGAGAGAAGTTAAGATACTACGTTGAAAGGTGTGCTTTCTTCTTGAACTCTTCTCCTATTATTATTTCTCTAAAACATTTAAAAATTAAATAATTTTAAATTATAATTTGATGGGATTGAAATTGGAAATGCATAAAATAAAAAGGTGAGAAAAGAAAATAAATAAATAATAAAATTTGATGAGAGAGAGGGTCAAACTGAAACGAACCCGCTCTAACGCACGCAGTATTAACGGAAAGCGGTGAAAGAAACCAACAAAGCAACCAACCTATCTAAACCGTGGGTGGGTCCTCTTCTGTACTTCTTAGTCTCATCATCAATCCCACTCTTTAGATGCACTTCTTCAAAATCATCTGTTAAGACTATATTTGTTTTTTTCTTTAAAGAAAACAAACATATCCTAAATATCTCTTTGGATTTTTATTTTTTTATTTGTGAATTTTTAAAAAATATTTATTTATTTTTGATAAATTTTAAAAATCACTATTTTTTTAATAAAAATATTGTCTTGGACACACTGAAAACTATTAATTTATTGAAAATATTTTTACAAAATAAATAATTGCTTTCTAATTCAAGTTACTATAAGCATATTATAATAAGTTTATGAGATTAAAAAGAAAAAACCAATTCACAATTGGTAAAAGTGAAATTAACTTCGGATATTAATGGAAGGGTTTAAGGATTTGGGTTCTCTGTCTTTTTTTAATACTTTTGTTTTCTACTTTTGAGGCTTTTGTGGCTTGCTGCCTAAGAATATGTCTGAACGCATCATACTTTGCTTCCTTTCCTGTCTCACACGTTGGTCCTCTTCTGTTCTTTCATTCTTCTGACTCAGTTTTTGTTGACTTGTCACTCTCCTCTTCCTCTCTTAATTTACAACTACAAATATAATATACTAATATATGAAATCTACACCTATGAAAGCACTTGTGTATTGTAGAAGTTTCAAGATATTTGAAGAGAAGAAGAGAAATAGTAAATAATAAAAGTGGGTACATAAATACGGCCATTATGAACTAAAAACTTGCATTATCAACCTTTGTTTGGCGGTGCTCAAGACCAATTACCCTGAATTATAGTAATCAAACACATCATATTCTTAAATATCCGCACCAATTAAATCAAGCAAACAAGAGTCCCATGTGTCTACTTTGTGCACACAAGAGACCCATTTCATGAACCATCTATCTTTCCGTCACTTCTAACTCTTGCAGCCTAAGTTAGCCTAACAATAAAATTGGATAGGATAAATTGTTTAGTCAATTGCATTGGGAAATACAAAAAGTGAAGCAAAACGGAACTTTATCATTTTCTCATGAAGTTATAGGGTAAAGAAATGGTGTTTTTGTGTAAGGTAGAAAAACGTACTTATTAGTAGATTATTTATATCTTATTCTAAGGAGTTAATTGAGAACTCTACTTTATAATTTGTGAAAAAAAATATTTTATCTTACGCTATTCAATTAATATTTTGAGATCCACTAAATTAAAATTTTGGTGATCAAATTATATGAACAAAAAATATGACAATAAGACCCATATCACAAATTATAAAGATGATAATACCATATTAACAATTGTCAGTCAGTAAAAAAAAATATGATGTTTAAAAACAATGATATTAAAATAATTTATTTAATTGAAAAAAAAAAGACTAAAATGAAACTTTGCTCAAGTATTAAATTTAACATTAAAAGCTTGTTTGATTTTTGTGTGTATATATATATACAGAGCAGAGAATGATAAACAAAAAGAATTGAAATGAAAATAAAAAGCGTATGATACAATTCTAGAATATATTATTTGTAATCCAATCCTTTAATTAGATCAATTATTTTCTTATAGTTATTATTATGACAATAAATCATCAAAGCTTTAGGCTCTCAAGAAAATAATTTGTACTAGATATGAATATAAATTTTTTAGGGGTCAACCCAAATTGCATGTAACATTAGCATTGTGTCACGGAAACATGAATCTAGCTCGTGCCATAGAATAGCATCCCATCATTTGATGCCTCAAACTTCGTCCAAAGAAATACGAAATTTCATCCTCTAATATGAATTTGTTTTTTTTTTAATAAAAATGAATAAAATTATTTTTAACATTTTTGCATATTTATTTTACTATACAACATAATACTGTCATTGGAATCAATTACGGAAATATCCTATATAATAGTATAGAAATAATAGATTAGATATGTGTACGTGGAAGAGCCTATCCAATTTACTATGTATATCTTCATTTAATTTGTGAAAGAAAACTATAAAAAAAAACAAAACAAAACTATTAACTAGCCTTAATTTGAAAAGCAGTAGCAAAAGAACTGGGAAGCTGAAATTCGTTGCACCAATTGTGTACAAACTCTAAGGTTGTATTTAAACGGAGAAATTAAAAATTTTAGAAAATTTTAAATTTTAAGATATTTATATTACATCATTTGAAATTTTATGATTTTAAAATATTTTATTTGAATTAAGTAATTACACTTTTTAAAAGGGGGGCTCCAAGTACATAGTAACCACAAGAAAAAGTTATATGTAATCCACATCTGTTTATTTGTGTCCTGAGGTACAACATAAATTACATATATGACTAGCATTAATTCAAAGAGGAAAATGGACTAGAAAATAGTATGACCAAGAAAAAAGGGAACTTTATTGGGTGTATAATATGGTGTGTTCTTTATGAAGAAGCATGGTTAACAGCAATGCGACTTGGCTTGAGCAACTTGATAATGGAGATTACTGTAATAATGAGGAGGAGAATGAAGCCAATGAAAGAGGCAATGAGGGCAGCACCACCTCGGTTGCAGTAGCTCTCGAATTTGTCACATATCTTATCCCATCTTGCATGCGAATTACCATTCCTTCCCAATTCAGACATGAATGTTGCTGCACCATCTCCAGCTGATGCTAGAGCCATTGTCATCTTACCCCCACAAATATAAGCAATAAAATTTCATACATCAGTAATAATAAAATTTAAATAAACTATTCTTTCTAGAATGGACTGTAAATGGTGATGACGATGGTGATTTTCTATTGCATATTTTCATACATGTGTTAAAAGATTGTATAATAATAATAATAATATTGAGCACCATGTCTAATATAGCAATCAATGCAAGGCGAAGTCCTTTGAAATCATATTGGGGTCCTAATATCTGGATTGCTACCATCACCAAGTTATGGAGACTGGCATTTCCATTGGCTATGACAAAGAATCTGTATCAACAACACGATGTCTCATGATAAAAATAATGTATACATGTGTCACATTGTAATAATGCTTATTAATCATAAAATCATAGATTTATAGAGTTGAAAACTTACACAAAAGCTGGAGTTTGGTTAAACTTTGCGGAAAGAGTAGCTGTTATTGGGGTGCTACCAACTGTGGCAACTACTAAGGTTTTGGTCTGTTTGTTAAGAGCCATCACAAGTGCTGCAGATGCTGTGGCCAAAAATGCAACCACCCTTAGGGATAAAAGAACCCAATCTTTCTTTGCCTTTGTCTCGGGAACTTCATTGAGACCAAGCTCTACTTTCTCTCCATTTTCTGAGGCCATTGTGAAGCAATTAAGCACTTAATTACCAGTGTGAGAAAGTGATGGGTGATAATGATGCAGATTATCAGGAAGATTAATGGGTTATTATAGATAGGGATAGTGAAATTGATCAACCGTATCATTTGTTAAGTCTAAGAAGCCAAGTGTGGGTTCTATCTCTGAATTTCTTGGGTGGTATAACCAACACTAAATTTCAGGTCGTTGTTGGTTGGTGAAGAAATCAGAGATCAAGCCAAAATAGTCCATATAGCTTCTTCTTTTTTTCGTTGGTGTAAACAGTTAGATTATTTCAATAAAACTAGTATATTCGTTATTGTATGTTAAAAAATATAAGAAATTTTATTTTTTGTTTAGGAAATTCAATTATTCAACTCATAGGTAAAACAAGTTTTGGCATAATTATTAGGATTAAAAAAAGTCAAATGTTCATTATTTTGTTCTTGATTCGGTAGACTAATGAATTTTGAATAAAGTGATTTTTACTTGCTTCCTAACCTTTTTCATTACCAAAACAAGAAAATGGAGCAACGTCTCTTATATGTAAAGAGAAGGGGAAAAAAAATAGAGTCATGTGCCATGTATAGTACTTGAATTTTGTAAAACTATATTTTGATCATGAAGTTTTTATAGATAACTCTTCCGTTAATTTAGTTTTAAAATTATTATTAGAAAAAAAAATACTAATTGTAATACTCTTATATATTTGTGATGATAAATAAAGAGCTGAGATATGTAAATGTGACAAGTGATTTTCAATGAAGTTTAATGTGTTTTTTATATAAAAAGAAAATCTATTTTAAATTCTTTAACTGGTATCTTGATATTGTTTAGTAAAACCTTATTATTATTATTGGTATTGGCAAACATTATGACAATATTTATATGTAATATCTTAAAAAATGTTATTTTTTAATTAAAATTAAGATTTTACTTTAGCAATATATCAATATAATAAAGACTGATATTAAAATTTGAAACTAATTTCTTAGATAAAATTTAATTTTAATAAAAATATTAAAATACTCAAAATAGTGTGTCTAAATTTTATTCTAAACATTGTACAACTTACATTGGTCATTTGGCACCAAGTTTCTAGCGAACCACTTCATTGAGGAGGCCAGTTTTCATTTCTCATTTAATTTTGGATTACAGAAATGTTTTTTTTTTTTTTACGTAATATTCTCACAATATATTTTTATAATATTTTTTCATCTTATCTCTTTTCATTAAATTTCTTTTATATCACCCTTTTCTCCTTTTTTTTCCTGTATTTTTCTCCACATTAAAATAAAATAAAAAAACTCAACCTTATAAGAAATTTAAAATAAATTTATTATAATAAAAATGTAAAAATTAATAAATATTATATTTTTCAATAAAAAAATATCATTTGAATTACTTCAACTTAAATTTTAAGTACTGAAATTAATAAAATTATTATAGAATGTGATGCCAAAAAAATACTACTCATTTTATGACGGATCCTATAACAAGAGTATAAGGGTGAGCTACAGGTTTGAAGTTGTTGTGATGTATACAGAAAACATGTAAATGGGTGAGAATCAATATCTTCAACTTGTTATAAAGATTATTATAATATTCTAAACTTGCATTCACCAATTGATCCTTTCTGGACAAATTCCTATGTTTGTTTACCTTTTTCTTCTAATTCCAATCAAATGGTAGAAGCAAAGTCCCAACTTTCTCTGTTAGAGCCAATACTTTCTTTATCATGTTTGTTTAGTCATTTCCTATTCTTTCTTTTGCTAATTTTTTCATAGCATTGGTTCCTGCTTTTGTCTTTGTTTCTCTTCAAGAGATTTTCATTATCATTAGGTTATGATTTATTATCATTAACGGTTAAACTTGAATTATTATATCACTTGATAACTGTTTATGAAATACAATTTTCACTTATTTAACCATTAATTAGTTTACAGATTTTTATCAAATTTATAAAACTTTATTAAAAAATTAATAAATATTTTATCATCTTACTTTATTTTAATATATAATATGGTATTGAAATATAAGTAAATATTAATTCTTAAAGCACATTCTTATAAATGTTTAAACACGAATAAACAGGATTTTATGTTTTCTGACTAAATTTGGATTCGCACAATTTAATATTTAGTACTCGAAAAGCTAAGTACTAAATATAAGGGGTCATTTTAGCTTACATCATTGCGTCTCTTGTGATAAAAAAAAAGCATCACTTTCGTAGCTTCAACTCTCAAGAATATTCTATCATCGATCACTTCCCTTCTTCCATTTTTCTATGTGAAACTTTGACCTTACAGGAAATCCAAACAACCATTACATCATCTATGAATTTTGGCCTTCGTAGAAAAACAACTCTATTTTAATGCTGTCTTAAGAACATGAACTAATGCTATTTTATTATGCTGTTAATTACTTATTCTCTATCTTTTGATTTATAAGCGCATCGTTAGTCTTGCCATGTTAGGAATTTTAGATCGATTAAGGTCATACTTTAATAATATTTTTATATACTAATCAGCTTAATGTTTTACCAATATTCTTTGCATTGGATATTCTAAAAATATACACAAATATTTAATATTTTATCATTTAATATTTTTTCATGAAATCTTACATTTTAGCTTTATTTTAATTTTAGTTCCGATAAGTTAGGAAGGTTATGTTTTGATTCTAATGGGGTTTTCCGTTTAAATTATTGTCCTTGTTATTTTCGTATTAAAGATTAATATCTGGTAAACTATCGGTACTAAAATCTAAATAAAACTATAAGAATATAAGGTAAGAAATAAATAAAAAATTAAATCGGAGTAAACTATGGAAATAAAAAATTATTTGTCTATAAATATTATTCCAATATCTAATTATAAATTGTTCGTGTAATAATTTTTGTCCTACTATAAAAGGGGTAATTTATATTCTAACATACAATGTTTCAACCATTAAATTAGTCAATAAAGTGATAAAGATAATGATTTACGGTTGAATATTTTAACCATAGTTGAACTATGACTAAATTCTGTGTGTAATAATAATAAAAAAATTTGACATAAAATATTAAGAATTTAAGACACTAAATTTTAAATTAATATAAAAATGACACTATAATTAAAAATACATGATACAAATTGTCATTAAATTTTTTTAATTAAAAAATAGAAATAAAATCAGTTCAAATAAATTTTCATCACCGGTTATTGATTAATTTTTTTTACCAACTTTAATTTGATTCAACTAATTTTTGTCTAGAATTCACTTATTCTAAACTTATAAAATTTTGAATTTAACAAAGGAGATGCTAAAGTAAGTTTTGGTTGAATTGGTTGAACTAGCTACTTCGAGTTTTAAATGTGCTAATAATAGTTAGACGAAAATCAGTCTCTAAATCATTATGTTTAAAGAGGTTTAATCCAAAATTTTAAAAATAATAATATTATTTATTAAACTCTATATTCTATCGGCACTTAACGATGGATTTAAATCATTTTTTATTAAAGCGAGCACTGGTCATCTAATTTTATTTTTAATTAAATAAATTTAAAAGATTATACAAAAATAAAAAAAAATCACATAAAATTTATTTAATATTTATTCTCAATTACTCAATTGTGTTAGAGAATTAAACTTTTACCCCTATTTACAAAAATTGATTAAAGAGTTAGAGAAAAAGAGTCATGAGTCACTTTTCAAATAAGTTTGAAAAAGATTATGGAGAGCATTACTCTGATTGGCATTAAGAATTGGAGTTTGAGACCAATTTTATTATGGGTGAATCAAGATACATGGATGGATTTAAAGAAAGAGAATTCAGTTCTTTATGAGTTTTGAAAGCATGAACAAGTTGTTTGGCACACAGCTCGTGAAAATAACTAATACTCTTAAAAGTTCTGATTACGATTTCATCTAAGTGATTAGAAAAGTTGATAATGTTAGAAAATTTTGAGAAGAGGGTGGGAGAAAGCAAAGGGAACTTACAACTTTTGAAACATGGCATGAGAGAAAGAGACAAAAAGAGGAAAGAAAAAGAATCTTCTCTTGCATGACTTTTCATCATTATTGTATGATCATTTTTGTATAATTCACTTAAACTAAGCACAATTTACTTAAATATAAATGAATCTGGACGTTTAGTTTCTGTCCTGAAGGGAGAGGATCCAAATACCTCAAACTACTAATGAATAGGCATCTGCAATCTATTCTCCCTCTCTTCAACACATGGATTTCTCCTCCGGGACTAACACTCGAGTCATTATTATTATTATTATTATTATTATTATTTTAAACCAATAAGAAATTTTTTATATATATAGAAATAAAGTCCCCACTTACCCAGGTAGCTTGATATATATTTCAGTCTAACACAATTTTCACTGATTCTTTATATCTAACACATACACATAAAATGGGTAAATATATGAGGTGACAATAATTCAATCTACCCATTACTATGGTCTATATCGATTTGTACATTAAGAAGCATATAGATGAGCAGCTGCAACATATATTTATTATATTCTCCTGAGCGAAGCCAATCTCTTTTCAAGATCTTCAACATCTTGGGATTCTTGTGATCTGCATACACAATAAATTCTCTCTTAAAATGCCACAGTATTTAACTGGTAGATGAAGGAAACTGTATACATGTCCATGAATAAGATTGAATACAAACCTTGGAGCAACATTTTCAGTATTCCTTGAAGCAATTCGACCTTTCGGAGCAGAAGATAACTACCATCATAAAAGACCAGCATCAGGCTCAACATCCAGAAAAACAATTAAAATGAAAGAATCAATGCAAAGACAATGAATTCATGAACCAACCTGGGATGCAATATCCACTCCAATTTCATCAAGAACCTATCATGAATAAATGAAAATTTGTTGTTACAAAGGAAATATTTACTTAAAATAGCAAGCTATATAATTAAGTTGATAATTTATACTCACCTGGTTAGTCAGCTCTTCTGTTTCTTCCTCGGCTTCATCTTTGTCTAAAGTTTCATCAATAGATTCTGACATCATCTCAATCTGCATTTAGCACACCATTATGAAGCAAAAGAAAATGTTGTCAAATGCTATGGGCACAGCAGCTGCTCACCATAGATTATAGGCTTTTGTCTTACAAATTTGACAAGTATCCTATTATTGTTAATTAATAAAAAGTGCACTCCATTTAATTAATTCACTTCCAGCTGATGCCTAATTGATATTTTTTTTCTTTGAAAAATGGAAGACACTAAAGTGTTTTTCAATTAGCAGCTTCCTTAAAAAACCTCTAAACACAGAAACTACTGAAACACAAAGCCGATGTTTTTCTGGATACTTCATTTTCGGTTGCTTCTATTCTGCCATTTGAGGCCACTGCAGTATGTTCTGATTCCTTCATTTCTTTTAGCTGTTATTACTATCTTTTGAGTTTTAATTTCTTCCTCCATTCTTTTAGTTCTTATACTTACTGCTTCTTGATTATAATTTGTCTCCTTCCCAGTCTTGAAAAGCATCTCTGTCAATTCCCATCTCAATCTTTTCCAGTACAAAAATTCTCATTTCCTTTTCAGTATTCCTTAACAGAGACCAATTTTGGCTTCCAGCTGAAAATTACAAGCTTAATGACAGTGCCGCACATTAAATTAATACGAAGCATGGACTCAGATACCAACACCGGGACATGTGACTGACACAGATACTCTGACATGATTAATGTCCAAAATATAGGACATCACTCACATCAGAACACTACATAGTGGACTGATATAATTTATATTAACATCACTTTATGCTGAAGTGAAGACCAAATAATTCCCTTTTCATTTTTAGTGAGCAAATCCTGTTTCACGAAGAGAGAGGAGTTGCAATTGTAATGCCAGCCAATAGACATAGTGGTCCCTCTCTCAGACAACTGGATTAAATGCCAGCCCACCATTTACTTAAGAACTTACTGAGGAATCTCAATGTTCTACCAATAATGCAGGGAACTTGCACATCAGAAATGTGCTTAAAAGGATAAATTACCGTCATGTCCAATTGTGCTGATTGCTTCTGGAATTCTTTAATCACTTTAGCCTGTTTTGCTGGTGCCATTTGCTGAGAAGAAAAGTAAGATAAATCATTAGTGTATCATTTTAGTCATAATACAAAATTATGGCAAAAATTTATCAGCATCACAAATGCATTTATCACATATAAGGAACTTTTGATTCAGTGACAGCAGAAAATTGCTGAAAGAACAAACGTTTACATTTTCTGTCAACATATCCAATGGAAACAAGTTATTTCTTCCCTGGTAATGGCATATTCAGTCGAGTTTGACCCTTTGACCTTTAGGTGTTCTGATGGGTGAAGGCGTTTGAGAAATGAAAACTGATTGCATATTTATTACCAATAAACAGAAAGAAATGCATTTCATAATTTTGAATAATACAAAGCAGAATCAATCTGAATAGCATACCTTATTCATTGCCACCATTGCTTTAGTTGCACCCTTCATTCCCGTAGAGATTGAAGTGCTTGCATATAATGCCTGCAAAAGAACTTTGGAAGTTATGAAAATTGAAAATTTAAAAATAAAAGAAAAACTTATTGCATACCTGTGTGTGAGTTGCTACACCCCTGATCTGAGCACGACTTCCCTGCAAATTGGTTATCTGTTGACGTAACCTAACAAGTTGACGAGCCAAGATTCTAGTGGCAGCCTGTAACCAGAGACTTGTTTATTCAGTATCTTTAAAATAGTTCCATTTTAATATCACTTCTAAGTTCAGACCAACACAAAAACACATAAAAAAAGATAAAAACTACTCAAACAGTTCAGAAATTAAAAATAAATCAATATCTTGCACATGGAAGTTTTAGCTTTTTATATTTATGAGCTTAGCTATTTGAGTGTACCATGCATGTGTACTATGTATGCACTCAACCAATTCCTAACATTCAAATATTTGAGCCTTACAAGATATGCAATTGATACTTCAGTTATAGTCCACGTACAATGTGCAATGAAGCAGAGAAGAGTTTGAGGTCAAGGAAATCGGTGTAACTAGTGGGTGAGTAGCAAAAACCGAACATATGGCCAAGGAAAATTTGATTATTACAATATCTGTATCAGATTTTGACTAGATCATAGAAGATTTTATATTTGTATTTATTTCTTACCTGATTTTATAGCAAATTTGGTTTCCATTTTTAGGATCCAATTCTGCTTACAAGTCATTCAGCTGTAACTCAAATAAAATAAGAGAAACAATTATTCCTTTTCCTCTCTGGTAGTTTTTGTTGTGTCCTTGGGGAAAGAAACTACTATACACTTTGCCTTGAATTAAGATAGAGGAAGGTTCATTAGAATCCTTGTAAGCAAAGACTCGACATCAAGCTCTGATACCATCTTAAATTTAAGACCTAACTCAACTACTACAAAAGTTAGCTCATAAAATAAGGTAAGGATTGCTTTAACATTTATTTATTTAAGCATGGGAAGTAGATCTGGGACTTCAACAATGTCTTTTAAATACAAGATACGTTCCTGCATTAAACTGACATGTTCTAGCCAATGACCATGTTGAAGCAAGGTAATGTTCAACCATACTCGTTGAATTTTTAATTAGGAAAATTTGGCAATGGAAATGTTTTATTGTTAAATCTTTACAAGGACTGCTTCTACACTATTTATGTGGGATAGTTGAACTTCATTCACCACACCTTGGACCCAAGTGTGACAAAAGCACACTGATTTAAAACTGATTAAATGTTGTTATCAATTTCAGGGTCAATAATCTGTTCTGTAGATTGCATAAACACTAAACCATGGATAGGGACCCTCTCCACTGGAATTTAACATGGGAGAGGGCAATGTGAACCTACTCATCCGTTCATAATTTTAAAATACAAGTTTTATTATTCTTTTATCAGATAAATTAATAATTTTACAGTTGTAATCCTAGGCAGTGAAATTGTCATTGCAGAGGATCTCCTCCCCTAAACAGTACATTTCTATAGCTTATTAACAACAAAGAAATGGATGATATACATTTAATGAGGAACATACCTCATTCCCAGTTTTAGCAGTTCTTTTAATCTCTGCCACCAATTTTTTTTCCTGCAATTGACAAGGTAATGAAGCACTAAAAAGAAATATGAAACAGAAAGGAAATCACTAAGAAAGTCTCTATTAGCGATATGTGTACCTCCATCTGAAGTGATGCTATCTCCCTTTCAATTCCTACAAGAAAGAATGAGTGAAAGAAAGAAAGCGCAAACAAATATGCGACAGAAGTAGCACTTTATGAAAACTAAGCAATGATATCAAATATTTCCAACCAATTCCTTGTAATGAACAGCCCACAGATAAAAAGGAACAAGAAATTGGACAAAAGAAAACATAATGTCACTTTATTGAAATTAAAAAAATTATATCAAATGTGAAGCCTTTCACTAATTCCTAATAATGTCTTTAAATGTACAGCCACAGATAAGATACACAACCTATTTTCATGGTAATATTTTGAAAGAAAGCCTTTAAGAAATATTTATTTAATGCAGTTAATTTGAATCAAATAACAGGCATTACTACTCTGGTACCCTTTTTTTTTTCTTGGTATGGTACCACCCATCAAGCATTTTTCATTGTTTAATAAAATTTTAAATATTTATTATGAAATCAGCAGTTAATGTTTAATAATAGTGAGTACCATATCCATCAACAAGATACCAATCTCTTTTTAAACTGGGCATGTAGAACACAAATTAAAAATATTGGAGGAAGAGCAAAATTAAAGTTGAGGAACAAAAATGATTGTCAAAAATTGTGTAGCTTGAATTGTGTACATCAACCTGAATATTTTCTACTAAAATTTAACATTGGCTTATTGAACAACACAACTAATGAATTTTCAGGCATGTTGGGGTAGGTCTTTGCATGTATTGATCAGTCAAAGTTCCTAACTATAAACAAATCAATCCCAGGAATACAATATTGTGACTTTCACAACAAATCAGTAGTATTTCTGTTTGATTGACAACCCAAGGAACTATATACACAATTATTACTGCAAGAAGCAAGAGGAAGACAATTATTAACTATTTTATGCATAAATACTTAAATGATTAATAAAAAATAGTTTGCAAGGGAATTTTACTTATACATCCTCCCATAAAAATAGAGTACATTTCACCTATAACTATTTGACTGTAACTATTAGCTCCCAATCGTCCCAACTATTTCGAGTACATTACATCCTCTCATGAATTATGCTACCCCCACATGATATTCATTATTTTCAAAAGGGGAAATTCACAATGATTATACTCTTTGTCCACTATTTTTTTTCTGAAATGCAAAAAAAAAAAAAAAAAAAAAAAAACTACCAACATTAAATTTTATTATTCTACGTGAAGTTGCTGTAGGTCCTGCAGCTGAATTGCATAAGTTGTTTTTATTCTTGTAACTCTGTTAATCATATGAAGATCCATGTTTATTCTATTTGGGGAAAGCAAAAGTGAAAGAGAAGATTCAACAAACAAGCAAAACACAAATATTATGAAGTACCGCATACTCAGCCAGCAAAATTGGTAAATATTTCCTATTTTGGACAAAAATACTTTCACAATGTAAACAACCCAATTTATGCAAAGTACATTCACGAGTTCAAACTTCAAAACTAGAACTTCTGAACAAAGCATTCATTCAATTCAAGTAATTACCTCTTGTTGCAACAGACATTTCTCTCTTACTTGTCCGCAGAGCTTCTGTCATGAACAAAATGAAAAAAAACGTAAATGCGGGCCACTACCCAGACACAATTAGAAACGCAACACTGTAACTTTTTCCTCATTTTCATCAAACATAAACAATATCACAAATATTAAGCAGCATTAAACCCATAATTTCTAAGAATTTCAGAGAACCTTGAGTTTTTTAGCAATATACACTAGATCCAATTTAGGACACAGGCTCACAATTCCAACGTGTCTTCGATCGAAAGTTCCCATTTTTATTTCCCACCCGAGCTTTCCCACTAACCAAGCACTAAAGTAAAGATTTTCCCTTTTTAGAGCAAAAAAAAGTTGAAATTTTGAAGGCAAATCCAAAGCTTTAGCGCAATATGGAAGAGTAAAAATGATTTTTAAAAAAAGGGAAAATTTCGAGAGAGAATGAGAAAAAAGGGGTGCACCTTTGGGAGAGGTTTTCTTCTTGAAGATGTTCATGTCGTCGATCACGAAAAAGAGAAAACCCTAATTGAGGAAGAAGAAGCAGAGAGTGGCACAGTGGTGTGTGTGAAGCGTGTAAAGAAAGAAGGGAAAGGGAAGAAGAGGCCTCGGGGAGCGTGCTGGCTATCCACGTAACCCAACGGTCATCCCCAAGTAGCCGTTACCCCATTTTCTTTTACCCAAACGCACGTCGCGTTTCAAGTTTTTAATAAATTTATATTTTTATTAGGGACGTATATATTTAATTATAGAAGTTAAAAAAATAAAAATTATAATATTTAATGTTATTGATATATAAAATTCTCTAATATTTTATTATTAAAAAAAATACTATTTATAAGTTCTTATTATATATTTTTTAATATCTATAAAAAAATGTTAAATTTTAACAACTAAAAAATAGTTTGTAGAAATTTTTTTTTAATTTTCTTTTCATTCTTTTTCTTAGTCTTTCAAAAAATGAATACAGACTAAAAGTAAAATAGACTACTAAAGCTAAAAAGTTGAAAGTTCTTTATTTTTTTTTCTTTTTACTCTACATCTTACTCTTTAACTTTATTTCATGTGATCATTATTAATGGAGATTTGGATTCAGTGCACTAACTACTCCGTCTCGTTACATTATTTTATATTTTTTATTAAGCCAACACATTTTTGCTTAAAAAAAAATACAAAATTTTACCTAAATACACGGTGCAGTTTTCGTGTAGACTACACTGAATCTGGATCCCATTAATGGTATCCATCTACCTCTTTTGTCCACGCATTGTCTCATAAATTAGTTTTCTCTCAATTGCAAATGACATGAATTGGGAGAACATGCTTTAAGAGTTGGAAAACATGTAATCCATTATAGATATTTAAAAAAGGTGGTAAAGTTATCTTGTAGGCTAAATCCCCACTGCGTTTGAGGGTTTGGTAAATTTTAAACCAAGTTTTCATAATTTAAATATTATATCAATCTAATTGTGAATGTAACTTTCAAATACACATAATATTCTTCTTAAAATTCAAGCAGTTTCATCATTTTATTGAAATAACTTTTCTATTGGTTTTATATAACTCTCATCTTTTCTTGCATATGATTTCATTATTAATTTATTCAAAGGGTTTTAAAAAATGAAACTTAGACTAGCAATCCAAGTTAGGGTTTGGAAGTGTTTCACAACAATTTAACATTATAGGAAATATTGACTAGTTCTACATAGTAGTTAGGAAAAATTATTCTAAATTAACAAAATCAGTCAAATTAACTAAAAAAATTATAAAATTACATTTAATAGTATTAATAATAATATTTATACAACACATAATGATGATGTAATACTTATACATAAATTTTTTTAATTTATATTGTAAATGTATGGTATTATTTTATAATTTATTTAACTTGCTCATACTTTTTAGTAATGTGTTATGATATATAATTTAACTAATTTTTTTATTTATTTTAAATATATAATAATAATGATAAATAAAATATTATATTTTTTACTTGCCCTGTATCTATTTTAATTTAAGGTATATATATTATTACATTCTTAATATTTTCTAGGTTATTTAAATATGGATTTATTTTTATCATGCAAATAAATATGTAATTATCAGTCATGAATTTTTAAGGTAAAACGTAACTCTAAATAAATTTTATAATTTTTTAAATATTTTTTGAAGTATAATTTTTTAAGAGAGAAAAAAGAATAAAATATAAAAAATAAATCTAATGAGTAATGTGATAGAAATAAAGAAAGATATATAATTTAATAAGTTTCAAGAAAAAGTAAAAAAAATAGTAGATAATAATTTGGAAAATATAAAAGACATTAAAAATATAATCAAATAGAAAATAATAAAATTAGAATGCACATAACAAAATAAATAAATAATTAATTACTAAAATACCTCCTTTTATATGTAATATAAATATAAGTTTTATTTCTCATCTAAATAAAAAGTATAAAGAATTAAGTTGTTAGCTACAACCGCGTGTCATTTATCAAATAGTAAAAATTAATGTGAAAATAAATGAAAAATTATACATTTATGAATTGATTTTAATATTTGTTTCTTTTAAAATTAAATTAAAAGACTTATTATATTTTAAAAACCAAATTGAGGTTTTAGTCGTTTATTTTTTAAAATTTTCAGATTTTATACTTGTTGTTTTTATTTTGTAATTATTATAACATAAATACAATTTGCATTATATTAGTCGAGGTTATGAACACTCCTATTAGGTACTATTTTCCTATTAAGCCCATCTTAAATTTTAAAAAAATAACCTGAGTTATTAAATCCAAATTTATTAACGCTACATTATTGACACACCGTAAACACTTGATTTTGATTTTATATACAACTTTTTTTTTTTTTTTTGCTATATATATACAACTTCGTTAACATACCTTCAAATGTATTATCACATAGATGTTTGGTTTGCTACAAGAAAAGTAACTCATGCGATACCAAATCATCAAAAACTATTTGATCCCAAGCATTCAATCTTAAACCAATTTAGTTGTACTTTAACTAATCCTTTCTCCTCTCAAATAGATCTCTTTTGCATTATTTTAAAAAATTATAGTAGGTTCAAATTCCTGTAGTTTCCACTAATTTAAATTTTGGCATCAATTTTTTGTTTAATTTAAATTCCTATATGTTTACTTGTTTGATTTTTATCCCTATTAATGAGTATCAGTATGACAGTATCAAGAGAAACATGCATACTACTGCACCATTAAGTTATTATTAGAGCGCAAATGTTATGCAAACACTTCATTTTTTGTCACTGGTAGTATATGCATAACACTTGAAAGTTGTATATCTGACATTCCATTGCAAGGATTTTGGCTCATATGGACAACTAAAGAATTCTTTATTGAAGGTATTTATTATAATAGAACCCCAAATATGCACTTGAACAGAACACACAAATTGGTGATCTCACTATATATTTCTCGAATTGTGTACATATTGATGCATCGATAACCATGGCTGAAGCAAAGGGAAGGAGGGGAGAGGGGGCAGAAAACTTGATTCATTCACTAAATCATCTATTTCAATTTAACATTACAATTATGGAGACAAACCAAGAATTTGAATATCAACGTGACTGCTACAAAATTTCTGTTAAACGACCGATCACGGCTGCACAATGCTCAGAAATGATACATTACCTTTGTATATCTACCTCAGACCAACCAAAGGCCTGAAAAAAAAATCGATAAGAGAAAATGAAATTCAGATTTTGTACAAGGACAAGGAACGCTGTTGTATATAATGCTTGTGAAAACTCAATGTTCAACTAAACTCCCAACCACGGCAACTGTTATTCTATAAAACCAATTTACTTCGAGATTCAGTCAGGTCTATTAACAAAAATCAAAAGCCAGTCAGAAGTTTACTATATATCGGCCAGTTGGCCTTCATACAAGTAACATTAATGGAGTCAACTGTCCCCCTACCTGCAAGTGTTTGAGATTCTAGTGTGCATATCCTATAATTTTTGTTAATTTTGGTGAGTTATTATTCAAGCATGTTTGCCTAATAATTTGTTACGAGGAACATTAAATGAAAATTAGGCATACTTTTCTTATAAGAAAAATTTTAGTATCATAGCAAAATACATGAATTATTCATCTCAAAAAATAAGATAACTTCAGGCATGCCACTGCCCCCACTATTTCTTTTTGCAGAACTGTAGTAACGAGGGTTGAAAACTATATGAGCTAACGGAAACTACCCAAGCCCCTAACCACTCGCCTGATGCTAGTGTTTTCACTGCCCCCTATTTGGAGTTGAAATGATCAAGAAGATAACAAGAATTCATGTGTAAGCTACAAATTAACAAAATGTAGCATTAATATTACCTCAACTTAGTGTTACACGAAATGCAGAGTGAAGAAGGTTTAAATCCCCCCCCACATCCTCCAAAGTATGTTAGCCTTCCCATGGAAGCAATGGAGTAGCTACTTTACAATACAGTTTTACTGAACAGCATCAGTTCCAAACCTCTGCACCAAGAATTCGTCCAGCTGGCCCCAGTTTGCAGTATCAGATTTACTCAAATCACCCGATGGCAATGACCGTATGCATTGAAGAATATGTTTGACGTCACGATATAGCCTGACAGTTGAGAAAATTTTAAGAAAAAAAAACAAAATCAATGCATTTTAGAAGTCTTAAAAAAATTATTGCTGTATACTATAAATTCAGAAAAGTATACCTATCCTGTGCTTGAGAAGTGCTTATATCAAATCTTGAAAATGCTTCTGAAATTTGTGAGTGAAATATAATGACCACTTGCCTGAAAAATAGCAAATTTGATGAGTGAGTTCCATGAATTCATATGATGTTAGCACCATACAATCAACTTTCTTTCTACGCAGAGAATGCAGCTGACTTTCTTTCTTTCCTTTTCTATGGGAATGGGACAAAAAAAGAAAATTTATTTTGAAATTCATCACAGGAAAAAATGCAGATCCAGGAAACTTAACAGTTTGATCAATAGGTAATACTAATAACAGTACAAGAGATGACTGGAAGTTTACACAACACTTCCAATCAGTCACTTGTTCATTTTTAAAAATATTTTATAATTCTCTCAATTTAGAATAGAAAAATTATCCCTCCTTTTTTCCGTCAAACTGCATCCAAAACATAGCCTAAATGGTTATTTCATTAGTAAATTAGTGTCACCCACTTCATGATCTTCAGATATATATTTCATCCATGGAAAAGATAAAGTTACTTAATTAGACACCAAATCTCCACTATCAAGCATCATTTACTTGGAGGAAAAACTAATTTAAGACCCACAAAGCTACCAACAGTTATGGACATTAGTTTGCACCCTTATATAACTAGCTATGAAGCTTCTAAAAGCTACTATGCTCAACTTGTTTCAGAACAACCAGTTTTCTTATCAACTAATTATAGTTGAGGCCTAGCCTTGTTAAGTAGAAATTGCTGGAAATAATATTAGTCAATGCACTTAGGAAAAAGAATGTCCATGCTTCACATCATGATAAAATAAATACATTAATATTGTTGGAAATCCAATGGAGTCAATGGACCCAAGTGTTAATTTGGTGCAGCAACAATCACATAGGCCAACCGCTTGGAGGGTATATGTGAGAAGGAATAAGAAGAATGGGAATGGATGATGTGGCAGTGGTGTAGTGTGGGCCCAGGGTGGTTTTGAGTGATTTTCAATTATATTGGGATGGAGTGAGCGTATCTCGTAAAAGATTATAAACTTCGTTAGAGACAGAGCTCTAGCTCTCTCACAGGAGCTTTGCTCTGTGGACAGGAAGATCCTTTTGATCATTTCAATAATACATGTAGCATTTTCCCTTTCAAATATTTTTTGCAATTGTTCCTTTATCCCTAAACGATTGTGCATCAGATATTAGTGTCTAAGAAGTTGCACTTAATTCATATTAGCCTAGGAAATAGTCTCTATTAAGTCTACTAAGAATCTATATATATGAATGATATGCATAATTATGTACTACATTCTCTTGAAATGCTTTTCATTCCATAAATTCTCTCCAAAATATTCTGTTTATTCTTCTATATCTCCCCCTCTAAATTCAACATGGTACCAAAGCAGTACCATCCACCGTAACTTGTCTCTTAAATTTGGGACTTTTCATTTTCATGTATTTTCTCTCTACTGTTGTTTTTTCACTGTTTATCCAGCATTTTGAAACAAGTTCAGACCATTCTATCTCCCAATAGGTACAACGTACTCTGTTCTGTAGTGTAGATTATGACCTCATCATAAAAATATAAGAATAAAGAAAATGAAGATTTCTGAGATTCTTACCTGAAAATCGCTTGAACATCTTCTTCATTCAAAGTTCGAGATAGAACACGTTGAAGGTATCCAACTTCCTGACAACATATTAACAAAATAATAGGTTCCAGTTATGATATTGCTTTTGAGATGGGTGGGACATGAGAGTGGAGCTGAAAAATGATAATTTCAAACCACCCCACCCTACTATCAACATATATATAATGACCACCAGCCATAGTTTTTTGTTTACTGAAAGAGGTTAAGTTATTAAATCAGTCTGACAATTAGTTTATTGCACATCTGTGAGGGGTATGTCAAACTTGACTGTGCAATAATCACTTCCACATTTATCATAAACCTAGCGAGCCACTATATTCTCTCTCTAAACAGCTTTCTCGTGCCCTTTGGGACTAATATTTATGTTTTTCTAAACTACAAAAGAGGAAGATACACATTAACATCTTAAGACAATTTTTAAATTCAAGCAAAAACGGAGCAGAAGGTAAAAACAGAGAACACAAGCATTCTAATCATTTACACATAATTATTTACCTTGGTAAGGGACCGAGCAAATTGACTAGGCTGAGGGTCAGCATCCTCAGGCCTATTCCAACTCTCAACAATTTGAGGTAACCCACGTAAATGAACTAGTAATCTTTCTCGCATTATCTGAACTAATTTACTATGTATTTCATCTCGGTGGACTTTATAATCCTGGAATGAAAAAGATACAACAGTAAATCAAATGTTATAAAAGAAAACATATTTAAAACTTCAAAGTTTTTTTTGTTTTTAAAAAATTTATACATGTATAAATTATACTGTATTGGGAGAAAAACATCTGGTATCATCCTAAACAGAGAAACCAAAAACAATAGGGATCCTGAAGATTAGCCACCTATAGCAGAACCTAGATAGCTAAGGTTTTATAAATATGTTTGGACATTCAAGAAAGAATAAATCCATATTATAGATTTTTAAAAACATGATTTTAATTAATTTTTTCCTTTAAAATAGCACAAACAAACCCTAAGCTTAAGAGAAAAACATTCAGGGTTCATTGCTTCTCCATGTTCCTTTTCCTAAAATCAATATTTGGACAAAGGCTGCAAAATCTCAACTATTGACCTCTGACCACCAGACTAAACAAAACGTGTTGCAATTTGCAAATTAAATTTCTTGTGCAAGTTTTATCATCTCTGTTACTTTTCCCTCCTCTTTATCAATATTTCCTTTTCCATTCAAAGGAAAAAAAATAGGGAATCAGCAGATGAGTGATTACATGGAAAATCTCTTTCCCCTGATGAATTGCTTACATATGAATTTTCATCATCAAAAAGCAGTAAAAGAAAGGAACCATCATACTTCTAGGTTCTAGCAATGAAAGTCATTAAAAAAATACAATATATGATGAACAAAACATCTGAATAAAGACCCCTTTACAACAGGAATGAAGGTTAAATAGCAATAAAGCATGTACCTGAGCAATTCGATCAATCTCTGACAGCAACAATGCTTTTCTAGTCTCGGGTACTTTAAGAAAAAGAATCTGCCGAATATCTTATACCAGAATGAAGAACAAAGTTATAATTTAATTCATGCCATGAAAAACAATATAATAAACTCTTATGAGAACAAAACAAAAAAATTCCTTTTAGTACAATAATATTAAAAACTTTATTTAGGTGAGTGCATTTGTACCAGGAATAATAGCATGTACAAAACTAATCACTTGACTTGCCAACGCCAGGTGTTTAGAAGTGATGGACTTCAAACCAGACACCTGCATAGAACTGAGAATAATTAGAAGCCACTAGGATGAGAAAGGTAGTAAATTGAAATGAGATCAAGATAATTCAGTAAAGTGGGGGGAGGGGAATACACCAGTACAGGATAGGAAGTCGAGAAGCAAACAAAGTTCTTGGCTCTGTTCTGTCTTTAAATTACTTATTTTGGAACATACTCAGAAATCAGATCGATGAATAATATCCAAAATGAGAAGCCCAAAAATTCTAAAACCCAGCATTATAATGGGGTTTTACCATTGTGCAGGACAGTTACATGGGCTCAAATGATTCTATACTCCCCATGCTAGGCTTGATTAACAAACGAAAACTCCTAAAAATAATTAAGTTTTAGCTAGCTCCAACCAGGTTTGGGGGTAGAACCTGGATACAGCAATGTGCATGTACATAATGAACAAAAGAGGATGGTGCAACAGATGATTCTGCATATCAGAAATGGATAATAGATGTAATGAAAGTGAATTACTATGAAGGTCATTTAAGATGGTTTGGGTGTGTAAGATGACAAACTATAGTCTGATACACACCCTCATAACAACCACCCCTTTATGGAGGGAGAAAGGTGAAGAGGGACACCAAAAAAGATATGGTGTAAAAAATTTAAAATGAATTTTATTAAGTTTCATGAGTATTTGACACAGGATCTAGTACAACAATGCTAGAATCCAAGCAGCTGACACTATTTGGTGAGTTGGTTGGTATTGTTGTATTTATGTGCCTGTACAACTTATAATTTTATAACAAGATATATGAAATAATCATAAGACCTGGCTAAAAGACCAGGGATGTTCTATGGTGCTGAATGTTGAGCAATGAAGTGCCAAGAAGAGAAAAACTAAGTGTATAAGAAATGAGAATGTTGAGGTGGATGAACAAGCATATGATAGATGCTTTAGCAAAAAAGTTAATCAAATGGAAGGAAGTCAATTAAAAGATTTACAGGAAGACCTAAAAAACTTGAGGATAAACCATTAAAAAAATACTTTGCTCTCTCTCTATATATAGGATGAGGATCAATTGACACCAGTGTAAATCTTGACACAGACATGCTTATATGCACATATAGACACTGTGTATATATATAAAAGGTACTAACAGTTTTGGTAACAATGCTAGTAGTACCTACCTGCATAGCACCAGCTCCAAGCACAAGCTGACATGTCCTCGTGTTGAAATATTTCAAGATTTCTACGACACGGTGAACAACTTCTGACGATAGTGTTGGCATAAGGTTGTTCATATCAATGTACTCTGACAGCATCTTCAGCAATATTAAGCCACTAGAAGCAAACAAGACAAATCAAGCTACTTTAAATGTATTTACAAGACGGAAGCCCAAACTAGGATCAAACAAAATCATAAAAAGACAAGTGAACCTCACAAATAGGCAACTTCAAATTACGATTAACAGAAAGCAATGAAAAAGAAGGTGCAACTTCAAATTCTTTAAATGTATTTTGTAATATTTTTATAAAATAATCAAGCATAATTACACAATCTTATTCATTGAGTGACAGAGTGAGAGAACAATGAAAAAGAAAACAAAAGGAACAGAAGGTGCATACAATGGGAGGATAAAATAAAAAGAGGAAGTTGAGTCCTGATAACTAACCAGTTTACCATGTGATAACCAACACCTTTGTAGTAAAGAGCCTGAGATGCAGTTTTTTTATGGTCTTTCTCTGTATTGTTACTCTGTGATGATGTAATCCTACTATGAGCTTTATTTGGTTCCATTGAATCCACCGGGGGTTTGGATCTATCTGATGCTGCACTGTTTGTAGATGATTCCATGGAATTAGTCCGCTCAATTTTCTGTTCAGCACCTGACTCTGCACCTTCTGCCATCGGCAGACCATCATGGTTAGTCATCACACCATTGTAAGCGGTTGAATTATCATCCTCGGTGTCATTAAGGTTCTCAGAAGTCAATGCATCAGATGTAAAAAGCAAATTGATGATGGATTGAAATTCCTCAGGAACATCTATCTCCACCCAGGTTTCCTGGTCAAGCACTGCCTTAATTTTTGCCATCTACATGCCAAGCAGGACCTATTATCGATGGCGTACCAAGATTTCATGATGATGCCACACAAAGGAAAGACAAAATTAAAACTGACCCGAGATTCATGCTGAAAATCAACAAAAGCCTTGGCTTGTGATTGCAGTGTCCCACGAATGCTGTATCCCAATCTCCCACCAATCTGTTAATAAAGCAGGGGAATTAAAATTGAACAAAAACAAAATAATTTGTAATCTTATGCTTTATATCAATATGAAAATATGTACTTTTTCTGTGGCAGTAATGAACTCCTGGGTGATGTTGTATATGGTCAGAAACTCCTGCAATTTCAACCTAGGATGGAGAACCACACGGACCCCAAGAAGCTTTGCCCATCTTCCATGAGCAGCATCACATGCTGCAAAGACAGCTTCTGCGTTTTCTCGCAATATATCAGCTCTGTTTAGAACCAGATTCTTTGAGAACATCAAACAAATGGGACAGCAAATAAAATACTGAAGTTATGGCAGAAAGCTAACTAGATATGAAATATATTCTCTCCTATTTTTTTCATCAGGGTGTTTTACAAGTAGTCAGTGAATTGCAAATCATGTCCCCATCTTCCTCATGTCTACTAAGGAGAGGAAACCCCACAAGAGCCATTTGTTATCAGCAAAAAGAAATTCAGAGAATAACTGAAGGACCTAAGACAACTGATTTAACAGGTGATAAAAGCTATTGATTGCGCATAGTAAACAAAATACTCCATATTCAATGTAGCAATAAATTTATAATGTCACTGCTAATTATTAAAATAAATGAATATCCTGTGATCAGGAAGCTTGTGTCATATATCATAATTTTCACAAGTGAATAGAAGTAGTAAACCTTCTAAAAATACAAGCTACAATCTTTCATAAGAAACTGAAAAAAAAAAAAAATTTATAAAATTTATAGATAGTTTCACTCAAGCTAGGAAAGAGATTCTGTATATAATGGTGCCAGCGCCACAAGTAATAACCACTCAAGCCTTAAGGAAAAACTATGTAGGGACTAATATTAAAATTGCAGTACAAATATTTTTTTTTCCATTTTTCCTCTAACTTTATTCCCATTTTGTATTTGGTAGCAGACTTTCAAATGATAGGACACACACTGTAGAGATTTAAACCCATTCATGTGCATTCACCTGACAACTTAAGCTTTTGGGATAATTGTTTCTTGACATGTCCCATGTTCAGATTATTAGAAAGCAATGCCACTAAATGGACTCTAGTAAGGAATAGTCCTCATCCTCTCAAAGCTTCATCATAACACGTGTCACCATTCAATCAATATTGAAACTTAAAGGGGAAAAAAGACAAAAAAATGTTCTCATAACAAAACAATTGTGTATCAATTTTACGAAATCTTCACTACACAAATCCACTCAGTGGAATATAGTTAAAAATTTACAAATCCAACCATGGAAGGATACTACAACAATTTCTCTCAATACTTATATTTCCAAACTGATTTATTAAGTTCAGGAGCTTCTGAATTTCATAATAGCAGTTGTCATTTTATGAGACCAACAAAGGAAAATAGCAGGAAAAAATTAGCTTAAAAATCACAAATTACTTGCTTTTTCAATCTAAAGTTTCTAAACATCAAAAAGAATCTGGAAAAAGCTTCCCACTAAAAGTATACCAGAACCACAAGCCTAGATTTAACCTGAAATTTTTTGACATGTTTGAGGAGCTCACAGCATCAACTGCTTTTCCCTGAAATGAGGAACCCTTGGCTACACTTCTTTGTGGTGAATATGGCAAAAATGTAGTACCATGAACCTCGCTTTCTTGGGATGTTTCTGCAGCTGCAGCACCATGAGCAATTGCAGCAACAACTGAATCAGCAGCATAATGACCATCACGGTTGCTCAAAATCCATTCAATGGCCTTTTTCACTTCAGCAGCCCGCACTAAATGTGCCTGCAATCACTAAAAGGAAAAACATCTTATTACATCATTCTTAAAACAACCATTTAAGCTTAAGAAAAATGTATAACTGAATTTCAGTAACCAGGATGAAATCCTTAACACATAATATCTGTGCACATGAAATGTAGCCAACACAAAGCTCCCTTGAAAGATAAAATATTTAATTTGAAACATCTTAATATTCAGTTGTCTTGACAGTTAATTATTCTTTTCTAGGGGCAATAAGGATTAAGAAGGTGAAATGCAACAAAGAGACAAAATCGATGAAGAAAAAACTATAAAACAAGCAATACAATTTAATAAATTAAAAATAGTAAAATAAAAAAATGAAGCCCTAAACAAGCAATACAATAAGGGTGGTGGATGTTGCCAGAAATACTGTCGGAGAAGGGTGGGGGTATCAGCACAGAACAGAGCTGTGAACAGGTGTCACTGTGGGTGGGTCACACAAGTGAGAGAACAGTGGAAAACTAGTGAGGAAAGTTAGGGTTTTTGTTAATTTCTGAAAAGGAGGAAAGATCAAATCCACCACCCCCCCCCCCCAAAAAATATATTGTTTCAAGGGAATACATTTCAAAAGACATTATCAAAAGACCCTAGAATTCTAGTCCAGATGGCATGACTAATTAACAATTGCCAAGTATAAATTACCTGTACTATCATGAAAATAGCACTCAGAAGATGCACAAAGCTATCAGATGATAGGCTCCTCAACTTGCTAGCAAGGGATGCACCTCCACCTGTGTCACTATTTAGCATTAGAAAGTTGAAAGTCGAACATATCATATAAAAACATGGTGGAAGAAAAATATAAGTCTATCTTCGTATAGACAAACATCATTATATAAAAACATGGTGGAAGAAAAATATGAGTCTATCTTCGTATAGACAAACATCATCAATTATCCTAAAGAAATTCTCACCATCTGCATCTACTGCTCTGTCGCCAGAAAAGAACTCAGACTCTGAACCTCGAGCAGCAAGAACAGGAAGCAACTCAGCAACAGCAGTCTTAATAGCACTCTTCATATCACCAGTCAATGTATCTCGATAAGTTCTCAGAACTGAGGGAAGTTTAGCCTGAAAATAAAGAAATTGTTTAACCAAATTAAGTAAAATCACCAATTTTTATGTTCCCAGAGAACAATGGTCAAGTATAGTTGCATTTTATAGTACTTTGAAAGGTTAATCTAGATGTTTTATAGTGATGTTCCTCAATAAAACAACAATGTTATTGAAGAATGTAAAAACATTTAGCATGCATAATTCCCTGCACAAAGAAATACCAAGGAGATAAAACACGTCAAACAAAGAAAGTATAGACCACTGTATACAGGAGCCAAAAGAAAAAGAAGGTAAATAAAAGGGGGGGGGGGGTGGAATCCTTAGTCTCGTATGTTGTGAAGCTATACAACAACAATCAAGTATTAGCGCACTAAGTTGAGTCAACTTCATGGCCTAATAGTCAATCCCAAATAGCAGTGCAGAGTGGCTGATCCCAAAATTGCTACAACAGGGTAGCAGGTGGCGGGATGACCACACTATTCTGAAGTTTTAACATTCACCTAACATAAACATAGGCAGAGGCAATGCTCATCAGGCAACTTTAATTTACAAAGGCAAAGTTGTAAAGGCATGGGATAAAGAAAATTGTAACCATGAGAAAGCTAGAGATGGCAGTTTTAATGCAACAACTGAAAAGTATTTGCTTTTCTTAATAAACATAGCATCAATCAATTCTTTTTAATCGGAAATATATTGTGCATCGAAAATTACTCAACTTCTTAGTTCTTACAGCTTTAACACAATCCTTCACAGGAATCTAATTACTGAAAATTTCAGTTACTAAGCTGGAAGGGCAGGTGGTATGAGGAAACCATGTACACCTGTTGCATAATTTACCTACTGCAACCATATCGTGGTTTAAGATTTCATACAAAGTTTTGTTTAAGACATCTTTGAAAAGAGAGTGGATCTTCTCTTTTCCTCCTCTATTTGTCACAAATACCAAATATTTACAAATCTTGATGAAGGGATAAGGGACAACATATCCTCAAAAATAAAAAAGGAAAGAGCTCAACACACTGAACTCACTAAAGATTCTTCATCAATAAAAAATAATACTCAAAGTTTCACAATATAGAAATTTAACTAGCATAAACAGTAAGTTCCTAAAGAAAAGTAAAGCTAAATACTTACTGTTCTAAGCAATCCAATTACAGTAGGAAGAAGACCATCTTTGAAATTATTAGTTTCTTCTTCTTCCAACTTTACCTGGTTATGAACAACATAAACATTAGATCACAAACTGCATCCTCAAAACATCACAGCTCAAAAGGTAAAAACACAACAGGTTTATCATATAATTATACATTGTGAGACTTTGAGCTGCACAGACATTGGACTAATGCCAAAACAGTGTACTCAATTAAATGATTGTGCAGTGTGTAAGAATTAAGACATCAAGAATCAACAAATGCGCCAGTTACCCTTCTATCATTACTTGATTCTACTACCCATCTATGTTAAAATGGAAACAGATCCTTGCAGTGACATTTTCACTGCAGAGCATCTTAACCTTAACACTATATTAATATAATATTAAATTTTATTAAATAATATATTTTAATACCTTTGGACGGTTAGGATGAAAACTGCACCTCTCTGCAGTGAACAATTGAGAGGATCCGGACCCATGTTAAAACACAGATAGATGAATTTGAACTTTGGATTCTTTCAGTGCTATCCAAAAAATCTTTTTTCAGATTCAGATAATCAAAACTAAATAATCCATCTCCAAATCATAAGCTCATCCCTGACAAACCCATTTGGAACACTAGCACTCCCTAAAAAACTGGTCTTTCAGTACGACACAGGTACTCCATAAGATTAACAGATATATTAAAATGTTAGATTCATATAAACACAGCTTTTCAAGTGACCCATTTATTTAGGCAATGCAAAGTGGCTGCTCTTGTGAAATAACCTGGTTGAGTTTCTTGATCAAAACAGGATGTGTCCTTTCAACTTATAGGTTTTTTTATACACAAACAAATTTTATTACAGAAGTTGAGAAGAGGTTATGATATGCTCCGGAGAGAGTAACCATGAGAAGGCCCTGATATCATTGCAGACTGCAGTGTACTGTTTTTGCAGCTCTGTAGAGTATGCAGCTTGTGGAAGGAAATTAACATGAGTATTTTCTAGGGTGTCTGTTTTCCCTTTCATTTGTTGCACGACAGAAATGTTTTTATGGCTCCTTGATACCCCGCTCATGGTTATTTCAATGGAATTTCTATTATTGATATGCAAAGAGATTGGACAGTTTAGTTCCACTTTCGCCATTTCAAAATTCAAATTGCCTTAATGTTTTCTTCTTGCTTCCCTTTTGTAGGCAGACTTTTCTTATCCTCATCCCAAATGTACATCTCTCTTTTCTAATAACATTAAACCTCTTCTAGAAAAATAAAGAGATAAAAAAGGGTTTGGTATCTACTTAACAACAACAATGCATTAAATGGGAAATGTATATTAAGGTTACAATTTCCAAGATCTACACATTTACAAAAATGAAGGTACACTTTTTTCGTTCAGTAAGTTTAAAATATACATGAACTCTATCAGAAAATGTTAAACCTAGACCCTATTGGCCTAGTATCAATGGAAAAACAGCTCAGTTTGCCATTCATTGACCCACAAAGAAATCCTTGTAGAGAACTTCACCCCCACTAAAATGTAAAGGTAATGATTTGAAACATTTCCAACACAAAATTCATAGAAAAAGAAAGCAAAGTATTGAGGACAAAAATAATTGAAAGAACAATCTTACTTCATCATCCTTTCCGTTCATGGGAAGAGAAGCCCTTGCCTTAGCTTTGGACAAAATTATCACATCTGTTTCTGCAGCATCGTGTAAGGACGCTCGAATAAACTCTGCCGAAAGAATGCTACAAAAGCAACACATTACATTACTAAACATCCAATACAGAACGAAACTCTAGCCTTTTCTTTCAAACATATACAATCCATTTTTAGTAACATATCATAACCAAAAGTCAACATTTCAAAGTTCAGAGTTGCAATGGACAAAGAAAATATGTTTAAATTATTTCAGAATGAGAAAATCAGAAAATAAGAATGGAATTAGTTCACAAGCCTAACTGTTGAAATAATGATTCATATAGGATGATTTGATACGATTTTTCACACAAAAAATACAGATTGGGGAGTGACCAGAATAACTGCATGTCCAGAGAATCATACAATTCAGTGTAGAAAACGTGAATCATGGTGTCTGCCAATTTATGATCCTCCAGTTGTTGCTAATTCGCACAGGTCAAGAATGTTGGTCAAGGACTACCCAAAGTGAAGAGTCATTTTTTCTTTTTTTATTGTAGAGAAAAGAAATAAGAACACGTCAGCAGAAAACATTGTTCTGCCTTAGTGTGTGAGGAGAAAACCTATTTTATTTATCTATTTCATCCAATCTGCCCTCCACTATGAGTGAAAGGATGAACAGTGTAAAGGGACAGCTCAAACGAATAAAACTTTGGGATTTGGAGTAGGTTCCTTACAAATTTACAGGTTTTTCCCTCATTAACTTTCACGCTTTGCCACTATCTAGTAATACTCAGTTTATTGTATAAGTGCTTCAATAAGTTGTGTATTCAAACGCACCCTAAATAATGTTTCAACCCATCCAAGCCATTAGCAGAGTGCAGATTGCCTTTTCACCCTCTAAGATTAATACAACAAAGCAGCTATCCAAACTTAAACAACTCAGCCTTATTCTCTTCCAATTATTACTCAGCCCTCTAAAACCAAGAAAAGTAGAAAACCCTGTTAATGGAATAAATGATCTTAAAACAAGTAAACAGTAGAATACATCACTTGGGGAGATCAGGAAATCATTAAAGATGTACCTGTTTATGGATTCTATAAAGCCTATTACATGATCCCTAAGATGACGAAAGCAATGCAGACCAGTGAGCTCATCTCCATCCTGCCAAAGTTACAGGAATTGAATAAGAGAAATTAGTGCAGAATTTTCACTTCATCTTTCAGGAATCCCACCATGCTATATCACAGATAAACTTCAAAGTAAACTAGCCAAGTTCACACACAGACTCATCAGCTAAGCATTAATCTTTAATCTCATCCACTTAAGTTTAAAACAATTAGATATAGAATATATGCCAAGACTGTGATTTAAAAGCATCGTATTCATAAGATACTATACAGTGATTAAAGGGATACCAGCAAATGTTGCAAATCGTCAGTCACATCCAGCGCTCCAGCACAATCTGCAGCCGCAACAAGCTATATCACAGCAAAACATATCAACTTTAACAAGCATTCCAGTCTTCAACAACAGCAATACACAAGCATAACCAAAATAACAAAGAAAACACAAAAAACTAAATATGATCAATGGTGAATTAATAAGGTATGACAACCTAACCAAACTACAACAACACTAAAATTAAACCACAAACAAAGTTTTCCCACAAAATCTTCACAATCCTATTCAGCATCGTTTCGACATTCACATCTCTCCACTCTAACACGATATATTCACAAAAATGTTTACCACAACAGTAAAAAGAAATTTCAGAATAAAAAAAAAAAATCGGAAACGAAAAAGGCATAAGTACCAATTTGAGAGCAGAAAGGGCTTGGTTGACGTAAAATATAAGCCTCAGTTTCTGCAAGAGCGCCAAGAGGTTCGTCCTGGTACCATTGAGCTCCTGAATCTGACGCGCGGAATGGACCAAATCGGCGTCGAGGAGGCGAATGGTATCCTTGAGGTGTCGAATTTGTGTGCAACCGTGGAGGATCTTAGCGTTGAGGTCCTGCAACTGACCCTGCGCTTCGAAGAACGAAGAGGAACGAAGCGAGATCTCTTTAACGAGGTGAAGCTCGACGACGTCGAGGTAGTGCGAGAGCTTCTCCTGCAGCATGAGGTTCTCGGAGACATTAGAGAAAGGACACGCGGCGCGGAACGTGGCGCCATCTTCCAAGCGAAAATCTTCTTTAAAGTAGAGCGAGGGAACCTCGCGGAGGCAGGCGACGAGGGCTTCGCCTTGGCCATCGGGAACGATGTCGTTGATCTCTTTAGTGGCGTGGTTGCGGATGTCCTCGAAGCGATGGTAAGGTTCGGAGATTGGGGAGAGGTAGGTTTGGAAGTCGGATCGGGAGATGTCGGAGGCAGCTTTGGCGGAGGCGATGGGGGCGAATTCGGGAGGAGCGACGGCGGTGGAGGAGGACCACCAGCCGACCCAAGAGGTTGCGTCGGAGGAGTGGGGGTTGTTGAGGATGGAAGAGAGGCTTTGGATTGCGTCGGAGTTTGATTTGGATGAGGAAGATGTGTGTGACCTTCCCCACGATTGTTGGGAAGGTGGGGAATCCATTGTTGGGATGGGTGAGGAACTAGTGATTGGGCATTACCATTACCATTACCATTACCATTAGCATTGCGATTCCAACTTGGGAGGTTTTGATTTGAATTTCATGAAGTGAATGTTGGGATCTGAGGGAGGGAGTGAGAGCGAGCGAGCGAGAGAGAGAGAGAGAGAGAGTCGAGGAGGGTGCTGTTTGCTTGCTTATGAATTGGATGACAGAGTGCTTTGTACGGGAAACCCGGGTTGGGATCGGGATTCTCAATCACCGGACTCTAGCCAGGCGTGCCTTCAAAAATCAATCACGCCACCATTGACACACGAGTTATTCATTGTTCCAACATTTTTAATTCCTGCAAAATTATCAATTTTTATTTTTTTATTTTATAAAAAATAATACAATAAAAATAGATATAAAAGAAAATGAATGTAAAAATATAAAAGTTATACGCATGATTAACCCATCACTATTACACGGCATTTAACGCATCTAGTTGGGAGATGGGTGGGTTAAGTGATTAACAAGGCAATGGACGCAAGTGAATTTAAGACGATGCAGAAGTGTATGTGAATTGAGGCGTTGGATATCACATATTGACTACCATTTTTGACAATCAAAAGCAAAGAGGAAAGAAAGATGATAGAAGCAAAACTTCTTCACCATCCAATTTATTTATATATATCAAATTATATTGATATAAATTACATTTATTTTGTATACTATTTAATAACCTTTTTTTGGTTAAAAATATAATTATAAAACTTACAATTTCAATCATATAAATAATATTTACAAGATTTTAGATCAATTAAAAATTATTTTACATCTTAATTATTTATATAAGGCAAAATTAATTAATATAGTATAATTTTTTAAATATAATAATAATAATTAATTCGCATATATTATATGGGCTATTAATTAATTTTCCCCTTCTTTCAATATAAGGGCCAAATAAATTTTAATATATAGTTTATGTAATGACAAACCGTGTGTAGAAAATCGAGAACAAGTATGTGACAAAAGAAAAAAAAAATGAGTAACATGATTTTCTCACGTAACATATAAATAATATGTTTGATTTGGATATTTAAAAAGTCAAAGAGTAATAAAATATTAAAATTTAAACATGCCAACGATAAAAAAAAATGGGAAATACTATTTTCAATTTTTTTAAATTATCAAATGTTAATAATTCTATTTTAATAATTATGCAAAAATGATAAAATTTATGTTTATTTCTATTTTTTAATTAATAATGTCAAAAATAAATAAATTAAAAATGTTTAAAAATAAATTTAAATGTATTTTAAAAAGTTATTTAGATTAGTTATATTATAGTGATTTAAAACCTAAAGCATTTAAATTTGATTCTATTTTTCACTTAAAAATAAAGTATTACTTTAGTAGTATGTTAACTTTTATTGTATATATTATTGAGATAAAATTTTAATTTTACTTAAACATTAATACTAAAATCTCCTACGATAGACATTTATATTTTAATTATTATTTTCGAAATGCTACTTCAATTAGTTTTTTTTTTTTTCCTACTAGCTAAAGTATTTTTTTTCATTTTAATTCCTTCATATTCTTTTTGTAATAGCTCCTGTGGCCATTCAATTTTGTTAGTATAGTGGTTAGTATTATAAAACACTGTTTCAATTAGTTTCTTTATCAAATTTTAATTACTATTTTTTTAGCTTTTACCTAAATTATTTACTAATTCTGTTAATACACCGAATGTGTGCAATTTTTCTTAAAAGCAGCCATACTCCACTAATTTATTTATATCAACCTCACTTGTTGCTATCACCATGCATTTTACCAACCAAATTAATCTATATTTATCCCTGCACTTGTTGCTATCATCGCTTATCAAAATTTGATGAGTCAAAACCGTAATATAACTAGTGTACGACTTATGTTATCTCCAAGTGTTTACCCTAAGTGTATGGTACATATAATTTTTGAGCTATTATCACTGTAATTTTCATAAATGTGAATGAATTTTAAAATATTCAAAATAACATCTATTATTCCTCTTGTTAAAGCATATCTCTAGCAAAATCTCAATCGTTAAGTTCACATTCAAGTATTGGAGAGAACAATAGGTAACTCTTCAGCTGGAGAAAACAGCTAGAAAAAAATTATAAAACTATATAGCATATGATTATATTAGGTTAAAGTGAATTAATTATCCTTTTAGAGAGATTTACGTCACCTTGAAATCAATGCTACGTAATTTGAATAGTATATATTAGAGAGAAATTAGATTGTATCAGTATAAGTTGCATTTGTTTTTATAATATTTAATATTTTTTATTAAATAATTTCATCCTAATACCAATCATTACATTAAAAATTTTACTAATATAAATTATTTTTATAAAACTATAAATTAAATTAATTTTGAATAGTTTAAATAATGAAAGTCTATATATTATGACGTGATATATAAAATCATTTATACTGTGTCTTTTCTTTCTAAATATCTATGAAGCAACTTTTAGATCTACTGGAGTAGAGAAAGTCTATTAAACCCGAGAATGTAAAGTTTTCTTTAACAAACTAATCACACTCGTGGTAGTTGTAAATTTCTGATAATGATAATGACTGATTAGTTCACACTAATTCATATATAGTATTAAAGTTTTTTTTTTTTCAATTCCTAAATTTAATTACCTTCAATGTGTAATATTTAAGTTAATTTTTTTAATTTTTTTTAAAAATTATAACTAGGTAAATTAATAAAAAAATTAAAAACACAAAACATCAAAAAAATATACAAAGATAAATTAAAAATTAATAAAAATGAAATAAAACAATAAACTAAAAACAAAAAATATTAGATAAAACTTTCATGCAATAAGTTTAATAATAAATTTTATATTGTATATAAATTGACAAATATAAATAAATTATTATTACAATATTAAATTAAAAAAATTATAATGTACACCCACACAAAAACTAGTTTCATATACAACTTTGAAGTTATAAACAATAAATATAATATGTGTGCTGGGCGTTCAAATACCTACCAAATTTATAATTATAAGTTGGTATTAAAAATAATAATAAACTCAAGAATTAGATGAGTGGAAATTTTTACAACTATTTTCCATACTTGTTTGAATTTTTAGGCCAAGTGTCCCATATCTCTGCCATGGTAAAGGCATATTACAATGAAAGAGAGATCTCAACTACATGTATCAGTGGCATGCAGTCTACTTTTTCACTATAAATTCTACTCCTTCGTGCCTTTCAAATTACGAACAAAGCATTTCTAGTTTTCTTTAATTTTCTCTGATTGCACAAAGATGGGGAAATTACATAGGTGTGTCGGAACACTCATTGTGTTGTTTCTATTGATGGTGGGAGTGATAGAATGTCAAAAAATGGAAGTTGAATTAATTGATGACGTTGAAGGAGGTGGTTTTGGTGAAAGTGGAACTGTGTTTGGTGGTGGTTTCGGATTTGGTGGAGGTTTTGGAGAAGGTGGTGACTTCGGAGGTGTTATTGGTGGTGGAGGAGGAGGTAGTGGCGTTGGTAGGGGCTTTGGAGGTGGCATAGGTGGTGGTAATTGTGGTGGCATTGGTGGAAGAACTAACGGAGGTGGTGTTGACGGGAGCATAGGAGGAGGGGGCGTTGGAGGTGGTCCTAATGGGGGGTTAGGAGGTGGCATCAGAGGAGGAGTTGGAGGTGGTGCTGGTGGGGGTGGCACTGGAGGAGGAGTTGGTGGTGGTGCTGATGGTAACATAGGAGGAGGTGTTAATGGTGGTGGCATTGGAGGAGGAGGCAATGGAGGCGGCAATGGTAGAAATGAAAGTGATGGCAGTTTCATAGGTGGCAAAGGTGGTGGGGTTTAATCTTAAGTTTTCTAAGAAGAAATAATCGAATGTGACTTAGTCCTTAGACGCACCATGCAAGTCCATACTATACGTGGATTAAATAAATCGGCAAGTTCTACGATGCTTGTCATTAATGCAAATAAGTTAATATGTGTTATTTATATAAATTTCAGTTTTATCATTATCTTATACTTTTGCTTAATTATTATTACTGTTATTGTTTGATCGTCTACACAGAGCTAAAACTACTAGTATAAGTTTCATACGAATTTAATTCAAAATTAAATCTGAAATATTTTCTTTAATTGGGTTTTGTCAATTTGATTATTTTAAGTGACACGAGAGTAATTTCTTTTTCTCATATGTAAAATTTACTCTTTTTCTCTAGTACATTGACGTGCCTGTTTAATAAGGAACACAGAGAGAATAAATAGACCAAAAAGATATATAATATACTCATTATTTAATAATTTATTTTTAAAAAGTTGTTGACGATAATTCATTGTTTATTTATTAGTTTAGTAGGTCGTGTAGTATGTACACTTTTAGCAATTATTCATTAAGATGTCTTTAAATTTTTTAAAAAAATAATAAAATAATAGAACTCAGCCAATAATTTGGACTCAATTTTAGAAGGTATATAAAAAATTACAAAAAAATAAAATTATTTGTTTGAAAAATAGTGTTAAAACAAAACAAAACAAGTATATAAGTAATTTTTTTAAAAAATATTTAGACCAACAGTTTCTCTTGCAGTGAATTTTTTAGAATTAAAAAAATAAAACAGTATTAAAAAAACCTAAAATGTAATTTTTATAATTTATTAATAAAATTATTTTATCTTTTATTCTTCCTAAACATTTTCCCCACCTTACTTTTTTTTTTTCTCCTTCTTTTTTCCCTCTTAGCTCACCCTCTCATGCATGATCACTCAGTACGTAAGCATTCTTCACTCCCTCGTACATGAAATAAATAAATTGTCCATGAATGCAAATTAAGTTAATATATTAATGACTTAAATCTGAGTTTTATCATGATCTTATTTCTTATCTTGGTTATTTTATACTTATTATTTGATCCTTTTATCCACACAAGGCCAACACAACTGATTTTAACTCATTTTAAAGAACTTGAACCATGAGTACCCACAGTTAGCTTGGCTGTACCTACTGTAAAGCCTCTTCAAAACAAATAATCTAACTACATGTTTACAAAGTCTCGATAACATTTACATGTCTCATTTTCCAGATAAGATCTCGTCCAGAACATGATTTTAGCGAAACAAGCAACCCATTCTTGCTACTAATGTAACTGATAAAGGACAAAACTTTATACAACTAGCATCACAAGCACTATTAGTGTTATTATTTAATTAAAATTAGAGTTTACATTAATAATTTACAAAATAAAGGTTAGCATCAAAGATAGACACACTAATAATGTAAAAATTTAACATTATTTAAAGAACAATTAAAAGTATTAATATATAAAACTATACTTAAGTCTTGTCTTAAATAAAAATGATACATTTATTTTTGTCAACAAGTGGAGTGTGTTTCTTCAAAGTGGCTCTAGTTTTATACTCTTGTATTTCACATGGAACAAATTTCAACAATGATTAGTGTTAGGAATAAACTCTTTAACTTACTTTTTTCAAGACAAAATCAATTATTGATTCAAAATTGACCACTATCTTTTAGTCTTGTTTATAAAAAAACATTTTTTAATTATTTTTTCAGATTATAAAAAACCAAAATTCATTTTTAAATATGTTGTTAGATTCTTTTATATCCTTATTTAATATAACACGTGTTAACAAGATATTCAAACAGAACCTTTTTAAGAGAACATATTCATTTATTTAATATACAAGTTACAAATTTAACTATTTAATACGATTAGTATTTTTAGAATATAATATAAATTTGTCATATAACCACTTCTTATTAATCGTGATGATTAATTTTTGTATTATAAATAAAACAAAAAAAATACAATAATGTAAAAAAAATTATTATATTAAGAGAAAAATACATATTTTTGGTGATTTTTTAAAATAAATTTGAACCAATAATTAAATATATTTTTAATATTTCTCTTTTACAATTTACAAGATCATAATTAATTAGTTGTCATAAAGAATATTAATGAAACACAAAAGAAAAAAAGAAAAATTAAATATATCAATATCATAAAAGTGCTATACTAGAAATACTGAATTTTTTAATATTTATTTCTCTTAATTTAGAATGCGACAAAAGAAACAGATAAGTGCTCTGTTTATGTTTTTAAGAATATATTATAAGATGTTATTAACGCACCTAATTCTATAATTTTAACAAATTTAATGTGATTTTTAATAATTTTTTATTTCTACTTCCTTAGTCAATTTAGTAATGGTTAACAAAACCTAAATATTATATATAACACTGAATTTATTTCAAAAATTTTACCACTTTCAAAAAATGTTCACAATTTTTTTAAGAAAATCTGACTAGTACTTTGAAAATACTGACTAAAAAATTATTAAATATAACTTCAAAAATATATTATGAATTACAGTAATGCAACAATAACATTTTTAATAATTTTTTCCTCATTTTAATTGTTTAATTGATAGGCTTAAGATTAGCATTTACCATTTTTAAAATTTATCTTTCCCTCTTATAACTTGATCAAAGAAGTTAAAACAAAAATATATTTATGATGTAAAATAATTATATTTTGTAAAATTCAAAATAAAACTATTGTTTCATAATTATATAAAAATTTAAACAATTATTTTAAAATAAAAAAAATAAAAGATGGGATTTTTTTTATCAGTACATTTATAAGGCTTCATACAAATGCATATACTTTAAAATTTAAATAAATTAAAATTACACTTTAAATTATACTATAAGACTCAATTATTATAATTTTTTAATAAATACTTGTAAAATCCAAAAAAAGATAAAATAAATTAAAATTTTATCATAAATTAAAATTAATCTTACGCATTTTTAACCTTCTAAAAACTTTCTTATTTTACTTTTCTTAATGTAGAAATGTATTGTTTTAGCTTAAAGAGACGAATTAAATTCATTTTACTTCGCTTATTTTCTCGTAAAATGACTAGTTGAGAAGCTCATGTCTATATACATTACTTTGGATGCAAATCTTAATCTCTTCCTCAATGGTCTAGCTAAGTTCAAAGACGAATATTGTCATACACGCAGCGCAGGAATAAAAATCTGTTTTCGCTAGCATGGACGAGACATCCAAAATATGCACGAAATTCCTAATGCAAAATCCTCAAATGGCACTTTCTTATGTTAAACCACACGCAGATCTAGCAATCAATGGCCTGCAATGATTATGGCATTAATAACTTTTATCTCAATATAACAATACTTGCACTAAGGACAAGCAAAATGTGAGATAACTGGCCTCAACAACTAAGTTTCCCAGATCAAATATGACTATACAGTGTTAAAGAAAGAATTTATGTTTCTATCTTCAGAAGGGAATTGAGGGAAGTACTATTGAATCTCTGAGCAAGTCCTCGAATCACCAGAACAATAACATCTCGAATGTGTCGGGACTGCACCATCAAGTCTGCTTCATTCTCACTGTCCACTACTATCCTTAGACGGTGTTGATCATTCCTGTAAAGCTCCACCTGTTACATTAAGATCAATACAAGTCAAGGATAAAATAATGTTGCAAAATAAATTAGAAAAAAATGAGTATTCCAAAGTCATCCAAACTTACATGAAAGGGAGGGGCATAACTACCCCGAATTTCTGTAGTTGGAAAAGAAGTCTTCGTGGCAGGCTTTACCACCTTGACCCTTTTCCTATTAATTTCAAGGATTCGCCTCTCATATGTGCCCACTGATGAAATCTGAAATTGTAATACCAACAAAATTGGAACAAGTTCTTTCTTGGCTTTTCCACCACTTAAAATTAATACATTCTAATTCCAAATGGAAACGTCGGGAGACTATTAATGTACCTTTTTTGAGGTTTGGTCTTTGTCACACAATACCTGTCACGGAAGACAAACAACGAGCTTAAAGAAAAAAATTACGGGAAAAAGAGGGACAAGAAAGATCAAGAAAGCCAAATTTTAGATGAGGTTATTCAATTAATAACATCTCAAACAGAACAGGTCAATGAGATACAGGAACATCCCGAAGGGATGAAACCAGGCAGTCAATCTATTTGTGACTTAGACAACTACAGAGCTAGAACTTGGAGCATGTAACTGAACACGACCACACTTAGGTCACCCTCAAAATCTTTTTCTTCTTGTTTAACTTTTAGACGTTTGTGACAGACATCTATATAGTTTCATGTTATAAATAAGCACCTATCAACTTGGTGGGACTAGAATTTCTAGACAGTAGTTAATAATTATTAGAAAAATTGAGCCTAATTCATTTCCAAAATGTAGCTCATAGAAGGAAGATTATCCAAACCTTATGACATCTTAACACCCTCCCACACGCCCAAGACTAGACATCTAAGACATAAATTTTACATTAACGAACATCTACAAGTGATCATGCATTCAAAATTTCAAACTAAATAGACTTTAATACAATATTAGAAAAATTAAGTCTAACTCGTCCCAAAAGCTAATTTATAAGAGGCTTGTCTAAACCTTATAAAGAATATTTTGGTCATATTCTTAGCCGATGTAAGACATCTTAACAAAAACTAATCATCCACATAAATACATCACAAAGGTTTTATTTTATTGGCATATACCTTATGATGGTGGTAGTGAGATAAAATAATCAACAATCCATTTTCAGAATATGGTAATGACAATAAAACCAACTTTTAGATATATCCCACCTCAAACTTCACTGATCCAAGATCAAGGTTCTGCTTCACTTCTTTAAGAACATCAGGCTCTGCATTGAATTAAAGGTCACATATAATTCCCAAGTTCATTAAGGAAACTCCTAGAAAAATTTTTGAACCAAAAACAATTCCAAATTATATGTATCCACAAACTAGAGAAGGAAAAACTGCAAAAGACAGTAGATAATACAGAGAGATGAAAAGATATGCACAAAAAGAAACAGCATTGTATTTCACATAGTTTGCAAATACAATAAAAGACCAGACCAGGTCACACCCAATTATTTGGAATAACCATACCTTATGACACTACATTAAGGTCCAAGATATGGGTTTCCTTATTCCAGTTATCTTATCCAGAAAGTAGACATGTTAGGAAAGTATGTCAGTGAGAGCATCAAGACTTGAATACAAAATCCTACTTGGTTTTAGTTACATATGATATGAGGAGATTTGAAGCAATATTTATACAACCAAAGAATTAATACTTAACAGATACAGATTCCTCTTGAGAAATAGAGATTAGAGGAATTGAAGGCCCAAACACAAGGCAGGATTGGTTCGTGCAAAAGAACCATTACTTGGAGGCTGTAGTTGGGGTACCCTCACAAATAGGATTTGATGGGATTAGTCTGATACCCACTTTTCTTGAGGATATCAGTACTCAAGATTAGTTGCCAAATATTTATTGCTTGTTTTTGTTAATCATAATTAATGAAATTCATAAACATTTATCTAAGACTACCAATAAACAAATGTTTCAAAACTCATCCTGGACTACTACATAATGTCAGAGTTAATTTAATTATACATTAAGCCTCATTAATAATTAGATAAAGACTGAGCTTACCAACTGCAATTGGCTCTGTTGATACCGAAATTGATTGGCCCTCTACTCCGTCCTCTCTTACAGGAGTATAGATGGCCACCAACCTATAGCCAACATCATCAACATTTGCTTCATACATCCTGCCTGTTTCCCCTGTTAATCATTAAAAAAAAATGTGAGTTGGATTAATGAGGATATAGTTCTAGGGCTGGAAAATGCATAGAAAATTACACGTACATATATATCTGTGCAACAGATTATTTTGAAAAAATAATGAACAAGTTAAACAATTAATAGCTATCAGGAACAACCACCCTATTATCATTGATTGTTTTGCTCCATGTTGTAATGGATTAATTCAAGTAACAAAGAATGCAAATGCAACTAGGGACTGTAAAGACATACACCAAACCAATATTTATCTATCTAAATATACATGCATGCATGCACACATGTAAGTGAAGAGAAAAGTCATCAGTTTAATCAAGCTTTTAGGTCATTCATGCACCCACTTAGAAAAAAAACAACAGGTCAAAACAAAAGGACAACATAAAATCTCAAAATATGCTATACAGTCCCTATGGCGGATGTATTAAAATTCAATCACAGTATTTCTCAACATCTTTAACATGAAACAGATATCAGTTTTAAGTAAGCTTAAGGAATTAGCATACCTGGTATAGAGATCAGGTCAGGACTTCCAACCATTGATCTAAGCCACTGGACTCTACTTTTGCCTTCTTTCCCACCACTATAAATGCCACGAACAGCATAGAGATTGGTATGAAATCCCCTTCCCTCAATCTCCAGCTTGTGTATTCTAGGAATCCCTAAAAAAGCACACATAATACTTACACAAAGGCAGAAAGCAGGAAAAAAAATGTATGGAAGCATGAATCACAAAAGAAATGGCAATAATGTTTAAAACACTATTTTCTTCATTACATAGTAAAAAAAACTGCATCTACTTCAGTGGAAAATGATAGGAAGTAGGGATGGCAATGGGTAGGGTATGGGTAGGGTACTACAGTACTCATCCCCATACCCGCGTTTTAAAAAAATACCCGTACTCGGCCCCATACCCGCATGGGTATGAACATTAATCCCTGTACCCGTACCCTCTGGGTACCCGCATACCCGTCTTGTACCATTACCCGCGCTTGTTTAAGAAAAAAATATTTATAAAAAAAATATGTTTATATAACTTCACATAAGTAGCATAATAATACAAAAATTCAATATGTAGTTGCCGAACAAGGTACAAATATAGATAAAAAACAAATATTCAAAGATCATAAACATTAAATGTATCTTAATATAATAATTTTCTAAACTAAAATTCTTAAAAACAATAAACAAAACTAAACACACAAGTTATTTGTTAGTGATAATCCTATCTTGTGTGAGATTTGATTGTTGTTAATGTCAGAACGACAACGAAATAGATTTGTACAATAGTTGTCCCTTCGTGTGGGATCACTTAGTAACCTCTTGTGTGACGACATTAACAACTAACTCTAACGAATAACATTTCATAGTTTTATTAAATTTTAGCGAGACAGACATTGAGAATGAGAATAGAGTTAGAGTAGAAAAATTCAATACTAACAACAGAAAGTTGATACATAAAATATTTTTTTTAACTTTTGAATTTGAAATTGTAAGAAAAATAATAGATCTAATTAAAATAAAATAATATAATATATATATATATATATTAATACTAGTATTTTTTAATTCATATACTATATGAAAATATTTTATCAAAAATATAAATTTTTAAAAAATTATTTTAGTGAATTAAATATTTATAATGTATATAAATTTAAAAAAAAAATTTGAATAAAAGATAAATAGTTACAATAAAATTTTATAATTAATTTTTTATTTTATATCTTTTCAAAAACTTCTTTGAATATGAATAAATAGTAAGAATAATATTATTTAAATTCAATAGATTATAGTTGTGTTTGTAATACATATGTTACATAGAAAAATATTATTTTAAATTAAAATATAAAAATAAAATTTAAATATTATTAATAAATAATAAATTTACGGTAATAGTAGGTGATTGTAAAATTTATAAAATATTTATAATATATTTATTATTTATCATTCACTTTATGATTTAAACATCAATATGATTTTATTAACAAAAATATTTGTGTAAAAAATATTTTATGTGTGTCATATATAAATAATATTTTAAAAAAAGTCAATCTTATATTAACTATGTAATAATTAAATTGTGTTAGCCTAATTAAATGATATAAAATACTAAATAAATTTTTCTATTAAAAATATAAACTAAAATAAATTTTTTAGTTTACTTTATTATTAAATATATTTTTATATTAATCTTATATAACTTTACATAAGTAATATAATAATACAAAAATTCAATACATAATTGTAGAATAAAGTTCAAGCATATATATATATATATATATATATATATATATATATATATATACGGGTATGGGATGGGGTGGGTACTTAGATACTCATACCCGCACCCATCCCCATTAAAATTTACGGGTTTTTACCCACACCAATACCCGTATAGCGGGTAAATACCCTACCCATTGTGGGTAAATTTTGCGAGTGCCCATCGGGTACTTTACTCATTGTCATCCCTAATAGGAAGAGGAATCATATGGCTGAGGATAGTCAATCCAATTTCAGTTTTCCAATAGCAAAATCATTGTATATTACCTTTGAGAAAGGGAAACAAGTATTTAAATGACAGCAACTTGAATGCCCATGAAGTATTCATTATCAGCCTGTGATTGCAATCATCCATTGACACCATAAAAAGATAAAACAAATTCTACGATCACTTCATAAATGTTCGAAACCAGGCATGAGGTTGATTGCCATTTTCTTATTGAAAAACTATAACAGAAACTGATTTTCACATCATGCGTAAACTGGAAAACTGCTGGTTGACATGTTCACTAAAGCTGTTGGTTGTAATTAGGTTAGTTATATTTTTAACAATCTGGGCATTGTATGCTGGAGAGAGTGCTATAATAGAGTTATATTGAGTTTTATTTGGACAGGGCTGCATTCATTCTACATTTGTATCCCATTCTCTCTATTATTCTCTCAACACAAAAGACTGTTGTTCAAAACATGTCAAGAAGACCTAGCTAAACAGGCAGAGTAAAAAGGCATGTTCTTTTGAGTTGAAAATGCAAAGAGGAGAGAAACTGTAAAGCAAGAATGCTTAAGTAAAAAAAGCAATTACCTGGCAATACAGGTGTGGTCTCAACGCACACAGCCTCTCCTGACCTTCCAAACACATCAGTTACGACACATTCACATTTCAATCGACGACCAATATCCTCTAGCCGCACCTTATAGGAGCAAGAACTCTGATTGGGTAATGGATCATATGAAAAACTGTCTCCCACTTCTGATGAACAAAACCTGCAATGATGTTGATGTGATACAAATAAATCAGCTTTGATTAGAAAAATTGCCGAGTTTGCAACAGCATTGTCTGATAATAAAAGTGAATCACCTCAAATATAATTATTACTTTTAGATGTATTAAACCATTCCAGGCCATTGCCTAGAAGCTTAAGCTTTTTGGGAGAGTTGACCATTGACATGGGATGGGGTCTCTATATAACATGGACAAAAGTGTGATCCGTGATGCCCCCACATTCTTCTAATTTATAAGATATTGAATACAAGGTGAAGAGGGCATGTGTCATACACAATTCAAACCCAAAGCACTCTTGGATAAGGGAACATGTTAGAGAAATAAAATAATTCCAGAGCCATCACTTCACTTAACAGCTTAATCTTTCAAAACACCCAAGTTTTTGACATCTAATATAGTATGGCATAGAAAATGCAATATATAACAACACATCTTAGCATGAGATAACAAGTTTTGAAACCCAATAGATATGTTCGCATGAAGTAAAGTATATATAGAACTCTTCCATTGGACCTAAAGAATGGCAAATGGGGATGTGGAGTATCAATACTTTGCAAGGTAAGAAATATGGAACAGGATAACCATGACACTTGTTGAGAACTCACATTGACTATGGATAAGGCCAAGATAAGGCCAAAATAGAGCTTATAAAGGCTTGGCTATCCTCACCTCATAAGCCAGTTTTGGAGATTATTTTTTACACCACCTTTTTCGATATTCGGGCGCCACCCCCCTTAATTATCACTTCAAGCATTTAAAAACTATTCATATTATGTTGTGTTTCATTTTTTAAAGTATTTTCATTCCGACAGCTATATTTGCTGTAGCAGCTACTCAAAGATCTGCTATACTGGTATAGCATTTTTAAGGTTGGCACCTCTGCACTGTCATTCATAATTAATTATTATTGTAAATGAATCTCCCCTGGCAAATAAAAATCAAGTTTGTTCAATGAGACAAGTATTACTATGCTGCATAGATATGGTGTACATTGCCATACCATTGGTATCTTATATCTTTCATGTACTTGCTCCAAACAAGTTGTTGAGCCTCACTATTTGGAATGACTTCAACAGCTGTAAGTATGTCACCTTCAACTGCCTTTCCTGTCAAAGCAAGCATCTCCACATTCGGAAGCTCTACAGAACAAAGCAGAAACCACATTTACTTTCCAAGAACAACTTTAAAATCTTCAAGGACAAAGGTGATTTACTGTTTAAAAAAAAAGTGCAACAAAACAAAGTACAGGGTTTCACAAACATGAGACATGGTTACCTGGGAAAACAACGTCAGTTGGATCAGATAACCTAAGTTCTCCCACAACAGAATCTGAACGAACTGGTGTATATCTGGGTGGGGGGAAGAAAGTGTTAATATCAAAAGGATATAAAGGATGAAAGATAACTTAACTGTTTATCTTGTTGAAATTATAGGGTTTAGGTAGGAGAAAAAGATACAAAGGATTGTCTCAATAATACAATATTTAATTGATATGGGCATATAATGCTGATACAATACTAATCCAATAATTCTATTTATGCAACAATTAGGTCAAACACCAGTGTAATGATATTACCACAAGCCCAGTCTACTAGTAGAATAAGATGACGTTTGGAAGAACTTCTGTAGAGCTTATGAAAATAGCTTATGACTCAACTTTTTTTAACTAATGTATCAAAAAAGCACTTTTCGGTTTATTCTATTATTTTCATAAGACCAATTGAACCAGGAACCAGTCAAGTGTTTGGTCTATTAAACCTAAAAAAACCAACCAATTTCAAAATTCATGAGATTTGGCCAAGAACACCCATATGCATGAATATGGTCAGTTTATATTGGTTTAAAATTTAATTTTTCTTAAATTCTTAATATTTTATGTTAATTTGTTACTTAACATAATATACAATATTAAAAATCTATCCATAAATTTAATTATCATCAATTCAACCAAAATTGTTACTGAATCATGAATCAATACCTTTACCAGTTCAATAGTCGATCCATGTTAATGTATGTGTGGAATTCAGATTTCTTATTGTATAGTCCTTGTTATTCTGTTAGATGACAGCTGTCAGTGCAACTAATATTCTATTACACTAACTGAATTAGGTATAGCAGTTAGTCTTCTCTTTCTTCTATACTCAATAAATAACAGTCTTCTATCTGCATTTTATTTTGACTAGCATTTCAATAAATCAGATTTTACATTTTCTCTCAACTCCCTTTTCTTCTCTACATTTTCTTCTCATACATTCTAATAATTCAGTTCTTAAAAACATTGATCTAAACAAATTTATTCCATAAGCCTTAAAGTGATAAGACCTTAATGAATAAGAGCTTAACTAAGCAGCTTACCCAAACACTCTCAATCCTAATTAAATAAAGTAATATTAGAGAACAATCAACTATCGAATAACCTCTACAAATTTAAAGCAACAAAGACTGAAAAGATGAAAAACTAATTATCCTTTCACACTTTCAAGTCAAAGTTAAACAAATTAATGTTTAACACGACATATCATACACTATCTTCATGGTCAAACATGAAAAGCTAAAAATTTACGTAGAATAATTACCCAAACAACAATCGACAATTGTAATCTGAATCAATAACTTCATAGATTTTTGAATTTGCCCCACTAATCAGCTCAATGGTTCCCTCGTTATTTTCTCTATACCAGCTAAATAAGCTTTCTCCTTCATGTCCACCAAAATATTCACCTTTGCCAGAATAAATTCCCAAAGACAACACTTTCACCCGTACATTAGAAACTATCGGAGGAGCTGCAAATCATTAAAGAAGTCAGACAATTAATGTGCTAAATACTACCCGTGTTGGATGTCAGTAATTAAAAAAAATGACAATCTAAAACTCAGTTATGCTCATCATGTGCCCAAATGCACACAGATTACAGTGGCACATCCTACAAATAGAGGTATAGATGCTGCACACAGCATCCACATCAGAGTAATTTTCAAACCATGTGAAAAAGAGCTATCATTAGGGATAGTGAATAATGAACTTCAGCTAAGAACTGCAGTGATACCAGGGGAAACTGGGGTACTGGAAATTGCAATCAATGGGTCACCACATTTTCCATCTGCACGGGTCGGCACCCAATACAAAGCCAAATAATCCCTAACATCTTTAAGTGATGGTTTATACATCCTGCCGTGTTAAGGAAAATAATCAGAAAATCCTCAACATCAGGTACATTTTCTCATCAAAATCACAATACAATGTGTCAATACTTACAGCTCTGTCCCACATATTACAACATCAGAAGCATTAGATATATCTAGTAGTGCAGATCCTTCAAGCTTACTCTTTGTCTGATACCAAATATACTCTCCAACCCCTTCATGTCCACCAAAATATTTTTTCTGTGGCATAAGCTCTATGTCTTCGCAGCAGTCGGGAATTACAAGGTCCATTCCCTTAGGATCCGCTGTGCACAGGAGATCAAGAAATTACATTAGGGATGCATAACACAAGGCTTATATCTCATTAACAAACTGTTGAAAGAGACAAATTAGAGGCATTACAAGAAACTGTGCATTAAATTGAAGAAAAGACAATACTTACAGGGTGTGATGACATAAAAGTAAAGGACCCGGGAGCACAAAGACAAATGTTCTATGTTTCATTTTAAAAATGGTCATGCGACAGCATCAAAGAAAGAATGAAGTACCAGGCAAAACGCATAAGTTTTGCTACTTACTAAGCTGAGGGACAACTTTTTGTCCTATGCACAACAATAATAAAAAGACAGGAACATCTGACCACTTCCTCCCTATTGATCCCCCCACCCTCCCCTCTGATCAAAACAGCTGCATAGCAACTACCAAGCTGATAGATAACCTCATAGTTTGGTAGAGGTATAACTAGTGTTAAGAGAGTTAGTTAGTGGCTGATATTTGATAGCTGGTTGGCTGAAACAGAAGAATTATGGCAGATTGCTAATAAATAAGAAGAGGGGTTGAGAGAGGGGGGATCATGTCATTTAAGAGGAAATTGGAACCTTTGGGCATTGGGTGGAGCAGACCCTCAACGTTCTGCAGCATTCAAACTTTGTAATTGAGGTATATGATATCCCTATACCATTCTAATTAGATACCAGGTTCCTATCACTATCAATTGGTATTAGATGTAATACAAATTCAAGATGGTGTCAAAAGACTCAAAACCTATTATAGATGTGATATTGAACCACACTCAACCATCCGAAGATGAACTTGACTCCATGGATTTCCCAGTACAATGAACTTGGCCCTGTGAAATTCAGAAAACAATCCACCTGACCCGCAACATTCCCAATGCAATGTACCTGACTCAGCACCTTTTCTGGTGTAATAATATAAAAAAATTAGTCATATAATCTCCATGCTCTAGATGCCCAATCTTAGGCATGAGGGAGATGTATTGAGATCTCGCATCAAACCATAGATATGTCCATTGTAGAATTCATGTGTTTGGGAAATCCTCACTGACTAAGGATGAGTTTGGCCCATCTAATATTCAAGAGATGTTTTCCTCAAGAAATAATCAACACGTTCATTGTCTATAAAGACAATTTTTCAATACACTAAATCTAGTAAAGGTACCCTTCAGCTGAATGGCAATAGATGACTAGTAGAGCAACCAACCAGTGGGAAACACAGTTGCCAAAAATATGGATCAGATATGGTTAGTAAATCCATAGGTATACACAATCAAGGACCTCTCTTTTAGTTCTAGAAGATATCACATTGAAAAGGAGAGAAAAGAGAATAATTTACAGGAAACAGTGTGATATTAATTATATAGAGTACAAACAAAATATTTACTGGACTATAGTATAGTAATAGATATAAAGATCCTAACTGCTTTAGTCAAATGTTTTGATTATTTCTTTACAATGATCGTTCAAGCAAGAATTACATTGATTCCAACACAAACAAAAGGTAGGCAAAAATGAAACCCATTTCAAAATTTCCTAACATTATCAGTGTGCAAGCAAGTTGGATGGTTAAAATGGAAAAAGGTATTAAAACTTTTTTGTGACAGCACAGCATCTATCAAGTGAAAATAAAATTTTTTCATACTGCAACATGATCGGTTATCTCATATGGTAGTAAATGTTAGGTCTCAAAAGAATAACACAAGAAAAAAGTGAGAATATTAAGATGAATGAATGATCGCACGAGAAATAACAAAATAAAAAATGATAATTTACATGAGAATATTAGAATAACACCTATAATGAAAAATATAATTAAAAATCATTTAAGATAGTTTGATGACGTGCAAAAAAAGCTTTTGAAAATACAAGTGAGAAGAATGAATTACATGACTTTGAATTCGATAAAAAGAAGAAGAAGAAGACACAGAATTTTAGATGCAGCTATTACATAAACTTTTTGATAATCAAATTTTTAAAAATATGGTTTTTGAATATCCTCAATAACATCGTGTGCTCCATGTAGCTTACTTCACCTAATAGAATAAAGCTTGTTTGTTGTTGTTGCATTAGTGTGAAAGCACCAACCAAGGCTCATTTTCCAAACCATTAACTTTTAACAAGTTAAAACATATGAACATTTGGTAGCAGTGATTAAATGACACTGATAAAACTGGTTGTATCTTAGATTCCACCAAAAAATTCAGGCCATTTTTTTTCAATTTTAGCTATAAATAAAATATATAATCTGTCCAATTTAACAATTAAAGCAATTATACCTGGAGAAATCCGATCAGATACAATGCTCTTTGGGCTGCCTTTAAGTCCATCCTTGCGCACAGGGGTATAGACTATTTCAATGGATGCACCAATATCCTCAAGCGTCAACTCCAAAAAATCTGCTAAGCATAAGTATTAAGCATTTACATCTGCCACTATAAATAAATAACAACAATATGATAAAAAAAACAATACAAAATTCACCATTGCTGCTTATTTTCTCTCGCACACCATTGTCTTTTACCCTAAACCACTCATGGGTACAACCTCCTTGCTCTCTAAAAGGCAAGCAACAATTTTCCATGTCAGCAGAAATAACCATATGGATAAAATGAAAGTCCTACAAGTAAAGACATGAAGTTATATGCGGCAGATAACAAAAGCCTCACCCTCCACTATACTCAAAATTAAAGTTCAACCGCTGCCCTTCTATCATTGATCCAAGAAATTCCAGAGAACGACAAGTTGGGGGACCTAAATTTGCAAAATAAAGCAACTGTCATTAAAATTGTCTAGCCTTGAAAAAAAAAAGGCGTCAAGAGCACACTAAGAAAATAAGAAATGACAAACACCAGATATTATAGGTCCAATTTGTTGAGACAGAAGCATGGGTCCACGAGCCCAATCATTTCGAACAGGTTCACATGAAACAGAAATAAAGAAGCCAATGTCATCAATTGAGGGCACATATGATTCAGTAGTGGCACCCATAATTTCATTTTTCGTGCCATCAGAACTGGTCTGCATAGAGCCATGAAATAATAAGTTAAGAAACCAAATATAATAGTAGCATCAAGACTTTAGTAAAAGAAACAATACATCCAATAAAACAAGTCAAACGACTAATAGAAAGCAAATTAAAGGAGAAACCAAGAATTTAAAGTGCAAAATCAAAAGAAAGGGAGGGTAGGAAAAGGTTAGTACTAGAAATAATCTTTCTAAACTGTGTTTTAAAACCATCAACTAAGGGTATGTTTGAGATAGTTGTGACGGTTCCTTTTTTTTTTTTTTTTCAAATACAAAATTCACAACAAAACATGTTTTGACTAAAATGGAGTTTGAACTCAAATTCAAAACAATTTTCCTTAGTTTTTAAAACAAGAAAGAAAAAAAAGGATTTTTTATTTTTAGCTATTACCAAAATTTCAACTATCATATCTCTTAAAATACAATTACCATCAACATTGTCTTTGTCATTGTCACCACCAATTAACTCACTATACAATCAGCACCTACTACCACTAGCCAATGATTATTTTCACCACCACTACCACATTCATCACAACATTTATTGCACCATCACCACCACAATAGTCACCATGGCAACCATCACCATCACAACACTCATTACTATTGCTCTCACCACCATTAACAATGTCACCTTTACGACAATCATCATTCATACTGCTACTATTGCCGCTGATGTGGGCCCAACCAGTACCTTTGTCAAGTCATAAACACTATCATTCACATAGTCACTATCAACCATCATGCTTGTTACTACTGTAAAATGTCTCAATGGCTAAAAATAAAGACAAGATACTTGTTATAAGGCATAGAGGTAGCCCTTCTCTCCTCTAGGATTTTGTCATCTCCCCTCCTTGTGAAAGAGTTAGTCTTTGTGCCACCACACATCTATAAGATCGACCGATTACTCCTTTGATATTAGAACATCTAAATACAGAATTTTGGATTCTAATTTTCTTTTGAATATTTATTAATTGTTTTCATGATTATGTTTGGTTTTATATTTCCAATAGTATGAGAACTTAAATCTACAGCCAAGAAATAAAGTGGATCTTATTATGTAATTTGGTTTTGAAACCTTTTTCTCTTAATGAATGTCTATCTGTTTTATTAATTGAGTTCACCTTGTTAAGTTAATTTCATTAGCAAGAACTGATCGGTCTTAATAATTTTTAACTAACTAAGAGACAATCATAACATTATCCAATCAATGGATGAATAAAGCAAATCGAATCTAGGATTTTAGGATCAATTAAGATTCTAATTTTTTAATTAGTTATCGAATTAACAAATTCATTGAATCTTTATGTTTTTCTCAATTAATTGTCTTCCATGATCATTAGTGATAACAATATAAAAAAATAATAGTATTATTATGTAACAATTGGACTATAATAGGATTAGAAAGAGTAATTAGTAATTAATTGAAACAGCACTCATAAGAAAATTGGAGATAAAATTAATGAATTTATAAGTGAACCCAAAATCCCAAGGCTTTCTAAAATTGGTTTCTACTGTGGTGTTTGTTTGTGTCGCTATTCTTTTATTTTCCATTCATCTTTCTAATTTTAATTCCCTTCATTATAAACTTCAATCCAACAACCATTTTGTTAGTCCCAATAATCGCAGATTTAAAAGACTTCATGCATGTTGAAATGGTTTCTATGGAATGATACTAAGTTTTAAATACTTTTTACTACTTCCAACAAATATTCTTGTCTACAAGTAAAACCCTACAACAATGTCATACCAAGAAGAAATGAATTCCAAACATAAGGATGTGCAAACTAAAACATTAGACTTTAACCATTCAGAATTAAAACTTAAATTCAATTAAAAAAACATTGACAACAAAATTAGTTGAGATTATAAGTACCCTAAGCCAGCAGTAAATTGAATCTCCCTCTTCACCACCCCAATACTTTTTTTCAATTTGTAACATTGTTCCTTCAACAGCATTTCCAACTATGTGTAAAGAAAGCAATCTCGGGCTTCCTGATTACCAAGAAACAACCTCACAATGAGAATCAAAATACATGGGCATGGCCCATTGAATGCAATAAATAAATCAAAAGTGAAGTAAAAGGCATCAGTAAATCCTATGACCAAAAAAGGGAAGCAATCTAATCGCTTATGTGCCATACAGAATGGATGAGATCATTTGACGGAATTGGAGGGATGAAGCTATCTTAGTCTTATTTAAAATTATTTAATAATTTACAACTTCAAGGTTTGAGGAAAAAGCCCCATGTGATTAATCAGGCAACACAAGTATATGTCTATGTTATGTACAGTATTAATTACAGCACGAGTATTGCCTAAATTAGACTTAGTGAGCACTAATGGCCTATAAGTCAGTAATAGCAAATACTACACATACATGTACCTAATTTAACAATTTTACTATTATGCACTTTCCTTATGTAGGGTATGGTTCTAGTCTCTCAAAGATGTACTTTACTATTATGCACTTTACTACATGTTCCCACCCAAGATGTACAGATTAAAGTTCGTCTCTCCTTAGGCTCTAAACACCACATTGAAAGAGAAAAAAATGAGAGAACATGTGAATAAATCTGTGTTTCAACCACACAATATATTGATAATAGCAATAATTACAGAATATTAAGTTACCTAAGTAAAATAATTACAAAGATAAACTTGTCTTATTACTATAATTACATATATTAAACAATAAACACTCTCTATACAAGAGAGTTTGATTTTTGTAGGGTGTTATCAAATATAAAAAATCATTCACTTCAAGAATCAATCCTATAATTTCTACAGTACAAATGTCTAATTCTAAGCATGAACAGATGTGTTAAGATCCTACATCACAACAGATATAACCAAAGGGCTTATAAAGATTGATGTAATACTCATCTTATGAGTTAACTTTTGAAATTAAACTGTATAAAGTTCAAGGCGACTAGTGATGGAGGTGACAAATGCATCATAACCATCAAGAATCACATCAATACGTATGGGAGGACAAAATCACCAGCAAAAAACCGAGTAGATGATGCCTTTGATAAAAACAAGAATCGAAACATAGAATGTGTCTTTCTTCATGTTATGGAGCTTAAATCATAATTGACGAACTTTCACAGAAATGTGAGTTGAAGAAATCACAAATCTCATCCTAGAGTAACCATGCTTGAGGGAATCCAACAACTCTGGTGAGAATAGATTCAAAAGAAGAGAGGAGACAAGAAAAAAATTGGTCACATGATTCCCGCAGTGGAATGTGGATAACTTACATTGCATCCACAATGTTACAATATTCTTTGCTGAGAAACATGTGTGGAATTTATGAATTAACTACTTAACAATGAGCCTTGATTATAGCTTCCACCTAATATTTCCAGAGAAGGAAGATTTTCTCATCAAGATGTACTAAGATGGTTTGTGAAAAAGTAACCAGGGTAGTTGCAAATGGTGGACAACCATTGTTAGTGGCATTGCATAGAATGTTCTAAGCAGTCATGGATCAAGCTATATATACCATGTTGAAGTTCTACAAACTCAGATAAAGACAGCAAGAGTAAAAGAAAGTTGAGAGGATCTGAGTGTCCATTATTATTAAAAATGATACAATTGTGTCACTAGATAGAGTTTGTTAGGTCTAAGCTAACTGATTATATGATTCTGTTACAAGACAGTTGTTAGTTAGAATTAAAGTACCACACTGCACTCTAACATCTAGACTAGTTTTTTTTGTTTTTTTTTTTTAACTTAAAGATTCTTGATCGGCCAATTTTTGTACATCTCTCAATATATACTTCTAGGGTCAAAAACTTCTAGTAAACATGTCATTTATGTGAATACACACACAGGTGCACATGCACACAAATATATATAGAAATAAACCAAATTCATATTCATATTATTTTTCCACATATGGAATGTATTACCAGGGCGAACACGTTCCTGGCCCATGCAAATTTTTAGGTCACCTACAACACCATCATCACGTACTGGAGTACACTGGAATGATATGAATTTCCCAATGGCTTCTTTGGTAATACGATATTGCAATCCTGAAACCTCTGGTATCAAAGAACCTGAATCACCTTCACCCTGTACAAACCCAAAACATATTATAACATAAATCTTCTACTTGAAGGATAACAATAACAAATAGGAATACTTTTCTATTTATTTCCAGTAGGTCAAATCTATACCTATTTTACAACCCTACCTATTTCCATAAGATTTTCTAGTAGGTAATCCATTTTTTTTCCATTAATTGCAACAAAAGCAAGGGCAAAAACGCATGAAGTAAAAGGCATGAAACAAGTAGGTCTATGCAACTAGTATATTAACAAGCTTTCACTTTATCATAATACTTAATTTTAAAAATTTGTCACATAAGATAGCCTACCCCTTTCCCCAAAAATTTACACGGAAGGGAAGATGGAGTATACAAATGGACATATCCACCAAGCATTCTGAAGGTTTTCCTACAGGCAAACTTGCACAATGGAAAACATGGTCCATACCATATTTTTCAATCCTAGACAAAAACTTTGCAATTGAACCCAAGATTGCTATAATGAGATAGGAGATAACACAAAAGCCACTATAGTGAAGCCTTTAAATACAAGTTAAATAAAATAATGTCATGATGTTCTATCATAAACCGCTATCCTTTGTAACAGTTTCGCCTTTAGTTTTCCCTCAAAGTCTAGCAACTAAGTTAAGCTTTATTTCATTTACCCTCCTTGCTAGAGCTTCTATAGATTTTTTTGACATGTCAAAAACACGTTTTACACCCCCCCCCCCGCTTTTTTTTTCCAATTACATTCATTTCTAATATCTTCTCTAGTTATGTCCACTCCATCAATGCAACATTCTCCTCTCTACCACATTAACATGAAATCAAGAGTCAATTTTCATTAACATTATCAACATACCTCATGCAAATTATCTCACCTAACTAACTCACTAATGAATAACTTATTGTAACTACTATTGGTGTTACCTAATTTATTCATCATTGTCCACTTTCCTAGTTTGATATCACAAATGCATTCCTTCATTCTGAACTCACAGAAAAGGTTTAGATGGAGCAACTTTGTAGATTTGTTGCTCAAAGGGAGTCCTGAAGACTAGTTCATCATCAATAAAATATCTGTGTACAACCTAAAATGATCTCCTAGGGCATGTTTCAACAGGATCAACACAGTAATCCAACAGATTGGTATGATTCAAGTGAGGTTGACCACCCAATTTTCTATTGTTGTTGAATCACATGACTCAGTTACTTGGTTATATATGTTGACAATATTGTCATTACAATTAGCAACCATGACAGTGTTCAATATATTATTTATTATGGTTTTCTTATAAGTTTGAGATCAAATAATTTTTTTTATATTATTTCATGTCAATTGAATAAACACAATGTTCAATTATATTAGATGATATTTACATAATATGATGTTATCCATACAATAGATGCCCGCTACTAATTGAAATGGGGACAAATACGAGAACCACTTATTATCCCTACTCTGCCACATCATCATCCCTACCCCAATTATAGTGTTCCATAACACCCAAAACATTGGCATAGATCATCATTTTATGAAGGAGGTTTTATCACAAAAACAAATAGAATGCTTTGTTACTAATTCTAATTAGGCCAAAAGCCAATCAAGGAAGTCACTAGCTAATTACTATTGACCTTTCAGGCACATTTTGCAATGCATTTACATCGTCGCTATGATACAAATGAGATTCCCACAGCCTTTATTAAATATAAGTACATACCTCATGAATATACCAATTGTATATACTTTTCCCTTCATGACCTCCAACGTATCCATATGATGCCGTCAATATTCCACCTTCACTATAATCTCCAATGATAGATAAGAAATTCAAGCTCGGGGGAAGAGCTGTAGAAAAAGCAAAATGTTGTTACGTTGAACTTAATATAGTTGCAAATTTGAGAGGGAAAAAAGATGAATTTGACAGAAAATTCAGTTTTGGTAGATTACGGGATTGATATTCTTGATACCATATGACAGAACAAGAACAAAGGGAAGTGAGAAGAAACAAGTACACCTACTCTCAACTGCTTTATCAGATATCACAAATGCTGGTTCACCAGAATCACCATCAGGAGTCATGGGTGTATATTTTGCCACAATGTACGAGCCCACAGCTCCAAGAGGTATGCGGAATGCCTGATAGGTCAAAATTGGAGCTAAATGATGAATAGGGCAAAAACTGGTGTCCTGTACTAGAAAAATGTGTAACTATATGAACACCACCCCCCCCCCCAAAAAAAAAAACCTACTTTAGCAATTTTGGAAGTACTTAATGGTTCAAGACTGTTTTCATCCAAAGTTGCCGAACATGTTTTATACCACTGAACTCTGCTAGATCCTTCAGTTCCTCCAGTTACAATACCAGTTGCAGTAACCTTGCTATTCTCTCGCAGTTCACCAATTATTTTGAGATTCATTACTTTAGGGGGTGCTGAAATTGAAACAGAATCATCATCACCACATTCAAATTGTCCATATAAATCAGCAGCATTTCATTTTTATAAGATCACAATTAAATGTTTCATTGTGTTATCAGAAGAATGGAAAGTACTAAACACATAAGTAACATAATATGCATATAATACATTTAGATTCTTCAAAGAATGAATGGTGTTGTATCAAATATGCATAAATTACTTTCAGAATTCTAAGTGTGAAAGGGGGAAACCATTTTTCTGAGATGGAAACAGAAAATTCCATAGGGGAAGATATAAAACTCAGGACAATCAGTATAATGCATGAAGAGAACAGAGAAAAAAAATATTGAAGACGAAGACCCCTTTTATAGATTATAATAAAAGGATTATGCATATAAATGCTGAAATCAAAGCAAGGTGAATAACTCTTCATCCTATCACAAAATAACAGTAACATTATACTATCCAGAGTCAGCAATGACACAAAATGAAGATGAGTGTCAACGAACTCTCAACAGCTTAAGTGGTTAGGCAGAAGCTCAAGATGGATTTATATATCCAATACACCCCCTCATGTAACAGCTACTACTGCTTGATATGTTGATAATCATAGGCTCATTGTAACTTGTACTGAAATTTAAAGGAGTCAACAAAACTTCTGACTACTATACACAGAGGCTTAAGTCAAAGGCCAAATCTTAAACCTTAAGTCATTAGACAGAGACCTAGGAATGGCTTTACACCTCTAAGAATGAGAAACTAGTACAACATGACAAAGAAATTAATACAAGCATTCCAATTTTATAAATATATCACAAGCCACAGCCAGTGCCATGTAAAAAATATTATCATCTGCTACTACAAATAATATTATACAATGGCGGTGACAGAGAAAACAGAAGAACTGAAGTACAGGAGACATTGCTTATAGTCGTCAAGGTACCTTTTCTCACAACAGGAGACAAAACTGACATTGATTTTCCTTCCTGACCTGAAAAATAAATCAATGAATGTTACAAAAAGACATGACAAGTAATTGGAAAGGATATATTGATTAAGTCAAGATGCTAAACCTTCGAAATTAATAGGTATGTATACAAAAGCTAAACAACAACCAACATCCTCTTTGGTCAAGGTGTACTCAGATGTACCAGCTGACACTAACAAAAAACCTCTGCACCATTTTGCCACAATGAAACAAGTGTAAAGAGTTCAGTAAAGTGCAGTAAGAGGCTAAAGAAAATAGAAAAGTTTTAATCAAAATAGAAACAGGAAATATCCCCAAAGCACTATAATGAATGCAACAAATACTTTCCAATTTGCAAAGCACAAATCAAAACAAAAGAATAAGATAAACGAATTTTAAACTTAATACTTCCATGACCTTCAGTGAAGCACGATGAAAAGAACACTAACCCAGTATCACTGTTCTCCCGTAACCATTCAAACTTGCTGGGACCCTCCCTTCCACCAAAATAATCACCAACTCCTTTCATGGTATTTCCCTCAACAGCATCCCCAACTATTCTAACATTACTGACTGAAGGAGGAGCTGCCATATAATAAAAAAATGGCAATCACAGAACAATTAGACATTAGCATAAAAATGGAGTACTTCAAGAACACTGATGACTCCATGATCTCACTTATATCTAATTTTGAATCAATGCCAACTTAATTACTTCCAGCTACAAAATTAATCACATGTTGACAACATCAATCTTCAAATCCAATCATTTCATTCATAATAAGTCATTAAATCAATCCAATATATGCTTATCATTGTTCATCTATAAATCCAAGACTTGAAAAAGCAGCACATAAAGATAAATAAATTAAATTTCTGTAGAAATTATTCAAATTAAGTCTTACTCCTATCCAAATATAAGCAATCTAGGGTGAGCAGATTTTAAAAATATACATGCTGAATTATAAGTGGCACTGTGGCATTGTTAATGGCAGATGGTGGAAGCCAAAAATCCACCACAAAAATATGGCAGATGCTGTTACGGTCTTGGCAGAAGCATGGTGGCTATAATAAACACACACAAATTGACCATAAAAACAGCACCATATAAGTGTAATATTAACCGTCATGTTGGCAGATCTGTAGGAGACTAGGAGCAGTTATGGATGATGAGATAATATGCAGTTATTAGGTTCAGATATGTAATTATAGGAGCAGTTATTTTATGTATGGTCTAATTCTAGACAGTTATTAGGTTTTCTAGGAAAAGTTATGTCACTTTTGTATATGATATAGACTGTATGAAAATCGACAGTTTAGGTGTGTATTTCTTTGGACAGAGTTTTTCTCTGTAGAAGTTGTTAAGACTCTGGGACAGCTTCTGCAGTACTTATCTGTTCAATTAGTGTGTAAAATCTCAAATTGTAGCAGTGTTCTATCACAAACCAACATCAATGTGTTTAGTCCCTTGTGGAAAATCAAGTTGGAGGTAGTACGAAACAATGCTCAGATATCTTCACAAATCCTCTAAATGGTTGTTTCTTTGAACTTTAGGTCCTTTACCTTATCCATATAAGCTTTAAAGTTGTAGCTCAGTATTCCAGGAAAAATAGAATATCTGCCATGTACAGAAGTGAAGCCATCGATCATAGGGAAAACTTGCCCAATCTAAAGTTGTGCATGTAACAAATGACAAAGGTGACCACTGCCCTCGCATAATGATCCCAAGCCCTCCCTTAATATATCTGAGGGTTTGAACTTTGAAGTTTGAACCAAAACTCCAAAAGGCTATCACACAAGAATTATAAGAATTGGCAAAATATGCTCATGCTAAACAAAATGCATGAACTAGTAATTGAGAGTAAGTTTAGTTTCACAACTATTCTATAGTATTTGTAGGAGGGGTTGACAACCAAAGGCTCCCTATCCTAATACAAGCTTAATATTTGGATCCATTGGTGCATGTATGCTAGGGATACCAAGAGAAGTCATGAAAGATTGAAAATGATCAAAAAGATGAAAGTGACTATTAGTGAAGGTAAAACAGGGGTTTTTCCTCCCGAAAGAATAGCAGCAATAATGGCCACTATTGCATCCCATTATAGCCAACTATTGAAGTTCTCCACATAACATTGAACTGCTCCACTACAAGCTTCAAGAGTAATATGAGCCACTATTGGCAACCCAACCAGTAAGAGCAAGAACAGCAATGATAGTGGCACCAGAAAGAGATAAATGCTAAAAGGTGAATAATGTCACTAATGCTGCAATGGGAAAAGTCTGTGGCAGCAACAATTAGGATGGAAAACAAAGATTCCAGTAGCAAAATTCAGTGCATGTAGAACTACAAGAGATTTACAAGACAAAGACAATTGGAGAAGAAAAGCATACGAAATTAGGGATGGAAACAAAGATTCCAGTAGCCATATTCAGCACAGGCCCAACAGCAAGGAGAGGTTCACGAGAAAGAGACCATTGAAGAAGAAAACAACAGAGGTCCCAGACTTTTGGATCTCACTATGGAAACAGTGACCAAATCAGATCAAGAGAGATGGAACCACTCTAATACCACGTTGAAAAAGAGAATATTTGGGAGAACTAGTGTCGCTTTAGGCAGCTGAGTTATCTCCTATCCATAATATTATAATAATCAAATCAACCCAAGGAAGTAAATAAACAACTCTAGGCCAAACTTAAAGCCTAATTACTCACTAACAATAAGATATCATCATAATTATCATTGACCACATATTCTAACAACTGCCAATTATTTAGATGAATCTAGAATTCTAGATTAGTATCTTGGCAAAGGCTATCAAGCATATTTCAAACAGAGCTACAAGTATAGTTAATACTGTACAAAATTCAATCCTCACCGGCTCTTACAAAATCTGTATATTTATATTGAGGTTCGCCTTTGCCACCTTCTTCTGTCACAGGTGTGTACATGAAAACTAAACTTGAATCAACATCATGAATGGTTAGCTGATACTCTTCATCTTCAGCCCCAGCAATGACCACAGGACTGCTGTTCCACTTTCTCCGCAGCCAACTAAAGTATGAAACAAGAAAATTGGCATAGTTGAATCACACCATCATTATAAAAGAATACATTTTGTATGTATAGTTGTATGCTACAAACATGATACAAACAGACCAAGCTCAAATACATGGAATGTCATCTTACCTAGCAACACCTTTTCCTGGAGTCCCACCACACCAAGCAACCTTAGCACCACCCCTGATGATACTTCCTTCTACCAGTTCCCCATGCACTTCAAGGTTTACAATTTTTGGAATTCCACTCCCTTTTGAAAAGTAGTAGTTTAAAATTATTCATGATGCATGAAGAATGTACATAGGAAGAAAATATTAGAACACAATATTAATATATAACATGAAATCAGACAGTTCCTTGTTCTTTTTCCAATCAGAAATAAGATTTAGTCCACAATAATTAAAAGATGAACACTGAACAGTGTAAAAGTGTGCACACAGAATTAGACAGCTTATGTTTTTCTCTGAATTTAATTTTGGTCCATTAACAGTATAAAGAGTTTCACACTATCAATGAATCATCCAGTACCACGCATATCCAAAAGATTGTTAAAATTTTTACTAACAGTAAAATTATAGTAATCCTTCTAGTCCATCCTCTCCCATGTCAGTTTCTACCCTTTCTTGTGTCATATCACACTTCACCTCTTGCTTCCTCTCCATTCTCTTCTATTACTACCTCTGCTCAACCCCAGTCCCATCAAACTTCCAACTCACCTAACCCTTATGATTTTGTTGGTTCTGCTAATTCACCCTCACAAGAAATTCTAAGCTGAGTAGGATCTGCATTGAACAATTGTATCAAAATATACTTTTGTTAAGTGGTATGACTGGTATCATTTACAGAATGTGACATGGAATGACTTGATCATTTCATAATATTAATATTCAATACTATTAGTCCTCCAGTTTTGTTGATCAAATAATATCTAGCTGCAAGACAGTGTTGGTTTAGAATTAGCAATTAATTTCAATTACAGTTAACTAAATTACACAGTCCATTTGCCAATTTATTAATAATACTAAATGGTAGATTTGCTGGTTTATTAATGCTTACTCATCATTTAATAAATTTTCATCATATTTACAGTTGCAATCATCTAACATTTTAAGAACAATATCTCAACACTGAGATGTTTTCCTTTTATCTTCTTCAGCTATTACATTAGAATTTTGTAAGATAGTAAAAGAGTCTTTCCTAAAAATTATCAAAAGCTTCTCTTCTTGCAGCAGTTTCAATAGTAGTGGTAGTGTCAGTATTAGCAGTAGTATCAATTGAACTTGAATAAGTATTACTAGCTTGTTAATATTATTTCATTATTTTTTTGTTTTTACACTTCAATATGTTCTGACCAGAGATACTTATCTATTCTGTTCTCAACTCATCTCACGGTACTCTCTCATCCCAGACTTACCCTAGATCCCTTCGTCATTCTATGATCAGATCTACATTCTCTAATAGCTGAGAATGAACAAGCATTTTAGATTTAAGATGAGTAAGTACTTACTACAAGTTAAAGAATATCTTGCCAAGTGTTACCTTATATCAGTTCAATCCCACTGTAGCTATGGTTATTTGTTGTAATCAGAATAAACTCATAGAGATAGAGAGTGGCACAAAGGATTTTCAGGTCTAAGATACCGGTGCACTTTGTATTTTTCCCTAGAGTTAGATTTTGTATAGGGGTATTTTCAGCTTTCATTCCAATAATCTACTCTGATAACCTTAGCATCCCCCCCCCCTCCCACACACACACACACACACACAATCAGTCTTTCACTGTTTCACTCAACCAAGCATACAAAGCAGATCTGTTCATAGCCAGAAAGAAGATCATTACAAGGAGCATCAAACTCTAACAAATCCCTGTTCACGATCAGTGTGCATATATTATGGCTAAGGCCCAATCTTTACACAGGTTATGTGAACAGCATGACAAACTCAGTGTTCTTCATTAATTTTCTTTGACAAGTCCACAATTTGATTCAAGAATATTAGAGTAATTAAGCATGTCAGTAACTGTACTGTTAAGCTGTTATTAATTACAGCTGTCAGATAGATGGCCATACGGTAAATTCTCTAACCATAAATGCAAGAGAACACGGTCATTCAGTCAATTCATTCAGTTAAGTTTACAGCAACAGATTTCTAAGAACTCTCTGGGAAATTTATCTCACTTTCTCTTACAAAGACAGTAAATCACATTTTAACTACTCTATCCAAATATATTAAGATGATTGGTACTGTTTCCAATCAAGAAAATTATCACTCGAAGTTAGTATATCCTCCCAGCAAACATATATACACTTGTTTCAAGAAAGAAATTTCATAAAGTATTGAATTTTGACCTAAGGAAATGAAAACAGTTATCTGATATTATGTTCACACATCTTGATGCCTACTTAGTGCACAATAAAGCTTCAGCTCCCTCGCGCATTTAGATTCTAAATTCAACAAGGATGTTTGAAGGCAGAAATACATGCAAGCAACAAAAACAATAACAAAGCCTTATACCACTAGGTGGAGTAAGATACTTATATCACATGCAAGCATGACATAACGAAAATAGCATTTTCAGTTTCCAATAACAGTAAAAGAAAAACAGGAAAATAAAGTACATGAACAGAAAAAATGAATCCACAATAACATGTACTTGGACAGCTCTGTGGTAAATTACCTAGTTCACCTTGTTCCTTTCAGACTAACTAACACCTCAAAAATTTAGTTGTTCAACTATATTATACACTATAAAAGGACGCAAAAGACAAGCTTACCCCGTGAAACACGAGAAGAGATGGCAAATATAGGAGGATACTCTGTTTCTCCTAAAGTGATAGTACATTCCACTTTCAGAATTTTTCCAATGTCATCATGCTTTGGCCAGTAAATCTGGAAATTATACAAATGTTATGAGCATAAATAAAATAATTAAATAAATACGTAAAAAAAACAAAATATGAAGCACTGATAATGATGTAATCAACTCGTTACCTCACCAGTAGCATCTAAAATAGGGACAAAATTTGAAAGTGATATATCACCACAAAACCATTGATATTTTAAAACCAATGGTGGGTCTGTACTAGCTGCACCATCATGAATAATTGTGAAATGACAGCAACACACATCTTCTTCCACAGGTTTATCTATGGATGCCTCTTTGAGGAAAAACCCCAGAGGAATACAGTCCTTCCATTTCTCAACTAGAAAGTGGAAAGTTGACTCTGCAGCATTTTCAGGGCGACTGAACTCCCAACCATCTCTAATACACAAAGCTGTATGTACAGGATAACGCTTTGCTAGTGCCACTTCCTCACGAGAGAGATCTGCAAAACTTTTATATTCAATAAATAAACTATCTCAATACATAATATAAGAATTCAAAGATGCCAGTAGAAACCACTTGAAGAACATATTTATGTCAAGTACTCCTTAAACTACAGTAAGAACAATTATTCTGCTATCAGCTCAAACTTCAACCAATAAATAAAGATACCAAAGACTAAGAATAATTTTACCAATCATACCTCTATCATTGTATTTTTTCAAAGTAGGTCCAACTAGCAATATTGAGGCTGCTTCCAAATGAGGCATCTTAAGTATAGGATTCTCCTCCACTCGCAAATGCTACATCACAGTAAACCATTGAAAGTAAAACTAATTAGTCCACATTTATATATGCACCCACATGTAAATTTAACTCTAATTTTAGTCTCTCAAAGTTAGGTGAAACATTTAAGATTACTACATTTGTCCAATTTTAAATTAGTACCCATAATGTGAAAGTTTCCAATTATGTTGCAAGATTACCAAATGTTTCTAACTGGGCCCCCATTATAACCAACTGTCATATGATTGAGTTATGGCCTTTTAAGGGTAAAACGTCACCTGTAAATGGATACCTTACAGTCACAGCACAAATATAATTAGAAAAATTTTGGTGATTGTAAGAATCCAAAGAAGAAACATTTGAGATGTAGGGAGGAGCTAAAGTAAAAAATTGGTGAGAAACCCTTGGTCACAAAACACATTTTTTTAGCCCTAGCATAGCAGGTATATTCAAATTCTATTTTAAAAAATAAAATTCTATACCGAAAACAATTGTCTACAACCTATGTAATAGCCATAATACTGCCTACAATAATGTTAATACAAATCGCTAACATCTGTCAACAATCAAGACAGGACAAGTTCAATCCCTGAAAGCCTTACATTAATAATTAAAGTAAATTTCAACACAAGATAAATTGGGTATGTGCTTATCCACCCCCCAAATTCAAAAAGGCTTTCATGTTAGGGGGGAGTATTAGATTGAAACATAGGTTCCTAAGGAGTGGGAAACAATAATAAAATATCTTGCCAACTGAACTCAAGAAATTATCTGTGGAAATGATGATCATAGAACCTAACCACAAGTCACATGACAACACATACAATCCTTGTGCTTTTCTCACAAAAGCATCATTTCACCAAAACATAAAAACATAAAGTATTAAACTAAAATAAAGATTGGAGTGTCCAAAAATTACTAATGTATAACACTTTTCTGTATGACTTGAAGAGATAACTAGATATCTCCCCCAATGACTAAGATATTTTATTAGACAATAAAACAAATTTTGAATTATATCCATGAGAAAGTCTATAAAAATAAAAGTGTTATGATGTCTGATCACTTGTTTAGGTTAGACTAAATAAAAATGGCTTCATACTCACCTCAAGAACTGGTAAATACGGGAAACCCTTAAGAGTAGAAATTCTGTTTTTGCTTGCAGCTAAAACCTGCACAAATTATTTCATTTGGTAAGGAAATTAGTTATACACAATAATACAGAAACGAACACAGCATATATATTGTCAACACTCCATACAACCAAATAACCTGAAGTCGAGGTTGACTTGCCATAGTGAGAGATTTCAACTTATTCTGAGCTACTGAGAGGAACTGCAAAAATGAAACAGAACCAGTACAAAATGTTATGATGAACACTGAAGTTGAAAGACCAGAATAAGATCTGAATTAAAAATCAGAAAAATAACAGTGTGCTTGCCTCCAAATTAGGAAGCTGCGGAAGACTTGCCAATGATGTGATTTGATTTCCAGCAAGATAGAGTTGCTGCATACAAGTCAAAGATTTCACAATGATATTATTAAATAAGTACCCATATTGTGACTTTTTTTACCACCGCCATAAAACAATAGCATCCACACACATAAAAAAAGACAATATACCTGCAGTACTTTGCAATTCTCAAGAGGCTCAAATCCAGGCCCCTTAAACTCATTAAAACTCAAATCAAGAACCTGACAGTAAACAATTTCCTTCATTCAGTTAGTTAAAATTCAATATGAAATTATCTAAACACAACTCCCAAATAAAAATTATATAAAACCTTCACTCTCGTCAATATTTCTACTCCTTCCAGTGTAGACAAGAGATTGTCTCGAAGATAAACAAACTGCCAATAAGAATAATAAGTTAAATGCTATGAAAATCTTCAAAGTACAAACAAACAAAGGTACATCAAAATACAACTTTAAAATCTCTCCTTCACATTATGCAGTCCTTGGAGTAAACTAAGGCAAACCAGAATTTTTTTATTTTATAATCTTAAAGAAAACCAAAAGCCATAGACAGAAACAAGCAATTGTAGCACACCAACATCAGCTCACTCATCCTAGTATTACAGAGAGGGCCAACCAGCCAGTGTCCCAGATCTTTTGGAAAAATGCTATGATAAGACCAATCTAGCCATACAGTAAAATACAAGTAATACATAAAAGAGTATCAAAAAAGAGGTTCACTTACACAAAACTTCTGTCAAGCAAATGAAAAATTTTACATACTAAGTTTTTCAACAGAGACTACAGAATGAGCTGAACCATAGAAAAACACTTTCTTCCCAAAATATAAAGTGATAATGAAATAGTAGCTAACTCTTTTCCAGTCAAAATAAGCAGACCAACTAACAGAGAGTACATCATTGATGTCTGTTGTATTTAGCATATTATTATAAGATAAATCAATACCCAAATATTGAATAATCATGCATTTTATTTAGATTTAGCATGCATTTCCTCCCTTAGTTCAGACAGCTACTGCATTTCATGTTTTATATGCAGATGAAGAGCTAGAGAAGAATTTAAAAGCAATTTAAAGCTCAAAAAAAGGAATTTGGACCCCCAGAAGACTCCACTAGTTGTTAGTGGAGTTGTGGCTGCATAGTAAACCCCATGAAGAAAGGAAACCACAATTCAAATTTAAAAAGTTCCAAAGGCAAGTCATGGAAGCCACCACAGCCATTGATCATGCTGTCAAGATTAGAATTCAGGATTTTTTAACTCCATGGAAATCAGCAGCCATGGATTGAGCAACATATGCATGGATTTCACATTTTCTTTCAGTTTCAACTTTTAAGTGTTTTAAACAGGTTTTTAATAACCTAAGTATAAATAGAAGAGTTAAGGCACAAAAGAAGGATTCAACCTCAAACATTCTTAGAGACACACATCAGAAAAGAATCAAAGGAGTAAACCAAAATGATCAAAGCAATAACAGAGACCTTTGGGGTATCATAACGATATTTTGCAAGTACAATATACCTCAAAGTACAAAGATTAAATGTCTTCCTTGTTTATATTCTCATCTTCTCTTATTCTTGTTTTTCCTAATCATGTTTAGGTTTATTCTATTGATTAGTAATCTGATAATGAAGAAGTAGTTTTCTTATTTTAGGGTTTAGGAAAAGTCCAAATTAGGATTAATAACTATATAATGAATCTTTTATAATCTTTTGTTAATCTTGATTTCTTAAGTTAATTATGTGTTTTCAATGTTTGTCAATTTGTCAGGCCTCTTATTGATAAGGAGAATACTGAAAGGTAAACTTTACCATTGAAAACCCCCAAATTGAACCTAACATTTTAGACAATGAAAATAGGTTAAATTTCTTAAGGAACCGCCTAATCATCATAGAACTTAATGAGTTTAATTAGATTTATTAGCACAAAAGTAGAAATTAATATAATTATGTATGTTATTGCATTTTAAAAGGAAACAATAATCACCTTGGAGTAATTCACCTTCAAGATAAATCAAAAATCAAAAAAGACCAATCTTAATTAAATTCATCAAACTTAATTTGCGGTAAAAAATAATTCGTCGAAGTTTTGCTAAAATTTGAATTCATTAATTTAAAGCAATTGCATTTTTAATTAATTTACCTCTTTCTGTTTTTTAATTTAACCTTATCAATCAGTCACATTTAGATAATTAAATTACAATTATTCAGTACTTAATAACACAATTCATGTAGATACAATAACCTTTTATATTATTTGACAACGACCATACACTTGCAGCTGGATCAATCATATAAATCTATTATTCATATATTCTTCATCTACATAGGGCCTAAAGAAAGCTCGGTCATTGCCTGACATAAATTGAATTTTATTAAAAACACTACCAAAAACAACTTTGAAACTATTGTCTAAAATAAAAAATGAGCTAAACAGAAGATACGTTTACCTCTAAGTTCGAGGATAAGTTTAATCCACTGGCATTGAGGCTGCGAACTCTGTGTCCCCTAAGATCCAATCTCTGATAAAATATAGAGATGGAACAAAAATTAGAATTAGACAATAACTGAGTCTGAAAAATTCATCACATTAGCTCGGTTTACAATACAAGTTTCGCTTCAATATACATGAGAGACATGCAACTGTGCTACCCCGAAGCAAGGGAAAGAGGCAGCAGGGCTAGTACTTTTTATGATACCTACAGTACTCCAACACACCAAACATCTAGTATTTGTTATTAAATAGTGAATAAAATAGACAACCAGGTTGGTGTTAAATTCCAACAACGATTGTGCACACTGCTAACTCAACTCCAACATGAAACCTTTTCTTCACTGATATTCCATGGAATCATTCAACAAGCATATATTTCCAAAGACCAAAAAACATCCATAACTATGTAAATATCATTCCTTCCTTTTTTGGCAATTGCTTTAGTTCAACTATTCCACGTCCATATAGACATAATTCTCTCAATAATCGGCAATCATTTCACTTCCGCATGAGAGTAAACAGAAACTAAAATTGCCGCCATAATCACGAAGCTTACCAAATCATCGTTGGCCTTAATCTCAACCTGCGGAAGAACAATAAACCGCGAATCTCTACTATCAGCAGTGGCCCCTTTCCTCCTTCCAGACAGCGCAGAACCCCTATCCAGCGACGACGACAGAGACGCCGTTCTCAACCCGCTCGAGACAGTCGGTGACCGCACCGATGATGAAACAGTCCTCCTAGCAGAACCACCGCCACTAGCAGTGCTATCCGCCGATGAAGAACTAACCCTCCTCGACGAAGACGACACCGAAACCGACAATGCCGGCTTACTCACTGGCCTCTTCGCAACTTCCACCTTACTCACACCGGAAGCAACGGATGTCCTCGAACTCGCGCCCACCGGCGAGGATTTTGCCGCAACGCCGGAACGTGAAGAACTTATAGAACTGCGCCGGAGCTCCGGGAGCGACCTCCGCGCAGGCTCCGTGGCGGAAGAAGCGCTGCTCTTACTGCCGACAGCAGAATCGGCACCGGATTTTCTTCTTCCATCGGAGATCGACGACTTCTGAAGCAATCCTCCAGTACTATTCCGTCTCGGCGCAGTAACCGAACTAGCGGAACTGCCGATTGAACCCGATCTCTTCGTCGCAACCGAACCCGAATGATTTTTCGGTTCTGCTCTCTTTCTCGCAGAAACCGAACCTCCAGTGTCTGCGGCGGTTTTCAAAGCTCTTTTCGCAACTTCTGAACCGTTCTTCTTCGCAGGACTCGGAGGGTTTTCAGGTTTTACGTCTTCAGATTGCTCAGAAGACACCTCCATTTGAAAGCGAAGGTTCTAGAAACTTGCAGGAACTGAAAAAAAGAACAGAATAAGCAAATAAAGTAAGTAGCAAGTAGAGGAACAAAAAGCTTGTGAGCGGAAGTCAGAACGCATCGTTTTTAACTAAACACGAAGCGTTACGGCTTGGATCTAAGTGAAAGGGAAGAAAAGAAGAGAGGAAGAGGAAGAAGGCGAAGTGAGAAGCACAATGTAAGTGATGATAGAGTGGATGATTCTATGTGCTACCTAGAAAATGTGAAGATCTAGAAGAGGAAGAAGACGGTGGAACTGAAACCGAAGCGGAGTTAGAGTAACATTTGAGTTGAGAAAGAGGGAGTGGGTAGTGGGTAGTGGGTAGTGGGTAGCAAAAAGCAAAAGGGGTGAGAGGGACACGGGAGCTGGAACCAATAACCGTGAGTATAGAGATGGAGCTAAAGTGGAAAAGTGACTTTGGTGGGGTAGGGTTCTTTAAAATTTTTAAAATTTGTGGCGATAATACCCGCGAATGGAAGGGCGGGTTTCACAAGGAAACTGCGATTTCAGATAATGGACCTTAATTTAATTTCGTCTCAATTTTAGCAAAGGATAAACTAATAAAGTACTCTTTTTTGTCCCTTTCGGTTTCGATTGCCCTTCATTTCGGCTCAATTATTTTCTTCGCTGTTCCAATTGACATTTGAATTAACAAAAACTTCATCGGGTTTTTATTATCTGTACTAACGACAAAACTTATCTGTCTTAACTTAATTTTTGGCTCTCTACTAATTTATGATAGAGTCGCGCATCTGTTTCACTCATTTGGTAATTTCATTTTTTTAAAATTCTAAAAATTTGCTTCTATTAAATGTGCTTTGCGACATGTTCTTAATTAATTTTAATTATAAAGCTTAACTCAAAATGTAAGGCCGGTTGGCTGAATGTTAATTTGAACATATTCTTACGTGTGACAAATTTATAAAGAAACTTACTTTCCCGTAAATTACAGTTTTTAGAGCTCAACAACTAATACTTAATCAAATTTTGATTAAAAAAAAGTATATTTTTATAAATAATAAATGTGTTCTTTTTCAATAAAAAAAAGTTACTATGTTTCAATATTTAAATGTATTCTTAAAGATTAAGATTAATTAAACTAAAATGAAGTGTTTTTTTTTTCGGATCAACTAAATACAATAGAGTTTAGAGTAATAAAACCAAAGGCTATTTAATAAGTTTGAGTTACGATGTATATTCAACGAATTTATTTTTTTAATTTTCTAAAGAATCGATTTTGATGACTATTGACACTAACAATAAAATTTTTTGCTCCTTAAATATGTAATTAAGATTTAGTAGCATTGATTTTTATTTTTTTTGTCAACAGCATTGACAAAATGTTAAAATCGTACAATTACACATGCATTTTAAATTGGACCGGGCCAATATTACATTTACACGAGCTTAAAATGAATTTTTAAATGAGGTGTTCTGTTTTAATTAATTTTAATAATTTGATATTTTTCTTTTCTATTCAAGCTTATGAGAAACGTAAAATTAGTTAAGCTCAATTAAGTTTTTACTCAAAAATATGAAATTTTGATATTTGTTCCTTCATTTATCTTTTTTTTTAAATGGTTCTCACTCGTAAAAAAATTGTTACAAATTGGACCCTTCCTTTTTTATTTTATTTTTCATTTTGTCCCCGTTTTTACGTTATTAACCAAGAGTTGAAGAAAGAAGCTTGCTTTATATTAAGTATAGATTGTAACAATGTACTCGACACCAAAAGTGTCAGAATTTTGGTACAACCCAGAGGGAAGGTTTGCTAGACAAAATAATGTGGTAAAGACGCAACTTACGAATCCAAGAGTGACACAAATACAAGTCATCATTTTGGCAAAAATCTAACAAAACAAAAATCTATCTAACATTTTTCATCAATTAATTCCCCAAATAATTGATTCAAAACACACTGCTGGGTATATCAAGAAGGAATCTCAACCTCTGCAGTCTGTTAACAACTGCATTACAAAGAAATGTCACTGTAGGGCGTAACTATCAAGATGTCTTCGTTGAGTTGCAAGTAGGGCATGAGGCAAACCTGGCGGATGCCACGCCTTCCAGAAAATTGAACCTTCATTCAAGGATAAATTCCTTTGGAAACAGTAGGAGGCAAGAGTGCTATCAAAATCCAGCTCGATTCTTCAGAGACTGCCAGTTGGAGCAGGTGGATGATGCTCCGCAGGTACCACATTAAAATAATACAATCAGGTTGGACAATGTTTCCTGCGCAAGGCTGCCAAAATCCAACTTGTGAATTGTTAACAGTCTTTCTTGGCACCAGAAGAACATAAATATCGCAGCATATATTCATTGGAGGAGCATGTATCAGCTAGATCTTGATGTATTCTAGTGATTGCTTTCTGCAAAGATTTTAGTGATGGGAGCAGATTTCTTGAGTTCCGCTGAATAGAATTCCCATGGGCTTTGCAGAGCTCCTGTCATATCAAAGATGAGAACATTTTACAGAATGAAAATGATTTTGAGCAAGTTTAAGTAAAAATTAAGTTCAAGCAAGCAAAGAATACCTGACACCATCTAAGTATAAATTCCAAATGCGGGCAATTTTCTAGAAGATCTGCAAGTGCATCAACTAATCGCTGGATATATTTGTAAGGGATTGATGTGGCAACTGCCGGAATATCTGTCGGAGAAACCGCGAAAATACATTTTTTAATAAAAGAATCTTCATTTAGGCGAAGGCTAAGGATCAAAGCTCTACTTGGTTGATTTTCACTAAGAGCTTCATCAACAGCCTGTTCAGCAATGCCAACCCAAATTACTAATGACATGGAAAAAGGAAACACTGCAGTGAAGCAAGGAAATCTAAACTGCTAGGTGAAGCAAAACTAGAATTAAATATACTGCATTTTTAAGCTGTTCAACTTTGATTTTGATCCTCATTTTCATTATTGCAAAGGAAATAAGAATGAAATGTTTCTTTTACAGAGAAAATTTTCTAGGAAATTGCTATATTCTCATATCTGGTAGGAATTTTACCATTTTGCATAATTTGTTGAAAACAAAATTATACTTTTATTGAGTTTTATGTTGCCGGTCATGAATAAAAAAGTTATTGGGGTGAAAAGTCCATATTATAAGAGGGAAAATGCATGCTCCTCTTACAAACACAAGTCAACTACCACTATAACAATTCAGTTACTAGCAATCAGTTGATGAGTAGTTGTTTACTTATTTTCAAAGAGAGTATTTTTTTCTACATCATTTCCACCTACAGAAAATAGTTTCTGCAATTATCTTATATAATGTCAAAAGCTTGTAAACTTCAAAAATATAGTACCTCTGGTGTGACATTTATGTCTAGATCAGTTGGATCAAATATGAATGATTCATCAACAGAATAAACCAAAACTCCCTCAGTTGTTGCTGCAACAAAACTCCGACCTGTAGGTGCAATTCTCAGGCATTTTGTTTGAATAATAGGTCTTCCTCGATTAGGCATAGATCCTGGTAAGTCTAGACCTATTTTTCCTCGGGTTTGTTTGTCAACACCTTCTTCAATGTCACTGTTGTCATCATCAATCAAATCTAGTGGACCAGCTTCTGTCATATTCTTTGAGTTTAAAATGTCAAGCACTCCATCTAATGAAAGATTGTGAGTTATCTGGAAACGTCGCAGCAATACCTGTACAAAAGAGATTTCAGCTAATGTCAAGCTGATGTTACCAGGATATGTGTTGGCGTTTAATACATCTGCAGTGAGGTCTGGAAAATCTTTTAGACTGAACCTATAGGAAGTTGAACTTCCAGATAGGTTCCTAAGGGAGCAAGCTTGGATAATTATGTGATCAAGTGAGAAACCATAAGAGGATTCACAACAGAGCAAGACAGAAGGATAGACTCAAGTTAAAGCAAAAGGGATTATAACTGATTTGCCCAATTTAATAAGAAACCTAGGTATAAAACAAATTAATAATGGGGGAGTTATGCAAGGTACAAAGATTATTTCGTGAAAAGATCCCAATGAAAGGGACGTTTCAAATCCAGACATAACCCTTCATGTTTTGGTGAACAACAGAAATCCGAACTAACAAGATAATCTTTTTTCAGTTATCCTAAAGCTGACTAAATGAAGTTCCTCATGATCTTACATATCCTTCAGGTCATACCATTTGGAAAACGAAAAAGTGAGAAAATAGAGACGAATACTGGACAACATTGAATAAGAGTTATCCAACAACCCAAGGAATAAGCCCCCTTCCAATTATTATACTGGCATTTGGAGATCTTATTGACAAAAAGCCTGGATACAGCTCAAGGTGAAGAAGGTAGAGAAACACGTTAACAAAAAGGAACACAAATTTTCTTCAATCAATGATTTCTTTTAGTAAATATCACGAGAATGGATCAACTTTTGAAGCTCATCAGTCTTTCACTTCTTCTTTATTCACAAAAATTATGGAGCAGGTGCGTGAGGCTTGAAAGTCTCCACTCTTCAGCATCTAGGCTACAGCACAACACAAGGGTGTTGTTGGCACGGAAGGTGCAAATTGATATGCATCTCAACTTCTCAACCTATCTACTTATTAAATGGTATCTTACCACAGTAGACGTTGACCCTAGGCTGCATATAAGCCTTAGTATTTAGATAAAACGTTATGATAAAGAAGAAACCTTTAATAATATATATTAACATATGTGGGTCCGTGACTATGTGTGCCATTATACATGACACAAGATTGAAAAGTAGTTCGTGCTTTTTTCATGTTTATGATTATGAACACTGTCCCACATCCAAAACATGTGTTTAACCTATATCATGTGTTGGACTCAACTGAAGAGTGAAAACTCATGGTGTATAACATCTGCTGTGAATCAATAAAGAAGAAACTTTCAAGAAGATAAGATTTTCAGGAATCAATTAACAGTTGATATGCTGTGACTTCTAGATAGTAGATATGTAAAAATCAACTTGATAAGGATAGGAACATGAAATGCATGCAAGCCAACCTGATCTCCAACATCATACATACAGATGTATCTGCTACTCCCCCCAGCCAATATGTAGCTTCCATCAGCTGAATAACACAAGGTTGTGAAGTACTTCCCCGAAGTTGAGTTAGCAGCTGATCTACGGTCAGTCATAAGACGCCCACCAGCAATATCTCTAGAACCTTCTATGGTGTACATCAGCAAACCATCTATTGGATCCCAAAAATGAATTTGCCCATCTAATGTACTGCAAGCTAACTGCTTTCCATCTGGACGATAAACTACTGTAAGAACATCATGTGTGTGAGGAAATGTTTCAACTGCTCCTTTCCCATCAAAGACATCCCACAACCGAACAGTTTTGTCATATGATGATGAAGCCAAGACAGCCTGCACAAGGTTAAAAGAAATAAAGCTAACTTTTTTTTATAACAAATGTAAGAACCATAAAAAAAATACAAATTTAAGTAGTTCTTTTCATTATCCTATCTATTGAGACGATAATATACGATAAAATTATTTTATAAAATAGCAAATAACTAAAATGACTTCATACAGACTTCTAGTATTTTGAACTGTAGCAACATGGCTTAGAACCAACAAAAATTACTACAGAAGTCATTAATCTATGCATGCAGCCGAAGAAAATCTAACTAACATTTGTGGGAGAAAATATCAGCCCATGAACAGGAGCTCCGTGACCACTAAGCACGTCCAACAAGCGGCCCGTTCTCATCGACCAAACAAAAATCTGTTACACATATCATTGAGCAAAAAGTATGAAAATTAAAATAAAATAACTACCAAGTCAAGAACCACCAAATTTGGATAAAATTATACCTCAAAGGAATCTGAAGTCCCTGCACAAATCACTTCACCACTTTGATCAGCTGTCAGGGAAACAAACTGCCTAGAAGAAGGGGTTGTGAATGTCCTAAAATTCCGGTAACGTAACAAATCCCATGCACGAATGGTCCCATCAAGTGATGCACTAAGCAGGCAATTGTTACTTGCCATAAAATGTAGAGCCGTGACAGCATTGCTGTGCTCAGAAAATGTAACAAAACAAAAGCCTGAGGAAAGAGTCCACACCTGTAAGACACAAGCATAAAACTTTCACTTCAACTCACTTTTAAACACACAATTTCAAAACTAATGCAAGAAGATCAATTTTCAAATCCAGGAAGACAACTCAAACTCAATCACCTTCACTTTATTATCATCTGCTCCAGTAGCAAGGAGCTGCGAGTCTGATGAATATGCAACGCAATTCACATCAAAGTAGTGTCCCTGCTGCTTCAAAATGTAGCTCTCAGACCGCCACTCCCACACAAGCAGCTGGCCCAATTTTGCGCAGCCAAAGGTCAACCAATTCCCAAGCTCATTAAACACCGCAGTGGAGATCTTCTCCCTTGATATAGACAACAAATGAATGCACACAAAATCTGGCATCTGATACAACCCAAACACACCACTAGAAAATCCAACAACCACCATGTCCATCCCTCTATGATAATCACATGCTGTTACCTTCGCCGGCGCCTGCACAAAACTGTCCTTCCTCAGTAACTCCCACTTCCCTCTGCTCAAGTAATCCTCTCCATCATCCTCAACATCACAATTCTTTCTCTTCTTCGCATTCCCACTCTCACTAATCTCCAAATTCCCTTCCACGTCCCTGTCCGGCGTCCCCGGTGATGGTGGCTCCAATCCATCATCATCACCATCACCATTTTCATCACGAGTAAACCCCCAGCTAAACAAATAGCAATCCCTAGTGATCGTATAAGCCTTACAAACCTTACTAGTTTTCGAATCAACACCAAAGAACGATCCTATAACCGAATCCCTGTGCCCCAGAAACATGAAAGGCCTGTTCTTAACACTTTTATTCGATTTCTTCAAGCACAAGATTCTCGCGGTTAAGTCCTTGGACCCGACGATCAAGTACTTTGAGTCAGGGCTCCAGTCCAATGAGGTGACTTTGGCGGTGAAATCGGTGAAGGTCCGAATCAACTCGAAGGGAAAGTACTCCTTGCGAAACGCCGGTGAACGCCAGATCTGGACGAGCTTGCCGGCAGCGACGGCGATGAGGGCACCGTCGGGGCTGAACTTGACGGCAGCGACGCGGTGCTTGAAGGTTATGCGGTGGAGAAGGGTGCGACGGCGGAGGTTGATGAAGAGGCAACGGTTGCGGTCATCGACGGCGAGGAGGAAGGTGGCGTCGGGGGAGACGGCGATGCGGGAGACGTTGGAAGAGGATTGGAATGGGAGGGTGGTGGTTTCGGACTTGAGGAGGTCGGTGACGGCGACGCGGTTACCGATGGGTGAGAGTAGCAGGGTGTTGTTAGAAATGACGGCGTTGCCCCCCCTGTAGGGAGCCCCCAGAAGGTTCTGGAACCTGAAGTTCATCGTGTTGTTTAGGTGTTGGGGAAGTGGAACAGCTACGTTACTTGCATGAACTGTGTCTCTGTGTTGCTGTTAGGGTGGCTCTGCGAGAGGCGGGAATCGAAGTTTAGGACTTTAGGGTTTTAGGGATTCTTCTCCGTCATTAAACTCGAACAAAAACGGTATTGTTTAAAAACCCTTCTTCAGACTTTTGTCTTTTACCATCTTTCATGTTTTTTCTTTTATAAACTTAAAATATGTTTTTTTAATAAAATCATTTAAAATAAAATATAATAATATTTTTTTAAAATTCTAAACAAAATTCAGTTCAATTTCTAAAATTATAAATATTCATTTATTTCGTTTAAAAATTTTGAAAAATATTTTTAAATTCTTATAACTATAAAAATGTGATACTTTAATTTTAATTGTAAATATTCGTTCATTTAATTTTTAAAATTATGAAAAAAATTATTTAGTTCTTAAAACTATTAAATAAAAATTTTCTTCTCTTAATCTCCAATAAGATTGTGAGGACATGTAAAATGTGATAAATCTTAAAATTTTAAAGAAAGACAACTTTTTAGTTCTCAAAATAATACATAAAAAATCTTTTTGTTTAAACTCCAACAAATTTGTATGAATAAAATGTGACGGCAACATTAGTCTAGGATTTCCTCTTTTACTTCAATTTTCATTAAAAGAATATTGAATTGTGTATATGGCTCTCTCCTTCTTGTATAAATGTTCATTTATTATTTTTGTAAAATATTTAAGGGAATTCTATAATATATTTTCTAGCTATATGACAAAATATTAGGATTGACTATTGCTAATTTTTATTTTTAAACAAAAATATTTGAAAGAGTTATTTTAAATCAAAACCTTATAAGAGTTATTCGCTCTTCCTCGCTATGCAAGGTAACTTTTTTTGCATCCAGAAATTTTTTAAAATTTTAATCTTAATTGAAAAATTTATTTTGTTTAACATAATATAATAATTAAAATTTATAAAATTTCCTAATTTAAAAATAGTCATGCAATATATATTATTCAATAAATTCACAGTTCCTTATTATTTCCGTGAATTTTCTTCCGGATTTTTGACATAAAAGTTTTTTTTACTACATTTCTGTCATTTTAACTATTTTAAATACTGAAGAAAATAAATATCTTACATCCTCTAAACATGTATTTATTGTTTTTCTATGAAATATACAATTATTTGATGTACACAAATTCTTTATTTTACCCTTCTAAGATTTACTTAATCAGTTGAATGTACTTATAATGTTTAAATTCAAACAATATGAATATTTAATCTCACAAATGCTTCAATCAAATTAGAGCAATTGAGATAGTGGAAATATTAAATTTTAGATTTCAGGCAATTGAAATGAATCAATTTAATACACTCAACTGTAAAATCAATTCAATCAAAAGAAGCAACCATATAGAGCGGAAGGCCACCGATTTCAAAACTACATTTGCAAACAAATTCCAAAGTATGCTTTTGTAATTTATAATATTTCAAAATTCAAAACATAGGAATATCCATGCGACTGAATTTTGTTGGGCTATATGGGTGAAGGGTACGGGTACACTTTTAAATTTATGGGTACCACATAATTTATTTATTTATTTTATTCAATTTAATTTAAATTCAACGTGTGTAGTGCATTTAGATGTAATAGGTAAATTTATTATTAATTTTTTTTTCGCATACACATGAAATATAAATTTTTCTAATATTATATTTTCGTCTCTTTTACTTTGTTTTTTTTTCCAGAAAAAAATGTTTATAAATTTTTTTTTCTAGAGGTATAAAAGAAAATGTATAAGTAAATAATCCCAAACAAATACTTTTCAACTTTAAAAAAATTAATTTTGGTTTTTCTTATCTTAATCTTTACACTCTTTTTTTACGCATCTTAATTATTTATTTCTCGTTACATTTGCATTTACATTTTCACTTTCTATCCGTTCCCATCCCATCCCTATTTCTCAAGGTGCATAGAACCATTGAAGTGTACGAATTTTTTCCCTAGTGTATATTGATTAACCTGCAGATAACAAAAATGAATTTAAACATGACATTTCTAAAGGATGATGATTTTATACATTATTTTTTTACACTATCAGTATATTACTTTACTTTAAAATGATAATAAGATATTCTAACATACCTTATGTATTTTTTATTTGCAAACAAGGGAGAGGATGATATGAAGTAATTTTGATTTACAAATATCATTCCCGATTAATAGAAGATGAAATGCCAAAAAAAAAAAAAAACCGTGAAAGTATTATAATTTTAACAATGTAGCACCAATAATTAATATCATAAATCCATAATGCGTACCAAACTTCGGAGACAAGTTGACCGAAAAAAAATTTGAGGAAATCTTTTATCTTATTGGTCAACATATGCATTTTTCTTTTCTGAATATATACACTCAGAGATATTTTCTTGGTTGCCTAAGTTAATATCAACTAGCAAAAATGTGTGTGTGTGTGTGTGTGAGCGCCCAATGGTGGGATTTACATAATTAATGTCTCAACTCTCACATCCATGATTGATATATTAATTTGAAAGAAGTAAAGTTCTTCCATCGCTAATATCAACTGAAGACGCTACCTCAAACTAACTCCTTTTCAACGATACTTTCTGTCTTAAATTCCTTAGCTGTGTCATATGAAGCATGTAACCCAAAGAGGATATAGTAAACCAAGAGAAGTACTGTCCAGATACCAAACCTGATAAATGAATCTTTATCTATTGATCCAAGAAGAAATATGTTAGCAAAAATAGATATCGAAGGTAGCCATGGAACTAAAGGCACGCCCCAAACTTTTGGCTGCTTCATTTGTGGAACAAGAAACCAAAGCCCTCCAGTAGACACAACCCAAATAAATCCAAATATAGCATAGCCAATCCAACCATTACTAAGTGCCCAATAACATGAAGCGCCACATGAAGAGCCCATAATTAACACAAGAAACACTATGAGCTTGATTTGGTTCTCCTTTGTTGTCACCCCACTTGAATAGTACCTACGCACAATGAGGGCAACTGCAACTAACATGAAGATGATGAGAGTGGAAATTGACAAGAGGTTAGAGAGAATTTCAAGTTCAGTGAAAAAAGCAATTATAGCTGTGGCCACAATCAATGCAATTGTAGCATTCACAGGTGTCCCAGTCTTCTCATCCACATGAGCAAACCAAGGGGGCATCATGTGGGTGCGTGCAATGTGGGTTAAATAACGAGCTTGACCCACTGCACTCACCAACAACACAGAGGTCATCCCTTTCAAAGCACCAAATGCAACAATATACTTGGCCCAATCCCACCCTATATCACTGAACGCAACTGAAAAAGGTGCATCTATGTCAATTCTATTGTAAGGTTGCATAAGGCATAGTGTGGCTGCTAGCAAGCAATATGCCACTGTGGTAATCACCATTGCACCAAGAAGACCAATTGGAATGTCCCTTGATGGGTTCTTGGTCTCTTCAGCCATGGTTGAAACAGCATCAAAGCCCACATAAGCAAAGTAAAGCACGGATGAAGCTTGGAATATACCCCTAACACCATAGGGAGCAAAGGGCACATAATTTTCAGGTTTGGCATGGATGAGACCAGCAATGATAATGAAGACAATGATGATCATGTGAACCACTGAGGCAATGTAGTTGAAGACTGAAGAGCCTTTGGTGGTGTAGACTATAATCAGGCATATTATTATAAGGACTGCAACTGCTATAGGGTCAAGGTGGCCATAATCAGGGTTCATGTTATGGACCACTATGCGAAAATCATCAGGGCTTTTGTTGCAAAGGGTGGCAAAGTATGAGGTCCATGACCGTGCTACAGCGGCACAACTTACTACATATTCTAGAAGGATGTTTCCACCAGCTATGAAGGCTACAAAGTCTCCTAGCTCAACTCTTAAGTAGGAAAATGACCCACCTAAAGAAAAAGATCATGAACAAAACAAAAGTGAAATTGCTATCAAATTCAAGACGTACCCATTACAGAAATTGTATTGATATAAAAAATCTATATATTGAAGAGAGAAATAAAAAGATAAGATGGTTCATACGATTGATAAAAATAAAGAGAAAAATATATCGTAGAAAATGCTATACAAATTTATCGTAAGAATAAGTTATCTTTAAATTATTTATATACTCCTAGTGACAATATGCGTGTTTGTATTGAAAGTGTAAAACGAGTACCTTCTTAGTCACCTACTACTCACTTTATAGAAAAACATTATATTATATGAAATATTTTTTTACCTTAAATTCTTTCTATCTCTTAGACAAAATATTTCTCTCTTTCTAAACGTTGTTTCTCTTTTCATTCGTAAAAGACCCATCTCTTGATTAGTTTAAAACACATCGGTACTATACCATTAAAAAAAAAACATTTGAAATTTGATTAAAACTAACTATTCACACATATAGCAATTTAAATTTTTTTTTGTTAATTAATACAAAAATTTGTAATCTCTAAGTATACAAACAAATTTAGTTTTAATCTTCAAAGTTTCTATTGATTTTAACACCCATGAATTCTAAAATTCTAACGATATTCATATACTTAAAATGATAGAGGAAGTAAACAGTGAACTCATGCAAGTTACAAGTACGTACCGGCAACGGGAATTTCGACAGCAAACTCGGTGTAACAAAAGACTGAGAGCGAGGTGGAGACACCAGAAACCACATAAGACAATATCACCGCGGGACCGACAACCTCTCTGGCCTCGACTCCGGTGAGAACGAATATTCCGGCGCCGATGACACATCCGACACCCAACCACATGAGATCCCACCAATTTAGAGTCCTCTTCATCTCGTGGCCACTCCTCGCCTTCATCTCCACCACTTCCTCGTGCTCACTGGATCGCGTTAAGATCCGATCCTTCAGCCTCTGCGGAGTATTTTTTAGCGACTGCCCATAGTTGCTCCAACTCTTAAACGACTCCTCCGGGAAGAAGTCGTTTTTCTGAAACGTGCAACGCCTCCTTTGCATACCCCTTCCTCTTCTTTTTCACGACGTTGTGTTTCGACGATACAAAGCTACAACTAACAAAACTTTCTTATATTTCTCACTCTGCACTTTTCTCACTGTGTATCTGAACCAGTAACGAAACCCGAGTTTATAGTGAAGTATGTAATATATCCCGCGCCAAAGATGCAATGCCATAGAAACCTAGCCAAGCCATGGTTTAGTTGTTACCGTTGGAGCAATTTTTGTTCGTTTTGTTACAGTCAACCAATTGATCATTTACTATGTCAAACAAAAAAGAAAAAAACAAAACAAACAAAAGGAATTTCTCTTGTAGATTTATTTTTATTTTTTTATTTTCAATTTAGTCCAACAAAAGTTTTACAACATAATCTACCCTCTCCATCTGAACTCTAAAGATTTTATTCTAATTCCCTTCCTTTCATAATATTATTTTAATTAATTACACACGTTTCACATATGTCTACAAAACAATCTTAAATGAACACTGCGAAGAAAATGGTTCTTATATGATTTTTTAGAATCTCAATATTAAATTAGTGGTTGTTCCAAAAAGTTTATTATTATTATTATAACTTAAAAGGCTACGTTAAGTTACTTAAAAATGCTACTTAATTTATATCTAAAAATAAACACATACAATAATAATATTTTTAAACAAATAATATAATAAATTTATTAAAAAATTCAATATATTTTTTTTTATAATTTCACCATTTCAAAATATAACAGTATGTCGTAATCAATTTATAACTTAATTATAACCAAATGGATTACAAACTTTTATAAAATCAAAATCAAAATATCTATTAGATGATTAAAATAAAAATTTAACACGTTAACAGCGAATGTTTAAAATATAACAAAATTAAGAAAATAAAAAAGAAACAAAACCACCAAAACAACATAATTTGTTAAATAGATATCTTATTAAAATAGATATTCTTAGTTATATGCAACTTTGCTATCTAATAATAATTTGAAAACATTAAATAAATAAGAGTCATACGTAAATTGAATAAGAGCATAATAACAATCATGTTAACAATAAAGAAAAAACAAATAATAACAATCACGTTGTAAGTGTACTTGTTTATAACATTATTTATAAAAATAAATTCATTCTTATAATTTTTAAAAGAATGGAGATCAAAAGTTCACAAACTTATACTTTTAAATAAAAATATAATTTCAATCATAATTATTATAATAAGATAAATAGGTGTATAAAAGTAAAATAATAATAATAATTTCAAAAATATCATAAAAACAAAAATATAAGTATAATATTATAAGAGTCACTCACCAGAAAACTAAACTTTAAGATAGTTTCACTTCATAAACAATTTGTTTACTTCCAATTGAGATATTTTTCTATAAAAGTAACTTCATCTATGAGAGGTAACATTTTTCTTGCATTCATAATGTCATAATTAATATCTATAGAGATAATTTCACTTTATTGATAAGCTTATTCGTGTATTAATAACTTTATATAATAAATAGTCTTTTAATTTCATAATACAACTAGTTATTGCTACTAAAGGTTATAATATTTTTACTAAAAAAATTTACATTATAGAAAATTATTTTGATACATAAATCAAATTTATTCTCAATAAAAAAGTTTTAATATTTATGTTTCATAATTGAATATCACTAAACAAAATCAAAATAAATACTTATTTTACACTTTTAAGATAAATTCATATAATTAAATTAAATATATAAGGGTCAAAAAATTCTAACATAACTTCTCAAAATAATATTTACGTCATAGAAAATCATTTATATACCTAACTCAAAATTTGTTTCAATAAAAAGAAATCTTGATATTTATGTTTCATGATTTCAAACGAAATCAAAATAATCACTTCTTACACTTTTTTTAAAATAAATTCACATAGTTAAATAGAATATATATTACAATAAAATTTTATATAACAAAAAAAATTTAATACTTATTTTTGTTGAATTCTTTTTAAGTAATAATACATTATAAACAATAGAAATAATTAATATAAAAATATGTCACTTTTATCATTATATATTTACAACAATAAAAAATCACTAATTTACTTTTAAAAATTATTTCAGGAACGGTAAAAAAGTTATTGACTAATAAATTTAAACATCATTGACATCCAATAAAATTTTAGATAATTATTTAATATAGATTTATAGTCAATTTAAAAATATGTATTCAAACGAATAAAATATATTAATGACTAATTTTTCTTATAACATAATTGTGAGCGTAATTTAGGATTTTATATATAATTTTTTTCTTCAACAGCTAATATCCCTATTTTTTAGTGCAATATTTTTAATTCTAAAAATTCACTCGTAGTTATTTACATTAAAAAAAGCAAATGACTCGCGTTAATGGTTTCAGTATTTATGTTGACAAAGAAAACAGCTAACGAGAATTGCACGAACTAAGATAATTTTTTTTAATCTCAACAAAGAATATGATTAATATATATCTTAAAAAATTATTAAGTTTAAGAAATAATTGAATGTGTTTACGGAAACAAATGACCAAAAGAGAGTATAATTAAGACACACTCATGCATAAAACAAATAAAAAAAACACCTATAAAGAAAATACTAATCTCACATTAAGAAATTGAAATATGATAACGTAAAAGAGTTTATATTTAAATAAAATATAAAAGTTTCAATTATGTTTTGAAAATATACCACCCAAAGAAAGAGCCACTGACTGAAAAAAAACCAAGAGTGTAATTAACCTTTTAATTTATTTTTTAAATTTTCCACTAAAACGGTGTCGTTAAGCTCTCCTTCTCACTTGGCACATGTCTAGCGAGAAACCCTATTATTTTCGACACTGTTAGTGTGTGTGTGTGTGTGTGTGAGAGAGAGAGAGAGAGAGGTGGTAACGAGCTACGCTGAATAGGCAATGGAGGAAGAAGTAGAAGACACGAAAACAACAGTGAGAATATTCGTTGGAGGATTGGGTGAGGGCGTGAGCACTGAAGATCTGCGAAGGTTATTCGGTTCTCTGGGCACTGTTCAGGAAATCCAAACCATCCGAACCAAAGGTCGCAGTTTTGCTTACCTTGACTTCCTCACCGACCATAAATCCCTTTCCAAACTTTTCAGCAAGGTTTGTATCATTTAATGCAATGCTTGGCTCTATCATCTTACTACACTTCAATTTATTTTCTGTTTTTGTGGCAGTATAATGGGTGTCTGTGGAAGGGTGGAAAGCTAAGACTTGAGAAGGCCAAAGAACACTATCTCATGCGTTTGAAAAGAGAATGGGAACAAGACGCACTCGATGCCACTCAATCACCCATCACTGCTTCTAAAGACTCGGAGGAATTGCCCAACACCACGCACACTTCAAAGCCAATCACTAAACATCTCAAAATTTTCTTTCCCAAATTACAAAAGGTCATTTTTTTATGTGTTGTAACTGTCTTCGCTTTTTAAGAATATAAAGACTTGTTTGGTTTCTGATAATATTTTCTGTTTTCACTTTTAATTACTAATTTCCTATCTTGTTTTATTTTCAGTGTTTCCTGTACAAAAAAAGGAAACAGGATAAAAACAGAAAATAAAAATAGCAAACATTTTCTGAAATCAAACAGCCCCTAAATCTCTGTGTTATGGGATAATCGCATTGGTTGTGTTTGGGTGCTGTGAACAGTACACGTGGAATAAGTTTGGGGGTTGCATGCTGCGTTTAGGAAATGCATTATCACCTGTTCTTGGAGTTACAAATAGCTGTCTATGTACTTGTAAATATACAAGTGTTGTGTTTTAAGTAATTTACAATGTATGTTCAGTTTAACCTTTGTTTTGATTTTTAAATTGGTTTATTGATCTATGATATGTAAAATATATATAGAATGAATTCTTGCTTTTGCATTATGTTTTATTATGCATAAATATGTTAGTGCTAAATCATATAACTTGATTTTGACATGCTACATGTATACGGCCTGTGCAGGTGAAATCCATACCATTCGGTGGAACTGGCAAACACAAATACAGTTTCCAGAATATTAAAGTTCCTGCACTCCCTGTGCATTTTTGTGATTGTGAGGAGCATTGTAGTCCTTTTGTCACAGAAAAAGAAAAGCTATCTTCTGGTGGGACAGCAGAAAGTGGTGGAATGAATGATGAAGAGATTAACATAATGAATGCTGTGATGAGCAAGCTATTTGAAAAAGAAAAGGTTACTGATGGTAAGAACCTTGCAGAGGAGCAGGATTCTTTTGAATCACCTGATGCTTCACATTTTGATGAACGTGAAGTAGATAGCGCAACAGACGAGGATGATCTCATAATTAATGTGGAGACGAAGAAAAATAAAGCAGCTTTGACAGGGAGCCAGGAACTTGAAAGGATCTTGGAAAATCAGGTTATCTTTTTTTCCTATTTCTTTTGGCGGGTGGTGGGTGAAGTTTAATAATAAAATTAGGTTAGGTTATGTCTGAGTGGGAATGTCAGTTTTCTTTTATCAAAGAAAAGGTAGTCTACGTAACTAATTGTTGTTTTCATTCTTCAGGAATCATGGTTGAATAAAACAAAAATTGCTAAGGAAGAACCAAGCAAGAGTGTGCCTCAAGTGCAAAAAAGTAGTAATAGTAATACCAAGAAGAACAAGAAGAGAAAATCACTTCCCAAATCGGAAAGGGAAAGCAATGGGGGTGTGACTACTACTCCTGGAGGCGAGAGTATGCAGACCATTCCAGATGAGGTGGGATCTAGTGCACAACCTACCAAGCTAGAAGATGGTTTTAGGGAACCAACTAGAGTTTTATGGTCCCAAAAGTCTTCATGGAGAGAACTTCTTGGTCATGGAGGTAACACTGCTTTCAGTGCCTCTCTTATATTGCCAAAGTTTGATTCAGGGAAGAATCAAGAAAGACCTGATGATCCATGTGCATCCTCACCTACAAACAACGAAGCTGAGAACAATGAAAGGGATGGATACCTAGGCAACAAACCTACTGATACAGAAGTTATAGAAGAGCTTGCCGAAACTCAACCTACCAATAATCAAGTGACACAAGATCTTGCAGAATCTGAGCAAAATGTGGCACCAAACAAGACGGGCAGAGGTGCTTCTTGGCTGCAAAAACAATCCTGGACTCAACTGGTTCGAGAGAATAACAATTCATTTAGCATTTCACAGATTTTGCCTGGCATTACTTTACCAGAGCCAATAGCTAATAATCCCATTGTAGACCCTGAATATTCCAATGATTGCAAGCATAACTGTGTAGCTAAGGATACTGTTAATGAAGTTGTCAGTGATGGGTTTGACTTAGGGGAGATTATACCAGATAATAGTCGGCATGTTGGTGCCAATGACATTGCTTCTGCTCCAGTAGTTAAGAAATTTGAAACGAGTCCTAGGGAAAAATCAACTGAAGATGTTGAAATAGGTCAAACTTGCTCATTTATGAGAAGTGCTGCTTCTTTGAAAGAGTGGGCAAAAGCTAAGGCTGCTCTAAGTGGATCACTCAAAAGAAAACGTGGAGAGAAGTAAGAGGCCAAGAGCACAAGATTCTACAGATCAGAAGTACTACTATTGAGCTTCATTATATTATACATGGTTTTGAGCTGTATTATATGCTCTCGTTTAGTACAGGCAGATGAAAGTGAAAAGTAATGAAGAGCAAATTAATTTCCAGATGCTGTGATAAAATTAAAATGACATTTGTTTAGAGTAAAAATAATATATTGAAATGTGTATTTTTAGTTTTGCTACTCAAGAAGGAAACTGCGTAAGAATGATCAAATTAGAATGAGGCAACATAGCTCATGAAAAAAAATACTTGGCACCTATGTCCTTGTTTGATTGGGAGCCCGTGTATCTTTCAGGGTCTAGAATAGAGTATATTCCTATAGTCATAGATGCTTGCGATATCATTTTGATTCTTTACAAATGCAAGTCCTTGAGAGATTATAGTATGATGTCCATATTCCAAATTTTGAAAGATGCATCCAAAATTTGTTGCACTTTGTCTGAATCTTGTCCTTCCCTAAAATAATTTTTATATAATTTATTTAAACTTATATCAATAATATAACTCTTATTTCTTTTTAAATTTTTTAAATAAACTTCGTATCGTAGTTACCAAAGTAAATTTCTTTAATAACATTTCAGTTAGCTAATAATCATATTTATGAGACTTTTATGTGATAAAAAATTGTTAAATAAATACTTAATTGAGCAAACTCAAACATACCCTAATTCGAAAATTGAGATCATAATAAACTATAGAATGCCTGATTTTCGAGCACTAATCGTGCCAAGTAGCATGACAATTTCCTAACCATGAGATCGTTACATACACCGATACAAATAAACCCGTACTTGTCACTCTACCTGTTTTAGTGTTTTTTCTACAATGTAAATTATACCCTTCGGATTCCCCCCATTGATAAAATTCAGCATGTGTTGAAGAATATAATTAAAAACATCAATGGCTTAACATAATTTTTCAGTATACAAAACCTCAAGAACACAATTTACATTACATATATTTTGTGCCCATACCATCCACAGCACCAGGCCAAAGAAAATAAGTTTCGCTACGCAATATCAACGGATTCTACTTGGCTTGGCTGGGTATTGATAGACTCAATTGCCTGGGCCGAAGCACTTGAAAATTCCATTAGTGACAGGAAGAGATAGGGAAGTCTAGTTTGGAGGTAATTTAGGGTCATGGCCCTACTATACTGGACAGAATCCACATAATTTGCTTTCACGCTTTCCACTTGCTTCTCTAAGGCTTCTTTTTCATTTTTTTTATTAAGATATATTGGATGGTGCTTGGGGCTTGTATCAGCCATATCTCCATCATCTATTTTCTCCTGCATCTCAGCCAAAGAGTTGGAGCATTTTTGCAGCTTCCTTTGAAGTTTTTCTAATTTTTTCAGAATGTTATCTTCCTCAGCCTGTTGAGCAATTATGGAACGGATGGATGACAAAAGGCTTTTTATTGCTTCAGAGGCCTCCTATAAACCACACCAGAGTCCCAGCAAATTATAAGTCATAAGAAAACCCAAACATAGAATTCTTTACACATTTGTAATATAGATAAAAGAAAGAAGTGTCTTCCTTCAAACAAATCATTTCAGACCAACTTTTGAACAAAGCCATAATGCAAGGAAGCAGTTAATATTTTAAAATCAAAGCTTTAGGTCAAAGAAATTGTTAGATATAAAAACATTCATGTACTTTTACCCAATAGTGTAAACTTTTGGGGATCATGATGTGGTGGTGGTATCAGAGAGAAGTTTTTCCTTTTTTTCCTTATTTTATGCCTCTTTTTCCTATTAAAGTACAATATTTTTTGTTTTAGTTTTACCTAAGGACATAAATGTCTTGACAAAATATATCACTTTTCTTTCTCTTCATTTTCTTTCATGTCTCTTTCACACCAAACAACTTAAAAATTTACTAATTTTCTCATCAATCTTTCTATTCACATATCTTTTATCTTCTTTCTCAAACCAACCAAACTGTAACAGTTTAAGTTGTTAGGAGATAGAACAACAATGGTTTACATGTCTAACAATTCAGATAGGCCAAACTAGATCATACTTTATACAAGTCAAGCCAATCATGGTTGTTAAATTCATGAATTACAGCCTTAGGTCACCTAATTATGTATTGATGTTAATTAGCATGAACAAGTGGACTCTGTCATACTTACATAGACACGGTTAGTGAATACAAGCCTGAACCCAAGAACAAGAACTGGGTTTTTGGACTAGCTTGGGTTTTTCTGCTCTACTGATTAAATGAGACAAAAGTAAAAACTGAGTCACTTGGAAGTGCACAGCCAAGGCCTGTGTACAGTGGGTGAAAACAAGAAGAAAACAATATGGAGGCAGCAGTGCAGACAAAACAAAGCAATTACAATAGTTTGAATACTAAAAAAGAACACCACGATATTTCTCAGTGTTGAAAGAAAGACATGAAAGAATAATATCAAAACAGTTCTGACAAAAGAATTTCTATTTTTCCCTTCAAAGAAATAAACAAAGAACAAGGGGAAAAAAGGTCAACATCAAATTTTGAGAAAAAGTACCTTGTCAGGCAACCCATTCAGCCCCAGTTCCCACTGTTTACAAAGGGCAAGAATAGAGGACTGATCACTACATTCTTGGCCATCCCTGAGGTGGTCAGTAAGCTCAATCCATTTACAGAGAGTCATTGCATACTCCTGTTGAGATTTTACTAATTTGCAAAAGCTATTATACCAATAAGAGGCCTCAGTCTCAAACTGAATTGTAGCCTGGTGATGATAATCAGAATTTAGTATCATGTTATGGTTATCACTGAGGTTACTCAACTGCTGGGAGATAAGTGCTTGGGCCCGATGGCACTCATGCATTGTCCTCCACATTTGCGCCAACCTGCAAAACAATCAAGATTAAAGCAAAACCCAACCGAGAACATGATTCAGATATAATTATTACTGTTTAATTGTTTTCATCATCCGACACCTAAGTTATTCATAATATATTTAGGTGGCATTTGGAAGAACTTATAAAAATAGCTTGCAGATCCCATAAGCTCTTTTCAGCTTATTCCACAAAGTTTTATGGTCAAATTTATGGTATAAACCCTCATGTAAAAAGAGTTTACTGAATAAGCATTTAATTAAATTGTGTTCTCAAATGCACCCTTAGAAGACCATCATCATAGGACAAGAGCAAATGACATTAGACATGTAGTTATTTATCAGGTAAATTCAACAAGCAATTGTTTTGATCCTCCTATCCTTTTTTTCCACTGTCATTACCAATCTTTCATATGTTGATTATGTAAATAATAAAAATTAAGATTTTTTTTGTTTGTTTTTTCTTTATTTTAATCGGAGAGGAACCCATTTCCTTATTGCTAAAGTAGTAGCTTTTGTAGCATATGTGACCAGTTACATGGTTTATCAAACATCTGGATTCATACCAAATGAGCAACCATTTCGATGACAATCTAGAACATATCCATGACAAGATAATAATGGCACAACAACACCTTTATTAATGTAACTGAATAGATAAACAGCCACCCAATTTCTTGTCTTTTTTATATGTTTCATAAAATAATTTTAACGACAGAGCATTATTGTGAAACTAAGATTGATATTTTATTAACACATTAAGTTGGAGAAAGTCTAATATATCCAATTTTAAAAAATATACCCTTTAGTTAATGCACCTAGCTGGGGTTTAAGCTCCATATCTATAATTTCCAAAATTGACAAAGTTGTTTCACTGATGCACAGCCGTAGGCTTGTCAAATCACACTCCAACTTCTCAACACTTGATCGAGTTTTGTCAATCTTGACCAAGTCAAGGTTCTCATCCTCTTGTTTATGCAATAACGAATACTTCCTCTTACACTCCAATGCTGCAACTCCCTCCTCCTACATTAAATGACATTTTAACAATGAGCAGAGGACATTCACGCCAAAAGATTTAGAATCCAAAAACAAAAATTTCCTTTCAAATAAAAGAAATAAATAAAATGATCAAGACAACTCAGAATTCAATTTCAAAATTAGGTGTAATATATGGCAGTTTAACTATATATCAAACAAAGGCAAAGACTATAGTTTCAATTGTTGTGTTTAAATTCTTCCTTTTGATTACCAAGCCACTAAAGAATCAATGGATGTCAGCATGATTAAGTCTAACTGAAAACAGATTCAATAATCCTGCTATGGCTTGCTTCCAATGTTATCACATAATAAAGATGTGTGTTATCAGTATATCGTACATGCAACAACTGAACTCTAACAACAACTCAACCCACATGAAATTTTGTTATCATCTAAGAGAATGAAGTAACTGTTGAGCTGACATATGATTGTACTCCTTTATTTCTTTTGTACAGATTTGTACTTTTTTTCCTTTGTTAGGACAAATAATTAGGGAAGATCTACTCCTTTGATTTGGCTTTATTCTAGGAATCTAATTATGAGCCTTTAGCCTTAGCATCTGCTGTACAAAGATTTATTCAGAGATAATATTATTGGTTTTTCTCCTTTCAATTGTAACCTACTCACTGCAGAAGAAGTAAAGAGAAGGAACAAATTCTAAACTTGAGTTGAGGAAAGAAACTTTGAATAAAGGGATTTCAGTAAAGTAGGAGCAATAAGGACTACGGAATATATGGAATGCCAGTTTAATAAGTCATGAATTTGCAATAATTTGGAGTTTGGAGGTTAGGTTTAGGAAATGCATCATATTCATACCACAACCCGCAGGATTAGGTATAGTGGATCAATCTTACAATCTTACAAAGTGATGGAGATCGCAGAGGTTGTAGGGATGCATACATATAATTCAAGTTTTCGAATGTTACACAGTGCAGTTCCTCCCAGAGCAAAAAGGTGAGTGTAGCAAAGATTAGAATGCTGAGAACTTGAGGTGGATAAGTTCAAAAACAAGAAACAGAAACAGTGCTCCACCCATATGCCTTTTACATTAAGTGGTTATCTATCACTTGATACAGCCCCGGAACACATGAGCCATACCAAATTGGCAACTCTCTAATCTCCAGTCAATAAAGTCAGATATGAGGCAGATTTATTGGTTTACCTTTATTGCCTTGAAAAGTTTCTTCTCTGCAGCATATAATTTTTTAAGTGTGGCACAATGAGCACCAGGCTTGCATGGTTCACCATGACCAGAAAACTCAGCAGCATCTTTGGTGAAATGGGGCGACTTCGAATGCCTACTCCATGACAGTACACTGAAGACCTTCGCAGAATTGCCTCTCTTCTCTACAAATAACATAGCCACTTTTCAGTATTTTTGAACAACAGCTAACAGACTTTCTACTTTTCATAATTCATATAATTATTAATAGGGATCAAATCTATTGCTTTACTTTCCAGTAATTTTTACTATATAGAAAACAAAAGGAAAAATCATAGTTATTTTAATGGATGGGTGAAAAAATTATGACATCTCAAAACCAATTTATCTTTTCCTGAATGCTTGACAATAGTAACAGATGACATTCCATCAACAAAAAATGGCAAATCATGTATTATTTTATGTTTATTTGGTGCGCAAACTCCAAATAAGACATGATATTAATATGTCATTTGAACAAAACTATTAATCAACAAGAAAGGATATTATTTAATAAAGCATGGCTTAAAATGAAGGCTTCACAACTTCGATTGTTTAGAATTATCTACCATTGTCTTCTGAAACATCTAAAAAATACAGCAAATATTATAATTGTAATTCCAAATGAATGCATAAGTTATTACATAAGCTGTAAAATATTATAAGGGAGAAACAAGTAAGCTCAGTTTTATGAGTATGAAAAGATGCATCGTTATGCACATCAAATGAAACTACAAAGTTCCAAAACAGAAACACCAGAACGAAAAAGGTAGGGACCTGCCAATCACAACACCTAATCTATCATTACAGAACTTCCACAATACTAAATGGCACACAGTATCAGTTTGTAGCCTTACTATTGTGATGCCCAGAATTCTGCCGCAGAAGTGTATCTCCTCCACTGATATCAATAATAACAGCAATTTCCTTTATACATGCTGATGCTTTCAGGAAACATTCATCTAACTCTCTAACTATACCCTCCAATGTTTTCCCACTTCTACCAACCACAACAGGCATAGCTGTAGTGTCTTTTTTATACAAACTCATTGCAGAGGAATTATTGTAAACTGGTTCTATGAACTGTTGCTTCCCATAACGTGACTTTTCAAAATGTACAGAAGCTTCTGCTTCTGTATCTTCATCCTCAAAATCTGTTTTAGTTTCTTCCCAACTCTCCTCCTCAATTATTTCTACTATTTCTTGATCAGAGCGAAGTAGCTGTAATGAACTCATACTTGGATCAATTTGCTGTGTACGAACATTGTTGTCATCATTCCCTAGTATTTCCTCTTCAGCAACTTGTACTGCACTCTTGTCAGCAAGAAAAGGAGGCCGTGGTGGTGGTAGCAGAGGGGATGCAGGCAGATGGGGCGGTGGAGAAGGTGGCTCAGCCAAGCCATTAGAGGCAGTTTCAGATTCTAATGTATCAGATTCAGTGAATTGCCTAAGAGTGGCACCAGTGTTCCTCAGTGCTTTCAAATAAGCTAATAGGGAATCAGAAAACTCCCTTCTAACTTTCAGTAACTGCTTGATCACCCTCTTCCTTTCCTTGCAGTTGCCAAAATTCTCATCCTCATCAAAAGTTGACAAAACACAGCCCATTTTGGAAGATAGATTACGCTTCCCTTAGCTAAAGACAAGAGATGCCACAGAGAACCAATCAACACAATGCATCAGAAAACCACCTTTCCATCCGATTGCAGCAACACCTGGATTAACAAGCTCACGTCACAAAGTTGTCCAACAAAAACTCTTAATAGATATTCTTTATGTTTCTAAAACAACTCAGTTGATCTGCTTCATCAATAGATTCCAGTAACTTAATAGTCTTCACAGCATCCAATATTTCAATAACCAGAGATTGTCAACTGCAATAACAAGTAGATATATAAATATGAATCACAAGTAAGACAAAAACAACACAAAATCCCCAATGCAAAACAAGACAAACCTTACATGTTGTTCTTTAAGTATTGACACTGCTAAATTACCTATTAAAATTAAAGTTCATTTTAATAAAAGATTTGCATTTAATGTTATCACAAATTATCAAGGTAAATCTCTAATTTGACCTGTAAACACCACCAGCTCCTAAGGAATTGCACGCAAGTCTTGTTCATTTAAATATTTCACAGTTCATAATATATACGTTAACCAACTTACTTAAACACTGCTTCATTTATTTTTCCAGTGTATTTCTTGCTTGATTTGGCAAAATCCCTGTAACTAACCCAGAATCTAGAGAACAGCATATGCATTACTCTCACTTCAGACCACACAAAGGAGAAGAAAAGCACAATGTAAACTCCAGCCATGACCAAACTCTATGGGCAAAAAACAGGGAAAAGCTTCAAAACATGAAAAAAAAAACGGAGATTCCAAGAGACACTACGAAATATGAAGGAATATTAAAATGTTGGAAACAGAAAAAGAAGAGAGAGAGAGAGAGAGAGAGAGGAAAAAAACTGTTCTGACAAAGAAGGTTTATGAAACAGACGACGCTGCTTCACTGTGCAAAACGCAAAAACAAATCAACTGCAACTCACCACAGGCATTTCGAGTGTGGCAAGGCAAAATGTCAAAACAGAAAGGTGAATCTTCTCGTTTTAAAAAAGCATTACAGAGAAAGAACCACACTTTGTTCGTTCTTTACAAAACATGAAAACAAAGCGAGAGAGAGCTCGAAACTCGAGAGGAGAAGAAGCATCCAAAGAAGAAGGTTGGCACAGAGGCCAAGGCAGAGAGAGAAAGAGAGCGAGAGAAAGAGAGAGTAGGGGTTAGCACTCACCACGCAGAGAGAGCATAGAGCAGCACATGGTTGAAGTTCCCTGTTGCACACAACAAGTTGTTGAGCATGTGGCACAACACACCACTAAAATGCATTGCAAAGGGAGAAAGATGAGTGGGGTGGTAGCAAGGAACTTGTAGAGAGGGAAACACTACTTTTCTTTAAGCTTTTTCTGACTTCACAGACATAGTTCCTTGGGACACGGTAATTAATAATTAATAACTTTAATAATAAAGTATAGATAAGGAAACTCCTCTTCATGATATTATTTTAATGCACATTTGGATAAATCTTTTTTAACAACAATTACTTCTTTTTTTTTAAAAAAAATACAGATTTATTTAAACAAATAACTGCGTTTATAATGTATGAAAACAAAATAATTGAAATAAATTTATTAAAAAAGAGAAATGTAAAATAATATATTGGTGAAAGAAAGAGAAACATAAATATGATAAAAAGATCATTTAGGTAAAAATACGATACCATAAAATTGATATATATTTTACTTTACTTTATGGGTGATTAATATCAAAATAACAAATTAAATATATTATACATTGGTTCTAACATCAACACCTTACAAAAAAATTGCATACACTCCATTCTATATTTTGTCATAATAACAACCCCTGGTTTTGTCATTTTGATTAGTGGGATTCCGAGACAGCAATGTTGTAAGTGGTGATAGCTTAGAGTTTAAGATACATATATATATATATATATATATATATATATATATATATAATTAAGCATTTAGATAACATGAATGTTGGGTAGTGCAGCAAATGCAAAACTAAAAAGCATTACTTTATGAGCTGACACCACTGGATGGTAGGTAGTAATATTATTGTCTTTGCATTGGCCAACCAAGATTGCACAATAACAGACGAATTTGTATAGCAATTTCTTTTGCTTTATTTATATATAATAATATTTTTACGTATGTTCGCAGAGGCATGCTTATCCTTATTAGTTAAGGGAATGCACGTGCTTTTTGTAATACCAACTTTTGCATGAAATGTCTCACTACATTCTAGCAATTTTTTTTAGAGTAATTATATTATTTTACTTTATAAATCATTGTTTTAAAAAATGTAAAATTAATTTTATTTAATTTACGTTAACAAAATTTTAGCTACAAAGGATAATGTCCCACGTGTCCCATCTTGCTATTTCTAAAAGGTATATAAAAGAAAAAGGGAATAAAGCCCACATGAGTTTAAGTCAAAAGTGGCGTTAGAATAAGATAACGCTTAAAAATGAGCATGGGTTTGATAAAGTTTTCGTGTCTACCATGTTCTTTGAAAAGAAAAGGCTCATGAATCCAATAATCGAGGCCTTAGTCCATATTTTAGATCACACCAATGTGTTATTAACTAATATCTTTAAAATACTAATTAGAGAAATATGTTAAAAGTGATAAAAAAAAAATAGTATGTATTTGTGTTTTGAACAGAATATTTTTATTTTTTTTCCTTTGAATAGTGTCTTAAAAGTCATGTTAGTATTTTAAAAAGTTATATGTAATTATTTTTTATTAAAAATATAAAATTAAATATATTAATAATATTAAATATTGTATTTTTAATAAAAGGTATTGTTTGTTAAAATTTTGTCTTGCATAGTTAAGTATATGTTAAGAAAAATATTTAATTAATAGTCTCCACCTTCTTTATAAGATGGTAAAGCCTCCATAACTTCTGTATTGATACATCAGATGATTTGCAGACTATTTTTTTTAATTACTAATATCCCAAGTACCTATTAACATGCTGAACAAGCAGTTGTATCTCTATTATATGAGTTTTAGTAACATTATCCCTTTTTAAATGCAAATAAGGATAAAAAATACGTGGATTTTTTTTCCTTTTTATTCAACTGGTTTATTGATGTGTAGTTAGTTTTGCATGGAAATTTTTTCAACTGGGCAATTGAAAAAAAGGTTATTTCAAATAATAAATCTCTGCCATTATTAATTGTTTGATTTGTCTTGTTTACCGCAAATAAACTTCTATGTCTCTCTATTTTTATTAGACGAGTACCGTTAGGTATAATTAATTTTCCAGGGTCAAATGTGTGAACTTACTCCATTGTGTATATAAAGAGGAAGATAAATCATTAGAGTACACTTAAACAGAGATTATTAACAACAAAACAAGTAACTGTACATACAGTTTGCAGGTATCGTGTGTTTCACACATCAATTGAATTGTTAGAGTTTTGTGATCTCAAATTTTAGAATTGGGTTTTCTATGAAAATTTTTGATAAAAAAAATATATTTATTATATTAAAAATATAAAATTGTAATAATTATTTTTAAATGCTTAAAATATCCATAAATTTATATTAACATTTTTCATCATAACAATACTTTTCTGTAAAACAAATTTTTTTGAGAAGATAACAAATTATGAATTTTGGTAAAAAAAATTAAAGAGAGATTGTTACATATATTCTACTCTTTACCAAACTTGAATAACTCGTAAACAATCAATACCTAAGCATAATATTGGACAAGTTTGGATGATAAATTCATATTTAAATTTTTGAGCATGCCTTTATTAAGTGAGGTCGATTTAGAATTAATAATTATGCGTATATTTAAATATTTAATTGCCTAATTGGATAAAAATATATTTCTATTATAAATTAAAATTTTCAAAAGTTAATTGTTGATTTTAGTTTTTTTTAAATGTATTAACAAAATATATAAAAAGGATGCATTATCTGAATGTAAAATATGAATTGAATTAATTTGTTTATTAAAGCTCTTGATCAAAAGATATAGAGTACACTGCTCATGCATTGATCCTTTTAATATATGATTTAAAAACATAAAAAACAATACACTCCGTCAGTGAATTTTGATTTTAGATATTATACGTTAAACATATAAATATTTGTTTAAAACGTTTTTTTTATTTTCACTTATAAGTTTATAATTAACTGAATCTCTACTTCTTTATTTTTATTTTATCTTTAGTTTTCCCATTTTTCAATTATCTTTTACACCTCACTTTCTTTCATCTTCGATCTTTACATTTGCTGTAGTTATTATACCTATAATTAATCTAGAACTCAATTTAAAACAAATATTTTAAAAAAATAATTAAGAAATAATAATGGTTAAATTTCAGTATGATTTGTTGAACCAACATATAATTCATAAAGAATCTCTATTTTTGGAATAAATATTTGATATTGTTCTAACTCAAATTTTAGTTACAAAGAGAATTCCTCACTCACTCTACAAAACAAAAGAGTCAAACACAATGAAATATAATACACAAATAAAATGAACTAGTGACTAGTTGAGAAGCCTTACAAAAGAATTGGAATAAATGTTTAATAAAATACAATCTACAATCTTAATATTGGAAACTTCATTGACAATCTTATCTTCTCCAGGCCTTAATACAATATCAAACCCTACAGCAACTTCCCCCCCAAAACATAATTAAATATTGTAAAAAGAAAAGTTAAACAAATTTCTTGTATAATCAAATAGAAAAAAATGGAAAGGTCCAATCATGGATTAAAAATGAAGGAATAAAGACAAGCCTTCAACATGTTTTGTTTTGGTGTGGCTGAGAAAAAAGTAAAGACATTTCATATATACATCGTTTAGGCAAGTTGTGGTTGCTAACATAGTAGTACTCATCGCCTTTTCATGCAGAACCAACGTCGTTCATATTAGAGAAAAAAAATTGTGTGACTCAAATCATCATGGAGCTTCCAACACGCATAATATAAACTGATCCTAAATAAACATGAAAATCCGTAATAAAAACCACAAAAAAAAAATATTTGATCTTCTTAAAATCCATTTTTTATGCTACGAAAAAAGTCACTTAATGCCAAGGTTGGTTTGATAGATAGAAGAGGAAGTGTTTTTTTGGAAATGCCAAATGATGCATGTTAACAGAGGTTGTAACATTTTCATTAGTTGGCGAGCTTCTACAAAACATTCCTTATCATTACACTGTACAATAATAGAAGGCGATGGGAGAAGATACAGTGGTATGATATAGTCACAAAGGAAATTTAGCAAGAGTTTTTCATCTATTGTACTTTTTTAGATCAGCATTTTCCTCAATTCCTATTGGCACGGTGATTATGGATTTGAAATTAAAAAGATGAATCTATATTTATAGAAAAGTCTTATTCACTTCATTTTTATTGTTTACCATGGTGAAAATAATAAAATATTTCATTATTTTTCACAATTTACATTTTCCATCACATCATGATTAAAAGTAAGGTTCAAGACATCACGTGAATACTTGGCAATGGCATCATATTCAACTTTAGTTGGCACATTTGATTGTCAAAACCAAAAATTAGGATAAGATAAATCTTATACTACTTTCTAATCCAATATTCCGTTGAGTCAATAATATTATCCTATATTATTTAATAATTTTAATTTTACCCTATAAAAAGAGAGTTGAATTAATTGAAAGAAAGTAAGATAAGATAATTATTTTTTTTCCTTAGTTTCGAGCCACACAACTGTTTTTTTTTTTTTATTTCTACCACAATCTTTTTGTACTTGTTGCTATCATTATTCACTACTATAATTATATAATGACCATCTACGTTTTTACCATTGTTATCACTTTACTAATTATTATTGTTATTAATCTTATCTTTAGTATTATGAACAATAATACACATTACATAAGTTTTAGTTTTTATGATGTGTATTACATTTATTATCGTTAAATATATAAAAAATGTTAATTTTTTATTAAATTTTAATGTAATTATATTATAAAGATTTAAATTCTAATTCACTCAAACAACGTCATCAAACCCTGCAAACTATTATACTAACTCAGGAATTACCAGTGTTTGTACATAAAATCATTTGCATTCCTACCAATAGGATCACGCTAGTTCCTGCCCCTTCGCGGCATGGAAACCCAAATGGCTTTCAAGAGATTCAGTTGTCGCCAAGCCCAAGTCAATTTGTGCAATTTTATCATTTTTTAAGTTACGAATTTATGATTTGACAAAAGAAAAAGGTTACAAATTTATAAATTTTCAAGTTCAACACACCTGTGCTGGTAACGCACATGGCCTAGCTGGGCTTTCCTTTTACTAAGAAACCGACACTCGCAATAAACAAAAGAATTCCCCCTAATAAATACAAAATACCAAACCGATTTTACATGCATCATCTACTGTTGTTCCTCTTCTGCAAAGTCAAATCGAGTTAATTTAGTGCTCGAAAATTGATTATTATTATTATTTGAGATTCTATGCTCGAGGAAAGAGCAATGAGTATGTTTGAAGGCACGGACCCCACATGGGTGCTGGGGTTGGTCCTTTGAGATGCTAATGCCATTAATGTTACACACTGTCCTAAAAACCAAAACTTTCAACACACACGCCTAGTTAGAGGGAGTCAATGCTTTCTATTTAACCTCACAGTTACTCCTTTGTACTTTTTCTTTGATGGGGATGAGTGGTTTTTGTTTTGCCCGTTGTGTCTGTTCTAGTTTGGTTTAGGTTTTTTACTTTTGTTTTGGTTGTTAGGGGAAGAGAACTGGGTGGTTGACCTAAACCGAGTGGGTGATAGGGAATTTTGGGGTTCAATGGTTTTTTGGCAAGTGGGTATGTGTGAGTGCTAATAATGGAGTGGTTCTAGGGTTTCTTCTGGTGGTGGTGGTGCTGTTGATGAATCTGGTGGTGGATTCGGCTCTGCTGGCTTGTTGGGTTGCTGGGGATTTGATAAAGGTTCAGTCTTTGGGGGAGAGAATGGGAAGAAGCTGCATTGTGAGTTAATTTTGACGAGGTTGAATTTGAGGCTAAGTGGTTCTGTAATAATTGCCAGTGTTGGTACTGTGTTTTCTGAAGGGTTTGACTGAGTTTCAAATTCAATTGGCCTCAGATCTGTTCAAACCTGGGTTTTGTTCTTGACTTGTTGTTCCTTTTTGGGATTTGAGTGAAAATGGCTTGCGTGAAATTGGGTTCCAAAGTGGATGCATTCCAGTGTCAAGGACAGGCCTGGTATCTAGCCTTATCCTTTTGTTTGCTCTGTTAATTGCGATTTTGTTATTGTTATTTTTTCTCTCTCTCTCGTCTCTCGTCTCTCGTCTCTCGTCAAATGTCATGTCCTTTGTTGAAATATCTGTGGGTTGTGAAGTGTAGTGTTAGGAAGAACATGCTTATCTACTTCGAAGCTTTTAGATTGCTGTTTGCTTGCTGCTTCTAGTGTTTAGTGGTTCAGAATATTGAACTCTCTTTGAAATTTGTGTGATTGGATGGGGAGGGGGGGATAGTTCGTTTTGTGAAGGTCTTATTATTAGTCTTGCTTGTTAAATAGTCTTGATAGAAATAGTCTTGTCAAAACAGATTCTTATTCTGAACCTATTGTATGAATGTTTAATTTGATTATTTTCCTTATGGTCTGTGAGGAAATAATATAAGTTTTTTCTTCATTTGATTATGCTTCTTGTCATTACAGTATATGAATTGGCATGAATGTGCTGCAGTATACTATATCTGAAGGAATCAACTATCAAGGGATCCTTTTGCATGATAGCCAATAGTCCAGTTAACGGACCTTGCAATGCCCTTCTTATTACTAAATTTTAAGTTGTCCCATATGTCTTATTATTATTATTATTCTGAAGATAAATGAAATTGGCATTTGTTCACGATATGATTTTACAAGACACTGAAGGATGATATTTTTGTTACGAGTTGGATTCTTAAAAAGTTAGCCTTTTTAAATGAGACTGTTGTGGGTACAAACTAATGGGAAATGCAATGTGTCTTTTGGATTTTTTATTTTGGAAATTCTAGTTTAAATAATATCTGTAACCTTTTCATTGCTATAATAAAACCATAGGTTCTGCACAACTGGACTTCCCAGTGATATAGTTGTTGAAGTTGGCGAGATGTCCTTCCATCTTCACAAGGTATAAAATATCTATTTCTTTTATTTTTATCATATCTAGTTGATACTTGATGCACTATTTAGACATTAGTTCACTTAAACTTCTAGCTATTTTTAAAGGGTTTGGTTAGCTTAAAATTTGCCGAAGTTTACATGAAGATAGACCATGCCACGAAGTACACTGCTAATTTATGAGTAGTTCAACTTCAAAACACTTGGTATTGCTATTGTTTATTGTTCAGTATGTTTCTGTGCTAATATAATCTGGATAATTTCCTGGGGCAATATGTAAATGTAATCTAGTAGGGGGGCATGATTTACTTTTGTTTTTTTATAACAGTTCCAAGTTATAATTCCATTTCCTTCATGTATCATTTATCACTTGTTCTATTTTGCATTTTTACACAAAATAGCTTTCCAGCTAGAAAGCTCGCACTCACTATTTAATGTATAAGATTTTTTGAATATGTATAATAAGCTAATTCAAATATGTTTTTGATGCAGTTCCCTTTGCTCTCTAGAAGTGGGGTTTTGGAAAGGATGATTGCCGAGGTTTCTGAATTAGAGGAAGAATGTGTCATACGCCTTCAAGACATTCCTGGTGGGGCTAAAACATTTGAACTTGTAGCAAAATTTTGCTATGGCGTGAAACTTGAACTTACAGCATCAAATGTTGTATACCTCTGGTGTGCTGCAGAGCAGCTTGAAATGACTGAGGAATATGGTGAAGGAAATCTTATTTCACAGGCTGAAACTTTTTTCAATCAAGTGGTCCTTCGAAGTTGGAAAGACTCTCTGAGGGCACTTCAAACCTGTGATGATGCTCTTCAAAATGCTGAAGAGCTCCACATTGTGAAAAGATGCATTGAATCACTTGCTGCAAAGGCATCTACTGATCCAAATTTATTTGGGTGGCCTGTACTGGAGCATGGTGGCCCTTTACAGAGCCCTGGTGGAAGTGTTTTGTGGAATGGAATAAGTACTGGGGCAAGACCAAAAAACTCAAGTTTAGATTGGTGGTATGAGGATGTAACTAATTTGAGTTTACCTCTTTATAAGAAGTTGATAGCTGTCATGGAATCACGAGGTATAAGACAGGAAATTATTGCTGGTTCTCTAGCTTTCTATGCTAAAATGTATCTACCTGGTTTAAATCGACGGCAGGTTTCTGGTGAGTCCAGTACCCGTCTAACGCAGGTAGCTATGGGGTCTCCACCATCTGAAGAAGACCAGAAGATTCTGCTAGAAGAGATTGATCGATTACTCCCAATGCAGAAGGGCCTGGTACAAACAAAGTTCTTGTTTGGTCTACTTCGAACAGCCATGATTCTACGTGTGAGCCACTCTTGCATATCAAATTTAGAGAAAAGGATTGGGATGCAGCTTGATCAAGCTACTCTGGAAGATCTCTTGATGCCAAATTTCTCCTATTCAATGGAGACACTTTACAATGTTGACTGTGTACAGAGAATTCTCGATCATTTCCTTGCCATGGATCAAGTTGCAGGTGCTGCCTCTCCATGCTCAATTGATGATGGCCAGTTGATTGGATCACCTTCACTGACACCAATTACCATGGTAGCCAAGCTGATTGATGGTTACCTTGCAGAGGTTGCCCCAGATGTTAACCTAAAGCTTCCGAAGTTCCAACTCCTTGCAGCTGCCGTTCCAGAATATGCCAGGCCTTTGGATGACGGGTTATATCGTGCTATAGATATTTATTTGAAGGTACTTGTCTAGACCAAGCTGGTGTATAGCATGCTATAATTATTTTTTAGGTATACTGTGCTATAATGAATTCTGCTTATGTTAGCTTGCATCATGCCATATGTGGGCCATTTCTTGGCCTGAGTGTATAGTATATAACTTTGGCCACAAGTATTTTTAATACTGCAAATCTGCAATGCTTCTAGTTCTAAGTGTTCAAATTGTTTTTCATAAACAGCATTTCCTACCCATTGTTTAATTCCCGTTCTTGATTTGAGCAGTTTACCCAGAGGATATTTGACCATATACCAGATATCTGTGTCATCTTTCTAGACTGTTTTTAAAATTGTGTTATGTTCTCTTTCCACATACATTATATAGCACTAGTTAGCGTGGCTTAAGAGCTTGTTTTGCCAATCATGAACTTCTAACTAGTTTGGACTTTGGACTGATTCACTGTTGCTGTGACACAAAACTGTAGTCTCACCCATGGTTGGTGGAGTCTGAGAGAGAGCAACTATGCAGGCTGATGGATTGCCAGAAGCTCTCATTAGAAGCATGCACCCATGCTGCGCAGAATGAGAGGCTACCCATCAGAATAATAGTTCAAGTTCTATTTTTCGAGCAGCTCCAGCTCCGGACATCAATCGCCGGTTGCTTTCTAGTTTCAGACAATCTTGACGGATCAAGACAGTTAAGGAGTGGTTTTGTTGGATCTACCGAGGGTGGCTGGGCGTCAGCCGCGAAGGAAAATCAGGTTTTGAAAGTGGGAATGGATAACATGAGGATGAGGGTGTCTGAGCTTGAGAAGGAGTGCTCAAACATGAGGCAGGAGATTGAGAAATTGGGTCGTGCAAAGGGAGGATCAAGCACTTGGGGAACTGTGTCTAAGAAACTTGGGTTTAAGATTAAGTCTCAGATGTGTAGTGCTCAAGAAGGATCAGTTAGCAACCAGAACAATGGTAATAGTAAGGTTGAGAAGTTGAAGGACAGACATGTAAAGCACAAGAAAAGTTCTTCTATTAGTGACAAAGCATCAGTCTCTTCAATTGTTCATTCCTAGTGTCTAATGGTTCATTTACTCAGAAGGTTTTTATCTCTTATTTTATTGTCATATTGACTAAACAGTTTCTTTGCCTCTGCTTCTCAAGCAAGTGTAACTGAGATGGAAACAAAGGTCTATGTATTGTGTAAACCGTAGCATTAGGTTTTTTTTTTCTTTTGTCCCACTACATATGCATATAAAATGTTTCTGCACATTATGTTTCCTACTTGTTCAAAATATTCATTTGTTTTAGTAGTGTTATGTTTAAAGATTTATTCCTTAAAATTATGAAGTTATTATGACTTGGCTATTTTGTACTTTCATTGCAACACCGCTTCTGGAAATCATCTTGGTAGATAGTGGATATATATATGCACGGAGAAGAATCTAAATTTTTTTATACCTAATCTAAATTTTTTATTTAATTTAACTTAAATTTAACGAGAAAAAGTTTTTGCCCTTTTATATATATATATTCTAACTTCAAAATTAATTTTAAAATTAAATTAATTTGGTTAGATCGATATTGTTGTAAATTCTCAAATTATTACAAGACAGAGAGTTATTTAATTTATTCCTAAAATTATTAAAATTAGTTTTTAAACATTATTTGTTATTTATTTTAGTTTCTTAAATTTGTTTGATAACTTGTAAAAATGGTAATGTGGCATATTAATGCATATTTAATTATGTTAGTGTTCCTGCATAAGATAAATTAAAAGACATTCTATTTTTATGAACATTTTTTAGTGTTATACGAGAAATAAAAATAAGATATACTTTTTAGTTATGCTGGAATATTCTTAATTAGTATAGTTAAAAGACATATTAGCATGTCGTATTTTATTTAAAGACTAATTTTAATATTTTACAAATTTAAGAACTATATTGAATTAAATACTCTTTTCTTTTGAAATTTATTCATCTTTATAAATAAAGAACCGTAATTATAATTTAAAAATAATTAATAGTATTATTGTGAAAATTGCTTTCATATACTAAAATCTTAAATTATTCTCAGAAAGATAAAAAGTTCATTAATTTAGTTTTTAGAAGAAATAAATTATTAGAATCACATTAATGTGGTTTGTCGTTCATCTTTTTTAGAATCAATTCCTATACCCTTCATTTCAATGGTTGCTAGGTAGCGAACATTAAGTAGAAACAAAACTGGAAGCAAGAACACAGTCGTGAAAGATGAATCATGTGTTGGAGGAGAGAGATGCAAGCAAGCAAGGATATATGGGTCTCGAATGATGAGTTACCATTGGTTGCTGTTGCATGTTGCCCCTTCATGATATGTTTAATGGCAAGGGGCAAGGAGGGAACGATGAAGAGAACCGTGCATACATGCAACCAAAGAATTGTGTTTGATAAGTCTCCTTATGAGTTCTTATTTTTTAAGTGAGACATAGACACATTTCATTAGTAAAATTATGAATTTGTAATCTTTGTAACATCATATACGATAAAAAAAATTATCAAATAATAATTTTATAACAAAAAGTATAACATTTAATATTAATAATATATTTAAATACATTAAATTCTATAATTTCTAATAAAATTTTATTATAAATAAATTATTATTATGCGTAATGAAAATTTGAAAAATATATACTATAATAAAATATTTAAAATTCTGGGGGTGGCCACAATGTACTTGGGCACCCTGTTGGGTATGTGTGATAGAAGCTACATTTATGCATTATTTTTATGATATGTTTATTTAATGTTAAAATAATTTTACATATTGTTTTTTTAGATTCAAGTTAGATATAATCATTATTTTAGTAAGACTCTACTCGTGTATATTTAATGTAACAATATATTCAAGACTCAAATTTAAGTCCCTAAATTATTAATTAAGTTAAAATAATACTATGTGATTTGATCAATTAACTAACATTATAAAATATTATCTCAATTTATGAATTTATTATTAAATGATATTTATTTAATATTAAAATATTTAAAACAATTAATATTTAATAATTTAAAGAAACTGAAATAATATTTTAATTTCAGAAATTAAAATAATCAAAATAAAAACAATTTAATACATTATTCTCTTAATGTAAGTTAAGTCACTCTACTATCGCATTCCTTCGTTTAAAGTTCAAACCCGCGTATCTGTTTTTTAAGCGCAATGTGTTTAGATTAAATTTTTAAATATTTATAATTTTTTTATTATTATTATACTTTTTGAAGATAAAATAAATTGTATTTTTCTAATTGAAACTCAACACACATGTGCAGTTGATTTTTGATGAAAATAAATAAATAATAATGTTTTATTCTCAAATAAACTAATCCTATTAAATGGGGGATTGATTTTTGAAGAAAATAGCCATGTTTTGTTTTCAAATTAATTAACCCTATTAAATCTGTACTATTCAGAAATATACTTTTATGAATTTACGATAGTCATGTTATCAAAATTATACTTTACAAAAAAGAGTATTGCATTTTTATTTTTTATGAATTTATATAAATATTTTCAATTTTTTTATAATAAACTATAAACTAATATAAACCTATACTATTCAGAAATATTTTTACAAAGTTGACAAAAAAAAAAAAAAGAAGAAAAGTTTTGATTAAAGACAATATTTCATTTAAAAATTCTCTGCAACTAATATTATTAATTTTCTTCCTCCCTCCAATACAAACTTTCATAAATTTCACCCTTTTCACCCAGTCTCCATCTGGAATTTCTATTCCCATTCAAAGACGTATCTCATCCTCTCTATTTCTCTTACCCTTTCCCATTCGCATAATAAATAAACAATACGTAATATAAAGTGCCGGATCTGAATTTTTCGTCGCGTGTTTCGTGTATCTTCTATATATCCGATTTCTGATTCGGATTTCCGATTTGAATCTGCAATAGATCGAGAAATGGGGGACGGTGACATTGAAGGCGGTGGCGGCGATGACGGTTTTCGTTCACCGATTGGTCGCCAGTATCGCCCTGTCTTGGCCAACGATCGTGCGGTGCTCGAGATGTCTTCCATCGATCCTGGATCTTCTTCTTCTTCTTCCTCTGCTGCCGTGCAAGATCATCCTCCGAATCTCAGGTATTCACGCTCTTCCGTCTCCTGCAACTGCATCTTTCGCGGTTTCGATGATTTCATTTCGTTTCCGAATGAGAAAAGAGTGCCCTATCAGAATAATGCGAGGAAATTGGAGCAATGTTGAAACGAGCAAAATTGTGTTGTGTGAGAGAGATAGTGTGCTTGTGTGTTTATGTGAAGGAATTAAGCTAGTCGCTTGTACAATTTGGGCGGTGTTGTCACTAACTATGGTTGGAACTAGTGAAATCGTGTGTATTGTGTGTTTTTGTGATTTTTTTTTCACTTGTGTTAATGTTGTTGCTGTTGTTGTCAGAAAAGTGAATGTAAGTGCGAATGGGAGTTCGGATGCCAGAGAGGGGAACGCTTCGCATCAATCACAACCTAACGGATCACAGCAGCAGGATTCTAAATTGGAGTTGTTCGGTTTTGATTCTCTTGTCAACATTCTTGGTCTCAAGAGGTACCACGAGACTTGCTTGCTGCTACTGTGAAGTGTGAACCGTTATTCCTCATGCGTTGGATGTTGGCTTTATTTACTTAAATTTTGAGTTTGCATAGGGATCAAACTTGCACGTGATATATTGCCTGTTTGAGGGTGGATTGGATAAGCTTTAAAAATAAGCATTTTCTGACTTTTTAGCCTTTTTTATTTAGAAGAAATAGCTACTATTTTTAACTGTGATAAAAGCACTGTAACAACTTTGAGTTTTTGCCTCTTAATTTTTTTTTAAATTATCTATATTTTTGAAAAAATTTTCAACATTTTTTAATTTTAAAGGCATTTTCAGGTGTGAACAAAAAGGCGCTAATTTTTTCACATAATAGATAGATCATGGATGCCTTTAATAAATATTGATTTTGTTAAATTTGATTTTATTTTGGAAATTTTTTCTTAGTTCTCCGCTGTTAAACAATTTTTGTTGACAATATCCTGTCCTTCTTCAGTATGACTGGGGAGCACGTTGCACAACCATCTAGTCCTAGAGAAGGTGAGGATATATCCATCACTGCTGGGCTGCCAAAGGTATGCAAATTTCTTAAGTATAAGTTTACTTCCTTTCGATATCCTATTTGTTTTGTTAACAGCAATGACATATTCACATGTAGTCATTGATAAAGTTCTATGTGTTTTTGATTTGAATTTATCAAACTAGGAAATTGGAAAGGATTAAATTATTTATACTATTAAGTCTATAACATCTGTTTGCGTTATAGGCAAGATGATTCAGAAAAAGAACTTTAGTTGTTTTGGTGATCGTGAAAAAAATATTCCGAATCTTTTATTTTAACAAGTTCTGAAATTGCTCTTTCCTCATGCTATACATATTTTACACAACACATTTATAATGAGTCATATGAACTAGGGGTGTTAGTTGAGATGATCAAATCTTGACAGTTAGGTCATGCAGTGGTGATCTGGAGTAGAAATTAATTAAAATTCACATACTCCAATACCATTTGCAATATTCACATGGCATAATATTCTAATCCTAACTAACATGCATGATTCAGTTGCATGATTTATGGCTTTCACTGTCACATTAAACTTCTCTTCTCAGTTGATGTGTCCCTTTCATACACACACTAATAAATACTTCTATGCTATATCAGTGCTTTTGTTTTCTACTTGGTTGGGGTAAGTTGTTTGTTTGAAAGTAATACGAAGCTATATGCATGGGTAGTTGAAATTTGCCATAATCCCTGACAGTTAAATATATTTTTGGGTCTATTTTTTTCATTGTAAATGCAAAAAACATGGTTATTATAAGTTAAATTTCATATGATCATATCAATTTCAATTTTATAATTTTTTTAGTCTGGACGTTACATGTTTATTTAATTTTGCAGCCTGCTGCTCCCAAACTGGGTACAATGATGGGTGTATTCATTCCATGTATACAAAGCATTTTGGGCATCATCTACTACATTCGTTTCTCTTGGTAACTTGTATATTGTTTTACTTCTTACCTCAATTATTAGCTCATTTAATGTCTATTAAAACCGAATATTAGAAATTTTTGAGACTGTTAATTGAAGTTTGAAATAGTGTCTGAAGAATTCAGATATTGTAACTTGATATTCAACTACAACCTAACAACAATTCAAATTTAAAAGGATAGAAGCCACAACTTCCTTATTTCTTCCCTGTTTTGAGAAAATGATCATTCATTTGAAAGCTCTTTGTGTTAACTTGTCGCCATAGTTTGAAGTTGAAATTGAATCTCTTGTTTGAGATCATCAATATGGTAACCAAATGTCAGTTTTCAAAATTCCAAACTTGGCTATTGCACTTAGTTTTGATTCTTTTGAAATACTTCCATGAATACCTTTTCAAAGTATATTTATTGGGCTTTTTTAAAGTAAAAGTTACATGTTGAGATTTAATAACTTATCTGAATTTCCTGTAAAACTTCTACACAAGAACATTTACCCTTTTCTTCTTCATTCCTATTTTCCGTGAAAAATTGTTTTCTATTTTCATTAAAAATTTAAAAAATTTGATTTTACCTTCACTTTATTTCTTATCTTCAAAGATTGGACCAAAATGTTGAAAAGACATCATGCTTTTTTCACCAGTTCTTTTGCAAAGTTTTGAAAACAGGAAGTAAAATACAATGTGGCTAGTTTGTATTTATTGGTGAACATTAGTGATAACAAGAAATGGAAATAGGAAATCTTTTGTCAAACAACCAAATAGGTTCTAAATGCCAAAACTTCTAATGTTCGACTCTTCCAAATGTTTCTTCATTTCTATATTAAACATACAACAACAACAACACTAAGCCTTATCTCACTAGGTGAGGTCAGATTTCTATATTAAACATAGTTGACTTGAAAATTCAACATCCCAAAATGCATAAATCTTGATTCATAAATATGATTTTTGGAATATGCATCATGTGTATTTGATTCACAGACACATTGGATATTTGTTGATACTTTAATTAAATTCTCTTATGTACATTATGCAAAATGTAAAATAGAACCTATGGTATGATTCTTATGTGAAATATAACAAGATGAAATATATATTTATGCATGATTCAATATCATTCATGTGTGTATAATCATCATCTGTATGCTCAAATTGATTTATGTTCAGCACTAGGTTTACCCCTTTACTGGGGACATTGTAACTTGTTTGGTTCACTATGATTTGGAAAACAATATATATAGATGGATAGATGAAGATTGAGTAGATAGATGCACCTCGGATCACTCATAATCTGATTTTGGCTACATGTAAGTGGAAACTCCTAAGTGTTATGATTATGCTCACCCACAAACCACAAGTTGGACTCTTAGACCTTATGGAACATTTGCCTTCACAAACTCGAAGAAGGGGAAACTCTTGAATCTCATGATTATGAGCTCACCCATGGACCAAAGGTTGATACCAATTTGACCCTATGAGAATTTTGTAATTGCGAACTTGAAGTTGGAGAACTTGTTACAAGAATATGCTCACAATTGTTGATACCATTTTAATAGGATTTTTTAACCAGCCTCTCAAAATCAATGTTTTTCCCATCTTAATATGAAGCACATACTCTAACACAAACAGTAGACATGACACGACTAAAGTCTAAAATATAGAACACGACACTGCATCTATCAATCTATCTATTTATCTAAGCATTTAGTCTCTACAAATTTTTTTTCTCTAAAATAAGATAAAATTATATTTTTCTAAACGAGGCATATTTACTAAGTTTTATATATTTTTCTATGATAGTGAGCTTTATAAAAAAATAAAAGATATTATTTTCTAGTATTTTATATTATATTTTGAACTAACTTTTTTGAAGTTATTATTTTTTTAATTCTAGTGTGTGACTACTATCTATATTGAAGTGTTGACTTAGGTGTCTGAGATGTGTGGAGGTGTTAGCTCAAGTGTGTGAAGCAACAAAAAATAAAATTTAAATTGGATACTCAATGAGGAGCGGCCTACGTGTGTTGATCAATTGTTTGGGAAGTGTAGATGTCAAAAAGGCGTCTAACACTACGACATTCCAAACAAGAGTAAATTATGTGCTTCATAGTTATCTTGTATAGACATAATTAACTAATATAAAATAGTTCTAATTTATTATAAACCAAAAATCTATAAACTTAGTCTTTAAATTATTATTACAAGCCTAAAATCTACAATCAGCTAATAATAATATTTCCAAATTAATGAGCCCAAATACTTATCCTGTTAAAAGTTCAATCAAATAAATCAAGTCAGCCGCATTGCTACCCATGATTAGATTTGTATGAACTTCAACTGGTTTCTCCATTGCCTTTTTAACTTTGTTTGCTTGAGTTTTTATCATTAGACCCATGAACCACCATTGTATCACTTGTCTTCTGCATTGGTTGGTCTACTCAATTTCTAAATTAATAAAATCAATAAGCCTAAATCAATAAATTAGTCTTGAATTATTGTTACTAGCCTAAAATCTATAATCAACTAATTAAAATTATTCTTAATTACTATGATATCAAAATACTTTATAGTCTTTCAAAGGTTCAATAAAATATAGCCAGGTCGACCCATTGCTACCCATGATTAGATTTCTACGAATTTCAGTAACTAGTTTCTCCATAGCCTCTTTAACTTTCTTAGCATGAGCTTTTGTCGTTGACTCATTGGACTGCCATGAACCACCAATGTATCATTTTTCTTCTGCATTGGTTGCCCTCTTTGATTTCCATCACTATAATAGGTTTTGGCAAAACCAGGGAGGCTAAACATCTATGACAGTACGAGATCTTTGTTGTTCTTTGGGGCATTTAGTTGGATCAGTTGCACACTTCTATAAGCAGATTTCCTTTGCCCTTTATTTTGTTGTTATGGTCTTAGTTGCTGTTTGGTTTGTGGCCCATATTTGTTTTGAGGGTGTTGGCATGTCCAATTTATAAAGGGATTTGAATGCCCAACTGCATTACTATGTTCCTTTTTTTGCCCGTCAACTCCTTTGGTGACATTAAACTTGCCTAATTGTATTTTTGTTCTTTTCAATAAAACTTCATTTCTATACAAAAAAAAAAAATAGTAAAAATAAATGATGAGAGGTGCATTTGTGATTTCAATATCAAAAATCTTAATTTGTGATTTTGATTAGTTTTACTAAAGTTTTTTTATTTGTATAAACTGGTATAGAACTTTGCTAACCATGTAAGACCGGGAATAAATTAGTCATTTCTACTTGATACTGTATATTTATTGTAATATTTGCTTTAGTATCCTTCGACATTTTGCATTTATTGAATTGAGTAACTCTGTTGTTCAACTAGCTAAAATTTAGATGTTTTCTTTTCAATGATTCGTGATTATTGTAGGATTGTTGGTATGGCTGGAATAGGAGAGACATTGTTGCTTGTTGCTTTATGTGGTACTTGTACATTTCTTACTTCAATATCATTGAGTGCTATTGCAACCAATGGTGCCATGAAGGTATGCACTTTATGAGAAGTTGAACTGGTGCTTATACTATATGGTATGACTGCAAATCTGTAATATTTTTCTTAACGTCTTTTCAAATTTTGATTCTTAAGAGTAACTGTACCTTAGGTTACTTGTTTTTCTTTTGTTGTTAATTTGTTTATTATTATTTCACAAATTTAAACTATATTGATAGTTAATTTGAAAAAGGAATTTATTGTCATGTGTTGCTTAGTAGGTGGAGAGTACTACTTGAGATCAATTTTACATAATGATAGATAAATTAATGAAGATATGACTTATAGAATAGAAGTTAGGTAGTTAAAGTGAAGAAAAACATCAAAATTTATTTGTGGTTGTAAGAGGAAAATTTTATCATACTGTTATATGACCAACAATTCTATTTGACAGCAAATGCTGAATTTTCAAGGAATGACATAAAAAAAGAAAAGAAAAGTGAAAGTAGCTGAAATAAAAATGTTAAGATAGATTAGTGATTATAAAAAAAAGGATAGAATAAGAAATGATTGTATATGCAAAATATTGGAGTAGCACTTGTAATGAAAAAACGATAAAAAATCGTCTAAAATAGTTTGGTCACATGTAGAGAAGGTTATTGGTGGCATCAATAAAACAAGTAGGTGACATAATTTTTAGTTTGGTAAAAAATGAAAGAGAAAGATTTAGAAATCTTTAGAAAACATTGTTAAAAACATCTAATGATAAATAATATTTTTGAGAATTTGGTTTTGGATTAAGTTCAACGATGTTGTATGATTTATGTAGTCGACTTCATCTAGAGAAATAAGACTTAGTAGGTGTTGGTACTTAGTTGGATAAGATTTTGTTGTTGCTGTAATGCTCAAGTTGAGGCTAGTACAATTGATTTGTGACAAGGGAATGGTTAAATATTTAGAAGAGTTTATGAAAATAACTGATTCTCATAAACTCTATTAACTTATTGCAGTAAACTTCTTGATATAACTTGTCAAAATAAGCTCTTTTTAGTTTACTTGAATTAGTTTCGTAATCAAATTTATGTCATAAGCCCTCATGTGATAAGAGCTCATTGAATAAGCTCTTAATTAAGTACTTTAACACACTGTTTGTGTTTAAGGCCTGTTAGGTGCTTGGATACAATTGGACCTAATTGAATGTTCTCTCTAATATCCATTCAGTTGGGGTTTGGGGTTAGTCTAACGAGTAAAGGATGTAAGAACTCCTTGTGGTCTTATGATAGCATTGTGTTTTGTTTGTCAAGACACCTAGTATTCAATGAGGCCATTTAGATCTTAAGTAGCACTTGCCCAACTCTTTTTTGTTAAAGGAGAAGTTGGACCAAACACAAATTTGTAGAAGCTTTACAAAATAAAAGTTCTTACTCAGTCACCTGCACACCTTCAAGATAAAAGTTTCTGCATCAGTTTGGAATATGGCTTAAGTATTCCTTATAAGATTGGGATAGTTTTCCTCCTTTAAGCTAACTTTTAGCGTTGAGTTTGATCTAGTACATTTCTAATTTAGTATTGGAGTTGAATTGCTGAAATAGTTTTGATGTTTGACCATTGAATCCTGCAAACTTCACACTCTAGATGCCTTAGCCTGGGTGTGTTAAGATTTACTACATCAATTGGGAATGTAACCAAAGTACTATTTATATAAGACTTGGAAAATACTCTTCACTGAAGCTAGTTTTTGGGGTTAAGTTGAGCAATAATGGGAAATGATGTGAGAAAATGATGTGTCGTGGAATTTACTTCCTAAAAGGCTACTGGCCGTGCCAAATTCATCTGAATTTGTAAATTTTTTATTGTGTTTTTAAGTTTTTGAAAACTATTTTTTAAAACAATTTTGAAAAACTATATAGAAGAAATAAAAAAAAGTCCGGTAATTAGGTTTTAAAAATAGTTTTAGTGATTAGGAAATAAAAAAGAATTTCTTGGTAAATTTGTTTCGAGCACATTTTTTGTTTTGTTTTTTAAATAGATAAATTGTTGATTGTATTTTAATTTCTTTTTATGAATTTCTTAAATTGGATTTTATATATATATACACTACAAACTTTGTTTCTTGTAAGCATTTTACATGTTATTGCAGTTACTGATGACTAAAAATTCAATATCTAAGAATTAAACTTTAATAATAAAATGGTATTACTAATTATAAAATCTAATTCATCAATGTAGACTATATGAAATATATAAACATCAGTTGAAAATATTATTGAGATGCATATCTAAATTTATCATATACTGTATAAAGTTATGAAAAGTTAATTTATAAAAGCATATCTAATAAATTAATGCCGGCCATAAAGCGTTGAACATATATGTATGGAATTAGAGGCCACTTATGGTGAAAAATAAATTCAATAGAAGAAGCACAAGTCAAGTATCAGGATTTATTCCAGCTCTGCATCCTAGAGAAATTGAACTGAGACACCCAGATGCATCAAACGAACACACCTCCTCACACCTAGGACCAAACATCCAGTGTATGAGGTTTATAAGATTCAACATTTGCAGGGCGGCCAGTGTTTGGATCGGATAAGCTTTCTTATCATACTAGTATTGAAAAATACCTGTTCCTAGTGGAGCCCTAAAATCTAGCTCATGGGGAGTGGATTGCCCAACAGTCCAAGTCAATATAACTGTACTTTCCCCATATTCCTAGCATGCGTGGGATCCTATCAGTGGCAATTTCTGTTTAGAGACAGCTTTTGGGGTTGGGTCTACACATAAGGGTATTTATGGTATATGCTGGGAAGTTGCATAAAAGGCATAATTTTGAAATTGTAAATTTTTGAGAGTAGTTTCTTGGACTGTTCTGGGATATTTTTTCTGACCTTTTTCCTTTATTCTTCATTTTCAGCTTTAATTGTTTGTCTGGATTTATTTATTTTTTGTACTATATAGTTTGCAGTAAAAAATCTTCTTGAGTGAGGTTTTGAAAGAAAAAAAAAGCAGTTTTCCCTAAAAATTAAGCAAATCCAAACATGCTTTGACTAGTTTGCATTAATAGTTGATAGATACAGTTTAGCCTTTTTTCTTTTGTGTATGTTCTGTAGGGTGGGGGACCATACTATCTCATAGGTCGTGCCCTTGGTCCAGAAGTTGGAGTTAGCATTGGTTTATGCTTCTTCCTTGGAAATGCTGTTGCTGGAGCACTGTAAGTGCATAAATTTTTTTTAATACTTTTAAACTTTTGAAAGGAGATTAGGCTAGGAAGGTAATGGATAAGTCTTGCTAAATTGTAGTCATGATAGCATAATATTTACTCTGCAATATATTCTGAAGTTTATTGTCTTTTGTTTATGGTTCTAGTTATGTCTTGGGAGCTGTAGAAACATTTTTGAAAGCGGTTCCTTCTGCTGGGATCTTTAGAGGTAAGGAGTCTAATTAATAAATCGTTTTTGGAATTAATTGGTTTTCTACGTTTCATTTATTTTTTAATTCAAGCATGTTATTTAGGTTGGTGTTTTGTGGTTTTGGTTTTACATATATCCCCTACAATTGTAAATAATTTTGTTCTGCAACAGATTTCACTTTGAGAAGACAAGAACCTTGGTGTACTCAACTGGAATTGTGACATTGCATTATTGTATCGCAATAAAAAAGAAATTGTATACCTGTATTTATACATACATACATAGGTGTGGAGGGTCTGGGTTAGAAATAGACAAGATAGAATAACACAATGCATTTAATTTGTTGTTGTGGTATTGTATCAAATGTAAAATAACCTAAGAGCTTGTCCAACTCTTGTTCTGAGTCAACTCTCATATCCTATCATTTTTCTATACTATCTTGTCTACTGAACCAAGCCCTTGGTATACTTAATGGTTGTACAGTGATTGGCATTTTGACTAATATTCAAGCATTACGTTTGAGGTGAGGAATTGATTGTTTAATTATTATTTTTTCATATTGCAAGTGCAGAGACTATCACACATGTTAATGGTACTGCAATTGCACAACCGATACAGAGTCCAAGTTCTCATGACCTGCAAATTTATGGGATTGTTGTGACTATTCTGTTATGCTTTATTGTATTTGGAGGGGTAAAGATGATAAATCGGGTTGCACCTGCTTTTCTCATACCTGTTTTATTCTCAGTCGTCTGCATATTCTTGGGAATTCTTTTGGCAAGGAAGGATCATCCTTCAGGTTTGTTTTTTTTTGTTCTATATCCCCTTTTCCCAATTCTCCACTTTTGTAATAATGTCATTTTGCAACCACCTTTGTCTGTTTTAATCGAGGATTGAAGTTTTAGCTTTATCCTGGAGACTATTTTGTCTAGGCACTTTCTCAATCTGGTAACACAATTGATTTCAAGAATAAAAAACATAAGTTTTGAGCTTTCTGCTTCTTTTAATTTTTCAATAGAGCAAAACTATTGCATCCCCCTTATCACATAACAAGTTGTTATTAAAAGGATGAACGAAGGGAATACCAAGAGCACTGGTTATTTCATAAGCGCTGAACAAAACATTCTAGAATATGGACTTGTACAAAGATGTTTGTAATTTAAGTTTAATGGGTCTGGAAGTGTTTTAACCTAAAACAATATTTTACAATACTAAATTAAAATGTTCTTTGAAGGATACTTCACTTAATCTATACAAGTCGACTGAACTTTGGATTATTTTAATGATTTAATAAAAGGTTGCTCTCGTATGGCTTGACGATTAATAACATTCTATTCATGGAAAAACTACAACTCAGTCTAGGCTTCTATTTTACTGTTGCTTTGAAGACAAATTGTACTGTTGAAGCTTCTAGGAAAAGGAATATAGAAGGTGGGTATGGGTACTGGTTGAGTCATGAACCTGAAGAACCAAAAACATGATAGGTACTGAACAAAGAATAGATTTCTTTATTGGATCTTCTCTGAACAAGAGAAGAAAATAGGAAACTGTACAACACCTTCTTACTGGAATTTCGAGAGTTCCAGTCTCTCCCTCTAATCTCCGATTTCTCCAAAAAGATTCCTTCCCCCCTTTCTAACTAACTATTTATAGAGCATAAAACAAAATACAGTTATAACTAATACAGTTATGATTGACAATTCAAATCCTCTACAGTTGTCCTATTCTTACGCTTCCTCTGATAAACTTTCATTAAAGGTGGCCTACGCTTATCAAAACATCCCAACTTTTAATAATTGGTTTGGTTTGGTTGGTAAGGTAAAAAGAGTGGCAACCTTATAGTGATTGTTTTGGGTCAACATTTTTTCTTACTTTATATGTTTGTGTATATTTTTTTTACATGATTATTTAAATTTCTCAAATGACCCTATTACGCGTTGTGAACAAGAAAGATCTAATCGTGTTGAGCAGAGAAATTCACAAAAACTGATCTGAACACATTCAATTGCTTTGGACCTAAATTTTTCCCGAACATGACCCAAAATCAAATTCTTTGTTTGGAAAGCAGTACTGAATAGGTTTCCCTTTGCTTTTTGGGGGGATAAAGAACAGAATTTAGTGAAGCAAAGAGTATAATTGACTGAAAAGAAACACACTGCCAGAAGCAGAAAAGAGAAACAAATCTGACCAATAATTAGGGAAAGATTAGTCAATAGGATTGTAACTTGTAATTTTTTAGAACTCACGTTGCTTCTCTTAGTGCATGTTGTTGAGAGGGAGGCATTCATTTTTTTTTCCAGATTTATTTATACTGATATTTGCTATTGATTGACTTTAGCTAATTTCCTCTTTTCTCCCATTTTTGCCACATTAATTCAGAGGGAATTACTGGGTTGAGTTCAGAGACATTTAAAGAAAATTGGAGTTCAGATTATCAAAAAACTAATGATGCTGGAATTCCAGAAACTGATGGCTCAGTAAGCTGGAATTTCAAGTAAGTTTTCACAGCCTTTTCTCATTCATTTTTATTCATCTATCCTTCTATTCTGCCATTTAGCCTTTCAATGTTATTGAAAACGCCTAACTATCTGTGGGCATTGGATTTTACTCTTGTCAATAAATGGCTTTTGGGGAAAGTCTTCTAATTTTGGCAATTGATCTAAGTGCTATATGGCGAATCTGAGTGAACATGACCAGTGGTGGAGCTAGAAGCTTTTTATTGGGGTGACCATGTGAATAAAATATTATTAAAACAATAAATAAATAAAAAAGTTTAATTATATGTTTTTGTCCTTTTATAGTGATTAACATGTGATTATTGTTTCTTAATAATTTTTTGTTTAAATGCAGTTCTATAATTTTGTTAACTATTACAGTCAAATTCTGCTTTAGTTTCCTTTGACACAAAATTCTCACGTCCTTATTTTTTTTCAAATAATTAAAGCTTTATGACATGCTTGAGATAAGAAATAATTTAAAAGGTTTCAGAATTAGGAAGTTGAATAGTTTTTTAGAATGTAAAGCTAAGATTTATGGCATCTGCATAATTTAAACCATTTCATGTTTAATGCAGGTGCTTAAGGGACCAATTTGTTGAAAATTTTGCTAGTTTATGATATTAAAATGATATTTCAATTTTTTTAATTGTGATTTTCTTTTTCTCCCAGTTCATTGGTAGGCCTCTTTTTCCCAGCTGTGACAGGAATAATGGCAGGCTCTAATCGATCATCCTCTCTGAAAGATACTCAGCGATCAATTCCTGTTGGAACTTTAGCTGCAACTCTTGTAACTACTACTCTGTATCTTGTTTCTTTGATGTTGTTTGGTGCTGTTGCCAACAGACAGAAGCTATTAACTGACAGGTAATTTTTGGTCAAAAAGTTGTTTGTATAACATTTCTTCTTGATACATATAAAAAAGAATTTACAGAAAAAGTTGCGAAAAAAAATAATAAAAACATGAGAAAATAGAAGATACTTGAGAAAAGACCTACTCCCTCTGAATGTGGACCAAACCCCTTTTTATTGCTTTACCTTTTAATTTGTAGTTTGGTAATCAACTTTGTGTCAGGAAGCCTATTCTCCGTGCTAAAATTTAACTGATGCTTTTTTCTTTGAGGGGAGGTATCCTTATAATTTTGGATACTGATAGAAATTCTTTTAACTGGTTTTAATTCTGATTTAGAGCTTTTATGCAGGCTACTTACAGCTACAATTGCTTGGCCTTTTCCTTCATTAATTAAAATCGGGATTATTCTTTCAACAATGGGTGCTGCTCTTCAGAGCCTGACTGGTGCCCCACGCCTGCTTGCAGCAATAGCCAATGACGATATTTTACCTATATTGAACTACTTTAAAGTTGCAGATGGCAGTGAGCCGCATGTTGCTACCCTTTTTACCGCCTTCCTATGCATTGGGTGTGTCGTTATTGGGAACCTGGATCTTATCACTCCAACTGTAACTATGTTTTTCCTTCTATGTTACACTGGTGTCAACTTATCCTGCTTCCTTCTTGATCTTCTAGATGCCCCTAGTTGGCGTCCTCGTTGGAAATTTCACCATTGGAGTTTATCGCTTGTGGGAGCGTTGCTTTGCATAGGTATGCTGTCTTTCTGTGTTTTTTTTTTGTCATTGATTTACTTCAACTGTTTCTTTATCTCCTTATTTTTTAATTCAATCTGGTGATATCTTTGTGATTTGGATTTGGGTTGTTCTACTAGCTGCTGTGGAAAGGCTACAACTAGGATGATTGAAAATCCTTTTGTGTAAACAAAATATTAGAATGAAGCTGTGTGTGATAGATAGTGCACTCAACACACTAATAGTGAAACAATGGGTGTGTAGGAAAGCTAATAAGGAGTTTATTTGAGCTTCCAAAAATAATTAATGACTCTTATAAGCTCTTTTTTTTATCTTATTTCAATAAGCTTTTTGGTAGAGCTTATTGAAGTAAATTCTTTTTAGCTTGTTTTATCATGTTTTATGAATAAATTTATGCTATAAGCTTTCATGTATGAAAGCTTGTTGAACAAGCACTTAATTTAGCTATTTATTCAACACACACCCTTTAACAATAAATAGACAAAAGAATGTGGTGAGAAGCCCTTTACTGAGTGTGTTTGTAGTGTATATAACTTATATTTTGGTTTTATTAAAGGGGAAGAGCTATGTGAAGCTGATAATGAAACTACAAATATAGTTTTGTATAGTAACTACAAATATATATCGATAAATACAAATGAATTTGACAGCTACTAGCTTCACCACTTTTCAAGTTTGGTTAATATTAATCATATGAACCAAGCTTGTTTCAAGTGTACCTAATTTGAGAACCTGAGAGACTTTGTAAATAGATATTTCACAAAATAAAAATGGAATTGAATGCGGAAGAATGGAACAACCATTCTCATTCCACAGCCTGCCAGCTTTCAGAATGGAATGAATTTCTAAGCCATTCAATTGTTTGATGCACAGAATCAATGCTGAACATAATAAAATTTAATCCAAATGCTATAAATACCCCCTCTTGACACAAAAAAGGGTTAACTTCTTCCATGTATATTGTAAAGTTATTTCTTAGTTTTATGTTGTCATTAAAATGTAGCAAGCTTAGTTTTATTTATTTGAAAAAATCAAAACTTGTATAATGTTTAGAATAAAAAATTTAATTATTCCATACAATTTGTTTTTTGTTAAATTACAGTTTGAATAATGATTTGATTCTTGTATTTTATTATTTTTTCTCATAAATTTGTATTGCTGAACTGTAAAATTACGGTGACACATGAAGTTTGGGCTGAAAATAAAATTAGGATTCAAATAGGATAAATTTAATAAAGGGTAATAGTTGTTATTCTGTGAAATAAATGAGGGCATGAAATTACCATTTCACCAATCCTTTGGGAGGGAATGGCGATTCTTTGATAACGCATGAAATTATCAAATGCAAAATGAAAGTTAAATACAATGAATAAAATTTCTATCAAAGAGAGACGTAGCATAATCTGCATATATAACAATCCTTGGGCCAGTGCTTCTTTGATATTCTGATGGTTGCAAATGATTGCATTCCAATGGTTATGACATGGAGACTGTAGAAAATGGTGGACAATGCTCACAGCTACAGATATTTGGTTGTCTGATGATGTATCTTTGCAACAGGTCTAACAATATTTACTGAGATCCACTAGAGGCTCCTATCCTAAGCTTGACATTTATATCCATAGGTGTTTCTACAAGTCAACAATTTTGTTACCTGACAGCACTAGAACAAGACTGGGCCATCTCAATGTGAAAAATATGAATTTTCCCAAGTATCTAATTTGAAAATGATGGGAAAATCAGAGAGATAATCTGAAAATTCCATATTTTATCACAATAATATCAATTATATCATGTTCATGGACAAGGTATATGCTGTGAGGCTGTGAGCATATGAAGTATGATGATCATAGAAAACAATATCATCTGCCTTCCTACAGATAATGCAGAACTCTTGAATTGTAGTTTTAACTTTTTGAATAAAACATGTTGAGATTGTTTCGAGCTGTAGGTAGAATGCTTATTCCACATGGTAAACTTGACTCCCATTGAACAACAAAGCCTGTTTATTGGTTTATATTATAACTTTCCTTTTCAAGTGCTTCACAAATTTCAATTTTAATATCTAGTCGTTGTGACCAAAGTGGAGATTTTTTCTCACAAATACCAACTTCATCATTGGGGTTTGGCTGCGAGGAATATACTATTGTGAATCTATAAACCGTTTGACATTATTAATTATGCGTAATACTGCTGCTGTGTGATTGTTCATAATGAAACTTGATATGTGGTGACCATTACTTTGTTTCCTGTGCAGTGATCATGTTCCTAATCTCTTGGTCATTCACAGTGGTGTCTTTGGGCCTTGCAAGCCTCATATATAAGTACGTGAGCATTAAAGGAAAGGCTGGGGACTGGGGAGATGGTTTCAAAAGTGCTTATTTCCAACTAGCACTTCGGAGCCTTCGGTCACTAGGAGGTATGTATCATAAAATTCAATCATCTACTCTCCTCAAGTAGATGATACAATACAAAATAGAGTAACTTTGTTTGGCATCTGTTTATGATTGGATGGCCAAGTCAGATTTGGTTGATCCACTAGCCCACCCCCAACCCACATATCTGTTGTTCTGACGATGTTCAATTCTAGTTAGTTTGGAGAAATTTTTATTATAGTTAGTTGAGTTGATTTTATATCCTTGCACTCAGGATTGGGGATTCAGCCTGATCCATGAATTGGTTTTATTGGATGATTTCAAACTGAATTAAATAAAATTATTTTGACTCAGTTTCCACATTGTGGAATACCTTGTTTAGTTCTAAGTTTCTGTTTCATTTTAAATTATGAATTTTCCTTGAACAGAAATGCTCTGGTAGTATTGATACTTAGGCTTGAAAATTTGTGAAATATTAGGTATATATGAATTATTTAAAATTTTCTTTTAAAGAAAAAATATTTATTTCCCATGAAAAAGACTCCATTTGGTGGTATTTAGAATTATCTATGTAGTTTTGAGAGGTTAAAACTTTTGGAACTTCTGATCTATGTGAAACATTAATGATGCAATCATGCAACCTGCTTTCCTCACAGGATTACGGTGGAAAGGAAATCATGTATTTAAATTCCTCACAAGATGTGAATAAAATCTATTTTACTGCAGCGAATGTCATTTGCATTTGAGGATCATCATTGATTGAAGCTTTTATTAAGAGCGGATGAGTGACTTAAAAGTAAAAAAATGAATATTTATTATAGTGACTTTATAGTATAAAATTGAATATTTATTATACTGGAAAATTCAGGATAATATTGAACAGAAATCCTTGACATATATTTTGACCTGATGCTTGTTGAGTGATGACCAATATTCCTATAATCATATTTCCGGTATCTTTTATGAATCCCAAAATGCTTTTCAAATAAACGCTCTACGCATTAAAGCTTGTTTGATTATAACTTCCAATTGTAGCACGTATAAGTTCAAACTTGAATGGCTGATGCGTTTCTAACATTGCATGTATGTCTCTTGATCTAACTTATCATCTACAGTTTTTATAACATAATTACTATGCAGAATAACGATATGATGATTCATATGCTAAGGTTGTTCAGTGGTCAGCTGTTTAAGAGTATCAAAACAAAAATTATTTGAACATGTAGCAAAAACTTTATAGCATCAGGCTGCCATTTTTATCTGTGCATGTGTTTGTTATTGCAAATTTGGGTTTCTCTAGTTACTTATTTCCATTCATTTTTATAGCAAGTCAAGTGCACCCAAAGAATTGGTATCCAATTCCACTAGTATTTTGCCGACCATGGGGCAAACTGCCAGAAAATGTTCCCTGTCATCCCAAACTTGCTGACTTTGCTAACTGTATGAAGAAGAAAGGTCGAGGAATGTCCATATTTGTCTCTATACTAGATGGGGATTATCATGAATGTGCTGAAGATGCCAAGGCTGCTTGTAAACAACTTAGCACCTACATTGATTACAAGAATTGTGAAGGTGTGGCTGAGATTGTTGTAGCACCTAATATGGCTGAAGGGTTTCGTGGCATTGTTCAGACAATGGGCCTTGGAAATCTCAAGCCAAACATTGTGGTGATGCGTTACCCAGAAATCTGGCGTCGGGAAAACTTAACAGAAATCCCTGCCACCTTTGTTGGGATAATTAACGATTGCATAGTTGCAAACAAGGCTGTAGTTATAGTGAAAGGTCTTGACGAATGGCCAAATGAGTACCAGAGGCAGTATGGCACAATTGATTTGTATTGGATTGTAAGAGATGGCGGTCTAATGCTGCTTCTCTCTCAGCTTCTTCTTACCAAGGCGAGCTTTGAGAATTGCAAGATTCAGGTCTTCTGTATTGCAGAAGAGGATGGAGATGCAGAGGGGCTGAAAGCTGATGTGAAAAAGTTCCTTTATGATCTTCGGATGCAAGCAGAAGTCTTTGTCATAACAATGAAATGGGACGGGCAGATGGATGGTGGATCACCACAAGATGAGTCATTGGAAGCATTTACTAGTGCTCAGCAAAGAATTGCTGATTACTTAAACCAAATGAAGGCGACGGCTGAGAGAGAAGGTTCTCCTTTAATGGCAGATGGTAAGTCCGTGGTTGTGAACGAGAAGCAGGTTGAGAAATTTCTTTACACAACGCTTAAGCTCAATTCAACAATTTTGAGATACTCCAGAATGGCTGCTGTTGTATTGGTAAGTCTACCTCCACCTCCAGTGAGCCACCCAGCATATTTCTACATGGAGTACATGGATCTGTTGCTGGAGAATGTACCAAGGATTTTGATTGTAAGAGGATATCGTAGAGATGTTGTAACTCTGTTCACATAGTTTGAAGTGGATTCTAGGCTAATCACATTTATCTCTCGCTGTTTATATTTTTGTAGCTTACATGCAATGTTTCATTCATTGTACCAATTTTCTTGCTGAAGAGGATCTTTTGTATCCATAAGATGTTATAGAAAAATGTGAAATTATTTTCAATTTATAACTTTGTTCTAGTTACTTAGATTATTACTCCTTTTGGTCCTTTTTATAAGAAATAAAATAGAGTATTTTAATATTATTAAATATACAAATTACTAACTACACCACTTAATATCATGAGTATTCTTAAAATAAAATTTATATTTATAAAAAATATAACTGATTTAATTACTTTTTTTGATCCTCTGTGATTTAGTCTTTTGTTTCTTATAAAAGAAATCGAAAGTAGGATATGTCACACCTCTTTCTGAGTTAATGACTTCAAAATAAGGACAAAACTGAAGTAGTTTGTTAGGGGCTTTTGGTATTATTTATCTTGATAACCGACAATAATATTAAATGCACATAATTTATCATTGTGAAATACTATTATCTTAGCCGACAAGTATTGAATAATGACTCCAAACTTCATCATGATTGTGTTCTATTTTTTGGATATAATACATGTTTATTATCATGGTTATGATTATGTGTCTTTTTATTTTTCGACACTTCGAATCAAAGTAAAAATTCCATTCAAATTAATCATCCTCTTTTTCTCATATCCAATTTTTCTTTTTAAAAAGTTATGTAAGGATAGAAATAAATTGAATAAGTTAACTTTTATGAGACTCAACCTAGTTTATTCTAATTTTTAAAAAGTTTGGTATAGTTAGAAAACTTGTTGACAAGCTTATTCTATAATAAAATTTATTAAATAAAGTTATCAAAATTTATCTTCATATATTAATGAACTTAAATTTATATATAAAAGAACGAGTTTAAACTTTTAAATAAATTAATAATTACATAATATCAAAATATTATATTAAAAATTTAATATAACAAATAATATCGTTATATTATTTATATTTATTTAAAAAATTTGTTGAATTTAGCTCTAAGAATTTTATAAAAATTAATAAATAAAGGGTTTTATTAAAAAAACTTGTGAAAGAACTGATTCAAAAAAATTAAAAATGTTTTTCTTATTAAAATTTTTAATAAAAATTATTAATACATGATTAAGTTTGTATTTTAATAAGTTTTTATTATTTAATATTTTAACTCCTAAATTAAAAACACTTAATGTGTTTGGATTAATTAAAAAATATATTATTTAAAAAAATAATTATATCAATAATTAATTACATAAAATGATTTTTATATTTGAATATATTGAATAAAAATAATTTTAAAATGATTTATTATTTTTAGATTGTTTAAAATATTTTTTTAAATTAAAATTATAAAAGAAGATATGAAATTTAATGTAATTGTTAGTTTAATATTTAAAATAATCAATTATTAAGAATAAATTAAAAATTAACAAATAAACCGATAACTTTTAATCTTAAGCTCTAAAATATTTTTTTATCTTAAATAAGTTATTTTTATAAGAAAATTAATAAAAAAATTTAAATTAATTTTTGAAAATTTATCAAACAAATAAATAATTTTTTTAATTTTTTTTTTCACATGATCAACAAAATAACCTCGTTCAAGAAGATACTTACCATTTTCATATAAAAATACAAGGGCATATTTATGGGTATACAATCTAATCTAATTAAAAAAAATATTATATATATATATTCGTTAAATAATAGAAGCTCCATTGCTCACTAGCATTCGACGGTGGTTTCTCACACCAACAACAGTGGTGCAAACGAGACCCAACTCATACGTACCCATTCTCTCTATTTCACAATTTCGTCTTAGTAAAACCACCGTTTTCTGGGAAAATCAAACCCACACTAACCTCTCCAATCTTCCATTCTTATCTCCTTTTCAATTCAACGGAACCATAACGATTTCGCCAAAACTCACTTCGTTTCTTCACCCGAAAATCTCGACCCTCACTCCGGTAATTTCACTTTTTATTCATTTTCCCCCTCATATTCATGCCTAGTTTCTGCTACGCTTTATCTTAACCATGTTCTAACGATTTGATTGCAGTTTTTTAGAGTATTATTCAACGTGGTAGAATAATGTTCGTTTCTCACGCTGAACCCTAGTGTTAATTCGTATTCAGTGTTCTTTGGTTTCATGCTGCGCAGGTGCGTGTTTTGTGAGCGCAAGGTACGAATATGGATCACCATGAGGATGAAAGTAACAGCAAACAAGATGACGAGGTTGTAATCGTTCATCTTTTTTGTGCTATTTTAACTTTATTCTGTGTATGAGGTGTGAAATGTGTTATATTTATGTTCTAAGTTACATCAATGCCTTAGGTTGTGTTTAACTATGGTAACAGTGTTGGTTGTGCTGTTTTCTTTTTTTCTATGAGCATTCAGTCAGAAAATTATGCTGTTTTGTGTAGGGAACTATAAATTTGCTGATTACGTTGGTATTTATGCGTAGTTGTTGGATGTATGGTTTGTATTGTGTTTTTGCTTTAACGGTGAATGGAAGATTGTGTGTGGAAGTTTTTTGGCTAGTTCTTTCTTTACAAGCTGACTTGTCCTGTTTTTCTAATCAAATGCAGGAAGCTGTTGCTCGCCTTGAAGAAATAAAAAAATCTATTGAGGCAAAGATGGCTTTGCGTCAAAGCAATTTGAATCCTGAAAGACCTGGTTAGTTTTTGTTTCTTTTGTTTTGGATAATTATATTATATGCTAAATATTTTTGTGCCAGCAATAGGAATGGATACAATTCTTCAAATTACTTCAGAGAGCAGATTTACTTGAGCTCTAGCATACCAAGTCCCTTAATAGATTGCTTGATCTCAGGATTGAGGGTCTTGTATTTCATTCATAGCCACACAAAAAAAAAAAAAAAAACTGAGACTTCAAGATTAATGCTAGTTTTAAATAACAGTTATTTCTTGTTGCATGGTGTTTTAAACTTGATAGGTAACCTGGATAAAATGGACATACGTGGCCTGAGCGAGGTTTTCATATTATCAACTTATTGTGATCATGTTTTAAATAGATTTTGGACAACTATTGCTGGATACCATCTAAAGAAAAGAAAGAATCGAAGTTGTTGTAAGTTCAAAGGTTTTTTCAAACGGGATTGTTGTTAGCTGTGGGTAGTTTGATGTACTGGTTTTGGGTGCAGGGTGGTGATGGAATCCTTCTTCTGCTCACCGGGATAGGCTAGGATGGGAAACCTTAGCGCTAACTGCCCTAGACTAATAAGGGGGAGATCACTCGCTTACTGCTTGCTGAGAGCCACGAAGCAAGAGAGAGGACTAGGTAATGAAGAGAAGGGAAATAGCCTGATATTGGTATTAGCTTTGACTACTCTTCTTCTTTACCCAGGGAAGAGGCGTCTACCATCGGCTGAGGGCATCCCTTCTCAGCTTCCCTTGTTTTGTCTTTCATCGTGCTGGCAAGTGGGTCGCGTCGGAAAGTGGAAAAATCCGCAATCTGAGGCAGGCGCTTAAAACGCACGCGCTGGAAAGAAGCTGCACGTGGGGGCGCGTGCAGCGGCGGATTGAAGCGGGGGTCAAAGCGCGGTGGTCGCCGGAGGAAGGAGGTTCAGATCGTAGTGGTCGCTGGAGGAAAGGAACGCTCAGTTATGGGGAAAAGGGGTACACAGTGGCCGCGGGTGAACAGTGGGTACTGTTCACCCAAAAAAAAAAATGCAGATCAGAGAACCTAAACTTCTGATACCATATAGAAGACTGTGTTTGATGAATATGTTGTGTGTCTAACATAGATCACACAGTATAGATTTATATTCATTTACAGAATCAAATACAATTAATTTTACCTAATAATTAGGAATAAAATCTGTAACGGTTAAGATAATTTACATTCTAATAATCTGTAACGGCTAAGGCTATTTATATTCTAACAGTATTTGACTTTCTCGATATGAGTCGAGTGACTTCGTACCATTGAATAGTATAACGTAACTCTTACCAATACTTCTTTCCTTGATTGCCTTTCTTACTTTCTGTGGGGAAAGTTAACTAATTGAATTCTATATCTCCTCTAGCGCCACGTGCTCTAATCCTGTCCCCACCTAATCATCTGAGGCCACCTCAATCTTTCTGATTCGTAAATAACTCAGTGAGTGCTTTTTTCTCTGAGTCAATCCCGGATAGCGGCGCGGAGCGGCTAAACTCAAAAACGCTATAGCAGAGATAGCGGTAGTGGAATGACCGCTATTATGAAGTTTTAATGCACACACATACATGCTGAAAAATATAAAATTAATATACAAATTTGGAATAAAATAAAAAAGGAAAACACAAATTAGCAAAGGAAATAAATAACAAAAAGCAAAGGGTGCAGGAGCTGCCATTGTTTCTACTTGAAGCTTCGAAATTTGAAACAGACAAAGTAGGGGAATCAAAACAGAGAAAGAAATAGAAAAAATAGAGAGAAAAGAGAAGAAATGAAAGGAGAAATGAGAGGAGAGGTGAGGAGAGAGTTGAAAGGTGAGTTGAGGGGCTAGGGTATGTGAGAGGGAGGGAGAGGATTCAGAAAATAAAGGGGGCTGAAATCCCAATATTCCCCCCCCCCTCCCCCTCCCCTCCTTAAAAGCCCTAAATGTTAAAAAAAACAAAGGGTAGATTCAGAAATTTTAAGCAGAACAGAATAGAGGCCGCTCCGCTATGTTGCAATAGCGGCTGCTGTTGATAACTATGGATACCATAGTTGTTATTCTCGGTTAGCGGGGTGTGGTGGATGACCCTCAAAATGCTATCGCGGGATAGCACAGAGCGGGATTGCTGCTATTTTAAAGTTTTTCAAGTATATACATATGTAGATAATTATGTATATAATAATGCTAAACAAATATGCATAAATAGCATAACATAACAGAGGTAGGACTGTAGAATCATAGAATAGAGAGAAGAAAAGAAGTGGCTTTTGTTAAAGAAGTCATCCTAAATGAGTGACTCTGCTGGATTGGAGATTGTTGCAAAGCAGAAACGAGATATAGATGGGAGGAGGGAGTGTCGACCAGAGAAGGGGGAGTAGAAAAATAGTGTAGTAAAAGTGGGGTTTCGTCGTGCCTCTAGTTGCAAAGCAGAAGAGCAATAGAGATGAGAGGAAGGACTGTCAAAGAGATAAAGAAAGGAAAAAACTCAGGGAAAAGTGGGGTTAGGTCTGAAAACAGAGAAGACTATTTTGCCCTTAAATAAACCTAAAGATTGTGTTTGTGTCATTATAAGGGCAAAAAGGGAAATCAGCTTATTACGTAAATATGAAAAGACATTTTACCCTTAAAAAATCCTAAATTTCTTTCACTTTGAGGGTAGAAAAGGAAAGATAATATCTTTCCCTGTGATGGCATTTATTGCGCTGCGAAAGGCCGCGATTTGGGCTGCAAATACATCTGCCATTGGTCGTGATGGCCGCAACAGCAAAAATGCACCACTATGCCAGATCTGTAACCGCCATGCACCACTGCTATCGCGCCGCAATTGCGTGCTATTGGCAACTATGGATTCTGGACTGCAACCTTGATTTTGGTAGCTGCCTTTTAGTTAAACACATTATTATTGTTATTAATATTTGTCACGTGTAATTGTATCTAATAATTTTTTTTAACAATATCTAAGCCTGTTTATGATGAAGTACAATGCACTTTCAAACTAATACATAATTTCAAAGATAAAAAATCTATTGAAGTGCTTCCACTTTATAGGTTAAATTTTGAAAAGATCTGGTCTGAAGGATGTTATTAGAGCTTTTATGACCAAGTTATCAAGAATTTGATCCTTGCCTCTAACAATCTTCATAAACTAAACTAGATTCTGTTTTAAGCAGAAGATAAAGTGGGTTTTTTGCATTGTTCATGCTTCCAAAGGGCTCTTGCTCGAGGGAGTGCCTTAGAGATTCAAAAACTATATAGACTAAGAAAATGTACACGATAGAATTAGATTGTAGCAATGTTTGTCAGTATGAAGTAGAAAGACTGGGTAATTAGTAATATATGTGATTATTTATGAATTTGTTCTATAGAATTAGATTCATGAATTTGATTATTTATTTTTCTGTTTTTATTATTTTATTTTATATATATGATTTGTTCTATAGAATAGTTTCTATGTATATATAATTCTTTTGTTTTTTAGCCTTTTTTTTTTGTTAAAGTTTAATTTTTTAAAAAAAGGTTAAAATAAAAAAGAGAAGCATCCTGGTCCAATGGATGGATTCCATCCCATTCCCACCTAATGGGAAACGGTTTAGTAGTAGTTGTTTAAACATAAACAACTTAAGTTCAAACCACTTTGAATACATGTTTGGTGCTTTCTCTTGGATGTGTATTGGATGGTCTCAGACTCTCAATATTTGTTGCATAAATAATAATACAATCTGCTCTTGCATGCAGACTCAGGATTTTTGAGGACGCTGGATTCCAGCATTAAGCGCAATACTGCTGTGATTAAGAAGCTGAAGCAGATTAATGAAGAGCAGCGCGAAGCATTGATGGACGAGTTGCGAAGTGTCAACTTGAGCAAATTTGTCAGTGAAGCTGTGACAGCTATATGTGATGCCAAGCTTAGAAGTTCTGATATACAAGCAGCAGTTCAGGTATGTGCTTCACATTTTTCTGCCATTTTCTCCACATTGAAAGTTATTTCCTTAGGGTTGTTTGGGAAGGGTGGTTTTGGAGGGAAAGGGAGGGAGGCGAGGAGAGGACAAATTTTTTTATTTTAAATAATTTAAAATTAATATATATATATATATATATATATATATATATATATTTCAAAATAAAAGATATACATTGATATATCAACATAAATTTAATGTATTAATCATGTATTTATCATTTAAAATGATATATAATTCTCTTAATTTAAAATTTAAAAATATTTTCTCCCCTTCCCTCCCCTCAAAAAACTCTCTCCCAAACATACTCTTAGAAGCAAGGAGATCCATTGATGATTGATCAGTTATGGTTATTGTACAAAAGGGTTGTTGAATTTCAAAATCATAAGTTTATTCCAAAATCTTGGGAGACTGTTGAAATTCTTAAATTTGGGCTTGGCCTTCTTCTAATCCAAAAGCTAACTTGTGGGGTGAGGATCCTTCAAGGCTTTATAAGCTCGACTTTATCCATATCTATGGTCAATGTAGGATTTCAATACTCCTCCGAGGCTCCCACATGTCCTAGATTAGATCTATGCTAGGCTTTGATATTATTTTGAATTTGGGCTTGGCCTAACTCAACCCAAAAGCTAGCTCATGAGGTGAGAATTGCTTAAGGTTTTATAAGCTCTAATTTAGCCGTATTTGTAGTTGACGTGGGATCCCCAGAGAAGTTATGTAGCTTTGATAGCCAGTAGAAAAGGAGAAAAAAGTGAGACAGGAGGCTCTCAATAATATTAGATTGATGTGCAGCATGGGAGATTCAAAATACAAACCTACCCTTCCTGTTCGCAATATTTTATTGTCCAGTTTGTTTGTACTTGTTTTCCTTCTCTTAATGAATTCTTCTATTATGCAAAGGCAAACAATTAATTGCATAGTTTAGCTTGTATATATCTTTTCCTTTTTTTAATTCATATATAGTGCATATCCGTCTTAAATACTTGCCTTCTGATATATGCCCATCACATACTTCTTTTTGGAAAGATCTGTTCTTTGCTACATCAAAGGTACAAGGACTTTGCACCAAGCCTGATACAAGGGCTTCTCAAAGTCTTCTCTCCTGGAAAACCTGCCGATGAATCAGATGCAGACAGAAACTTGAAGGCAATGAAGAAGCGCAGCTCTCTGAAGCTTCTATTGGAGCTTTTTTTTGTTGGAGTTATTGAAGATGGTCACATTTTTATCAATATCGTAAAAGAACTTACCAGTGTGGAACAGCTAAAAGATCGGGATGCTACACAAACAAGTTTGACCCTTCTTTCTAGTTTTGCTCGGCAGGGAAGAATTTTTCTAGGACTTTCTGTTACTGGGCCCGACATTCATGAAGAGGTATTTCTTTTATTAATTCCTCATTAAGAATATAACCATGCTTGCTATTATTCATTTTTGTTCAGTCTTCCTTTCTTGCCCTTCATTGACTTTCATAATCTTGCCATCTGGGTTCTATATTTTCCTGTACTGACATTCTGATACAGTTTTTTAAAGGCCTAAACATCACAGCAGATCAGAAGAAAGTTTTCCGGAAAGCATGTTATTCGTTTTATGATGCTGCAGCTGAACTACTTCAGTCTGAGCATTCTGTAAGAGTTTCTTCTTTTGTAATCATATATTATTTTTGTCATCATTTTCTCTGTTTAGGATTCTTGATTCCATCAAATCTTGTTTGCTAATTGTTCTTCTTGGTGATTATTGATGAATTTTGTTTTGTGACAGTCACTTCGACTAATGGAGCATGAAAATTCTAAGATTTTGAATGCAAAAGGAGAGCTCAGTGATGAAAATATCGCTTCTTATGAAAAGCTTCGTAAATCCTATGACCACTTGTACCGTAACGTATCATCGTAAGTTGATTTGTTTACTCTTGACTATTTCATTACTTGTTTACTGGATCTGTTCTTGGTGTGTATCAAAATAATATATTCTTGAATTGAAATACTGTGAACTCAAGTTAAAGGTTTACATGTGTGGCTCTCTGGCTCTGCATTCGTATTTTGGCTTATCACTAACATATATGTATATACATAAAGGGTGTTAATGAGACAACTAATTTGATGCTAATTTGGATATGATTATCAGCTGGTTGAGATAGTTTTATGGGTGAGGTCTCTGTTGGAAACATAAATGCATTCAAGTTTATTAGGATCTTGTGTCTGAAATGAGCGGCACTCTCCACCTGAAAGGATATGTGATTTCTACTATTCTCTCTTGACTTGGTACCCCAAACCGGTAAAACAAATGAAGTTGTAATGTTTGTATAATAGCTCTGCTTCACTGGCTGTTGATATTAGTTATCTTGAATTCAGTCTGCCACTCTCTTCTGTCTAATGGAGACCATAAACAAATCATTTTTCAGTTGGATATTGCTTAGATGTGTATGTATTCCCTTTGATTCTTCTATCCTGTAATTATGACTGTCTTGTTACAGATTAGCAGAAGCACTTGATATGCAGCCTCCTGTAATGCCAGAGGATGGCCACACTACAAGGGTTACCAGTGGTGAGGAGGCTATTACTTCAGCTTCTGGTAAAGATTCTTCTGTTACTGAACCCATTTGGGATGATGAAGATACGAGGACTTTCTATGAATGTTTACCTGATCTTAGGTTTGTGTTTCTAAGAAACTTCTCTTTGTGACAAATATTTTGTGACAAATATATTAATCCTCTAGTCCTTTAGTTACTGTATTCTTTCCTGTTTAAAGTTTTGATGCAAAAATCGATGGTTTAAAATTTTTCTTTAGTTGGTTTTCCAGTGTTTTCTACTTTTATTTTAGATGGAACTTTATCCTGCATGTTTTTTTTTTTCTCCAGAGCTTTTGTTCCTGCTGTGCTTTTGGGAGAAATGGAGCCAAAAAGCAGTGAGCAATCTGTGAAGAGTCAAGACCAACCAACTGTAAGGACTCATATTAGTGAACTTTTCTAACCTATTTTGGAATCTTCTGGTTGCCAATCTTTTATAATTCTTTAAAAACTCTGTTCTAATGAGAGTAACGTAACACTTAGTTGTATCCAAATCTTATACCTTTAGTAGGTTTTTCTATCTCTTCTAGGATCACTCATGATGCTTTGAAACCATTTTAGTTGTACTGTAAATACTTGATGGTTATAATATTATTCACTGTTTTCTTACTGTTGTTTGAGTTGGTTTACTTTCAATTATTCGGTTTTTCTACTGTGTGCCCAAGGACACACTATAAGAAATCAATAAATAGTAAGTTTTTATTGGAAATTGCAGCATTAATATTATTAATGCATTTGATTCTGTAACGTCCTGTGATTTCCAATTAGAAATGACTATATATAAGTTCTAATTGTGTGCCCTTTGGTACATGTTTGAAAAACCTTCAGTTATTTTAGTTGTTTTTCTATTCATTCTTTAAATACTTGATGCTACTATTATCCATTGGGCCTCTACCTAAAAGCTAAGCCTTTAGGAATAGGAAGATTGACCCTTGGTAAGAAAATCATTCATTCTTTATATATTGCTTGGAATTACTGATTATTTCCACTACTGGCAGCATTGATAATTGATACATTCTCTTGTTCATCCATGTCTAAAGATGATGATGATGATGATTTATTTATTATTTCATATTACTTGTATGTTGTGCTTGTATTGGAGCATATCATGTTGTCTGCTGCATGCTTTTACCTCTCTTTTCTGTCTGTTAAAGGCTACTTCAACAATTTTAGTTACTAAGCCACAAGTATATTCATACAACCATCTTGTGTTTCTTTTTACTCACCAACCTTCTCACTTCAATATTTATGATTAACAAGGAAACATTGCCCGAGTCAGACAAAGGTCAACTGACTACTCATGAAAGTGGAGAGGTTTCCACCGAGTCTAATACTGTGCCAGAGGGAGAAAGCGTAGAAAGAGTGAAGGATAAGGAAGACAAAGACAAGTCTAAAGACTTGGACAGAGAGAAGGAAAAAGAAAAAGATAATGACAAAAAGGCAGAAAATGAAAAAGACAAACTCAGAAGTCTTGAAGGGACAAATTTGGATGCTCTACTGCAGAGGCTTCCGGGTTGTGTGAGCCGGGACCTTATAGATCAATTAACTGTGAGGATATGTTTTTGAGCTATGTTATTTATTCTTAGATTGTATTGTTATTTTGTCATCATTATTAATTATTATTGCCTATTTTCTAACAAATATTAGGTAGAGTTCTGTTATCTAAATTCAAAATCAAATCGGAAAAAGCTTGTGAGGGCTTTGTTCAATGTACCGAGGACATCTCTGGAACTGCTACCATATTACTCGCGCATGGTTGCCACACTGTCAACTTGTATGAAGGATGTGTCCTCCATTCTCTTGCAGATGTTGGAGGAGGAATTCAGCTTCTTAATTAATAAAAAGGTTGATTTCACATAATTTTTTATTGGCAGAGGATCAACTTTTTGTCATCTGCTTTAGATTTAGGTAATTACTTTTGTTATCTTCTTTTTGAAATATCTTTACAGGATCAGATGAACATTGAGACAAAGATAAGAAACATCAGGTTCATAGGTGAACTTTGCAAGTTCAAAATTGCACCTGCTAGCCTAGTCTTCAGTTGTTTGAAGGTAAAAGGGGTTACCCATCATATTATAATGAATGCTAACTGCTTCCAATTATAATGACAAGTTTCTTAATATGGCTCCTTGAGCCATTCTTGTAATGTCAAAAGGATTCACTTTCACCACCACTATTTGTTTTTCATTTTCTTATAAACTCCGTTTTTGTTACTTTCTGAATTTTGGTTCTTGGGTTACAAAAGTCTTAGATATTTGATTTTTGACTGAACTCAATGGTGCAGTATGATTCATGTAGCCGTAAAGTATCACTTTGCCACCATGGCCTTTCCTCATATGACAAATAACTCTTTGTATGGTATTAGGATAAAATTTATTTTCTTAGTACATTTGAGACGATGACTCTTTTATTCTTTTTAATTTTACAAATTCAAAGATTTATTGCCATAAAATTGTAAGGAAATTTTGCTGCTTTATAACACAAGTTATTGCCATTGTGGTGGGAGGGCCAAAGGCCCCCACATCATAATTCCATATTTTTGATGTGCAATTCAAGTTCTATACACAGTTGGATTTTAACACACCCATTTCTCAAAACTAGAACCCAGCTCCCTTCCACAGCTTGAACTTGTTGATGATACTTTTGCACCTTTTGTTGATGGGAACTATAACAAACAATTTCAGAGTTAGCATCTCAATCATTTTACACATTGAAACCGAGATTTTATCTGCTAAATTGTTTCTCCCTAAACATGTCTTCTGATTATTTTCCCAACATAGATCGTCTCGGTGTTTGTACCAAGGATAGGGACCCTTCTATTTCTGAGCTTATCTTGAGGTCAATTTTTTTCAAAACCCCCTTTTTCCAGACTTCAATGTCTTGAAGAACAGTCTGATTCCTTTATTTCAGCCTGGCCTTGAAAATTTCTGCATTTTCATGAATGTTGAGCATTCCCTCCCCCCTGCCCCCATCAACCCCTGTTTCTTCCCGAATATCTCTGACAAAAGAGGAAAATAATTGATAATTAAGCCCCCTGATCTCAAAGGGAAAAGAAGTGATTTGATGCCTAACCTTTTAGGAATTAATAAATAAAACAAGAAGGTGATCTGAGATTTGCTCTAGCAAACTCACTTAATACAATTTGGAAACATAGCCTCCCAAGTGCTGGGGGAAAAAATCTGCCCTTATCTGGAGGAGACAACAAATTTCTCTTTTCATAATTAACCAAGTGAACATGGTATGCCTAGATATTATTGAATTAAGTGGTTTTATAATTTTCCCTCTTGCTTCAAGTCTAATTTCACTTGCATCATTTGCTCTATTTGTTGAGAGATACAAAGAGAATGAGTTTCTGTAATCTTAATGCTTTTATATAGTAAATTAAATCCTTGATTGATGCTTTCTTGTCCTTTCAGGCCTGTCTAGATGATTTTACTCATCACAACATTGATGTAGCTTGTAATCTTCTTGAAACATGTGGCCGTTTCCTGTATCGGTCTCCAGAAACTACTATACGAATGGCTAACATGTTGGAGATACTGATGCGCTTGAAAAATGTCAAAAACTTGGATCCAAGACATAGTACTTTAGTGGAGAATGCATACTACCTTTGCAAACCACCAGAACGATCTGCACGAGTTGCTAAAGTTCGTCCTCCATTGCATCAGGTGAAATTCTTATTTCAATTTCAATTCCTTTTTTTACAACTTTCATATCTTAGTTAATATTTTAATTGATATATTTATTGCAGTATATCAGAAAATTACTTTTCTCAGATCTTGATAAGTCTACCATTGAGCATGTGCTGAGGCAACTACGTAAATTACCATGGAGCGAATGTGAACCATATGTGCTGAAATGCTTCATGAAGGTCCACAAAGGCAAATATGGTCAGATCCACCTGATTGCATCTCTTGCTGCTGGGTTAAGTCGCTATCATGATGAGTTTGCTGTCGCCATTGTTGATGAGGTTGCTATTTTGATATATCACTCTTTATTTGTTATCTCTTCATCATACAATATAATCTGAAGTTTGAGCAATGCCTACTTATCAATTAAACCCTTTTAAATTTACTGTTTCAAGTTCTAGAATCAACAGTAAGTCTGAGGGAGAAGGAAATTTTTACTGGGGAATCTCTTATGAACATTTACACTTCAAACGGTTAAGTTTTTGGGTTGAAATTGTTCTTTGGAATATGATCTTCAGGTTTTGGAGGAGATTAGAGTTGGGCTGGAATTAAATGACTATGGTATGCAGCAAAGACGCATTGCCTACATGCGATTCTTAGGGGAGCTTTACAACTATGAGCATGTCGACTCGTCTGTTATTTTTGAGACACTATATCACATTCTCATCTATGGCCATGGGACCCCAGAGGTGCTGATTTTTATACTGGTTACATGTTTTTTTGGGAGAGAGAGGAATTAAGCTTTTGCAGTCTTTTGTATTGCTAAAACCTGAAAATATGTTTCTTTTGAGCTAGATGCCCACTCTTTACATACCAAAAGATCTTTATGTGCTATAAATTTTTCACAAGCCTTCCTTTCCATAAACAGTATGATAATTAGAATTTTTTTTTATTTGTCATCATTTTTTGGTTAGGATTTCTTGCTCATTTGAGCATTTCTATATTGTCTCTTGACATGAGATGGTGAAAATGAATGTAATACCAGGGTAATGCACAAAAAATTGTTATATATTCTCCTTTTGATAGATAGGAAATTTTTTTAAAGAGAAGGGAGGGGAGGATAACATATCTTACAATATAAAAAGGATTTAAGGATGCAATACCGTTTGGTTTCTTTAGAATTTCATTTAGCCTCTATATGTTTAACGATATGAGGTATTTTGTTTCATTAATTAGTTTACTTATTTTGTATAGAAGGTCCTTCTCATGACATTATGAAATTTATTTGTTAACCTTGTCAGCAAGATGTACTCGATCCACCTGAAGATTGTTTTCGTATAAGGTTGATCATTACTCTGCTTGAAACTTGTGGGCATTACTTTGATCGTGGCTCTTCCAAGAGGAAACTTGATCGATTCCTAATACACTTCCAGAGGTATATTTTAAGCAAAGGTGCAATGCCTCTGGACATGGAATTTGACTTGCAGGTCAGTTAGGCAGCCTATCTGTTGACTTTATTTAATTACAAGGGGATGACTAATGTGTTAATTAATGTATTTAATGATTTGGATTAGCTATCCTTATGTCTTTGAGGTTGCATGTTATATATCGTTTGAATATTTTGAAGTTTGATATACCAAGTTTAGGATCTACACTTCAGAAGATAACTTGTCGTTGTTTATTCTTTTGTTCATTAAAATATATCGTGGTTTTCTCTTGTTTATGTTTGTTTATTATAGTTACCAAAGTTGTTGAGTTACCCCTTTCTGCGTAATTCTTTTGGATGGTGGAATTTAGTGTTGATGTAAAATAGGATTTGTTTATATGACTAACATGATGAATCATGTAATTTGACAATTTGCAGTAATATAGAATGGTTCAATATGATGTGATATTTTGAATGAAAATGAATTTGCATGTTATGCCCATCTTGGAAAACATGGTCATCAGAGAATGGTATTGTCACTAGATTCAAAAAGTTTTTCACTAGGTACTAGGTGGCATTTCAAAAACTTGGCTCATTATCGATTGCATGTAGGATCTGTTTGCTGACTTGCGTCCCAATATGGTTCGTTACACATCTATTGAGGAAGTGAATGCAGCTCTAGCAGAACTTGAGGAACATGATCGTACAGTTTCTGCTGATAAGGCCACTAGTGAAAAACATTCTGACACTGAAAAGCCTTCAAGTAGGATCACTTCTACCACAGTGGTTGGCAATGGACAGAACATTGATAATGGTGCAGAGGAAAATGGAGTGCAAGATGATGTTAATGAGAGTGAGACTGATTCAGGGAGTGACACAATTGATGTGGAGGGACATGATGATGAAGAGTTGGATGAAGAAAATCATGATGATGGGTGTGAGACTGAGGAGGATGACGATGAAGATGATGATGGGCCTGGGCCTGCTTCTGATGAGGAGGATGAAGTTCATGTGAGACAAAAAGTGACAGAGGTGGACCCTCTGGAAGAAGCCAATTTTGATCAGGAGCTAAAGGCTGTAGTACAGGCAAGGGTTTATATAATTTATTATGTTTACGTGCTGTTGCTACATTTCTGCAAAGTTTGATGTTTCCTTGTGAATTTTTATTTATTTTGAAACATCGTAAAATACATCCTGGGAAATTGAAAATTTTTTCTCTCTAATCTCATACCATCTTAATTAGAAAAAAAAGGAATGGGGGGCTGTACTAGAAGAAAAGGAATCATAGAGACAACAAAAATGATTCTATTGATATTTGTTAAGATATTAGGATTAGATATATTATTATATTAAGAGTCCGGCATCGTTATTGAATATTGAGCTGGTCTTGTACTTGTTGTACTGCTGTTATACACGACGTAGATTATTCATATAAATAGGAGTTTAGGTTTGTTTTCTATATCATGATATCACAATTGAGGGGTATGCCTTGGCACAACAGTAAGGTTGTTGCCTTGTGTCTTGGAGGTCATGGGTTCAAATCCGGGAAATGGTCTCACCACTTGTGGGGTTAATTCCCTCGCGTAGTGGGCTGTGCTTTATATTGCAATTGTTTGACAACTTTTTTTATTATTGAAATATGTTCTGTCTTCTATCATTTCCATCCCTAAATTTCAACAGTCTATTGTGATATAAGATTTGACTTTGGAAAGGGAAATCAACGTTTCTTTAGTGTAAGCTATGACTGGCTATATTTATAACCTTTTCAAAGTTCTTGTTTCTTAATTTTCGCAGGAGAGTATGGAACAGCGAAGGCAGGAGCTCCGAGGCCGTCCTACGTTGAACATGATGATTCCAATGAATGTATTTGAGGGATCTGCCAAGGATCACCATGGGAGGGGAGTTGGTGGGGAAAGTGGTGATGAAGCACTGGATGAGGATAATGGTGGAAACAGAGAGGTTCAGGTGAGAGTTCTTGTGAAGCGTGGGAACAAGCAACAAACAAAGCAGATGTTCATCCCACGGAATTCCTCACTGGTGCAGAGTACAAAACAGAAAGAAGCAGCAGAGCTTCAAGAGAAAGAAGATATTAAGAGGCTTGTCTTGGAGTATAATGATAGAGAAGAAGAGGAGCTTAATGGATTAGGGACCCAGCCAACAAACTGGATGCAGAGTGGAGGTAACAAGGTTAGTGGCCGTGGCAACATTCTTGAAGGAACTGGCGGCAGGGGTGGGGGATCACGACATCGACATCATAATTATTCTAGCAGTGGAATCTACTATAGCAGAAGAAAGTGAATGGTACTCGAGTGAATATGGAAGGCAGATATTTTATGCCATCTGCTTCCCCTCAGCATGACAAATATTTGAAGACAAAGTTCATCAGATATTCATTAGTAAAGGCCTAGCCTTGTCTTTTGCCACCACTGTCATGCTTTGCCGTTCAAAAGATTCTTGTCAAAGACAAATATTATCACTTATCTTGTTGTTAAGTGGTGGTTTTGAACATGGTGTGTTGGAGATGCAGGGGTTGTAAAGTGATGTATGCACTGTTTTGGTTTCCTGACCATAAGCTGACATGCAGGATGTAAGATTGTGGGTGGCCCGCAGCATGCTGCAGATGAAATCCTGTAATTATATCCTGGCCTCACAACTCCAAGCTTTTTGTATAGCTATCTGTATGGAGATAAAATCACTAAATGTATGGTTTTGGTGGTTTTAACTTAGTCAGCCACCTTGGTTTGATTATATATTTTGTGAAGAATGAATAGGCAAAGAAAATGTCTTGATACTTCGTTAACATATCAAAATTGTGCCAAACCCTTAGTCTATTCAGAGTCACTAAATGTCTCCCATTCGTGTTGCCTATTTTGAAACATCATTACATTTCAGTTCAACGAGTAATTCTTTTTATAGACTCTTGAGAATCAGTTTGATCCCAGACTGCTCAGTGGGGATCGAGCGGAAAATTGTATATTTGCAAACCGGAAATTTGCGAAGTTATTTCTTGTAGAAAATCTAGACAATGGGTGTGGTACCCCCAAGACTACTCACAATGCGTGAAGCATAGATGCTAATTTGGTGCCTTTCAAGTTACCGTACAATGAATTAAGGGGTGAGTGGGGACGTCAAGCTCCCTCTGTAAGGTGTCAGCTTTTCGGTGGTAGAAAAAGCTAGGATAAAAAATGAGTCCCGTTTTGATGATTTAAAATAACTTTCGAAGATGCATTAAAAAATTGAGTCTTAAGATTTCGTAAAGAAATAGAAGTGCGGATTTAATGGGTATAGAATCTAATCTAATTGAAAAACATTTATTTATTTATTTATGGGGTTGAATAATAGAAACTCCATTGCTCACTAGCGTTCGACGGGGGTTTCTCTCCTCAATAACAGTGGCGCAAACGAGACCCATCTCCCACGAACCCATTTCTCTCTTTCTTTCACAATTTCGTCTTAATAAAACCACCATTTTCTGCGAAAATCAAAACCATCCTTACCTCTCCAATCGCCCATCCTTCCCTTCTTCCCAACTCAACGTAACCATAACGATTTAGCCAAAACTATTCGTTTCTTCACCCGAAAATCTCGACGGTCACTCCGTAATTTCACTTTTTATTCATTTTCTCCCTCAAATTCATGCCTAGTTTCTGCCACGCTTTAGCTTAGCGGTGTTCTTACGATTTGATTGCAGTTCTTTTGGAGTATTATTCCATGTGTTAGAACAATTTTTGGAGTGTTGGGTTTTGCCTTGTGTTCTATTTGCTTCACTTTGACATGCCCCAGACCAATTTTGAAAAACTTTGATTATGGGTATATGCTTTTACACCAAACCAACCCTAATTTGGTTCCAAAAACTTGATTATTATATTTATGCCTCTTGGATTTTGAAAAGGGTTGAAAAATGTATAAGAGAAAAAGCCTATGTTCTATGTTTAGACTTGCAATTTCAAGCTCCAAATTCACGCACTCAGCAACAAGCATCTGCAACAATGTTATGTCCAAATCACATTTTTCGTCCCAAGATTCTCTCACAACCCAATTGGAATCTTTGTTTCAGGGTTTTTCAGATGCTTCTGTGCTTAGACAAGTTAGACAAATTCATGCTCAGGTCATTGTTGGTGCCATGAGTGATATTATTACCCTGAGTTCAAGGATTTTGGGGATGTATGTTCTTTGTGGTGATATAAAGGATGCTGGAAACGTGTTTTTTAAGCTTGAATTGTGCTATGCTCTTCCTTGGAATTGGATGATTAGAGGGTTTTACATGTTGGGGTGGTTTGATTTTGCCTTGTTGTTTTTCTTCAAGATGTTGGGTAGCAAGGTTTCACCGGACAAATACACATTCCCTTATGTGATTAAAGCTTGTGGGGCTTTGAATAATGTGCCAATGTGTAAGGTGGTTCATAATGTGGTTGGGTGCATGGGGTTTCGTGTGGACTTGTTTGTTGGTAGTGCTCTGATCAAGTTGTATGCGGAAAGTGGTTATATTCATGATGCGAGGGATGTGTTTGATGAATTGCCTCTGAGAGACACCGTTCTGTGGAATGTCATGCTCAATGGTTATGTGAAAGGTGGAGATTTTGACAATGCAATGAAAACATTTTGTGAAATGAGGAACTCTTCTAGTAAACCTAATTTTGTAACGTTTACTTGTATTTTGTCGACGTGCGCTAATAGAGGGAAACTTTGCGTTGGTATTCAGCTTCATGGTCTTGTTATTAGTAGTGGGTTTGAGTTTGATTCCCAGGTAGCAAACACACTTGTAGCCATGTATTCAAAATGTGGGAATCTTTTTGACGCTCGCAAATTATTTAATACAATGCCACAGACTGATACGGTGACTTGGAACGTGCTGATTGCCGGATTTGTACAAAATGGATTTGCAGACGAGGCTGCACCTTTGTTTAATGCAATGATCTCTGCTGGTGTCAAACCAGATTCAGTCACTTTTGCAAGTTTCCTTCCTTCTATCCTTGAATCTGGGAGTCTCAAACGTTGTAAGGAAGTTCATTGTTACATAGTGCGACATAGGGTGCCTTTTGATGTCTATTTGAAGAGTGCTCTTATTGACATATACTGCAAGGGTGGAGATGTGGTGATGGCACGCAAGATTTTTGAGCAGAATACCTTGGTTGATATTGCTGTTTGCACGGCTATGATCTCAGGTTATGTACTTAATGGGCTGAATGTTGATGCTATACACATTTTTAGGTGGTTAGTTCAAGAGGGTATGGTGCCTAATAGCCTGACCATGGCTAGTGTTTTGCCAGCTTGTGCTGCTTTGGCTGCACTGAAATTAGGGAAGGAGTTGCATTGTGATATTCTGAAGAAACGACTGGAGAATATAGTTAATGTGGGATCTGCCATCACAGACATGTATGCAAAATCTGGAAGACTGGATCTTGCTTATCAATTTTTCAGAAGAATGTCTGAAAGAGATAGTGTATGTTGGAATTCAATGATTTCAAGCTTCTCGCAGAATGGGAAACCAGAAATGGCCATTGATGTTTTTCGTCAAATGGGAATGAGTGGAACCAAGTATGATTCTGTGAGCCTATCATCTGCTCTCTCAGCTGCGGCAAATTCACCAGCACTTTATTACGGGAAGGAGATACATGGTTATGTGGTAAGAAATGCATTTACTTTTGACACTTTCGTTGCAAGTGCACTGATAGACATGTATTCCAAATGTGGAAAACTAGCTTCGGCTCAGTGTGTGTTTGACCTGATGGATGGGAAGAATGAAGTTTCATGGAACAGCATCATTGCTGCCTATGGAAACCATGGTATCCTTAGAACATGTCTTAATCTATTCCATGAGATGTTGGAAGCTGGGGTTCGCCCTGATCATGTTACTTTTCTTGTTATAATATCTGCTTGTGGCCATGCGGGCCTAGTTGACGAAGGCATATACTACTTTCGTTGCATGACTGAGGAATATGGGATCTGTGCTACGATGGAGCACTATGCATGCATGGTAGATTTGTATGGTCGTGCTGGTCGTTTGCACGAAGCATTTGATACCATACAGAGCATGCCATTCACTCCAGACGCAGGTGTTTGGGGGACACTTCTTGGAGCTTGCCGGCTTCATGGCAATGTTGAGTTGGCTAAACTAGCTTCAAAACACCTTCTCGAATTAGACCCAAAAAACTCTGGATACTATGTATTGCTTTCAAATGTACATGCTGTCGCTGGTGAATGGGCAAGTGTTCTTAAGATACGAAGTTTAATGAAGGAAAAGAGAGTTCAGAAGATAACTGGATACAGCTGGATTGATGTCAATGGTGGCACCCATATGTTTTCTGCCGCTGATGGAGGTCACCCAGAATCTGTTGAGATCTATTTAATTCTGAAGAGTCTCCTTCTTGAGTTGAGAAAACAGGGTTATGCTCCTCAACCTTACCTTCCACTCCACCCACAAACCATGAGCGATAATTGAGTTGAGAATTTTCAGCATCCCTCATAGCAAATTTCTTGATGCAACCCATGTCATCAGAAAATAACTTCTATTGAACTTATGGGTCTGCTTCCAAAATCCCTTCTGGATCCCATCAAACATTCTCCAAAATGCACCCACCTTCTAGTAACCTAGACAAGGTGGAGATACAGTTATATGGGGAAAAAATAAAGTATTTTGACTTTGTACCATCCCTTTAACAAAAATAATGTAGGCACAAACATTCTAACAAATGGAAATGTCTACATAGTTTTCAAAGCATTATACAATTCGCTAGTTAACCGCACAAAGATAGGAACATGACATATTAAAGACAATGTCACAAGTTAAAGAAATACTTTGTTTAGTCGCATTGTATTTAATCTGTCACGCTTTCAATTCTGGAATAGTTAACTAATAGATTTTAACTGAGGAACTAAATGAGTAACATATAGCTTATTTAGAAATTAATTTTAGTATTCAAAGACTAAATTAAAGACTTTAGACTTTTGTGAAACTAAAATGAACGATAAATCACACACTTAGAATAATTTTAATATATTTTAAGGACTAAATTAAATGACTCTTTATCTTTTGTAAATTAAATTAAAAATTTACTCGTATTAATGCATTCATTAAGATAAGAGTAAACTTATTACTACATACAAGGATAAATATAAATGAAGAATTTATGATTTTTTTTATAAAAAATAATTCTTGAAGCTAGATTAGAAACAAAATTTAATTAAAAGAAAATTATTACTAAAGGATTAATTTCATTAGAAATATTTTTAAATATATCCAATTTGTCACAAGTTAAGAGGCTTTGAAGATCTTTTGTCTTGTGGTTGAATTGTTAAAAAATCTAATTTTATAAATTCAATGCATAACCAATGTTAAACTAATTTTAAAAATTAAAATTCATATTAAATTAATTTTTTGATTAACTATATTTGTATAATCAGTTAAGGATTTTAAATCTACTTTTTAAAATTAGATTTTTTTTATTTATCCAATGCTATTGTTGACGGCCCATTTGTTTGTGTTGAGATGGCATTTGGAATTATCTAACATGTTACTTTAGCACAAAGAAGAGAACGAGAAACCCTGTGAAATCTGAATTAGTTAGAGGTAGAGAGATAGGGTTATGCAGACCCAATTCATAACTAAACCCGAACTGTTACTAAACGGTTTTTGAACGGATTAGTATTGCAATCGAATTTCCCTTTTGTTCGTGCGTGAAGCTGAGGCATATAGTGATAGCAAATAGCAATTATGCGTTCTTAGGTTTGTCTTCTTCGTCTCTTCCATCGTGTGCTGCCGAGTGAGAACGCGAATCCTAATCTGATTCCCCCATCTTTTTCCTTTGATTCGAACCTTAATCCGAAATTTACGTGTGCATTGGTGAGTCTCGTGTCTCTCTGTTCAGAAATTTCATATGAAATAATTGTTTATTTGTTCGCCCATGATGCTTCACGTTTTGTTAACATTTTCTATTTGCAATGTGCAGTGTTTCTGATCTCTGTTCCAGTTTCACTTGAGCTCTTTGTCCCTGATATAGTTTTGTCCGGGTCCCTTTCCTCGTTGTTCTTTCTGGTGTGTTGTGTTCTTGCTACTTGTTTTTAGTCGTTTATAATGCTACTGGTTTAACTGCAATGGTTGAAAAGTGGGAGTGAAAGAAACATTGTTACTACAATGTCCTAGAAAAACACTAATATTTATCTCCGCTGTGTATGATCAATATTGATCTAGAGAACAACTAGGTGAAAGGAATCTAAAGCATACCCTAACTTCATCAAATGCAAATCTAGTGAATCGGGGACACAATCATTTTTAGAGCCCTGCGAATCATTCAATTATAATTTTATATGATTCTTTGATGTTTCCTTACGCTAAAACTTGTGAATTAGGGAGACCAGAACAGATTTCTTGTTATTCTGACTGCTGTGATATGAATTTGTATGATGAATGCAAGTGTAAGATGAATTGTTGGACAATCAATGTTAATTAGAGGAGACATTGAGAAGATTCAAAGGCTAAACACTAGTGATTTGGAGACCTTTAACAACTTCAACAAAAATAAAAGACAGATAACAAAACTTAGAAAAACAAAAACCAAATCAACTCAACCTCACACTGAAACTAAAGATTCCAAAAGTGAAGGGGAACGGAGTAATTGAGGGTAAAACTGACACAGCATAACAAAGTGTATTGAAAACTGACCCTTTGTGAGGAATTGCGAAAACTTACCCAGAAGAATAGACAACTAATTGAGTATAAAGGGAACCAAAATGTCAACATGCAAGAAATGTAGAAAAGAACTACGACATACACATGAAAACAACATATGAGAATAATAGTAAATTAAAAATTTGAATTGAAATTAAACTACTTGGGAAATTCTATTAGAATATTTAGCACCGAGTAATTAAATATGATGAGCATCACAAGAGCACAGCAAAAAAGAAGGATCCTTGAGGATGCTTATATGGGTTGTTGGTGTGATCATAATTAATAATATCAAGTAAATAGTATGACAAAGGTAACAGCCATAATTGTTCTCACAAAGCTAACCGAGAAAAAGGTAAAAGGCATTGCATGACTGAGCAGTCAGCATCCAAGAATTTGACTGTGTAATGGATGACTACTGTAGTTCATTGTTTTGCCATCATGATTCCAATAATATAGTACAGCCTAAAGGTCTAATATAATTGTCCAGACCTTACATTATCCCTTTGCATGTATTAACAGATGGTTGTATGCCTTTTCACAAACGGCTGTTATCTGTGTTTGAATTATGAGTAATGTTTGGATAGTAATACAGTGAAGGAAACAAAAAATAGGATGCATATCTGCCTTTAACCCTTAAAGTACACAATACACACTTTTTGATACTTGCTCCATATGCTATGTATATATGTCTGTCTGTTTTAATGGAATGGGTCATTAGATTGGTTTGGTGAGTTCATTTTATTTTCCTATACTCCTGCTACTAGCATGCAAGGTAAAGAACAAATAAATAAATGATCCATACATTATATTTGCCATGTTTACTAGTAACAACTTAAGAGTTTTATTGGTAATTGGCATGTATTCTGGTGCATATTCACAGGCTTCTTGTTTATGCATAGAGCCAGCCCTTTTAAGAGGTGGGGCTAAGTTTTATATTTAATTTAGTAGGCTGGTTCAAACTGACATAGTCCTATGGACATTTTTGCCCTGACCCACATGGCTTGGGTGAGTGTAGTGGGCTGGCCTGTATTGACAGCTAATTATTAACTAGGTTTCAACAATTAATCATCAGGTATATTTTTTATTGAATGCAAGCGAGTTGAAGAAAGGAGGTTCAGCCAGTTTTATTTGATAGAGAAATCACTGTTACAGAATATGAAAGAGGAAGAATTGAATCGATGTCAGATTCAGAAATGGTACCCAAAGTTCAAATCTGTATCCATCAAGACCTTAATTCATCAACTTCCTGAATCATTTATTCAGTACCTTCTTGATGACTCAGGACCCTTCCTGTTACCTGTTTCTGTCTTAAATGAAGATGCATTACCCAATAGAATTCATAATACTCATGAGGAAGAAGACTTTAAGGTGTCAGAGGGATCTGGTGATGAAGCAGAAGGTTCTCTGCCGCCCTCTTTTCCAGAGCTTGAATTGAAAATTAGGGATTCCATTGAGTCCCTTGGGGGTGCTGTTTTCCCCAAGCTGAATTGGAGTGCCCCAAAAGATTCAGCATGGATAAGTACGGCTGGTACTCTTCGGTGCAACAGTTTCAGTGAGATTGCACTTTTGTTTCGAGCATCTGACTCATTGGTCCATGACTTGTGCCATGCTTATGATTCATGCCAGGATAAATCTTCAACTAGACCCCAGAATTTCTTTCTTGCCCTCCGTAAATGGTACCCATCCCTTCAGCCAGACATGGAATTTCGATGTTTTGTACGGGATCAGAAATTAATTGGAATTTCTCAACGGGAAGTTACTACCTTTTATCCTGTTCTGCTTGAGAAGAAGAATGATCTCTTATTACTGATACAGGCATTTTTCAACAAATATGTGAGAGTTGAATTTGAGTCAGAAAACTACACATTTGATGTTTACATTACTAAGGATGAGAGAGTTAAGGTTATGGATTTCAATCCTTGGGGTGCCTTTACATTGCCGTTGTTGTTTACTTGGGATGAATTAGAGCATATACATAGTGAGGGAGATGATGTGGAGTTTAGAATTTTGGAAGATCGCTGTGCTGTTAGGCCAGGCCTTAAAACAGCAGTTCCATTTGATTACTTGGATACTAGCTCAGGGAGTGGTTGGGATCAATTTCTAAGGAATGCTGATGAAGAGTTAAGACGACAATCTACAGAAGCCGGTGCATGATAATCGGATACTGTTTCTCAATTGTTACTTTGGGTTAGCAATAGAAAAGCAGTTTTTCTTTCTTTCACTTTTTTTTTTTTTTTTTTTTTTTTTTTTTGGAGATTTTTGAGAAAGGGGAAAACTTGCTTGGAAACATGACTGAGATTATGTATCCTCCTAAGAGAGTAAATCAACCTGGGTCTAATTTGGACGAGGCTAATCATCAAATCATATATGATGACAGATGGATTGTATGCCTTGTTTACGATTATATTGCATTGACGACAGCAGCGTTGGAGCTTATTTTTGGAATAAAATAGGGGGGAAATACGACATTGGTGAAGGCTAGTACTAGTTTGCAAAAGGAGCAAGTTTTGGGAGGAGGAGATACTCTGGAGTCCCTGAATAATGGAAGACAAGATGTGTTCAAGATTTATGTTATGCTTTAATTGGAGAGTGATGGATTGATACAACTTTTTTCTTCTTCAAGCTTGTGTGTTATGTTCTGTACCTCTGCTACTGTATCTGCATTTGTCACGTACAAATAAGATTTATAACTAGGTTTTGTTTTGTGGTTGTTGATTAGGTTTATAATGTGGCTCAAAAAAAGATATTAGGTTTAGACTTTGCACCTATACATAAATTTAATAGAAACCAATAATGATCATGGGTGAAAGTATAATAAAAAAATCGTCAACAAAAAACATTTTATATTGATACCCAATCAACCAAATAACTCATGTCTAATATTGGGTAAATTTAGATGCAGTTTTTAAAGTATATACGATATTATAATGTTATTTTTTTATTTAAATTACAATTTTATCGATAAGATTCAACATTTAAGGTTATCCCAAATTATTGAAGTAAAATTTTAATCTTTATAAAAAAATACTACTAACACTGACGAACTGTACTATAGTTTTAGTTGTTAATTTGTTCCGGATAATATACTTTTAAGGAGTAATGGCAGTCCATCCATCGCGTGTTCTTACAGACAGCCTGTGAAGTTGCATGATGCAGGTTAGTAATGGTAGCAAATCAGGTCAAATTTTATATTTGCCATCACAATTCTATCTTCGTGTGTCTAGCAGCTTAAGATTAGGGGTGCTGTCTTTAAATATAATATTTTAAAATTACTATAATTTATGTATTTAAATAATTAAAAAATAATTTGAAAATGCTATAAAATTTTAATTAAGTTATTTTTATTCTAAATAAAAAAATTTCAAATAACTTATTTTTTAGATAAAATTTCAAATTTTCTCTATTATTCTTAACTTTTTATATTTATTGTTTATAACTTTTCTGATATGTGTCGTGCTTAAAACATCAATTATTATTAAATTTATATTTTCCAAAATTTTAAAATTTTCCTTCATATATAATTTAAAGGTTGTCTTAATAATATTAAAATAATGTAATAATATTAAAATAAAAACATTATTAGACACTAAATTTTTTGTTGCTTTTTCGCCGGGCATCATTGCTTTAAAGAATTAAAAGTATTTTTTTTAAAAAAATATTATCCATATACTTATATTATAATTTTCTATTTATTTATTTATTTCTTAACGAGCAATGTTGGTTAGAGAGAGATTCTTAAACAATTTACAATGTAACTAGTGTATCTGAATTCAGTCCACTGCCAAATTTTTTTTCGTGTTTTTACATTTTTGCTTAAGCTCGTATATTTTTGCTTAAATAAAAATGTAAATTTTTCCTAAATACACGATACAGTTCCCACAGAAATTACACTGGATCCGGGTCGGTAACTAGTCTTTTGAAAGTTTTTACTTTGTTTAATAAACTTGACAAATTACAGTTAATATTAAAACGTAGCCCTACTATTAAAATATGATATTACATTTTAATAGATTTAATTTTTTTTATTGACATTGGCTCTTAATTTAAATAAAAAAACGAACACTGGTATTTGTTAATTAGTAACTTTTGACCGAAGAAAAAAAAGATCAAATGACTAAATATACAGGGATTATTACCAAAAAACAATAAATTATAAAAATTACAAAAAGTAAAGTCTAAGAACATTAGCAGCGTGTTAGTTTAGCGTGCTTGAAGTTGGAAGCAGCAAATAAAAGAGAACGAGCAAGAGCGTAAACTCTCAATTGGTTTGAGGTTTTGGTTTCGCTGACGAACTCATTGATTTCGTTTACAGTTAATTCTTTAATACCTCTTTCTTTCATTTTAATTGAATCCTAATAATGTATTTACTCACCACGTGTTTGCTTAAACGCCCTTCATTCTCAATAATTTACTTATGCTAGTGTTATTTGTTACACAAGTATGCAGTTTTTCTAATTTTTGTACTTTTCAATTTCTGGGTAGGTATTAGAGCCACTGATGTGGTTAATTCTGTTGTTAGGTACTATAAACAACTTCAAAAGCTTGATAATTTGTGTTGAGTTCTGTTCTGAGTTCGAGTGTAAACAACTTCAAAAGCCTGGCCCAACAACGGTTGGCAGCTCCAATTCTCATTCACTATTTTGCTTTGGTGTTTAACTTTTATGCCTTGTAACTCGTTAAAAAGCTTGATAATTTGTGTTTTGAGTTAAGTTTTTCAGCACTTTATGGAGTGCGATTTATGAGTGCTATTTTATTTAAGTGTTTTTAGTGATTTAAAGATTTTTATTTCAATTAATGTCATTTTATACAGATATATATGAATTTTGTAAAATCTTACGACGATTTTACAAATTTTACTCCCTTTTACGATTTATGGTAAAATCCCTATTTTAATGCCTTTCTGTTGGAACTTCTCATCATGGTGCCCTTCCAGGTGGTCGTGGTAGTTTGTATTATATGTGTGCCCAAACTGTATATATGTCAGTAATAACTATGTGTAACTTTTTTCTTTTGTCTAATTTTCAGGGAAACAGTAATGGATTCTTGGGCTACAGTATCTGTTCTTACTAATCGATTTATTCCATGTTCTGCCACAATTACTGAATTTTCCATGGACCCCAAATTGAGGGGCAGTTTCTATAAGATATACAGATATACAAACAAAGGAAAATTCAGTCTCTCTTTTGCTAGGGATGATTATAAAGTTAGGAGTAATTGTGCAATTAAATCAATCCAAGATGTATCTTATTTTCAAACCCAACCACCACAAGGAACTTGGGAAGAGCCAGATACTGGGAGTGACAGTGAGTGTGATGATGAAGAAGATGAGGAATTTGAGGATATGAACCGAGGATTTGAAAGTGATCCAGATGAGGAAGGGACACAAACTTCAGCTATTACTGATGTTAATATAACTTCAGTGGACAACTATGAAGAACTTATTAAGAAAGGTACATTTTATTGTTCTTGTTGCTTTCTTTCGTTTGGAACCATAACAACATGGCTTTTAAAACTAGACTGGACCTTGCCAGGCCAATCAGTTGAAGTGTCAACTGGCCAAGCATCTGGACTGGATTGATCTGAAACAACAAACTTGAGTTTGGACTGGTCAAAACCATGGCTTTTTATGAATCACTTTGATGTATATATTAATTATTTTATAATATTTTCTAAGTGATCCAGTTCAACTTCCAGTTAAAAACTAGTAGAACCACCCTGTCTGTGAACTGCTAACCTCACTAGTTGTTTGTTCAATTCAGTTTTTAAAACAATGCTTCACATTTCCCCCCTCTTTAGTTCTTGTACTTGTTACTTTCTATATAGTTATATGGTTGAACAACTTCCTAAATATGGAATATGTCCAAGAAATAGAAATATGCTGATAGAAGGTTCGTAAGTAGACTGTAGAATTGACCCTGGACAACAATATGCTACTGTAAGAAGATATTTTCATTATTGCAGAGGTTGAGCAACTTTTGGAACCAGAAGAAAGAGCAATACTGCAACAGAATGTTACTCCTAACTTGGAAAAAATATCAACTGTAAGTCTGTGACTCTGCATCTATCTCTCCTAGTGCCCACTTTCTTATTTACACTTAGGCTCTTGTATTCATATTTTCAGGCAAAATGGAGCCCACTGCACACTCTTGTGCTGTCAATGCAGATAAGTTGTGTGGATAAGCTTCTTGAAAATGGTGTTGATATTGATTTGCCTGATAAGGTGATTTTGTTTATATTTAGCATAAAATTATGTCAATTTGTGCATTTGCCTGGACTTAAATAGCATTATTTGATCGCCACAGGAAGGTCTCACTGCACTTCATAAGGCAATTATAGGAAAAAAAGAAGCTGTGATAAGCCATCTTTTACGTAAAGGTGCAAGTCCTCATGTTAAGGATAAGGTGAGGAAACATTCTTCAATCTGCACACAGATCTCATAAACTGTTGACGGCATTCTCAAATGTGCTTTGTGTGCTTGTATATTCATTCCTATGGTAGGATGGAGCTACTCCACTTCATTACGCAGTTCAAGTTGGTGCCAAGATAACTGTGAAATTATTGATCAAGTATAAGGCTGACATCAATGTTGCAGATAATGTGATCATTTATTTAAACACAAGCTTGTTTTTATTTGTTTAGATTTTCTTCAAATTTAGTTACTGCTTTTTTTTTTTTTTACAATTTTAAAATCTTTCAGGAAGGTTGGACCCCATTGCACATTGCCATTCAAAGCAGAAATAGGGATATAGCAAAAATTTTGTTAGTCAATGGTGCTGATAAGACAAGAATAAATAAGGTAATTTTGTAGTACATCCCGCTAGTGAACTCGCTGCTATAATGATTTAAATGCATTGGGTGAACGTTTGTTATTATCATTCCTTTTATTGTTAGCATTATTTGATGGCCTATTCTTTCTTAGTTATATCTTTTAGTCCTTTTGGGCCATACTGCTATAGTCCAATTGAGACTAATAAAATAAATTGTCTCTGTTGTAAAGTGTCTACCTTTCCTTCCTTTGGTTTCAAGTTTGTATTGTACAGATAGAAATTGATGAAGCTGACTGCATCCTTCATTGGTTGTTCATGTTTCAGGACGGAAAAACAGCTCTGGATCTAGCCTTATGTTATGGGAAAGACTTCAAGTCTTATGACCTTGCTAAGTTACTGAAGACGGTTCCAGCTACCTGTGATCTATGATGTGCAAAATGCAATCGGCCAGAACCAGATTGAAGTTTCAGTTTATTGATATCTGCTGCTAATTAGCAATTAAATCCTCCTGGCATCAGCCATCTTTGGAGATCTTAGGCTGATCTTTTACAAAATGATGAAAGTTTTGTAGGAACAATTCATCATCTTCTACATCAATGATTCCTTTGATTATTTCTGCAGCATAGGTCTAATTGACAACTTAGTCCTGTTAAAGCCACACACTTTGTGCAGATTATAAGTTTGAGAGTATTGGTGAAGTGCTGACACAAAGTGCCTGGCAAATTGCTGAGTTATCCTAGATGAACTGTTCATGCTACTGTGATCTTTCCAGATGGAGAATTGTTTCAATAACGAATTACCTATGAGTGCTCAAAATTTTAAAAATTAATTGTAACAAGTAGATGTAGTTCATAAATTTTTGTTATTGTAAGTGTTACAGTCGAAAGTTGTTTGTAAAATTTGAATGATAGATATTGATATTTGATTATTGATTTATTTCGTTTGGAGTAAGTTTCTTTTTATGCAAAATATGAAATTTTATACTTGGAAGCATACGTTAACATTCCTTTTGTTTTTGTTCTTTCCTTCTCTTCTAGATCAGGTAATGCTTCACTCCAACTTAAATTTCTGTTTTGAGATATTCACTATTTAGAAATTGTTTTATTTTTTAATAAATTGATCAAACTATAAGTAGTGTTTCAAGGAGTGTGATGGGAAAAAAATGTTATTAACATTGCTCCTAGTATTCAATATGTGACATACAAACCATTAGTTTATAGTTGACTCACCGCAATTTTTTCTACTTTCTTTTGTGCACACAGTTGAAGGCTACTAAATCCTTCCAAACTTCACTTGTCATTCATACAAACCAAATAAATAACTAATAAGTTTTTATATTTTCATCATTAAAATTTTAAATTATACAGTCGTGATTTTTTTAGAGGGACCAAAATGCAGCTAAGTCGAATAAAATTTGCCTTAATTTACAACTTAAACAAAATATAATATATATTATTTGGAATTATTTATTAGTAAGTACCAAATTTGAAAAATCAAATCCGCTTAAAAATACGCCTAATTTACGAGTGAAAAGAAGTATCAAAGTTAGGATGTCATAGGATATCATCCACTAGCACGTGAGACATTATCCATTATCCATTCCCCCAAATCAAATAATGCCACGTCGGATTGTTCAAAATCTTTGGGCATCTGATATTGGCTTTCTGAAGCCACAAATTGCTCATGTGGCTGCCATTTAGATTCGCTTGAATGTTACATCATACCCACTGAAAACCCAAAGAAAATCATTCACAGAAAAGGGGCACTTAGAGAGAGCAAGGAAGACAACATATTTTCATTTCCTTCAATGGCAACCACTGTGGTCACCACTATCCCCCAATTCAATGGTCTTAGACCCCAATTCTCAGCAGCCCCTGCGCAAAACATGGTTAGCACTTAGCACCCTTTTATATTTACACATTTAGCATCGCATTTCTTGTACTATATATTAGGAATGGATCTTTAAATTCCTTCATAGACATTATTTAAATTAAGTTTGATATAAAATTTGAAGAGAGGATTCATTCCACATGTTCTGCTTTTATTTGTAATGAAATTGTGATAACTGGGTTTTGCTTGTTCTTCTTCTCTGCTCCTTTGTACAGGTTGCCGTCCAACCCATGAGGCGCAAGGGGAAGGGTGCTTTGGGAGCTCGCTGTGACTTCATTGGTTCACCCACTAATCTGGTAGGATCCCAAGAGTTTGAGCCATTTCAATGTTTTGTTGTTCCTTATGTGGTTTCATTTGACTTTATAAAATGTACTAAGTTAGATTTTTTCCCCCCTCTTGTTGGTAAATAATTAGATTCATTCAATTAGTACAAAATGGATTTCAAGAAAAACTCGTTTATACATGCAACAAGCTTGTGAATTGCCAACAAAGAGGTGTGGGGTACTAAGTTTTAATGTAACTGGAACTTGTCAAGTTGGTTATAGAGTTGATTGAACAAGTTAATACTTTCAAAATCACTGGTCACATTGTAAATTGTTTAAGGATCTTCCTAATCACCATTTGTTAATTAAGAAATAAATAAATAGAAAATTTTATTAAGTACCGTGTAGAAGTGCTTTAAAAATTATTAAAGTATACCGATAATATATTTTAACAAAAGCTTTTTATTTTTAATTCTTCAATAAAGTTTAATTTGAGAAAAATTTTAGAGACATTATTATAATAAAATAAATAGTATAAAAAATTTTCTTTCATAAATTAAAACTAATTTGTATTCTCAAACTTTAGAGAAGTTAAATGAAAACTTTTACAGAAAAATAGAGAAATATAAATTATTTTTAATTTATGAGAAAAGTTTTATACTATTTTTATGCTAATTTTTTTTTTTTTAATAAATTTGCATATGATTGATTTTGACATGGGGGCAGATTATAGTGACTTCTACAAGCTTGATGCTGTTTGCTGGAAGGTTTGGATTGGCTCCATCAGCGAACAGGAAAGCCACTGCAGGGCTTAAGTTGGAGGTGAGGGACTCAGGGTTGCAGACTGGTGATCCTGCTGGCTTCACTCTTGCTGATACCTTGGCCTGTGGAACTGTTGGGCACATCATTGGGGTTGGGGTTGTTCTTGGTCTTAAGAGCATTGGTGCCCTGTAAAAATGCAACTACAACTTTAGTGCCTCATGCATCTGTAATCAATTTAATTTCCTTTATTTTCACATCACTAAGACTCTACCTTTAGTTTTTCTCAACCTTAATCTTCAGCTGCTACCCTTCCCTTCTAGACACACAAACAGAGAAATGTGATGCTTAGATAAATATCCCTACCAAATTATAGTAACAAAAAAGATAATTATATTGGATTTTTTAAAAACTAATAGCCTCCATACTTAGGCAGTCTGAACATGAAAATTAGACAATCAAGATATTATAAGATAAAACTTGTGTAATTCTTTAATGAGTTTTATTATTTTTCAATCAAAATTTGAATTTCACCTTGATAATCTACAATAATGACCCTTTTGCTTAGGTAAAACTTTAATTTTAATTAAAAAATAATACAACAAATACTTAAAAGAATTAAGTCTAAGTTTTATCCAATATTATATCCAGTCTTAATAAATTCTACATTTTATTATGTATGGGTTGAAAGTATAAATCTAATCAGCAACTACAAAATAACAATAGTTATGATCCTTTCATTACAACACAGAAAAACATCAGTGAATATATAAGGCAAAATAATGTTCATCATTTGGTCTACAAAATCTTATTTGTCCATGACGAATGCAGATACAGTAGCTGAAGTACAGAACATAGACCCAAGCTTAAAGAAAAAATTTGTATGAATCCATCACTCTTCAATTAAAGCATAATATAGATCTTAAACCAGTCGTGTCTTCCATTATTCCAGTAACTCCAGAGTATCTACACCCTCAAAGCTTGCTCTTTTGCAAGCAGAAACTAGCCTTCCCCAATGTTGCATTTTTTCTCCTTAAAGTTGTTTTTAAACAGAGGATTTTAAAATTTCAAAAAATATGAAATAAATATGAGAAATGTTTAAAATGAAAGTTAAGTATGAGAGTTATAGACTATAAATACAAAAAATTAAGTATAATATAATTTTTTTAAAATTTTCTCTAAAGACAACATAAAAATTATCTAACTAAAATTTTACAATGTTTTAAAAATATTATTTTTACCATGTTGTAATTTACTGTATCCAAATGCAACCTTATTTTATTCCAAATTAAGCTACTAACTTTGCTTCTGTCGTCAGGCAAAATAATGGTAACAGCTTGTGTTTATACCTAAGAATGCTACAAATAACTTCAGCAGGAACATTTCTGCATCCAGAATTGTAAAGACAGAAAAAATGTTACAAAAGTAAAGAGTTTCTTGACTAATATCAAATTATACGGTAGTATAGATTATGCCAAAGCTGCTTTTTCTGAAGCCATTGAATTAGACAGGGTTATTCTCTAGACTAAGTTCAAACTGTGATCATATATTCACTTCTTCCTGAGTCATAAAGAAGGTACTGAATAAATGATTCAGAAAGTTGATGAATTAAGGTCTTGATGGATACAGATTTGAACTTCGGGTACCATTCCTGAATCTCATATCGATTCATATTCTGTAACAGTGGTTTCTCTATCAAATGAAACTGACTTAATTAACTACCTGTCTTCAACTCTCTTGTGTTCAAAAAACAATATACTTTATTAGAGATTAATTGTTGAAACCTAGTTAATAATTATCTGTTAGCCCAATCCAATCACCCAACCCAATGTGGGTAAGTTTAGGCTTGTGAATATTTACCAAAATGCATGCCAATAATGCTCTTAAGATGTCACTAGTACACAAGACATATATAATTATAATTTATATGGATCATTTGTTTATTGATTTGTTCTTTACCTAGCATACTAGGACCAAAAAGAAATTGTAAATATGTGAAAACAGTTTCAGTTATGCTTTAAAAAAAGACAGACAACTAGCGTATGAACTTCAATGATATTATAATAAAATGAAATTGGTATTGTTTTCAAAATTGTACTCAAGAGTCGCAAACAAAGTGCTCCATTATAGTTAGTTTGAAGCAATTAAAACAAGTAGGAAGATTTTATGGAGATCAGACTATAAGGTATAAAACTTGAGTCTCACTTGGAAGTATAAAATTCTAATTTAGGGTTTATAAGGATTTAAACTTTCTAAATACAACGAGTTAGCACCAAGACTTTAAAGTACAGTGAAATGTTAAAATCTAATTGCAAAGTATGTGATTTGAGCATCACATTATAAGTGCATCTAACTATGAGGACTACCTTTTGTAATATGATTCTTTTAAGGTTTTTATTGGTCTAAAGTTGCTAAAGGCTGGAGTGAACTATTGATAGCAATAGAGTTATATAAGATGATCAACTATCCAGCCAAACTTAATATTTTATGACCATTATCTCTCTCTGAAAGTGAAATTCATATCAATGATCCATGAAAATTAAAAGCATTAAGGTATTATTTTTTTCGTTCTATTCTAATTTAAAAAATTAAACTAAATATCAAAGAATGATGAAACATAATTAAGTCCAACTCTAGCTCTGGTGATATGACAAAGCAATTTCTACTAAAGGTGAAAAACATCTTAAAAAAGAAATTAAATATTAAGCTGATAATACTTTTTGGTCCATTTATTCGATTAAATTTATGGATAAACCTTAAATGAACTAGATAAGAGACAACCTAATCACAATTTCATTGACTAAATTGGCCAGAGTGTGATGTGCGTTTTCAAATATCGGATGAGGTTGTTTACAACTTGCTGTGTGTTTAAATAAACATATAATTAAACTAAATATCAACTTAGTTGGCCTAATGTTTGGTTTGGATGATAATTTGCTACTTGTCTGGGAAACGACAGAGAATGAAAGGGGTGTTTTTGGGTTATGTGAGTGAATGGGCCAATATCTGATGTGATGTTATTCATAGTGTTTTCTTTACAATTAGTATGGGCCACACTTCAATGGATTATTTTCCCACTCATAAAATGTTATTTCATCCGTTCTTTATCTGTGGTTTTATAATAATATTTTTATTTCACTTGTCTATCATTTTCAAATTTCAAGATAATATTAATTATTATTTTTATTATACTTTATTAGGAAAGTAAGAAAAATAATATAATCATAAACAAGAGAGATAAAAGATAGATTAAAAGAAGAATAATAATTTTTAAAAGATAAAAATATTAATAATATTTTTAATTTGTAGGTAGTATTAAATTAATTTTATTGTAAGAATTATTTATTTAATTTTTAAAAATTATAAAAATTTCATTTTATTCTTAAAATTGGCAAACTATTTATTCTAATTCCCAAAAATTTAAAAATAAATATTATAATAAGTTTGATAATTTAAGAGACTAAAAGAATATTATTATATTTTTAAACTGAAACAATCAATACTTGTATTTTTAGAAATTAATTTAACGTACTCTTATTATTATTTGAAGCTTTGAAAACGAATAAAATTATGAATCACTTATCAAGTATTGATTATTTTGATGTAAGTTTTAGATTTGACACATAGATTGTGAATAGAGGATAGAGTAAAGATACTTTTGCACCCAATCTCAACATTATTAGTTATTAGTTATAGTTGGTTAACCAGATTTATGAAAATGTTGCTTTTGATATCGTATGATCATATGTATCTGGCTTAATCAGATAAAGTTTAAGTGTTATTGTTCTAGTATTTCTTATTGTTCAGATTTTTTTTTCTTTTATTTGTACACATTCACAAATTATTTAAGTTTTAATTCTGGCCATAAACTAGTACTTAAGACATGAATTTTGTAACATTGAATCCTAAAAAAGGCCTTGATCCAAATAGAGCAGTGTAAACTTCTGAAGGGGCAGAAAACAAAAGGTTATAGGAAAACGTTTGTTCTCAAACGTTGTCAAGTTTTGTTGTCATTAGTAAGTGTGAAAGAAAAATGGATGCCGAATAGGGTATGATTTTGTTTGAAGATTATGAGTGTATTTAAATGTATAATTTAATTAAACGTTTATTTAATATTTTTAAAAAAAGATTTACATTAATTATAAAATTTATTAGAATAAATTAAAAATAACTTATTATAATAAGATGTAACTAAACTCGTAAATTCTTGATATTGCAGTTTCATAAGAAGAAACATGGACAAAAAGGTTAAAGCAATTGATGATCATTTAATATTTTTTATTATTTCATAAATAGAAGCGTATTATGAATCCTTATTTTTCAATCCACTGTGGATTTCATAAGGAATTCCAGCAATCCAACTAATCAGCTACACATTAGAACTAAAATGCTAACTATGACCAGATCTTACCCAAAAGAAAACCATTGTCAAATAACAATACTTCACAAGCCACTTAGTTCACTATTTAGAGCTATAAAACTAGACATGACTCAAGCTAATTTTTTTCACTTTGAGTCAGTGCTTCTGAGAGCCAGAATCTCTCTTCCGCCAAAACCTAAGCTGCACAGATCTTTGTTCCAGCATCTTCTCTACTTCCTCCATTGGAACCCCTTTGGTTTCAGGTACAAAAATAATGACAAAGAAAATTGCCACAACAGCAACAATTCCAAACATCATAAATGTCCATGCTGTCCCAACAGTTTGTGTCAAGGACAAAAATGACTGGGAAACAATGAGGTTGGAAATCCAAACAGTTGTGGATGCCATTCCTCCACAAACCCCTCTATACCTCAAAGGATAGATCTCAGAATTCACAACCCACGGAACAGTTCCCATTCCAGGTGAAAAGAAGATTATGTAAAGAGCAAGGCCTATTAGTGCAGCCCAACCATATTTGCTAGGACATCCCCTAGTGTACCATGCTCTATGATCATTACCACACATATTCTTTGTATCATCATTGGAGATCAAACATGCCCCAGGTAAGAGCTGCAAAATCAATTCATAGTATTGTCAATAAATGTGACATGTTAAATTAAATCTTGATATGCGTATCGTAGTGTGTCAAATGTCAATGTGCCATTAATTGGAATTGAAATAACTTTTTTCCTTTCACACTCTGAATTGTGAAATTTTTTTAGTGATGTGCTCTTTCTTTTTAATTGGGAGACAAGAGAGGAAACATGAAACAGATACAGGTGATTTGGTTCCCAATAATTGATGGTTGTGTTGTTATAAGAAAATTGAAATGTGAGGATAGTGAAAGGATAAAGGGTGGATTAGATTTACCTTATCATCAGCAGCACAAAAACCACAAGATGGTGAAGCCTTTAGGCATGTCATGCAATTCCATTTACCAGGGTTCAAAGCTGCTTTGTAATCAGGGCAGGTGCCATTGAAACTAGAGGTTTGAATGGCACTAACCATTGGAGAGTGAACTTCACTTTCGCGAAAAGTTACAGTTAGGAGGGCCAGAGAGAACACAACACCGAACAAACTGATTAAAGCAAGCTTTTTTCTACCAGTTTTGTCAATGAAGTATATGCTCAAAATTGAACCAAATGCATTAAGGCCTGATGTGACGAGTGAAAGAAGCAAAGCTGTTCTGTTAGATGCATAACCAGCTAACTGAAAAATGGTGGCGCTGTAGTACATCACAGTGTTGATCCCTACAAACTGCTGGAAAAATTGGAGCCCCATGCCTGCATATAATCCTCTTCTCACAGCAGTGGTTTTCAGAAGTTTCATCATGCTGATCTTTTCTGATGTTTCTGATTCCTTAATTTCGATATCAACTGATTCCTTCAAAGCTTGAATTTCACCTTCAACATCGTGAGGTGGATAAATCTTTCTCATAATCGCTTGTCCTTCCTCCTCCCTACCCTGTGGGATCAAAACCAAAACAAAGAGCAACAGTTACAGCTTGGTTAAGTGTTCATTCAATAATATTTTTTAAATATGGTTTATGTAAAAAATTTTAAGATAAAAACAACTTAGTTTGATAAGTTACATCATTAAGCTTATTGAAATAAGCTAAAATAAACTTATGAGTCATAAGCTATTTCTATAAATTGTTCATAAACTCTCTCAAACAAACCAGAATTTCATGCAATGGTTACGTGTTTGGTTTAGCTTATTTTAGAGTAATAACCGTTTATTTTTATCATCTCTCTGAGATAACTCTCTGAAAAATAAGTGACTAGTTCTCCAAATTAATGTGTTACCCAAACATGGACTGAATGACTATTGATTAATCATGATGAACTAACCTTGCGGTACAACCAACGGGGGGATTCAGGGAGTGACAACATTAGTACAATTTGTATCAAAGCAGGTGCTGCAGCTACCCCTAACATCCACCTCCATGTCCCAGGTGCCTGAATGAAAAATGAAGCACAAATTCATTTAGCTCATCACCAAACAACAAGATGTTCAAGGACAAAACAACACCAAGACACAACTTCAAGCACCAAGCACAGTTTAATTTTAAACCAACCTTGTGTATATGCATAAGGGAATGGATCCTCTCATGTACATGACAGGTTATATTCAAATTTTCTATTCATCTCTCTCCTGCTATACATCAAATAAGTGAGGCCTATGTTTAACATTTATAAGGAGAGATATAGATACAAAATTTCAACACACCCTCATTAAACTTCAACTTGAGAAGATCCATTTCAGCATGCATATACACCAACATAGCACAACTTTGGAATTAAAAGAGAAGTGATAGCTTAATTTAACTTTCACACCTTAGTGAAGGCCAAGTTGATGAGGTAGGAAAGGAACTGTCCCCCAGTGATGAGAAAACTGTTGAGGCCTACAAGGGCTCCTCTAACTTTGGTTGGAGAAGCCTCTGAAATGTAAAGAGGGGATGCCATTGAAGCCATGCCAACACCAAGCCCAACAAACACACGACCCACAATTAGAATAGCTGGACTGGTAGCAGCAGCCATGATTATTGACCCTGTTAGAAAGAGCGCATCTGCAAGAAGAATTGCTACTCTCCTTCCAAATCGATCGTTGATCCATCCCCCAACTGAAGCTCCTATTATTGCTCCAGCAATTGCAGTACTTACTATGGCTTCCTGAAAATTTTTTCCATGGTTCACAATTCACACAACGTGAGAAAACTCACTTTAAACTCGGATCAGCATAACTTTGCACAGCTGTTCCACCCCAGATGAAAAGACTATGGAATGAAAAAGAAAGAACCATAGTCTTTTTCATTCCTAAAGAATAGGAAGATTAACTCAAATAAAAATATTGGAGATTTTGTTGCATCCCATTTGTAATTTAAGATTGAATGAGAGTGTAAAAAACATGTATTTTAATTAAATTAATTGAATAATGAACTTCATATCATCCATATATCATGCGCGTGAAATTGAAATGAAACAGAAAGGTGGAAAAAAATAAAAAAGAATCTGACTTTTGGGACATAATTTTGATGCCATGCCATATAATTATTAAGCTGTGGAATTTGATTTGAATTAAAGTGTCCCACAAGTTACTGCATTCCTTTAATGAATTGTTTGATGATTGACTACGCAGGGTAAGAATATAAATCATATAATAATATTTGGGGGATTTTCACTGGTTGCAGTTGTTGGTGCTTGATCTTGCTTTGTTGCCCAACACCCCTACGGGACCAACGGAACATTTCTTCAGACAAACCATGATTGAGACACTTGTCATATTTTTGGGGGATATCCCTTTTTTTTTTATCACCTGAAATTATATTTTTTATTATTTTTAATCATTATAATTTGATTTGTTTCCTTATCTTACCCCTTTAAGTCTCGATTCAAAGAGAAATAATCTTTGTACTGTTTGATAGGAACTCCTTCAAGTATTTATTTTTATATATTTACCATGTATTTTTAAATAACATGTATACAAAAAATTAAAAAAAATATTTTTAATTATTTAAATAAAAATAATGATAAAAAATACAAGAGACGTATAGGTGTTGGCAATTAACATTTTTCGTATGTTCAAACCGTAGCCGCAGGAATTAAAAAACAGTTGGGTTTATTAAATAAGAATTGAAAAATAGTATATGTATTGACTAATCCAATATATTAACTGGATCTCACCCGGTTAATCCGGATCACGTTATTTATTTATCCGCCAATCCACATTAAAAAATTTTATCTTAAAACAAAAAAAAATTTAACATTATGCAACTCCATGTGTTTAATTGCTAAGTTAAAATTTATCATTAAGTTAATAAATATTAAAACAATATATCACTTAGAAATGGAGCCAATATTTTCAAGCTCCTAGTAAATTATGTGGAAAATAAAGGGAAAAACAAGGAGCTTTTCAGTCATGTATTAGACTGATGTGTTAGTTCAAATAGTGAAAAACTTTATCTTCTTTATAAATGAAACTTTGTTTCAAATTTGATAAATAAAAAATATAAATTATGAAAGAACTTTATTCCTTAAATAATGGAGCCTTTATAGACATGGAGAAAATCGATTCTTACAGAATCTAAAAGAAAAATTACATCTGTTGAACTTGCTTCATAATTCATGCACACTCATTTATAGAGCCTGCTTATTAAAACATTTGAACTTCTGTTTCTAAAGTTGATGCTTCAATTTCTTTGAAAAAAACACTGTTTTCAAGCTCTAAAAATTGGGAGAAGGGATGTTAAAATTTGCCTAAAGCTTAACCAAATTGCCGGATAAACGTTTTTTCATGTTAAACTCTATTTGGTTGATGGAACTGGAAAACAAACAGACTCTTCATTATTATATTTTTACATTTAAATATTTAAATTATAAGTTAAGATCACTGAAGTTAATAAAATTGAAAAAAAAAATAGAGGTTATTTGTAAAAGGAGTTTGAAAAACGCAGAGAACCATGAGTTTGTTTTTTTCTGCAAGTTGGTGGCTGTGAACAGAGAATAAGTAAGGGCATTTAAGTCCATTAAAGTAGGTTGGAATTCACAACAAGAGGTTTGAATTGATTGGAAGACTTTAATTTCATCAATGGCTTAGATTGTTATTACCTGAAGCCAAGTCTTCTGATCAACTGCCTTGAATTCATCTCTGATATACAGAAGAGCCCCCGATATAACTCCTGCACATACCCAACAATTAATAACCCAAAATCAAATAATAATAATGATAATAATAAATACCCTCTATACACTTTATTGTAATATATGATTACAATTAAATTTTAAAATATGATTGAGAAGCATTATAAAATTTATGACGTAATATTGTATGAGTAATTAAGTATTCTTGTTATGTGAGGGTGGGAAAGCATGGTGATGTGGGTGTTTTGATGCGAAGGTGAGAAACAGAGAAATGGGCTGTTAACATATGACATAACAACACAAAGGGTGGGAGAAAAAAGTGATTTTGAGAAGGAAGGTGACTGAAATGGACGATGATAACAAGTGACAACACAGAATTATGGTAACCGACCAGTGTCATAGCCAAAGAGAAGGCCTCCAATTCCAGCAGAAAAAGCAAGGCGAAGAACATAAGGATTCTTCCATGACAGAGACAAACATTCTCTGAAAGCAGACATATCAGCTTCTGGTATGCCTCCTTCCATGGTTCTTCCCTTGAAGAACAGACACTATAAGAGAAGAGAGAAAAACAAAGATGTTTTATTCAACGTTGGTTGTTCTTGCTTGAGCAAGTGTGTTGAGTTTGAGAGATAAGAGGTTCAAGAGGTGTAGTGTATTTATAATGGAAGAAAAACGTTGTGATGACGAGTTTGGACACTAATAATGGACTCAAAATAGTTTATTTTTTATTTAATATAAAAGTTAAACTGCTTCATTTCACCGTAAAAGAAAATAGAATTTATAAAAAGTAAAAATGATCAAGATCAATATTTTTTGACTTTTTTATTTAAATATTACAAAATCAAAAACAAATCCTTAGTTTATTACTTTTTTTAAACTATTGATTTTTTATTTTTTATATAAATTTTATAATTAAAAATATAAAATAACTAGATTAAGACACGTGTTAATATTAGCATAATTTTGTAGTATGATTAAAAAAATTAAATAATTTTATTTTTATTAATTTTAATAACATAATCAAATAAAATCTAATTTAAATTTACATACAAATCATTACCACATTTAAAATAAAAATCATATTACTAATATGATATTAGAAAAATATTTTTTATTTATATATAAATTTAAATTACATTTTAATTAAATAAAATTTAATCATTGATATGATTAAAATTTTTATCATTAAATATTAATTATGATTACATTGAAATTAAAAAATAAATTACTAACATAATAAAAAAATATTTTTTATATTTACATACAAATTACTATTAATTCTTTATTAAAAAAGTTTAAATTACTAACATAATTACAATAAAGAATTTTTTTATTTTTTTCAAAATTTTCAAATTATTGCATGTGATTTTGTTGATTTTATATTTTAGTTAAAGAATATGTGCAATGGATATTTTTTTGGGTCACAAAAAATAAATTTTAATTTTTTTGAAAAGGATGCTACAAATTTTTTTTATTGTAGTTACTTTAGTAATTTAGATTTTTTAATAAAGAATTAATAGTAATTTGTATGTAAATATAAAAAATATTTTCTTGTATTATGTTAGTAATTTATTTTTTATTTCAATGTAATTATAATTGGTATCTAATGATAAAAATTTTAATTATATTATAGCAAAAAAAATTTAATTATATTAGTGATTTAAATTTATTTAATTAAGATGTAATTTGAATTTGTATGTAAATAAAAAAAATTCTTAGTATTATGTTTGTAATTTAATTTTTATTTGAAATGTAGTAATGATTTGCATATAAATCTAAATTAGATTTTCTTTTATTATGTTATTAAAATTAATGAAGGTAAATTTGTATAATAGGCCAAAATTGTGCCACGTGTTAAGTTTCTACAAGTAATATAATTTTTATGGTGAAACTTATTCAGATTGTGATAGGTGTTATCATTTTAAGAGTTTCGTGTATAACGAAATTGACATTTAATTTTGTCAATCATATTATAAAATTATACTGATATTGACATATGTCACAATCTAGTTATTTTACGTTTTTAGTGACAAAATTTATTTTAAAAGAATAAAAAATTAATATTTTTATTGATATTTTAACAAAACATACCATGTGGACTGACACATTCTAAAAAGAAAAATAGTTTAAAAAAGGGTAATAAATTAAGAATTTGTTTTTGATTTTACAATATTTAAATAAAAAAAGCCCTCCATATTTTTTCAAGTACTTTCAATTATTGAAAAATAAATAGTGAATCATTTATGATAAATAATTTTTTAAATATTTTATTCTTTTAAACTATGCATTTAAATATAATATATATGATAACAAAGATTAAAACACAATTGCTATTTGTTTTTTTTTTTAATTTTGACTTTATACGAACCAACTCATAATTTGTTTAGGTTGGATAAAATCTGTTTGTACTTACTTGTGACTAAATGTTTCATTTTCATGTACAATTTGAAGTTTGAAACTTGAGACTAAACAATGGAAAATCTTCACCTTGCCCCAAATAATCCCTTTTGATAGGTTCATTTACCATATCCCCTAAGTAATAAATTTCATTTTGGAAATTGTAATTGCTTTTATTTGTGAGAAAAGCTTATGTAAAAGGGTGATTCTGCTTTTAAGAATAATAAAATATCATTTATTTATAAAAAAGAGTGAAATTAAAATGAAAAGATAGGTATTATATTGAAAAAGTAATATTCTAATTCTTGAAGGGTATAGGGGTCCACAAAGGTTATTAGAGCAGTGCAATAGTCGGCAAGTCAACTTAGTTGGTCTATACAGCACACTAAGTCCATTTTATTTTCAACAAAATTAAAAACTAATTTTTAAGATGTAATTATCAATGATTGAATTTTTGGTGTAGTTTTTATTTGTGGAAAAACTTATCCAAAATATAAGAAATAAAAAAAGATTATTTATTCATCTATATAACTTATCAGTTAATATGAAAAGGAATAAATCAATTTTTTCTAAATTAAAGATGATATACCAATTTTATTTATTTATATTATTTCACCAACGACGTAGATGTCCAGAAAGATTTTTAGAACAGTGCCAGTATGGAAGTCAACTTTGTCGATCTGTATAGTACTTTAATTCCACCTCGATGTTAGTAAAAAAAACCAAAAAAAAAATCCATTTTGAAATTTGATGTATCTATTTACCTATTATTCACGGATATATAGGTTTAAATATATTTCTTTTATATTTTTATAAAATTTTAATTTTTGACGTGGACAACACAGAGTCAATGCATAAAATTTTTTAAATTAATCATCAGGAAAATGCTAAACTTAGAAAAGATAAAAACTAAAATAATTCTTTTAAAATTATAAAAAACAAAATTTATATTTAAACACTCACGCATGTATATGCGTTAAGATTCATTGAATCTAAATATAAAATTTATACAATTTAATAACCTTGTTTTAAATGTAAGAATCATTAATTTAATAATTAATTTGAAAGCTGTTATAATATAAATAGAGGAAAAATTGTAACAATAACAAATTTTATTGCCAAGGGCATGGTTCATTTTGGTTTGAAGATAGAATATGTAATTAAAAAAATGTGACTTTCATGTGAGAGAAAAATAAATGAATGTTTCCCTCTATTTTTTTTATAAGTCATATTTAACTAAATTATATAAACTAATAACAATAGTTTAAGTTAATTAATTTTTTTATTTTTTAAACTGTTTAAACTTAATAATTTTATTTTTATTTAATATTATTGAATTTAACTCTGCTATTAACATTTACTTTTATTTTAGCAAAAAAAAATTTACTTTTATTAATTTAAATTTAAATTTTTACCAACTTTATTTGTTAAGAAAAAAATAAAGAAGAAAATGACATTGCTTTATAAAAATTACAAAATACTTTATGACAGAGACCACTAAAACCTGCTAGAAACTGAGTTGTATTAAGAATCAAAGGTGATATAATAAATGTTGATAGCATGTAAGGTGCAATTTAAATCTTTTGTTTAACAATTTAAAATTTTGAGTTAAGTGATAATATAATTTTTAAAATTTATTATTCCATATTAAATTGTAGACTATTGTACATTACTATCACAATTTTAAATAATTGATTATTAAAAAATTTTATTCTATATTAAAAAAAATAAACTAGTGTATATTTTAGAATCATAACCCTACTATTCAAATGTTAAGAATGATTACACACATAAAATGTGACACAAGTTGATAACATTCTAAATCAGTTAAAAAAATTACTTAACAAAATTAAAAAAGATCTCATTGTAAAGGGAATTAATTACATTAAACTAATTAAACAAAAGTTTATATAAATAGATTAAGTTTATGAAATATTATAGTTGAGTAGAGAAAAAATTGTAGCATGAAAAAAATTCTCATTGTAAAGGGCATGGACAATAAATACATTAAACTCACTGTGAAATTAAACTTAAAATTAATTTAATTAAAAAATCTTGTTAAATTTTAATTTTAATCTTTAATTTTTCATTACATTAAATGAGATTAAGTTAAACACATGAAATTCTATATTAAAAATAAGCTGTTGTATGCAACTAAATATAAAAAACTAATAAGTTTGTATACTTTCACTCCAGAGATGAAGATTGAGTTACAAATGTTGGTGAAGAGAAAGAATACATTTCTTTCAAAATAGTGATGCGATATTATGTAAAACTTGAATTTACAAAGTATCTCAATTTTAATATTTATAGTTATATGATCCATATTTATGCTTCTTACTTTCATATAAAAAGACTCTCCTCACTAAATACATTCTTATACCGATAATGTATCAAGTGAAAGTTTTTTATGTGAGAAAAGAACAAATCTTGATAACTAATCTTATCATGGATGATCAAGACTAAAATATATAAGTCATGTGAATTTTAAAAAAGTTTATAACATTTTTTAAATAATTATGTGACTTAAATATTTAAATCTTGACCATTTCTACATGATTATACAGTTTAAATTTATGTCTTTTGTTCTCACATAAAAAACTTTTTTATTATATAGATTCTTTTTACTGGGCATGGACTATTGAATTCACCAATCTATAAATCTAATATATAATTTTGGCAACTGTATAGGCATATCATTCTCGCTCATTAGAGAAGGTTTTCTTGTGAACCTTGAAAAATTTTGAAACTTGTTGAACTTAAGATTTAAATACGCACCAACTTTAATATCAAATGATATGATAAAGAATGCATGCTATTATGTCAAAATCTTAAGCTATCAACAAAGGTGTAAGTCTTGACTCTTGACATATAGTACCATGTATCGGACATAGACCTTTCCCTATTTAAGCCATTAGGCATAGAATACTTATTTGACCTAATTCATAAATCTAACATGCAATCTTAGTGACCCTATAAACTTATCATTAATCTAGTGAAATGGAAATGGTTTGATTGATTTTTCATGTATGACGCTAATGTTAAGTATATTGCCTCTAAAAAAATTTTAGGATTATTTTAGTGGAATTTTTAGCATCCTAATTGATGAAAAATTTATTTATGAATCATGTTCTTAACAAAAACACTCTAAAGTTCAAAATAATTGAGATTTTGATATAATATAGACAAGTAAAATGATTAGGTACTTTATAGCTAATTTTGTTGAGAGTTCTCTTTACAAATTTAATTAGTTTTAACAATACTTAAACAAATATA